ACATCAAACGGTGCAACGCGTTGCGTTTGTCGCGCGGGAGTTATGCGCACGTGTGGCAAGAGCTTTACAAGACAGCATTTCATTTGAATTAATGCAAATCTCTTACCTGATACAAAAATAAAAAGGATAAATAAATACCATATAGTAAATAGAAATATAAAAACATTAAATGTATATACCAAAATAACAGTAACTAGAAAAACCCAGAAACAATTACTAATAATCAGACTACTAATTAAAATTACTAAAGTTTGTATGTGAGTATGTTTGTTACTTTTTTACCCTAAAACGGCTAAAACAGAATTTTTAATATAAAAATCATTTAATAATATACAAGGAAAATTAAGATTCAATTATGAAAAAGAACAAATAATTTAAACTTTTCTTCAATTTCAATCTTCATATACTGATATCTGAGTCGCTATAAATTAATCAGTAATTTTAATAACAAAGCAGTTGAACATTTCCAAGTACAATTTTAGTTATTTCAAAACATCAATAAACTAATTTATACCTTACACACATACAATAAGATGCATTTTGCAATAGAATATTGTTTAATAAGTATTTTTGTTTCGTATTTCAGTAACTGGACGCCTGAGACCATATCAAAAGCGCTTACAAAGAATTCTTTATAAACATTGCGTCGCATTTTTGCACCTATAACACCTAGTTAATATTATAGTGGCTTATCCGTTGTTTTTATTCACATAGAACTCAACTAATGGCAATCACCCACATCTTACTGTACAAGGTAATTAGCAGACTTATTAATATAAATAGGTACCTCGAAAATTTCAAGCTTTCAAGTAATTTATTTATATAATATATTTCAAGTATTTTATTCCGTTATTAGAGATGGAAATCTCTTTTTAAGGGAGTATAAATTATGAATTAAAAAAAGAAATATGAAAATCGTTTTACAATTAGCGAAGATATTGAAATAACAATACAAAATTATCGATATGAATTGAATGCCCTCCCCTTTTTGAAGTCAGTCAAACGGGTATGAAATAAGTAGAAACCCCGTTAAAAGTACAATTTATTCTTAGGTTTTTGTATAAAATCATTCGTGTAGTAACATACCTATTCATTAAAAAAATATAATAATAATAATAATAATAATAATACTCTTTATTGTACACCAAAGAGAAAAATACGTACAGACAGTTATTAAAAATTAACAAAGATGCACAGCAGGCGGCCTTATCGCTTAAAGCGATCTCTTCCAGGCAACCAACTACCAGGTAAAGGAGAGTGTGAGAGAAATGGTAGGCGGTGTACTTGCTATACGATATAATTATACATACAATATAAATAGATAAACATAATACACATACACATACAAACGTACATACATACATATATACATACATACAAATATATAAACGTACAATACACATACATACTAATTTATATACATACGTACCTACAAATATATATAGTTATAGATACAATTAAATATAAAAAAAAAGCACTAAAGGGACAGGTAATATTCTTTTAATAACAGCTTAAATTTATCAAGGCTTTTGGCACTTTTAACTTTTAAAGGAAGTGTGTTCCAGAGCCGGGCAGCTTTTACAGTAAAAGAGTTAGAGTAGAAACATGAAGAATGTGGAGGAATTTTGAGAACTAGGTTGTGCTCCGAGCGAAGAGAACGGCTATGACAGTTACTTAAAAATTCAAAACGCTCTTTTAAATAAAAAGGAGTTGAAGGGTGAAATAGCACACAGTAAAGAAGATGGAGAATGTGAGTATTCCTGCGGAAACGGATAGGAAGCCACTTGAGTTTTTTACGAAATTCTGAAACGTGGTCATATTTCCGAAGGCCGAAAATAAACCGTATACAAAGATTTTGAAGTCGCTCAAGTTTATTTAAATATTCTTCTTTGATATCAAGATAACAAACGTCAGCATAATCAAGAATCGGTAGTAGAAGAGAATTTGCTAGCGCAATTTTGGTAGGTATGGGCAGAAAATTTTTTAATCTACGAAGAGAAGCAATCGCTCCAAACATCTTCCTGCTCATCTCACTTATCTGCGGTCCCCACGATAAACACTGGTCAATTAAAATACCCAGGTTTTTCACTTTATCAGTAAACATAATTTGGACACCATTAAGAAGTATGGGTGGTATGTGCATATTTTTAACTTTGCATAATAGTCTCTGGCTGCCTAAAATAATTGCTTGAGATTTATCTGGATTTAGATTGAGTCCATATGAATTACCCCATGATGATATGAGTGACAAATCTTTATTTATATTATTAATGGTAATAGGCAAGTTCTCCACAGTAGTCATGGCATAAATTTGCAAATCGTCAGCATACAGGTGGTAGGGAGAAGAAATTTGTTGAGAGATAGAATTAATAAAAATTGAAAAAAGGAGAGGAGACAAGACACCACCTTGTGGAACACCAGCATTAATTATAGACCATTCAGAGCACGAATCTTCAATTCGTATACGCTGCCGGCGATCACACAAGTAAGAACGAAACCAGTCAACCACCTCAGGAGATATGTTAAGAGAAGCTAGAATGGCAAGTAAAATGTCGAAATCTACTGTATTAAAAGCGTTTGTAAAATCTAATAGTGTCAATACCGTAACCTTTTTATTGTCCATGCTTTCTCTAACGTCATCTGTTATTTTAGTTAGCGCAGTAACCGTGCTATGACTAGGACGAAAACCAGATTGAAAAGAATTTAATAGACTATTTTGATGTAGAAAAATACTTAGTTGACGATGCACGAGGCGTTCGAGGACCTTGGATAGGAAAGGAAGAATTGAAATTGGTCGGTAGTCAGAAAAGGAATAAGGATTAGGTTTTTTTGGGAGTGGAATAATTTGGCCATCTTTCCAGGACGAAGGAAACTTGTGGAGATTTAAGGAGGCATTAAGGATAGATGTTATTATAGGAACAATAAAGTTAATAATAGGAAGAATCATATTGCGACTTATACAATCCGCCCCAACGGCGTTAGATTTGATTGCCATAATATTTCTCTTAACATCACTTTCGGAGATTTGACTAAAACTGAAACAGGGAAAGTCAGGAGTAGGTAGATTTGAAAGGAGATTAAGTGTATTCGATTTATTTGTACTATTTATAATACTAGAAGAAGAGAAATATTGATTTAGCAAATTTAAATCTAAGTTTTTAGGATTAATATTTACTCTAGATTTACCTACTCCTAGAGACTTAAGAAAATGCCAGACTTTTTCTGAGTCATCTTCTTCGACAACCGATTTATAGATATGGCGTCGTTGACTATCCCTACACACCATGTTGCAACGATTCCGAGCCTTGACATATTTTGCCCTATTTTCGTCACTAGGATTTGAAACATATTTTACTTTTGCAACATTCTTTTTGATCTGTAACCTTTTGATTTCTGGTGTAAGCCAGGGAGCTGGAAGATGCTTGACTCGTACAGGCCGAACTGGAGCATGAATATCATACAGCTGGATCAAAAGAGAATTGAATATAGAAATTTTTTCATCAATTGTAGTTGCTGCGGTAACTACTGACCAATCCACACTTTCAGCGTCTGCGTGCAAGCGTTGTAGGTCATACCACCAAAATTTCGCTGAAGAAGGATTCTTGATTTTGCTTTCGGGGTTTTCAATTTAAAAGACAAATAGATTAGATCATGGTATGAGAAAGCCGGAGCCGAACACTGACCATGTTTCGCAACAAGGTCAGTGGAAGATACTAAAATCAGGTCAAGAAGAGATGGTAGACAATTTGGAAAATTATGAGTGGGCCTTAAGGGGAGAATGTTTAAATTAACTGCATTTACAAGGGAACTAAGACGCGATGTGCGTTGATCATTCTTTAGGAGACAGGTGTTAAAATCACCCATCACCAAAGTATGATCGTACAAAGGCTTATATGTTTCTAACAGGGTTTCAAATGATGAGAAATAATCGATAGTGAGATTAGGATTGTAATAAACACCCAGGAGTATCTTAGTGTGAGATAATAAAATCTCAATAAAAAGATGTTCGGGTCCTACGTCTCCTTGATTCTTAGACATACTAATAATCGAGAAAGGAATGTGGGAACGTAGATAGATTGCAACTCCACCTCCAGTGCGTTCAGCACGATCATTTCTAATTAAGTGAAACCCTGGTAGTGCGTAGGATGTAGATGGGAGACATGGCTTCAGCCATGACTCGGACACCAAAATGGTATGTATATTTTTGGAAGTAAAAGAAGACAACATATCGGGATAGTGCGCAGGAATACTTTGGGCGTTTATATGAACTAAGTTAAAGTTTTTCAGAACATCTGAGAAGACGAGATCAAGAGTTTCATCAAGTGGTTGGATACTATGAAAACTGTCGTTGCTGCTTTCATCCTCCGATGTAGAACAAGACAAAAACGAATCGTCTAAACTACTGCAAATCGACGTCATTTTGTACGTTGTATAATATAATAAAATAAATAAATATGTAAATAATAATAAGTAAAAAGAAATATATAATAATAGAATATACTTGAATATTTATATTATATAATAATAATATAAACAATAAATAAATTAAATTTATTAAATAAATAGTTATAATAATATGATATAAAAAAAAAATACTAGCAAGTTTATCTCACAACTACAACTCACCCGCCAGTTGCAAGAAAGAAAGAAATTTCACATTAAAGTAATTAAAATTACAAACAAAAAAAAAGAGATATAAAAAAAAAAAAAATAGAATCATACAAAAATATACATACGAAAATGAAGAATGTAAAAAACACACAATAATTGGTAATTACAAACCAATAATACAACAAAAATATGTTGTGTATCTGTACCCTAAAGTTACCAAAGACAAGAAAATTAGTTATCTGTGGACTGTGATACAAACATAATCTGTTATGGTAATAAGTCTGTGAACTTTCTATAATAATAACAATAAACAAAGTTATCGTATAGTAACTCAATCTATTGAAATTAGTAAAATTAATTGATTTTAAATATAATATAAACTAAATTTACTTCTTAGCTATACGTTTTGCGCGAGAAGGTATAACATTATCTGTTTTTTTCGACACTACTATCTTTTGCACGGATGATTTCACTGGACTGTTTGGTATGGCACTGAGATCCAACTTGCACTCCACCCGGTGTCGAGATCCATCAGGTGCGATGATGTGGATGCACCCACCTCGTGTCCAACAATTGCTGACCCCGAACCGTTGCCTCGCCTCTAAAAATGCTTCGTGCCTACATTTCGTGAGAAACTCCGATTGCGTAACACCAGTGCCCTTTAGTTTGGTTTTAGCAAACCATACTTTGTTACGCACGGAAACATCACTAAATTTTACTACTATAGGCCTGGGCTTATCAGAAGAACGGCCTAAGCGAAACGAGTGCTTAATATTTTCAGTAGAAAAGTTCTGCAAGTCCAGGTGTTCGGCAATTAAGCTAGTGATTCGGGCCGGGATGTCTTCTGTTTTTTGCTCAGGAACACCGTGAAATAATAACATTTTCCGCCTGTTCCTCATCTCTTGCCTGTCGACCTCTAATGCGAGATATTCAACCTGCCGTTGCAGTGTGTTCAATGCAGATAAAATAAAACTGCGGAAATGGTTAAATTCACCTGGTAGAACACTACTTGAAGCTGGTGTTGATGCTTTGCTTAAGTCCTGTTGGAACTCATGCATTCTTGCATTAAACATGTCAGTTAGTGCAGATAACGACTCCTTGATGGATTCCATTTTCGTATTTATCGTAAGTGATGTGTATAAGAGAGTAAAAATAGGAGTATTCTTGCAGGTGGGTAAAACTGTTACTCACATAAACATAAGAACTATTTAATAAATGCTTATTATAATATTTTATAATAACATAAATCAGCTGATCACAATTTTACGCCCGACGTGTTTCACTCCTACCCACGAAAAAAGCTATAATGCTAATAAGTCATAGGTAATAGGGATAAAGCGTGATTTTTTTATACAATAGCTAACATCGTTATATAATGGAAAAAAATATATCCATCTAACATTTCGTTTTTTTTTATATCATACCGATACGGATAATTTAAGCACCCGCCATTTCGCGCGCTTGGCGTGACGTCACAGTATGATACATAGAAAAATGACGACTTTAGTTTATAGCGACAAAATCGCTAATTACTCTTGTATATACTTTGACGTCATATTCGATCTGACCAATGGCGTGCGTTTCAACTACTTTGAATTTTGCACCTATATTTGCACTTTTTAATAATTATTTTCTTAATCAAAAAGAATACTTAACATTAAAAAATATAATACAGGTTTAATTCTAAAGCAATAAAGATTATAAAAAAATATTGTACCTTTATTTAAATCACACGCATATTCCCTATTATAAAAGAAATCGTAATATACATATAAAACAACGATTAATGTACGTACAGCACTACCTTTTGGAAGTAAGTCAAGAGTTTTAATTTTAATTGTGAAACCGAACACAAAAATGTGCAAGTTACCTTTAAAAACGGCTGTGTAGGTATATGTAATTGAGCTCTATTACTATTAACTTAATTTAAACGATTTTTTTATATAACATGTAAATATAATCATTAGCTCACCTTTTAAAATAAATCTATACAGATAAATAAAATTGAAGTGTCATTTGTAATGTTAAAGAACAGTTTTTAAAATTTTTATTTATCTGTCTATCTGTTTGTTTGTTCCGGCTAATCTCCGAAACGGCTGTGTTTATTTTGTTAGGACTTTCACTAGCAGATAGGTGATATTATAAGGAGTAACATAGGCTACTTTTGTTATAGAAAAACAATTAGGGTTCCATTCAAAAAGAACATACCTATTGATGCACCCGAGCGAAGCGAAGGTAAGTCACTAGTGTATAAATAAAAAATAAGTACCCCTGGGTCCATATATTTCATACTAATAGACTCAATACGAAATTTTCTATTTCCAAAATCAAGACATCTCCAAGTCCCCACAGTGCCAGTTAACTAAACACCCACAACTATTGCAGTTCAGAACTTAGATAACTGTTACTTATATTATATTCACGCTTTGTAAGCACCGAATATTAAATTAGAAATTGTTGTAATTTTAAATTATATCGTATAAAGTTCTATTATATATGAAAATTACTCTTTAACCATTTGTATATTCAATTGAGTGAAACCAAGTCCACGTTAAGTTGTTAATTAACATCACCAATTAATAAAATATAATCGCTAATTACACTCATTTTATAAATGCATTATTTGTGAGTGAGTGAGTTAGTTTAGCCCTTTATAATGTCCCACTGCTGGGGGTGGGCCTCCCTTTAATACTAGGGCAATTAGGCCATACTCCATAGTCCAACCACGCTGGTCAAGTGCAAGTTGGCAGACTTAACATGTCTTTCGAAACCTTGCTAGATTCTCTCAGACATGCAGGTTTCCATATGATTTTTCCCTTCACTATACGACAAGTGGTGATGTATTGGAAATGATTCGCACATAAAACTATAAGAGCTGCGAGACCCGGGTTTTAAACCTGCTTCACTCGGTTTCCTACGCAAGCGCGTTATCACTGAGCTACCGACTTATATTCGAGTAAATTGGTAATGGACATTTAATCCTTATATATAATTTTATGAATAATTTTTTTATCAAAGTTTGTTTTCTGCGAGCAACGTACTTTTTTGTATCGCTTAACTGCGGATAAATATAAATCTATATGGATAAATAAAATTGAAGTGTCTATTTGTAATGTCAAAATAACAGCGTTTTACTAAATGCATATGAAATTATATACGGTACTTATAAGAACAACTCAATTTTTTAAATTTTTGTCTGTCTGTCTGTTTGTTCATGATAATCTCTGAAACAGCTGGACTGATTTTGACGGGATTTTCATTGGAAGATAGCTGGTGTTATAGGGAGTAACATAGGCTACTTTTATTTTTTTTAAAGAATTAGAGTTCCGCTCAAAAAAATTAAAACGTACCTAGGGACGAACCCAAGCGAAGCGAGGGTGAGTCGCTAGTAGTATTATAAAATAACTTAAAGAACTCACCAATACAATACCTCGGGCCATCACCAAAAGGCGCGTACACTCCCGGCGGCGGCGATGTTTCCCAACGCGACGGGTCGAAAGATGAAGCATTTGGAAAGTACTAGAATATACATAATGATTTATTTTTATATCTAGAACATTTTAGAACTTACATAATACATATTAGTCTATAAGAGAAAAACAATGTTTTTTGTATGTTTGTTTGCAATGAATATACTAAAAATCCGCTGAACCGAAGATGAAATTTGGTATCAAAATAGTTTGAGACCCTGGGAAAGACATAGGATAGTTTTTATCCAGGAAATCATTCCTTAAAGAGTTGAAAAGCTTGTATGGGAAACAATCATTTCTCAAGTAAGTTAAAAAAAAACTTATCATATAAATTAATTTATAATATTTTATATATACAAATATATAGCCCTATCTCTTTCATACTAACCGCTAACTAAACAAGAAAATTTAAAATAGCTTTTTAACCGACTTCCAAAAAAAACGAGGTTCTCAATTCGTCGGAATCTTTATTTACGTTCACCGAGTTCGATTACTCGAAAACGACTGAACCGATTTGCAAAATTTTTGTTTTTGTTTCAAAGGGTATACTTCCCAGGTGGTCCCATATAATTTTTATCGAAATCGGTTCTGCGGTTTTTAAAAAAATCAACAATAAATCTTTTTTTTAAATAAATTGTTTAATCGAATATGTTATTAAAAAACTTTGTTTATTACGTCTGCACTAAAAATGGAAAAATTTAAACTGAAAAAAAGTTTCTATTATATTCACCTGATCATCTCTATGAAGGCCGAGTGTAGGAAATACTACTATAGTATTTTTTTCCACTACAACATTAGTTCTTGGTATTTGGTAATCTGTGGTGCAAATACGTTGAATGGTGGGGAAAGGAGGGTAGAGCCTTAAGGTTTCTGAAAAAGAACATAAAACCTTAAATTCCTTAAAACTATACATATAATAAAATTGTAACGGAGTCGAATCTGTACATTAAATATTTTTTGGGAAATCTAATTGAAATAGACATTATTATCGATATAGAGTCCGAATCTATAGTTTTTAGAATTTCTGTCTGTCTGTCTGTCTGTTACCGAATCACGAGCAAACCACTGGACAGATTTTGATGAAATTTGGTATGATGATAGCTGGTTATCCGGGTCAACATATAGGATACTTTTTACCACAGCAAAATATCTCATTTTTGAGAAAAAATACAAAAACTGCATTGTAAGAGTACACTAATATGTAAAACCTAAGAATTAGGTTTTAGTCATCTGAACGCGGGCGGAGCCGCGGGCAATGCTAGTACAGGTACATTATATTAATTCAAAGTAAATATTGTTCATTTTTGTAAAAATATTATCACTTTTAAAACGTAGTTAATGGGGCAAGGTGTACGCATTTATAACAAAATTCCACAATCGATATTGAGCTTGCCATTTAAATAATTTCAGCATTTTTATTTTTTTTTATTACATGACTTGTGCAGTAATAATTGAGTGTACATTTGTTTTGTATATATAATTAAGTATATTTGTAATTTTCTTTGTTGTAAATAAAGTTTTCTTACAGTACACTAATCCATTTAAGTGTAAAATTAAAAATATAATATTATTGAATAAAGCTTAGCTATGTATGCAGAACTGCTTTTCGAGCCGGTGGTAGATTCTCCACGGACTTACATAATGACTTTTAAATTATGATTTAAAAATGTAAAAAATTACAATTAAAAAGTGCTTGTAAAAGACTATTTGACCAAAGTATATTTTGATTTAATTTATATTTGACGACACTACTTAGTTTTGCATCAAAGATTAATAAGGTTCGAACTTAGGACTCTTAACTATGAAAGCAAAGCAAAATAAGGTTTTACCGTACTATAAGTATCAAATATATACCAGCTAAAACAATTTGCGAACATTACATCGCGTAATCTCATTCGCCGCATGGCTCTAACAATTTATAATACCCGAGACATATTTCAAAGCTTCTAATATCGTTGGAAAGTTTGGAAATAATGGCTGAAACCTTAAAAGATAAATAGAAATCTGGGCTTTAAACATGGAAGCATTTATTCTTTACTAGCGACTCACCCTTGCTTCGCTCGAATGCGTCCCTAAGTACGTTTTAATTTTCTTGAGCCGAAGCATAATTGTTATTCTATAATAAAAGTAGCCTAAGTTACTTCTTATAACATCAGCTATCTTCCAGTGAAAGCCACTTCAAAATCAGTCCAGTCGTTTCTGGGATTATCCGGAACCAACAGACAGACATTTTTAAAAATGGTGTTTTTCTTATAAGTACCGTACATAATTTCATATGCATTTAGTAAAACGTTGTAATTTTGACATTACAAACAGACATTTCAATTTTATTTATCATTCAAAGTGGTATTTCTAACCTTTTCTATACATTATTTTAATACGAGTAGCTCAATATGGTCGTACACTTGTAAAGTATGAATGATTCTCTGAAACGTGTTACGACAAGTTATTATAGGGTCAGATTTATAAGTGCGAGGCCCCGAACCAATACGAATTTTGCAAATGTAATACTTAGAAATTTCTGTTACGGTGTTTCTGACATGCTGGGGCCTCGAGGTCTGCTACACTAAATCCGGTCCATTTTTATTACATAACTCAGAATAAGCCAGATAAATCAAAATACCGTCAAAGGTGATGTACCAATAAAATAAATATTAGGCGAAATATCATATCAATAGTGCACGATTATGCTGACCTTGGAAGGTCAAACATACTTTCGTATATGTAATATTAGAAAGACTAAGTTTAACTGCCTCGGTGGTGTAGTGGCTAGCATGTACGGCTGCACACCCGGAGGTCCTGGGTTCGAGTCCCGGGTCGGGCCAAGTTTAGTTATTGAGTCTTCCTGTATAGTAAGTCTCAGTAACAACCCGGAGTTGGGAAGTTGGCGGTGTTTCACCCCCGTGCCTCGGAGAGCACGTAAAGCCGTCGGTCCTGCGCCTTAACTCTCACTGGTCGTGTCGAGTGGTCGTCCCACCGGAGTATGAGAGTAATAGGAATAGAGAGTGCACGTTGTATCTGCGCGTACACTTGTGCATTATAATATCTCCTGCGCAGTTGGCTAGACTCAATGACATTGGCCGCCGTGGCCGGAATCGGTCAGGAGAACATCATCATTAGTAAGAGGTTTTATTTTCATACTCGGAGGTACATAGGGGATATATTCAATTGAAAAAGGACATTTTATCATGTATTTAAGATAAAAGTAGTACTTTAAAATCGATTTGAAGAATCACCATATTATATATAACAGAGGGCCTTGTATTGTATTGAACCTTTTTTATCATCCCATTGCTGGGCACGAACTTCTTTTCAATACTCGGGGATCAGGCTATAATCCGCCACGTTGGCCAAGTACAGGCGGACTGAACAGTGACCATGTCTTTCGAAAACTTGCTTGGTTCACTCGGACATGCAAGTTTCCTCACGACGTTTTCCTTCACCGTAAGGCAAGTGGTAAGCATGTTGAAATTATTTGCACATGAAAATATCAGAGGTGCGAGTACGCGGGATTTGAACCCCAATACCCCTGTGTTGGGAACCTTCAGATTCACGTTACGTGTTATCACTGGACTACCACTGCCTATTTGCTTTGTAATGTCTTAACAGAATAAAATTACTATAAATGTAACAAATGCTAAATGTTACTCAGGACAAATATTCAAATAAAACTTTAGCGATAGTAACAGAGAGATCTAAAACTTTGTAACTTTTACAAAGTTCCCTGAAGTTTTAGCTCTTGACCTATTGGAAATCTTGTGTGTTACTAAAAGTTACTTTGTCAATCCAAAATATCTCTTATTACAGTTCAAATTATGTCAAATATTTGGTAAAGACACTTATCAAGAACTATACTGAATCAAATATGTAAGAACAGAATTAAACTTTTGAGCAGAATTGTACCAAATACGCCATCTATATCCAAAGGTAGAAAAAAAATTACGAATACAAGAGCTTCCTTTAGAATAGTGATTCATTTCTTTTTAACTGCAATACGTCACCTATAATTAAGATGCAATTAAAAAACTAAAACGTATTTATATCATTCTGTATAATATGTATGTGTCATAGATATTTAGGGTTCCGTAGTCAAAAAGCAAAATAAAAGCTTTATAATTTCATTATTTCCTTCCATCTGTTGGTGTATCCGCAATCCGTATGTCACAGCCATTACAAATATTATACAATTACAATATATATATATATATATATATATATATATATATATATATATATATATATATATATATAACTAAATATACTATTTGGTAGTTAGCACTAAAATATAGGCGTGACTCTTCTAAGTGACTTTGTTATTCAACCGAATAGTTAACTAATTACATGTTTCTAAAGTTATAAACGTTGTGTCCAACAAAGAGTGCTAGGATTAATGGGTGTATTAAAAAAGGTAAGACAAGAAAAAATAATGTTGTTTGGATTTTCGATCCATGTACCTATATAAAAATAGATATTGCATAAACAATGCCTCTAACATAAGATGGAATAACTGCTGGCTTTTGCATTGACATCGAAACTAAATTTTAGGCGTTACATTGCAATTAGTAATTGACTTACTTGCTCTCTCTCTTTCTCTCTCTCTCTCTCTCTTTCTCTTTTTCTCTCTCCTCTCGCCCTCTTGCTCTCTCTCCCAAGCTTTCGCATTTATTTGTATAACAATGTGATAGGTTACTTACCTCGTATCACCATATCCATATAGTTCAAGTCCTGCAACATTTCTGAAGTCATCTTCCCATCATGTTTGGTATACACTTGCTGTATTTCTTCTCTCACTTTCTCTTGAATGTCTTGATGTGCGGCCAATTCCAGGAAAAGAAACGCTAGTGTCGACGATGTAGTTTCATACCCACCCAGAAATATTATGAAAGCATTTGCTGCTATTACCATTTCCGCTGTAAATAAAAAAATCGGTATAGGTATTTTTTTTCTATTTCTATTTTTTTGTCTATGGACGCCTTGCCCTAATAACACAATGATGTGTTATCAGCCTTATCCAACTTGTTCTCTTCTTTTTAGTTAGCTTTTTATTGTTAGTACCTACATATATTAATTCGTCTTTCTTTACGCAAAGAAGCTTTCTTTTTTAAAAGAGATAGTTTATGAGATTTGATTATATATTATTATTTTTTATCCCAATACATCAAGACTCAGACTCATAAAGTATTAATATACCTACAGTAGAACCTCTTTACGTCGAACCTCTATAAGTCAAACCTTGATAAAGGGAAAACCTTCCAAACTCGAAAAAATGATCCCTTCCCTTGAAGCCCCAAAACCTCCATAACTCGAAATCTGATTCCTCTTTAAGTCGAAATGATTAGTGAGTACCTACAAGTAAATTTAGTACATATTTTCCCTTTATAACTCGAAAAAATAAATTTGACCTCTGCATCTCGAACATCGAACTCTATAACTCGAATTAATTCGCGTCTCCCTTCGAGTTCGACTTACAAAAGTTCAACTGTATATACGAAACTAATAAATAAAAAGAAAATTGGAAGCAGTGTATTAAAAGCTGAAGCTTATCTTGATAGAAACATGTAAGTTAGCCCGCGGCTCGATACTCGTACAAGAGCTTAACGCGTCGCATTCGCTTGGGGCTTTGCCGGAGCCACTTAGACAAATGGAGTGAGAAATGTATTTAAAATACAACTAAAGTTTGTTATAACGACATCGAAGGGACTACATACTCGTATATTTGGCCGTGAAAACCGATAATCATAACAACTGGTGATGCTTGAATGTATAGAGTACATATAAATCCGTAGGTATTCATCTGTACATATAATAAAATTGTGACGAGTCGAATCTGTACATTACTCGTAAATATTTTTTTGGAAAATCTTATAGAAATAGTCATTATTATCGATACAGAGGCCAAGTCTATAGTTTTTTTTTAGTTTTATAAAATAATACTATATTTTATATTTCACATAAAACGTGTAATATGAAAGAAAATTAAAAAATTTCTGTATTCATAAAATCTTTAATTTTAGTCTGTTTGGAACAACGTCTGTTCTGGCAAGCGTACGAATTTTCTAGTTCACGCTTGATTTTAATTAGTAAGGCATAACTTCCCTATATGTGAAATTGCTCATTAAAAATAACAATCTTTCGTAATACTCTAACAGCATTGAGACCATCATTCAAAGTCGGCTCTAAATTGGCTTGATGGTATTAAAGGGAGGCCTGTGCCTAGCAGTGGGACGTTAGAAACGGCTGAATTATGAATACATACTTATTCGAATAAGTAACAAACTGACTGAAGAGATATGAGAAAGTGGGCTTAGATTATACTGCATGCACGTGTATTTTAAACCGTCTTTTTTCAAAAAAGAGGAGGTTCTCCGTTCTCGATTAGTTTTCATGTACTATAGATACCTAATTAAATATTTTCGAAGTCGGTGCCAGTCGATATACAAAGCAGACCGACTTCAAAAATATCTAATTAGGTATCTAAACTAACTTTTGAGATTTTTTTTGAAGTCGGTTTTTTTAAGTTTTTATGTTTTTTATCAATACAAAAGACCCTAAACTCGACACGTTTTTGTGTACTTTTGCGAGCTTAATAACCATTGACTATTATACTATGCCACATGTGGATACTGTTACGAGTTACCTATTGTAATGGGACCCAAAAGTCAAAATAAATCCGAAAAGATAGTTTTATTTAAAATTTTATAATTATTAGTTATTTATATTAAAAAAATATTCGTGTTTTTTATAAGGCGGTCATATAGCATTCAGCCGGGACCTATGATTTTGGTCAATATAACTGATATGTTGTTCTAAACGATGTCCTCGTCAACGGTTTTAACTGTATATACATATATATATATATATATATATATATATATATATAAACTTGTCTGTACGTTTCAAAAATATTGCGTATTGGATATTTTATTTATAACTCTTTTTTTTTTAAGTCAAAATTTTAAATTATTCCACTTTTAAGGAGAGGAAACTACTTCAGATGTAGGTCTGTGCACCAAATTTAAGCTACAAACACTTTTAAATACTTTTAGATTAAATCTTTTTAACATGACCAAATATAGAGTTAAAATGTAGTACATAAAAATAATATTTGAAACGATTGTGATCTGTTAATGGTACGTATGAATAGCGGGAAGCCCGCGGCCATCCCGATTACATTCGTGGTCACATTACTTAGTGGAATTGCATTTTATATACACATAACATACTTTAAAGCTATCAATTTAGATAAAATATGTTTATAAAGAAATAGCTGTATTTATTGAAAGCACGCTTACTTTGAAATTACACAGTGAAGTGGGTTCAAATCCCAAGTCTTTCACCCCAGATATTCTAAATGCGAATCTTATTTTCATGTAAATTGTAACTTACTTATAAATCAGAAAAAAAATTGTATATGAATTATTTATTGTACGGTTGTTGTCTTTCCGTTAGTAGAATGTAATCTTTAAGCTCGCAGCCGGGGCCGAAAAAATTCAAAAAGAAATCCTTTCCATTCAGGCCAAGACCATGTTTAACATCATCATTATATAGTGATATTATTGTAATTTTATTTATATTTTAATTTATGGAAATTTAAAATTGTGAATTAAATTAACGCATACAGCATGCACTTTAAAAGGTAATGCATTTAGGATTAAGTTAAATTCTGTAATGAATTTAAAAATGTTTCAATGTAATTATCACTAGTGGATCCAAATAATTAAAAAAAACATCCCGCTGCTGGGAACGGGCCTCCATTTAGTGCGGTCAGGACATCCGCCACCACGCTGGCCCAGTGCGGGCCAGACTTAAAATGTCTTTCGAAAACTTGCCAAGTTCTCTAAAACATGCAAGCTTCCACGTGACCTTTTACCTTCACCGTAAGACAAGTCACAAGTAGTAATCAGTTTAAAATGAGTCTCACATGAAAATAGAGGTGCGAGGCCCAGGATTTGAACCCACTCACTCGGTTACGCAAGCGCGCGTTACCACTGGGCTACCAGTGCCTACAACTATACATGGATAAAATTCTAGAACCAGTAAAACTATACAAATAAGTTTTAAGCATGCATCCAGTAGTAACTTCCCGAAGAAGTATTAGTTCTAATCAGAGGCTTTTCAGTCCCATAAGTCCTAAAATCTTGACCAATAATATAATAATGTATAGTTTTCCACTTTTTATTTATTATTACTTACTGATCTTAACGTCATTTTCTTTATCTTCAATGGCATTATTATTTCTATCTTCGCTTTGTAAAGCAACCATCATGTCTATGAAATCACCACGTTTCTCTCGGACACCTGAAATACAATTTAAAAGGCTTATTAATTAGTATCCTTTAGTACTTATTCTCGCCAGTATTAAATAATACCGTACGAATAATTCTATAATCAATGTTTTAATATTAATAGTAATCTCCCAATCGGTATTATTTTTTCCGAAATCTTCAACAATCATCGTTATATTTCAGCCAATTTATACAAAACCTTAATGAATTATACACCTAAACCATATAAAAATCTTTGTCTGTTTGATTGTGTTCAATTCACGCAAAAAGAATCAACTTTAACGGTGTAGAGATAATTTATTACTCGAGTCACGAGATTTACTACAGGAAAATCTTTCATTCCCACGGGAAAACACAATAACTGGATCTATCAAGTCGTTCTTTATTTACATCGTTTATGCTGACTAAACAAAACAATGTACAATTGTAGGCCTCTAAAAGGCCTAAAGAAAAATTGGCAATAGCATATGCCTATCTCTTTAGTGACACTCGCAATAACTATTTTTATCTATTTAAAACAGAGCAAAGCAAGGGTAAGTCGGTAGTAATAAATAAATAAGTCAGGACATTAACACACAGCACCATCTAGTTCCATGGTAAGCTACGAGGCCTTGTGTTATGGATACCAGACGGTTGATACACTACTACTTTAAATACATACATATTATAAATACATATAAACACCCATGACTGGAGTACAAACATTCGTGTTCATCACACAAATGTATGTCCCCAGCGGGATTCGAACCCGTGACTCACTACAAACTGAGCCAAACGTGTCGTCAAATATAATAAAATAAAATATTAATAAAGTTTTTTTTAATTTTTAACCTTTTCACATTTCAAGTACTTGTAATTGTATTTTCAACAACAGTATAAATAGTTTGACTCGGTTATTTCAGATCTAATACAGTACATTGGAAACTAAGGCAGAAACTAAATTGGTCGACCAACGATCCAATATAATGAGTTATTCAAATACGCCAAGCAATCTAGAGACTATTTTATTTCATTTGTTAATTTCTACAATTCGTAATTATACTTAAAAAAATTAAGTATTATTAAAGACTAGCTGATTCTCGTGGGTTTGTACCTGAATAAAAATTATATTATTTTCTATAGATATAATAAAAAAGTAACTAAGCCGAATCTGTACATTAAATATTTTATTGGAAAATCTTATTGAAATAGACGTTATTATCGATACAGAGACCGAATCTATAGTTTTTAGAATTTATGTCTGTCTGTCCGTTTGTCTGTCTGTGACCGCATCACGGAAAAGCCACCGGAGGGATTTTGATGAAATTTGGTATGATACATCACTTATTTTATGGGAATATTATATAAATTAAATTGTATATAAATTGAATCAGAAATTATATGATACTTACACCATACTTTTTACTACGGAAAATATCTCATCTCTGAGAAATCTATACTAAGCGTAAAACGTAAGAACTGACGAACTTGAGCGGAGCGAGGGCGAGTCGCTAGTTAATACATATTTTTTTTATGTTTTTAGATAGCGCCACCGGTTAATAGATTTAGAACTAAAGTATTCTTAACATAACACTAAGTAAAAGCATTATCCCATGGTAATCTATTACCGAGTTTTACACTACTCAGAGCTATGGTATGTGTTAGCTAAGTTTCGTCATAATCTGCTTAAAGGTTTACTTGCGGTTGAGTGACCGTTGGTTAATAAACAATCCTAACTTCTAGACATATTTAAAAACTCAGTACAAACAAATTTAGTAAATAAATAGCATGACAAGTGTTCGAAGATTAAATGTGTAAAAGTACTCGAAGTTATGACTGTACGTTAACGAGACCTTCGCTAAAATGATTTTTACAATCTTACTACTTTGTAAATGCGAAAGTTTGAATGGATGTATGTTTGTTACTCAATCACGCTAGAACGGCTAAGCGGATCTGGATAACATTTGGTATAGTGATAGAGTATAGTTTGGAATAGCGCATAGGCTATAAATGTATATTTTTATCCTGGAAAAATGTTTCCCGTGGTATAGATTCATTTTTTGCTTTTAACTAGGGATGGAAAAGAACGAAGCGAGGGTGAGCCGCTAGTATAAGATATATCTTATGAATCGAATCTGTATTTTAAAGATAGTTTTAACTTCACAGATAAATTGGCAGTACAATGACCATACCAAACCCATTAGAGCATTTTTAATTTTTTTATAATTTTTCCTAAGCAAAACAAAGGAAATTTGCCAATTATCATAGTTTTTAAAATATAGTATCATCGCTATACAAAATATTTTTCATTGCGCATAAAATACCTCTTTAGTCCTCCATGAAAACAAAAATTTTATATGGAAAATACTCAAAACATTACGATATTTAAGTAACAAATAAAAGTATTAAAAGCAATAAATAGTATACATTTCATACACAATGCAGTTTCCCACAAAATAAGGCTACGTTCACACTATGTGTTTGCCGCGCGATGATAAAGCGTTGCAGTATAATAACATAACATTTTCAATTGTATTTCGCGCAGTTATCGGCAGTCATTTTCTAATTACATCGTTACATAGAATAGTTTTTACGTTATAATATTTATTATTTACATTTTTGGAAAAACGAACACTACATTGAGTTATGATGTGATAATCTGGTGGAATATTTTATTTTATATTTCTGTGTTTTTGTAATTGAGAGAAGACAACAAGTTTATTCTTATAATAATATATTCAGTTCTTTTTAACGTCACACTGCTGGGCATAGGCTTCCCGATTCAATGGGGATCAGGCCACCACGCTGGCTAAGTGTGAGTAGGTGGAATTCACATGTCTTTCGAACAAATTGCTATGTTCTCTTAGACATTTAGATTTCTCTACGAAGTTTTCCTTCAACATAAGACAAGTGGTAATCATGCTGAAAATGATTCGCACGTGAAAATATCAGATATTTGAAAACGTTTCACTTGGTTTCCCCAGCGAGCGCTACCACTGCCTGTTCATACAATAATACAGTAATAGAAACATTAAACGGAGATACTAAAGCCATTATAAAACTAATACCGCACATAAAAATCGCACATCATTTTTTTTACCGCGCGGATAAAACTCGAAGTGCGCGCCTAGCCTAATACTCGGATAGTACGAAACAAGGCGGAGGCTTGATTGCAAAATGTAATTGTGTTACTCAATTATCCACTCGCAGCAGACCAATTCACTATCTTACTTTGTTTCGAATCGACTATAATGTGGGTAAGGAAGTTGTTATAATTCACTTGTGAGGAAGTTCTAAACCTAGGTTTGCGATGCCTTATAGCAATATTGTACTAAAGAGGTTTTGTATCACAATATTTATTAGGTACTGGCAATATAGATAGTATTGCTTAAATAATATTTATAGATGAAAAAATTCATGACATGATTTTTGAAGTCATGTAAATACTAATCTAGATAAACTAAGTGTTAATAAATGTTATTATAACCTTCATCAGGACATTTTAAATCCTTTACGTATTGCTACTAGTACTACTCACTTTACTAACATATAACTAGCATTAACTTTTGCCAGTAAGTATTAAATAATCTTTAAAATTATGTCGACTTTTATATCCGTTCGAAACTTCGCTTGCATAAAACTCGAAGGTGAGTATGAAACTTTAAATCCGTTTTCCGTTGAATAAGGAAATCCCATTTTAATGACAAATCGTAAAGGCATTTTCTTTCATTTGTTTCAGGTCGGATAAGATAGTATCAACCCCGATGTGTGTTCAACTTGTCTTGTTCGAGGGTTTCTCATTGGCGTGCAGCGATCCAGCAGGACTTGAAGGCAAAAGACACAACGCGCGTTGCTCCTGGTACTTCTCTGATAACAGAGTGGACTGTGGAAGCAGCCCCTTAGTTGTATGGTCTGCTTCGGCAGACAGCCGTCGGGACGCCATGGTTGAGTGCAAAAGCGATCCTACGGCGTCCCACTAAAAGTGAGGTGGTTCCGTTGGGCTTAATTGGTTAGTATTGGCTTTTCTATCCGATTAGTCCTACTTAACCACCTGTTTGTATGCAGGTAGATCACATATATGTAGTATGATATATTTTGTTAACACAAGTGGTTGTGAAGGTTTAATATTCGAACCTTAATGATAATCGATCGCCATCTAAAATTAAATCAAAATTAATCAAACAAATGAAATAAAGTGAACGCACTTAATTTCGACCGTTACATTCAGTTTCGCAGAACAATTTATTTTTTCACTTCGTTATCGATAGTTGATAGTTCCGAATCAGAAAGAAGAAATGTATTAATATTAATATTGTTAGTTTTTCTAAGAAGTTCTAACCAAATAAATCTACTATTTCCTGTTGATGTAATGCTAGCATTATGCCGCGGCTCTGCATGCGTATTCATGTACATATGTACATACATATGTCATTTTCTCCAATCCTGAGGGTTGTAGTATGATGTTCTTCCATAAAGAGGCTTTAAAATGCATAAATATTTTTTTTTAAATTGTTTAAGTGAGCAAAAATCAAAATCTTCATCTTTATATATTACTGTAGATAACTAAATTGGCTGACCTGGCAAACGTTGACTTTTGCCTGTCGCGAAATAAAAAAAAGGTGCACATTTTTGCGATTTTATTCTTTGGCATTCATTCAACATTAAATTGAAAATAAAATGAAATTATTGTGAAGATTTAACTCGTAGATATTTTATTTATTTAAAAATGTTTCATTAGTATGAGTTTAATTGTGAAACCTAAAAGTGTAGCATTCAGTATTTATTGCCTGTGGGGGGAACAGTTCGGACGTGACTAGATTCAGACGTAGACCTGAACAGGATTTAAACCATGTATTACTTCCAAACATACAGTTTAGACTCTGATATTTTCATGGGCGAATCATTTCTAACATGGTTACCACTTGCCTTACGGTGAAGGAAAACATCGTGAGGAAACCTGCATGTCTGAGAGAACTTAGCAAGTTTTCGAATGACATGTGAAGTCCACCAACCCGCACTTGGCCAGCGTGGTGGACTATGGCCTGATCCCTCTCGTATTGAAGGGAGGCCTGAGCCCAGCAGTGGGACGATAAAAAGGGCTGAATACAATACAGATGAGACGCTCCATCTTTGACCAAAGTGCTGGACAATTACAACTGTGTTTTAGCGGACATCGAACTCGTAACCTATAAATGTAGACTACATGGCCACGCACAGCGTTAGCTTTGATGTTCCACGCGAATAAGTCTTGTACAGTAATAATTAAGTGTACATTTGTTTTGTATATATATATATAATTAATATTTGTAATTTCCTTTAAAAATCATACAAAGATAGCCGCGAAATCATAACCCTTTCCTTGCAGTCGGGTAAAAAGCTCTGACGTCGTTAGCTATTATTTTTTAATATTTAATATTCATACTCATTTATATCTAGTGTTTGAATTTTTATTAAATTTTCATTTCTTAAACAGAATATTGTATGAAAGGAGTAAATTAAAGAACTTTCAGTAAATCCTATTACACAGTTGTAACGGCTTTAAATACAGAACTTTACAGAATTTTTGTTCAATTGTATTTTATTCAGAGCTTTGCTATAAGCTATAAACGGTTAGTTTTCTGATTTTCGCTCTTTTTCTGTTAGATATTAACAGAAATTTGGTAAGAAGATAGTTTGAGACCCTGGGAAAGACAGGCTACTTTTTAACCCGGAAATCAACCATTAAAGGGGTGAAAATGGGGATGAAAGTTTGTATGGGGAATCAAACTTGGGATGAACACGAGCGAAGCGAGGGTCAGTCGCTGGTATTACATATTCGCGATAAGTATTTAGATCAGTGGTAAAGAGCAATTGGAGAACGACTGTAATTTGGTAATAGAAGACATTTAACCAGTGAAAGTTCATCACAAAGATCGTCATCATCATAATGTTAGATGACCAGAAAAATGGGTGCGTGTAACCTTTACACGCGGTTAAATTAATAATTATATAAGGCAAATTAGGCATATTACAATCATATATTTATAGAATATCATATATGGAAAGCATATAATATTATATATTTGTCAGAAAATAACAACGGTTACAGTGGCAATGTATTCTATCTCATTCTCTCGCCGGCTTAATTCTATATATTTTTGTGTTTGTCTCTTTTTAGTGTCGCATTTCCGTTTCAACGAGTTTCAAAAGTGGCAGTTTTACAATTTACCGTTGGTAATATCAACGGTGAATTTCAATGATTATTACACACAAGTATCTACCTGCAGATTGGAACTAGTTTGCAAGGTCAGAACAAACATTATCAAAATTAAAGGAGATAAGTAATTTCAATCATTATTTTTATTATCAAAATTAAAATATAATTATATATTTGTACGGAAAACGATTTTACCGTCCGGCAAAACTTTAAATTCCAACTACTTCACTTAATTAGCTTAAACTCTTGAAAATTTTATTTACTTTGAGCAAAATGCTCCTTTTTTTTATAGAATAACAATCTGGAGTAAGATAAATAAATTACGAAAATCTAAAATAACTTAGATAACAAAAAACCGTATTATAAAAACTGTCTCAGATTTCCCGAGCGATTTATTATGCAAATTGATTGCATAAAAATATTAAACTGATTTCATATCATTTCATTCATTATTATATAACAAAAAATATCTCCTTTATAATTATTACATTCGTGTTTGATGGTTATTTGGGATATTATAGAAGCCTTATAAAACAGGTTTTTTTTCTGTGTATTTTGTTAAGAATTTTATATAAACGACAACAGCAAAAGCGATTTCTAAAGCCTTTTCTAAATTTTCTTTCAATCGGCTGAGTTCCGGATAGATCAAAAGACTTGATCTACCATGCGCATTGCCATAGAATGTATTGTTAAAGAAAATATATACGTATAATGTAACCTATTTTTTTAATGTTGGGAAATTCATTTACGCATACCACCTGTATACATGCAGGTGGTTATATGGGACTAGTCGGCAAGAAAAACCAGTACTAACCACTAAAACCCAACAAAACCTTCCTCCGTCTTAATGGGGCGTCGCAGGATCGCTTACGCATTCAACTACGACGCCCCGACGGCAGGTCTGCCGAAGCAGACCAACACAACCATGGGGTTGCTCCAAGGTCCACTCTGCTATCAGAGAAGTACCAGTAGGAGGAGCAACCCGCGCGGTGCGCCGCCCACCGGTGGGCCACCTCCCAATGCGTTTCTTGGCTTCGCGCCCGGCTAGATTGCCGGACGCTAATGTGCCTCCCCCACATACTTATTGATAACTAATATTTTTATTTAATGCTAGTTTATTTTTTAGCCTGTATTCGCTTGATATAAAAGTTATTAATATCAACTACAAAGACATACCCGCGGTTTCGCAATTAAAGTCCTTCTAAAGTATATTTGAAAGAAATGTATATTTTGAGTTTTTTAAACTCGAAACTCACCATTCTCCCTATCCTTAATGACGTTAGACACGATGTTGTAAAAAAAATCATGGGTTTTCTTTGGAATTATTCTCATTTTAAAAAATAATACGAAAGCTGGCCATAAGTGTCGCATTGTTCTGAAATTACAAAAATAAAAAAATATAAATACACATAGCTTTTTAATATGTTAAATATTTATATGTTTTAGAATATAACTTTAGAATATAGTAGGTACAATCTACACCTGCACAATGCAAACCGGACTAAACGTTTGAGAGATTAGAGGATACTATCTAATATAGGGGTTTTAAGGTTCCATAGCTGAACGCAAAAACAGAACTCATCAGTCAGCCTATCACGGTTATTTTGAATGGAAATTTGGACAGTAGGTGACTGTGTAAACCGCTTTAGAGATTTAGCTTTAGTCAAGTTATGAAAAATATATAATAGCCGGTATTTACACATACATATATCGTTTAGAAACAGCCATCTCATAGTATATATATAATTTGAATGCACATTAGGGTGTGAGTTCTGTTTAAAAAGACCTTTTACTATGAGATGGCTGTTTCTAAACGATTTCTATATTTAATTCAATAGATGCTGTATAGCATATTATAGCTTCTAAAGTCGTAAATAATATGGATGAAAAAAGTTTTAATGATCATCCATACTAATATTATAAAGAGGTAGAGTTTGTTTGTTTGAACACGCTAGTCTAAGGAACTACTAGTCCGATTTGAAAAAATCTTATTACATTAGATAGCCCGTTTACTGAGGAAGGCTACATATAGGCTATATATCATCATGCTAACCCATGGGAGTCGAGCAGCATTCATAAATGTCAACAAATCGGGCAGATTTACATACATTATTGTAAAACTATACATATATTATATAAACACATATACATACATATCGATGTATACCATAAAGCTAAAGAGTTTTTTTTGTAGATTGAACGCGGACGAAGCCGAGTGTTCTGCTAGTATACAAAATCAATATAATATCATACGTACTTTTCAAATATATTAGAGAAGGACAATTCGTAGAATGCTCCCAAAGCGACCGCAAAGGCGTCGTCACTGTTGTCCATTACATTGCTCTTAACACCGAAGGCACAAGGTACTATCGCATCCGCCGTATACCCGCCTACGAGTTCATCAGAATCTACTACTATTGCATTATCCAAATTATTATTCACTTCTATACGTTTATTTAGAATTTTATAACTATTCACTTTTTTATTAGATTTTTTTTCAATGTTTTTAACAAGAGAAAACAGTTTTTGGATGTGGGAGACGAACTTGTTCGCGGTGTTCTCTATCAATGGTAGCATTCCTTTTAATTTGATTGGTCTGTAAAGAAAAGAAATTATTTTGAATATCTCATTAGTTAAGTAGATACTGTTTTTTGAATTATAGTCTAGCCTACAAGTGCTTTTTGGGTCAAATTTTTTTCTCTGCCTCCGAAAAATATGAACCAAGTGTCATTCAAAATTAAAATAAGCAAATATTGTAAGGTACTTTGGTGCCATTTTTCAATTTATGAATTCAGTTTGTTATTTTGTGGGTAAGCTGTCTGTAACAACTATATAATTCTTTTGAGACATCTAATCCCTTCGTCTCTTTCATGACCGTGATTGCTAGAAAGCATTCGAAACCTCGGAAAACAAAAATCAATATAAATCTATAATCTATGCCTTCAAGCTAAGGTGAAGGTCAAGAGTAAGCCCATTTTTTAATAAAAATATTAAAATCAACGAAAAAATCCGAAAAGATAGTTTTATTTAAAAAATTTCAGTTCACTCGTAATTGGATACAACTGAGAATCGAACCTACATTAAGCTTTGTAAATGTAATTCTAAATTATAAGAATACGTACATACTACATAATATGTATGTACATATGTAAATATTTAATTACATAAGTTATGATATAATGCGAATAGGAAGTTGTAAATTAATATTTCCTATATTTACATATGGCTATATATATACTTAGCCTTTATAATTCAGTATGATGTTCAATTATGTTTTTAATGACTTTACTAAATATGTTATTAAAGTAAGTAATTAAAAGTAAAAAATAACATAAAATAAATTCTATACATATTGCAAATTTTTATATTAAATTTTAAAATACAAAACAAACCTTTGTGAAAATCTAAAAACATTCAATACACAGGAAAAATACTCACGAGAATATCGGCGATATTTTCGCCCTCAGTCGTTTCCATTCATTTCCTCGCAAATACAACACTGACTCCGCCAGAGGGTCTAGGTCCTTATCAAAGAAGAAACCTCTATCCGTAAAATACATAAAGTCGTTGACACACACTCGCTTTATGAGCTCAGGGTCGCAGATGACAAGTGTTCTGCGATAGAACTGATGTATACCTGAAATTGTTAATTTATCTCATAAAAAAAATATAGTTTTGTAGTTTCTGGCTTAACACAATGATCTGGCTGGAGATTGTGGGTTCGAAACTTGCTTAGAATAAATAATTTTGAATTATACCTATCTAGGTATATTATAAGTAATGCAAACGGTTATCAACTGACTTTAAAAAGGAGGTTTTGTTTTCGGCCCGTACGTATGTATGTTTGCATGTCCGCGATTTTCTCAAAAACTACTGATACAATTTGGATGGGGTTTTCGATATGTTTTACGTAACCAGTCGGGGTTCATAAAAACCTTCCTAGGTGGTTGCGAGAAAGAAGGTGTTGAAAGTCGTTGAATTAATCGCTTTATTATTGCTATGATTGTCATTGCTTATTCGCGAGTTCGATTACTATTTATATAAAAAGAATTAACAAAAGTATGGAATGACGTAAAGGACCTTACATATGAATTGAGGACGATATGGTATGATTTGCAGAAGCTCAGCAGTAGGATGAATATTAGTTCTTAGTATCAACAAAATAATATTAAAAAAAAACATGAATAACATTACAACATAGTATAACATTTTTAAATCCTAAATAAGCTTTAGGTAGACATATTTTCGCTACCTGAACAAGATTCTATTTAAGATTAGGAACGTATTATACCTGTAAAGCGGTCGCTTATAAAATTTTCACACTATTAAATCAAAAAGTGGTCTGATCTTGTTATGCTATTCAAAATATTTACTTTCTTTTTTAAGTAGCGACCCAACCAGGTACAATAATCTATACAGATAAATAAAATTCAAGTGTCTGTTTATAATGTCAAAATAGCAGCTTTTTACTAAACGTACGTGAAAGTATGTATATATGTATATATTATATAGGGTACTAATAAAGAGGAAACAATTTTTAAAATTTTTGGACGTATGTCTGTCTGTTTGCTTCGGCTAATCTCCGAAACGCCTGGACCGATTTTGACAAGACTTTCACTGGAAGATAGCTGATGTTATAAGAAGTCACTTAAGTTACTTTTATTTTTAGAAAAAGGTCAGGGTTCCGTGCAAAAAAATTAAAACCCCATGAAATTGTGAACAAATCGGCGTATATACCTAAGGACTCACCCGAGCAAAGCGAGGGTAAGTCGTAAATAATAAATAAGAAAGAAAAAAAGAAAGTTGGACGAACGCGATATAATTATTCGATTATGGTCGCGATAACAAATGTCCACTCAACAAATTACGATCGTGTATATCGGATACGAATCGTGTGGTACTTTGATGGTAATATAGCAGAAAGCTATAGGATAAAAAACAAACATAAAAAGATTTCAACATTATCGGACTAATGTATTGTCTATAGACATTACAAACTATATAATATATTACAAACAGACTTACGTAGATTTATTACTATGTACAATACATGTTTATAAAATTGCTGTTTGTTAAATGTTACTTGGTGTATGATGTAAGTGATAGTAAACATATTTATAATGAACTAAGTAAAAAATATATTTATATATACATATTATAAATGACATTCTGAGTCGAATAACATTAAATATTTTTTTGCGAAATCTTATTGTAATAGTCATTATTATCGATACAGAGGCCGAATCTATAGTTTTTAGAATTTATGTCTTTCTGTCTATCTGGGAACGCATCACGAGAAAACCACTCGACAGATTTAAATGAAATTTGATATGATGATAGCTGGTTATCTAGCTCAACATATAGGATACTTTTTACTGCGGGAAAATATCACATCTCTGAGAAATCTATACTAACAATATAAATGTATTAATTTTTACTTTTGTTCATTTCAGTATATATTAAATGTATGGTTCATTTACATATTTTCAATAATAATCTTAAACTAATTGCCAGATGCAATTTTCTTCCACTCTTGATTTAAAAAATATATTTCATACCAAGGTATAATTTTCTTAAATGGTTAATTAAACCTTTTTTAACCCGGATTTTAGATATTAACCTAAAATCCGGGTAAAAAAAAGTTTAATTAACAATTAAAGAAAATTATAATTAAGTAGATCTTTTTATAAATAAAAATTTTATATTATAATATTGTTTAGGTTAAACGTCTAATTATCACCTCTGTAATAGACCTTATTAATTACGTCTAATAGGCCTCGTTAAGAATAAATTTACATATTTTTAATAGAAAATACAAATAGGATATCCGACCTACTTATAGTCGTATGTATGAGATTACATAATAAGTTTCGGTGTTAAATTAATTATTTTAACTAGCACTTAAATAGTTACACGAAGACGTTTAAAATGTAAAACTAATATATTTAATTTATATCATTTGGATACTATTATTATTGACAATATTTAGTTTCTAATTGAAAATAAATAACATTTACAGAAAATTATAATATAAGTTACAAAAATAAAACAAATTTCATACCTAAGATCTTTTTATCCTTATATTTATCGTATATCTTCTGAAAACGTATCCCACTCTGTTCTTTACCAGCCACGACAGGTCCAATATGCCCAACAATGGGCATCGCCGAGGGAGAGAATACACCTCGATTCCTCCAATAATCATAATCGTACATAAGAACACATAATATTGCACTAACACATAATAAACAAGATATAATATACCGCAACACATCACTTCCAAATGTATAATATTGTAAAATCCACGCAAAGAAAATCACTGCTTGTATCAAATTATTCTTAAATCCCAACATTTTACAATTTCACATTATCTTTTAAAAAAAAAACATTTATATTCACGAATAAATGTCAACTATATAATTGTTTCAAAATGCGCGCGAACTCGTTACTTTTTTAATTTTTAACAATTTTCTTCTGTCTAAAGTCCCTTGTCTTTCAACTTAATAATTTTATTAAAACAATAATTAATTATGATAAATCTATGCACGAATTATTTAATGAAATATTTTTCATTATAACTTTTAAATATCATTCAATAATTAAATGTTTAAACCATAATGGCGGTAAAAGCGACCGAAACTCGCGCGTGCGCTGCCTAATGTGTTAACAAAACATGCGCAACACGATGCTGTAACAGTGAAAGTTACGAGATTGTCAGATGCCACACCGATACGATTTTTGGAGAACTAGTTCTTGATTCACATGAATGAAGCAACCAGTCATCCGGATCTGATCTGATCAAACTCCACTGACGTGTCGACCCTCGCACATTTTAAACCTTATTTAAGCAATTATAGTAACTTGTAATCCAAGGATAAAATAGTATGATTAACTAGCCCATCACCGCGTATAAATCTACAAGATTACATTGTACACTACTTGTTAAATAGTTTTTTAAGTTTTAAAATTTATATATAAGTTAGTTTTGAAGGTATATAATTTATGGGTCGCTGTTTACATATTTAAGATCTTTTTGTAAATATTGCCTGAAATAAATTATTAATTTAAAAAATTAAAATTAAATTGTACTTATTGTCCATATTCACACATTATTTATTTGCGTGATACGAAAATTGTTGTATTAATATTTTGAGTGGGCATAATTTTTGCCAAATATTGTATAAAATACGACCATGTATAACCAAATTTAATAGAATTTAAAAATAAATAAAAACTCATTAGCAAATATTAAAAATAATAATATGTACCTATTAGGTAGACATATTTTCTTTATGACGACAAATTCATAGGAAGAATGGTGTAATTTAATTTCATTTATTGTAAAAACTGAGGAAAACGGAACACTAAAAACGTTTCTTTTCTTCCTCGTTGTAGACGTGCCCATCTTTATTTGGTTTGTCTTAGTTTTCTACTATTTGACATATTAAATAACTTCCTGAATAACAATGTTCATAATAAATAATTAAAGGCTGTAATATTTTGTGCCTTGTGAATCTTGTGGTTGACTCATACGACGATAAATAATTATGTCATGAGTCGTCCCTATACAAAGAAGCATCCTATTCAGAAATTATCAATGGCAGCCCAAAGTGCTCAAGTTGATAGAGTTACGGCTTTCCTACTTCAATCTCCCGTCAAATCGAGAGCCATGTCGGAATACCGGCCATGGCCACACACCACTGTAATATCTCGCGTAAACAGCTTGTCTCAGTAAAGTCGACCACCTTGACCGTAAAATCGGTCAGAAGTGCACTATGTAATGTTTTCACAGATTACATTAGAGAAACTAAGAATATATAGCTTCGGGGTGAAAGAGACCAGGGGAATTTTATATTTGATTCAAAACACGAGCCTGTTCGTGTCATCTCTGTTCTTAACTTTCCATTCATATAAACATTTAGGAGAAATTTTTATTCAGTCATACCAAAATGTTTAGAGTCGAATCGATCACCGTAATATTTAAAGTCTGGCTCGTAAGCTACATAATATATTAAATAGCTTAGAGTTTTATGCAAAGCCCCCAACACGCAAACATTAACCTACATTAGTTGCCAAACGATATTTTTTGAAGCAGCTTAGCTGTTATATAACAATTTGCTCAATATTGATAAAATATTATTTTCTAAAATTTGTGTTTATACTAAGTATAATTCACCTGTAGACAATATTTTACCTATAAAATACTAAAAGAGGCCAAAACGAAATCTCAAAGCCACAAAACGAGTCTAATTTGACGTGATTAAAGAACGATCAAAGATGTTCCAAACCCAAAATATGTATATGTAAGGATGCTGTTTTACTTTGCGTAACCGAAAAAAGTCAAGTGCGTATGAGTTAAATCGCTTAGACGCACATTTTGCAAGATAGAAAATATTTAAGAATTTTAAATTACTACTGCGGAGTGCGGACGGCCAGATCATTGACGCGTGGCGTAACTAGTCAGTAGGTCACCGCTTTCAAGTTTAGCCGCCTTAATATGTGTCATTTGCAAATTAGCTTTTGTAAGAAACATACACATATAAACAAAATATAAACCTATTTATGACGTTTTTGTAGCTTAACAATGATCTACTTAATCTAATCTAAGTAAATAAAAATTACACGTCCTGCGTTGGTAAGCGCATCACCGATTCAACTTAACATAATAAAAAGATTAAAATGAGGTTTTAAGGAAGAAATGGAAAATTTGGACGGAAAATTAGAAAATTTTAGCAAAACTGAAAGTGGTTATTTCTATAGAATACTAAATCATTTAAAAAAACCTTCAAATAACTTAGATATTTTTTTACATTTCTTCATGTAGATATTATATATTAGCTGTGACACAAATTGTTAAACTGCTAATCGGTGTGTCAGTGTTTCACAAGCGGTTGTGGGCCAATAGCGCATTAATTCCCGGCTATGTGCAAATGATTTTACACATACTTCTGTCAGTGGAAAATTGGAAATAATATATATAAAAAGAAACTAATTATTTATTTATAAAATATAAATTAATATTTATTTTTTTTCTATTCTTTACATTATTATATATTTAATTATTGTAAATTTTACATTCTGTTTTTTTTAAATGTTGGCTGGCTAAAAGCTTTTAGTCAAGCCTTAAATATATAATTCAATTTGAATACAAAAGTTAAAAAAAGAAAATTGGCGCGAAAATAAAAGTGTCATCTAGTGTTTTTTAAAAAGATGAAAATACCTATTTAAACTATGTAATATAAACATATATTTAGAAAAAAACCTAATTAGTATTATGAGCATCTCAACTAGGCATGTATTTTTACGTATATTAGGTACCCGATATCTTCGCCATTTGTGAATCATTTCATAGGTAATTCTTGATATACTCGTAACTCATGTACCAATTTAATTTTAAAGAAAATCCCTTCTATGGGTGGAATATTCACTTTTAAGTCATTTTGAAGTCGATATAGGTACCTTTTTTAATTACAAAATTTGCAATATTCATTTGACTTCATTTTTTTCATTTTTATTTTGTTTTAGTAATTAATATTATTAATCTATATAATTTCTAGATTTCTTCTTTTGATTAATCGATCTCTTAATAAGAATGTTACCTGCTTGAAGGATAAAAAGTGGTTGTAAAGATTGTTTGGAAATAATATACCTACCAGTTATTATATCAAAAAAGCAGCTCCTTGAAGCCGGTGCGGTCTTCTAGTGTTAGCATAAGTATTTTATGTAAGTATGAATATTATTATACGTATAATAGCTTTAATTATTGTAAAAAATGTGAGTTTATCGCCTTTTACTTTATATGTAAGCATGTGTCAATCATTGCGTAGCTCTTATTTGATATTTCCCACAACTCTTTTACTTTACTTTTTACCAATGGAGCCTCAAAAGTGTTGCGTCAGATTTTTACTCTGTATAATCATCAATCAATCAACATAACTCTCGAAGAAAATCGATCTTATTAGCCCTTGTTTTAGAAATTTATGAAATAATTAGTTTTTATAGTCTATACTAATATCCATACTTAATATTATAAATGTGAAAGTGTTTTTGTTTGTCCTTCTTTCACGTCGGAACGGAGTGACAGATTGACGTGATTTTTTGTGTGGAGATAGTTGGAAGGCTGGAAAGTGACAGGCTACTTTTTGCCGCGGAAGATTATCTCATTCCCACGGGAAAACACGTTATAAGACAACCCAAAAAAATATTTATTTATTACACTTAGTATTAATGCGCTTCAATACAATTAAATAAATACGTGTTTTAGCATTTTTCAAAATTCATCCCATAAGAGGTAAAGTAGGGGATGAAAGTTTGTATGAAACCTACCTTTTTAGTTTTTGTTTTAGTTTTAGCGCGAGCGAAGTCGCGGGTTCTGCTAGTTAGATATACCTAAATGTGAAAGTTTAGATGTTTGGACGGATGTTTTGTTACTCAATCACGCCAGAACAGCTGAACGGATGTGGATGAAATTTGGCACAGAGGTAGAGTAGTAAGCGTACGGTTCCCGCGGGATAGATTTGTTTTTGTTTTCCTAGAAGCGAACCCGAGCGGAGCGAGGTTGAGCCGCTAGTAAATAATAAACTTAAACTATAGTATGTACTATGTATGTAGAAATTTCATTTTTAATCATTGTATTTGTTGGTGTTGTATAGTTCTCTCTCATTTGTTGTACCTTTTTACTGTAAACCGTCCATTCATCCATATTTTTAATTTAAACTTACGAGTAATACTGCGAAACAAAATTACTTATCAAACTCCTTCGTGTCCTCCTACAATACGTGACAATGGCAGAAAGTTTTGCATCTGTTAACGCAATATCAAGCCATTACAAAAAAAAACAGCTTCATTTATATTAAAATTTTATTGACTTATTGTAAATGTTAAAAAGAGCATCACGTTGTGTGTGAGCTCTACACGCGGACTCCGGACACGGATTCGATCCAGTCGCGGTACTTCGCTGGATTCACGATTACTGGGAATAAATTAAAAAAAAAACATATTAAGAAAATATACACTATACTTATTTATGGATGCAAATAGTAATGAAATTACGTTTCGTACTTCTTCTTTCTGCGATATTTAAATATAAAAATGAAAACAATATAGAAAAACAAAATTTTGTTTTCAACTTTCATGTTTTCAACATCAAATATAAACTATACTTGACGTTGAAACATAAAAGCCTCGACGTAATTGTCGCAACATTATTATTCAACACCCTTTAATATGTAACTGATAGCTATATCGGATATTATTCACAATAAATTTGTATAGATAATAGATACATGGGTTCCTAGAAGCCATTGAACAGAGAATTGAATTGAATTATTTACATAGGTACTAACGATAAGCCTCAGTGGGTACCTATGTTACAGGTAAACTACTAAAATATATAATAGACACATTACTTCAATGGTTTAACTGTAACACAACAACTGAATTTATCGTCAGTCACATAATAATACAGCACAAATACGTGCAATTTCAGCGTCAATAACGATGTAAGGGCAAAGCAAGTCAATTAGATAGCCATTCATCACTGTTATTGTGTTACGCACTCCAATATATCGTTGTTAGACAAACAACAACAACAAAGACAGGGCTTATTTCTTATTGAACGCCTATAAAAATAATACATAGAATAACGATAATTTGTAAGAAATGAAAGATTTTCAAATACCTCCAGGTAATTTCTAAGAAATTAATTAAAATTCTAAGAATCTATTGTTAACTGACACCTCGAAGTGTCCGCGGTCGTGGAGGGATTATTGTAATTATTTAGTAATGGGACATGATAGGTTTCGGTTTTTTTTAATTAAAGCAAACAGCAATAGTGATTTGAACATAAAAATTAAAAGATAATATTTTCGACAATGAATGACCAATAGACCATTGCCATGCCATGCCCATTACCTTATCACAATTATTGACAACTATTAGGTTTTACTTAAAAACGTCAAAATTTAATGTAGCTCTAAAAGCCTATGCACACGACGACTTTTTAACGTGCGTTTCACGAGCGCGTGTCGCTTGCACGTTGAAAAGTGTTTGTATACATAGGCCCTAAATATCGCAGTAATATTTAATAAAAGTAAAATTAAAACTTTATTTAAATAATATACATACCAGCGCCATTTTCGTTCACGCTGTTGAGGACTCCCACTTGAACGCCGTCGCTTACGATTGGTGCTCCAAGGTCGTACTGAGAAATACACGCATATTTAAAAAAATTTATATAAAATAAATGTGAAACTTAAGAATATGTCCTACATTTTTAGTATTTATTATATATGTGGACGCCATTTTATCATAACCATATAGAGAATGCGGGAATCGAACTTACGACCTCCGGAATAGTAGACATTAAATAAAGCCGTAATTCTTTATAGTTTATCTAAGAGTTTTCCCTCTATATTGTTACTTGAATAAATAAATTTCTGTACGAGTTGTAAAATTATTGTCTTAAAACTGTAAATATAAAAACTGCGACTCTAACTTGTAGTAGTCATTCTGTTATGAATATTAATCTTTTTTATAATATTCTGTTACAATAAAAGTGAAGTAAAAATTGTAATAGTAGTATACCACGTATCAGTCCAAGATATGTTATTTCTATGTGTTAAGTTCTATCCAAAATTTTCTTAATGATTTACGATTAATTGAATAACAAACGTCCAAACATTAATACAAACATTTTACATTTTTATATTAAAAGGACTCACCGGTGAAGGAAGTTCGTCGCCAGTGCCCACAATGTTGCCATCTTCATCAGTCTCCATGGCGAGCTCGAAACAGCTCAACTCTTCGTCCTTTAGAACTAAAAGTAAAAATTTTCAGTTATTTAAACTACATTTAAATCGCTGCCTGCTTAGCTTTAGAGTCTATAAAAAAAAGAATATGATTAGGTATATGTCCACAATTAGTTATATATATATATATATATATATATATATATATATATATATATATATATAATAATTCTAAAACAGTAGGAAATTATCTATACATATAATAAAATTGTAACTAAGCCGAATCTGTACATTAAATATTTTTTGGAAAATCTCATTGAAATAGACATTATTATCGATACAGAGCCCGAATCTATGGTTTTTTGAATTTTTGTTTGTCTGTCTGTCCGTCCGTCCGTCCGTCCGTGATGAAATTTGGTATGGTGATAGCTGGTTATCCGGGTCAACATATAGGATACTTTTTACTGCGGGAAAATATCTAATTTCTGAGAAAAAATACAAAAACTGCAATGTAAGAGTATACTAATATGTAAAACCTAAGAATTTGGTTTTTGGTCACCTGAACGCGGCTAGAGCCGCGGGCAATGCTAGTATACTATAAATTAATAGGGTTTATATTTGTAACTTATAAATCTTTCATTAAGCTTTATAGTAAATATTTTATAAAAAATTACAAATAAATAAACATAAATATGTTGGGACATTAACACACAGCACCATCTTGTTCCATGGTAAGCTACGAGGATTGTGTTATGGATACCAGATAGTTGGTATACTACACATATATAACTTTAAATACATAATGAATTATAAATATAAACGCCCATGACTCGAGTACAAACAATCGTGTTCATCTCACGCCCCAGCGGAACTGGAACCCGCGACCGCTGGCTCAGCAAGTAGGGTCACTACAAACTGAGCCAAACGTGTCTCAACACGTAACATTAATAAAATATACAGAAGAAATATATAGCAAAATTATATTGTACAACTTAAATATGAAATATCACTGAAGAACATGTAATGAAGTGAAGTTTTAGAGAGTCCTATATAGAGTTTTCTATCTTATTTCACTAAGAAATGCAAGTTCTTGCATACGGCATTGTTACACGTTTGCATATTAAGTTTAAAATTAGGAGTCTTGAACTGAACTGTGCTAATTATAAAGGAAAAGCTTTTAGCTCGTGTAATTCCAGAGATAAGTGTTCTTCGTTGAAGAATTTATCTGCAGGGTATTTTAAATTTGACGCAGTTTTGAATCCAGGGTATCTGAACTTTGTCCTGTTTTAAAATAAGAATTTAAAGTTTGTTCATGAGTAATAATCGCAAAAATAACAATATTACAATATATTTTTAATAGTTTATTTTTGTTATAGGATATGAAAACTAACAAAAAATACTACCTATGCGATGTACAATTATGATTATGGTTCAAATAATATTAAATTTAAGTATGTTATTTGGCTTTTCAGTTATTGATAACTGTGTTATCAATATAATGTTTATCCTGAACATTTTCACGAAGTACAAACCTATATATTACCTTACATATTACCCTATATATTACCTATATATATATATATATATATATATATATATATATATATATATATATATATATATATATATATATATATATATATATATATATATATATATATATATATATGAAGCGAACAGAGAAAAAGTACCTATTATAAATAAGACAGTTTTATTAAAATGAATAGATGTAATTACTTACGTATAATATGTGTTTATATATGAGTGTAGATATGAAATTTACATTATTACATGAAAAAATAATATATAAATGTATGAGTGATATGAATTTCTCTTTTCTAACCAGTTTTCTAATTAAAGTCACTTTTGTTGAATCGTCGTGTATAAATATTTTTAAATATACAATAAATTAAATCGTTTTATGTGAAAGTAATATAGTCATTGTATGTATGTATTCAGCGCCACTGCTGGGGACGGGCCTCCCTTCAATACGAGGGGAAACAGGCCATAGTCCACCACGCTGGCCAAGTGCGGGTTGGTGGACTTCACATGTCTTTTGAAAACTTGCTACGTTCTCTCAGACATGCAGGTTTCCTCACGATGTTTTCCTTCACCGTAAGACAAGTAGTAATCATGTTGGAAATAATTCGCACATGAAAATATTAGAAGTGCTAGACCCGGGATTTGAACTCGCTTCACTCGGTTTACCCAGCGAGCGCGTTACCACTGGACTACCACTGCCTAATATAGTTAGTCATTAGGTAAATATAACTCATACATACCATTACTTTCAGCTCCATAGCCGCAGAACTTTCCAGAAGCTGGCACATCTTCGTGATCAGCGAGAGCGATGGGAGCGATGTTCTCTATCGTACAAAGTAAAATATATATTAAATATTTAAATTTATTTGTTTGTAAAGCCATAAAATAATTGTTTTTATTATGTCTCAATAACAGCGCAATAATAATAGTCATCGACCAGTATTATTTACATACATACATCATTAATTAACTAGTTTGGCCAAAAAGTTTCTTTAATCTATTTCATCGCATGAAATAATTTTAGCACGAACAAATGATAGTGCTAGTGTACATAGCTTTTAACGAAAATATTGTATAGTGGCTGAATTAAACTGAAACTTTACATGTGCCGCGAGTGTACGAGACCTACAAATCAAATCAAGTCATAATATTTTATTCAGCATTAAATTATTACAATTTTTTATTGAACGTCATGAGTCTACTACCAGTTCGAAAAGAAGAAGCCTCAGACCTGAGAAGAACTGGCGAAATACTACAAAAATTGACTTGTGTATCTAAAGCAATTATGCTTAATTCATACGAGAAAATTTCATTAAACGCAAATTTTCAATGAACATCCCTGATAGATATCCAATAAAACCACATAATTTAGTCGTCAGCTCTCCGGCTTAATAAGAACCAGCGGTCGAAGAGAACAACGGAATGAAATTGGCTATCTGAAACGAGTCCGTTAACAGACTTGTTCGTACGACTTTAATTAATAGCCACTCGTGATTATTTAAGCTATCTTATGTTACCATATAAAGCTGAAATGGCAGTAAAAGAAATAATATAAATGTTTTTTTTTAAGGATATTTTATTACCGACTTAAATGTTTTCGTTTAAAGTAAACGTGATTAAGGACTCAAAAATTCACGATCCAAGTCTAACTTATCACTCAAATGTCCAAAACAATCTCAATTTTTTTGTAGTATTCGGAATGGGGTGAAATTAAATTTAATTAACACAATTTAGCTATATAATAAAGTTCAAGGTCTATCAATACTAAAGTAAAAAAAATTATATTATAAAGCGATAAAGTTTGTAAGTTTTTATAAAAAGATAAATCTCTAAAACTACTGATTCAATTTTAAAAATTCTTTTACCAAAAAGAGGGATATTTTCCATTCTGTTAAGAATTCTGTCAGAAATCTTACTAACGTTAATTGGACCCAGTTATGCAAAAAAACAGCCATGTGCGCAAAAGTACCAACAGAGTTATAAGCATTTTATTATAAAAAATAAAATAATTATAAAAAATAAACAATACTTATATAAATATTGTTCAATTTTAAAATAACCAGAAAAACAAAACATAACCCAAGTGCAACTATCGACAGAATAATGCGTATAACTCTGTTGGTACTTTTACGCACAGGGCTGTTTTTTGCATAACTAGGTCCAATTGAAGTCGGAAAAAACCATTGAATTGCTTTGTCAGCGTGCACTGCCTGAACGATTTGAAATAAAACAATAAATTGTATGGCAATAAGATATCTTGGGAATTACCCGAAAAAAACGAAGGAAAGTTGCTAGTTTTAAATAAAGTAAAACAGTAAAAGATCAAAAGGCTTAGTAGGCCTCAGGGCTGAGAACAACTTGGCGGACACAAAGATGGCCTATTGGAACTTTTTAATATCATAAAAATATTTCTTTTTTTTACATTGAATATACTATATCTAAGATACACGCCCCATAATAAAAAAAATAACATAATTTTTTTTATAGTTATTTTAATTTCCCAAACTAAATAATAATAATTCCCATCGATACGAAGGGAATAAGATCATAGTCCGCTTGGATTTCCAAACTAGCGTGTTACTAGTTGCTACTGCTTACAACTTACATGTAATAAAATTGTAACTAAGCCGAATCTGTACATTAAATATTTTTTTGAAAATCTTATTGAAATAGACATTATTATCGATACAGAGGCCGAATCTATAGTTTTTAGATTTTTTGTCTGTCTGTCTGTCTATCTGTCTGTCTGTCTGTCTGATACCGCATCATGGAAAAACCACTGGAGGGATTTTGATGAAATTTGGTATGATGATAGCTCGTTATCCGGGTTAACATATAGGACACATTTTACCGCGGGAAAATATCTCATTTCTGAGAAAAAATGCAAAAACTGCAATGTAAGAGTATACTAATATGTAAAACCTAAGAATTTGGTTTTTGGTGATCTGTACGCGGGCGGAGCCGCGGGCAATGCTTGTTAAATGAATATATTTGACAAATCAATAATAAATTGTAGTTTTTATTAAATAAACTTTTAATTCGCAAAGCAACTCTCGCCCTAAATACACCGCGCGTGTACTTTCATAATTTGACCGTAAAATCATTTTGGTCGAACTTTATTTATTTTTTTTGTAAATTTATTATTGCTGCTTTTTTATTTTTTTCGGACTGCTTTTCTTGCATTAACAAGAAAAATTGAATTGAATTGAAAAATGTTTTCTTTAAGTAGAATTTACTATATTTTTTTTATATTCAATATACATACATTTAGGTATTCTATTTAAAATTTATCTTTACAATCTAAAATACCCGATTAATTTATTTTTCGATAAGTGACAAATGATTAAGTAATACATTAAGTCATACCGTTTATCTCCGTGACTCGGTTAAGGCTGATAAGGGCGAGGTTTCCGTCTTCGTTGACGGTGAACTGCGAGCTCTCAGTAACGAGCTCAGGGGTGATGGGGTTCAGTGCGCCATAGCGGATCCACACGAAACGAAGACTAGAAAAAAAAATGTAGATGTTGCTATAATTTCAATTGACATAAAAATTAAAAAGAAGGAACTTGACTAACTAAACAGTAATTAACTAAACAATTAAAGTCCACGCACACTGGATTTTGGCTTAGACTAAAGCAAACGGGTTCGAAAATGTGAAGCGTTATTCATTATTTATTTAAGAAATAATTTAAATCTGCTAACAATATAATGACCTCTATCGATCAGATATTTCACTTACCCTTCGACGCAGCTAGCAGAAGTAAGGACCCAGGATTCACTAATCAAAGATCCAACGCAGCTGCTAAGTAAGCCCTGGCCAGGAATACTGGCAACACGCAAGTGTACAACCCATGGGTTTTCGCCGGCTTGCGCGGGAGTGCGATATAGACCTGAATATAACATATGAAAATATTACAAGGAACACATAAAAATATTTTCATTAATATATAGATACGATAACTAGCGACCTCAACCTAATTTCTTTTGGGTGCGTCTCTAATGCCCGATTTCACCGACGTCACCTAAGTTTAAGGGATCCCCTAATCATGGTTAGGGAGCTGTTAGGGGACAGTTTCTGTTTCACCGACAGTTAGGGGTCACCTAAATATTAAAAGGCCCCCTAAATTTAGGTGCTCGAAATATGGGCTTAAAGACGATCGTAAAACGAAATTTTATTTAGGAGCTAGTTCAGGGGATTTTTAAGCTAGGGATAGGTGGTAGCTTATGGGTTGTAGGTGAAATCGGACATATGTCTAACAGTGGCATATAATTTACTCCACGTCTTGATTGTTTGTGCACTAAATTTGATCCAAATCCGTTTCAGCGTTAAGGAGTAACAAACATACACACGTATAAATTCGCATTTAAAGTAGCTTTGCCCAAATAATCATGTTACTAAGAAATCAATGCTACAAAACATGACTTACCTCCGAAATCCGCGCTGCGAGCCTAGAAAATAATAAAACAAGTTAGTAGGAACAAGCAAACGCCTTCGCCTAATAAAATATTATACAAATTTCATCCATTCTGTCTTCAACTTTTATTAATCCCATAAGTACAAAAATGACTACTAAAACACGAACTCCTTTAGTTTCGCACAAAGAGGTCGCCTAAAATTCGAGAATCTGGGTCGCGAAGCCAAAAGTTTAAGAAGCCGTATTTTAGGCCATCGGTATAGAAGACCTACTTGCTAACAATAAGGGTTATTTGTTAGGGTTTAAAAGTAAAAAAGCTAAGCATTTCGCTGCTTTTAATATTCCTTCTATTCTTTATTAAATTATAAAGGTCAGCTCAAAGACGTCAACAAAAAAGCATATAATGGTTAATTTTTATTAACATTTAGTACCTATACCTAGATTTTCAGCGATGAGATATTTTCCCGCAGTAAAAAGTATAAATGTTGACCCGGATACCCAGCTATCGTCTATCATACCAAAATCTTTTCTTTCATCAAAATGTGTTCAGTGACAAACAAAAATTCTAAAAACTATAGATTCGGATTGATACAGATATCCAATAATAATGACTATTTCAATAAGATTTTCCAAAAAATATTTTATGTACGGATTCGACTCAGAATTTGATTGCATATGTGTATGTATAGATAATCGTTGGTTTGGTGTGTTTAAGAAACAGAACAAAGGCTGGGAACGTCATATCCCGGGAAAATGAAATAGGATACACTGGTACTGCTTGATTCGCGTAGAAACAAAACAAACCATTTAAAATGCTGTTTTTTGCTGTAATTGTGTTTCTGTTATCTAATCGATAATGATACTCAAATATACATTAAATATTTTGTGGAAAATCTTATTGAAATAGACATTATTATCGATACAGAGGCTCAATCTATAGTTTTTTGAATTTTTGTCTGTCTGTCTGTCTGTTACCGCATCACAGAAAAACCACTGGATAGATTTTGATGAAATTCGGTAAGGTGATAGCTGGTTATCCGGGTCAACATATACTTAGTATACTTTTTACCGCGGGAAAATATTTCATTTCTGAGAAAAAATATAAAAACTGCAATGTAAGAGTATACCTACTAATATGTAAAACCTAAGAGTTTGGTTTTTGGTCATCAGAACGCAGGCGGAAACGCGGGCGGAGCCGCAGCAATGCTAGTTTTTTATAAATTAAGAAAAATAACCCTACCATTTTGTTATAAGTATAGATTATTACGCAATTTTTTAATAATGACAAGTTAATCTGATTGATTATAAAGCAGTGATTACACCGGATTTGTTATTATTATATCGCTTTTAGATAATATAAAGTTATTTATAACTCTGATATAAAATTTACAGGAATTCAATAATTAGATGATGGCCTAAATAATATTTTTTTGTAAAAACAAACATTTTGGTAAATGCAAGAACTTTTCTATTAAAAAATTAGATACTTAAAGAGCTCTATTTTATTCATAAATACGTGTATTAACTTATTTTTAACCTTGTAAAATCTTAATTCAAATTCTATATTAGTAGGTATTACAGTAGTCGGTACACTTATTATTATGTGTAAAAAATTCAACCAACGGTTTCAATTAAAATTACTAACGACATTAATAACAACAACTTCAGTCTTCAAACATTAATTTATTAAAAGTTTTCTTTTACGGTAATTGTATAATATAATATTTAAGTACCGTTGGTAAGTAAAAGTAGAACAGTTAAGTGAAAGATGTTAAAGAAAGTTAGTCCCAGATTTTGAGTCGTTGACAAAATGTATAGAAACAGCGAATAATAATTGTTACATTAATACTTTTTTAGATTTAAGCGAATTTTATGTTTTAAATTGAACTATGTTTTCGGCTTTTGTAGCGAATCTATTTTATTATTTTAATATGGATCTTTTTTTTACATCAGGATTTCAGAAAACGTCCAAATTCTTCTATTGTTAGATTTTAAAAAATCTTGTGCGTTAAGAGCGCTAGATATACCTACCAATATCAATGAATTTATTGAAGTTACCATACTTATTTCCAATATTAAATAAATAATATACAAATGTACCTACATTTGTATATCTATTTTTTTAAAGTAAAAATGAGTTCCGTTGAGTTTCCTTTGCTCTTATCTAATAATATTGGTTGATTGCCAATTTTTTCTTTAAATTTAATTGATCTAAAACACATTTATCATTTTTTATCCAATTTTGGACATAATAGCTATGCTATTTTCAAGGTATGTGAATATCTTTTGTATATACGTTTACGTACACTTCAGTTTTATATAAAACTATGCCTAGAACTCTAATAATATGTTCACAGTACAAGAATCAACAAGGGACTTTCATACTCGTAGATGTGCGTAGTAAACTCTTATATAATACATCAATAATCTAAGTAGGAACAATATCTCTTAAGTAGATACTAGTCACCCTATGCCCTTCATATTTATATTATACTACGGAAGTTCTCAGAAGGACGCTTTTTTCTGTCTTAATACAAAAATATCATCATACCGGTGGCTCATTTTCATAATATTTTTATAAATTGATTGCCCGACCATCCTAGATAGTGCCTCTTTCTGTTGGTGAAAATCATATAAAATCCATACAGTAGTTTTTGAGATTAGGCCGAACAAACACAAAGGCGGTGGTTAATCAATACTATGGAGTAATTACTCAGATACGCTTCGATTAATATAATAGGTAGCCTCCCTAGGTACTTTTAAACAACCAAGTAATATCTCACTTATAACCATTTGATGTACCGCGATAGAAAATCTCCGACTCACGAACTCACAAACTACCTGTAATATCTCTTTGCAAAAAGCTTCATATCGCTTATTGATCGGCCGTGACTCCGTTATTGCGTTGAAGAAATACAACCAACGAGACCCACAGGAGAGGGATATTGTAGGAGATACTACAAAATTTCTAGTTGTTATATTTGTTAAATTCGATTTCTTGTATTAGGTACTTTTTTTAAATTAATGAATCTATTTTTGCGTTTTCGCAAAGGCAAACTAAAGGCAAAGAAAGCTAAGAAACTAGTTTATTTTGGCCTCTACATTTTAAAATCTAGCCCAAAAACCAACAGACTTTTACTTTTATATTTTAACGTTTAGTAGATTTCTCTGAAATATTTTCCCGCAGTAAAAAGTATCCTATATGTTGACACGAATAACCAACTACCATCATACCAAATTTCATCAAAATTGGTCCATTTGGTTTTTCGTGATGCGTTCCCAGACAGACAGAATTCTAAAAACTACAATTCGAATCGACCTCTATATCGATAATAATGACAATTTCAAGAAGATTTTGCAAAAAATATTGAATGTAGGTACAGATTCGACTCATTGTCAGTTAGAATTTTATTATATGTATAGATTAAGGGTTTACCTGTACGGCCGCGACTACACACAAAAGGGCGAATACGAAAGCCTTCATCTTCAGTGGACAACAAATTACTAATAATTTTAAGCGCCTAACTCTATTAATTATGGCATTATCGCCGATAGCTACTCGCGTCAGTGATACGCGATTACTCATCTACTTGGAGTAATCGAGCGTAAATAGACTTTAATTATGATAATTAAAATTAAGGATTTGACTGATAAGTAGATACCTATTATATTTATGACACCATTATAAGTATATACCTAAGGCTTTGTATGATTGTATGTCAAAGAGGAATCAACTTATTTTGAATAATTCATTTCATTCATTTAAAAGTGCTCTTTACCATTCATCATATTTTGCTAGACATATAATTAGCGTTTTATGTTCATATTTATTGATTATCGAAATAAAAAAAACATGCGACAAAGCAACTAGTAGAAACCTAGTTTATGGCTGCACCTATATAATTTCTTCATTATTGCATTCGCAGAAAGACGTTAGACATACCTACATTTTAGTTGGAAAAATTAGATTTTTCCATTAGTTTAAAATCAATAAAACACACAAAACATGTGCTTAATCTTATCTTAATCTTGCGACATTATCCTTTTTACACAAGATTATAAGTATATCTAACGGTAATATATCAGTTTTGATTTTTATGTTAATAGCTGTAATAAATTGAATAGTCACATGATATCCGTTTCCTGTAAATAAACGAAAAATGTAATATTAAAAATGGGGTAAGCCATTTAATTTTATACCTACAAGGGAACATCAGACATACATACATACAGGTCAAACACATAACCCTCCTTCAGGTTTCGCCGCATTCGGATAAAACGCAAGACACTTGGGTTAATTCTATTACTCATTACTTTACCAACAAAGATCACAAAGGTATCTAATATGTACAAGTATTTTCTGGATTATATTAATGTCTAAATATAATACGCGGCAAGAGAGACAGACAGACACTGAGGAGCAGGATGTATCATGCACGTTGCTCCTGGTACTTCTCTGATAGCAGAATGGACCGTAGGAACAACCCCATGGACGATGTGGTCTGCTTCGGCAGGCCTGCCAGTGAAAGTCCCGTCAAAATCGACCCAGCCGTTTCAGAGATTAGCCGTAACAGATAGACTGGCAAATTTAAAAAAAAAAGTGTTTTTCTTATTAGTACCGTATATAATTTCATATGCATTTAGTAAAAAGCTGTTATTCTGACATTACAAACAGACACTTCAATTTTATTTATGTGTATAGATAATAAAACAAGCAGATATAAATAACTATATTTATTATTCATGGACGAATTAGAGACTGGACCTGACATAAAATACAAATGTATGAAAACTAGTTCAACCAAGTGACGCATAACGCACACAAAGATTTTATTACATTATTATAAACACTGATACACAATACAATATTTCTAGTGCTTGAACGTAATCGATAAAATACATATATCGATGAACCAATGAATGGCATTTTAGACATTGGTTAGCATAGTCATCATATTTTACATCTTTTAATTTATTCTTCTTCTTTTAATTTTAATAAATTAAAATAAATGAATTAAAGAGGCAATAATAATGTGTCAAATAATAATTATTTTTTAATTTGATTTATATAAATACGATGGCATTGATGGCAACATTCTGTTGGCCTATAATAATGTTAATAAACAAATGAATATCGCGTGGAAATACCATTAATATATAATAAATATTAATTTGGAAAGATAAAAAAAAATATGAAGCTAATTTAATTAAATAAAGTGATTTTGTTGATTCTGTTATTGAACTATTTTAATTGGCAATTGATTGTCTCGGGTAGTTATAAAAATGTGACACTGTCCTAATATTACTCAGTTCTTAATAAACATTTGTGAAATTAGGAAAAAGAAAAAGTGATTGCAAATTAAAGTGAGTGTTGGATCGTGAAAGTAAAATAATTAGTGCAAGTGGTAAAGTGTTTTATTACAAATCGCCAACCCAGAAGTTTAGTGCTAAAACGTTATTGTTTGATTTTGTGTAATTTATGTGTTGAAATAAAATGATCTTTATTATTATTACAATGGAATAATACTCCAAAGTATATAAATGTGGAATAAAATAAAATAAAAAATTAAGTACACATACTAATTATAATTTTTGCATTTATATTTTTATTTGATTTAGAAAATATTTTTATAAATTTATTGTCATCAGATTGTAGGATACTGTGGTAAAAGTATTTTATGTTATTGTACTGTACAAATAACACAATTCGTTTAGTTATTTCATCAAATATCGATATATTTTTCGACATTGTCAAGCACTAGTCGATGTCAAATGGACTCACTCGACAGTTTGTCATTTGTTCTGAATGGTATAATCCAGCCATTTTATGATGGTTGTCAGATGTCAACAATACATAGAAATATCGACTATATTTAACATAGTTGGATAATATGACATTTTATTTTACATTTAATTAAATTGTGTGATAAATAACAATAAATGTAATAAAATAATGTATTTACAAGTGAAAAGAAATACTGCTGCTTCCGCCGTTATAGTTTTTACATCATTTAACAGAACATTTAGTCATTTTTGGGTGATGTTTTGTTGACAAATAAGTGCTTGAGACTGACGCAAAAAACAAACGACCAAGCCTAAAATCTCCTGGTTACTGAGAAGACCGATAAAGGTACGCCGCTTATATGTCTGGTCCAGTGGTTAATTCGTTCATGTTATTATTATATCTTATAATCTCAGTCCTTAGACCACAACTCCTTTTCTTCTCCATCTTTAGGAAGAGACCAACTTTTAGACCTTCGCTGTCTTACAGTTCCTGGGGATAGAAATTTACTGTCGTCATTACATTGGTTCTGACCGTCTGTCTGTTTGGGAGTGGGGCTTCTGTGGCTAGATTTGGACCTTGACTTGGTTTTTGATCTTCGGCTTCTGGACTTAGACCTTCTCCGCGACCTTGAGTTTGAACGGCTGTGAGACCTGGAAGGAGGTAGGTGAGAATATAGTAAAAAGTTATTAGACAATACACTTTTTAGTTTAAAGAAAATCGCATTTTCTTAAAAAATATCTTATTATCATTATTTTAATTTAGTCAACTTATATTATGTGAATGGCATTTTGAAATTATGTAAAAATACATGAGTATTGATAACATTTCTCAAGCTCAATTTGATTCGTCCCAAGACCTAGCAGTAGCCTATGTATCACTATCTATGCATTAAGCATCCAAATCGATTCAGCCGTTTCAACGTAAAGGATTAACAAACAAACATTCACATACAAACTTTTACAGTTATAAAAGTAATTACTAATTATGTATTATCAATCCGTTTTCGTCCACTACCAGACATAGTGCTCTTAAATACACACTAAGCGATTTTAGTGTGAAATTAATAATTGAAGGTCTTTCTACTTTATGTGATACTAACTTGTGGTAATTAATTGATAAATGTGTGTAATATATATTATAACTTTTATGTATTGTAATACTGTTTATTTCCCGTATTTACTGTTTTTATATATTAAGTCTCTAGCCACCAACCTGGTCCGGCGACTCCTCGACCTGCTCCTGCTCCTCGACCTCCTGCTCCTGGACCTCCTACCACGGCTCCTGCTCCTGCTCTTGGAGCGCGAGTAGGAACGGCGGCGCGAGCGAGAGCGCGAATACGAGCGTCGGCGCGAGTGCGAGCGAGAGCGTGAACGCGAGCGGCCCTCTTGCTCGTTCAACTTCTTGAAGTATCTATTAATGTACTATTTAAAGTTACATATTTATCTTAATAATAAACATCTTATTATGATAAAAGGAAACGTCGTGAAGAAATCTACAGGTCTGAGAGAACCTAGCAAGTTTTCGAAAGCCATGCTCAGTCCGCCTGCACATGGCCAGCGCGGCTTGATGGACTATGGCCTGAACTCCCTCGTATTGAAGGGAGGCCCGTGCCCAGCAATGGGTCGTTAAAAAGGGCTAAATACCAGAGAGTATTATAATTAGAAAAAAACTAACTGATAATACTGGTATGTAGCGTCCCGCCAGATTGATGCTGTTCTAATTACACTTTTAAAGCTATATTATTTATTCCTTCTTTAAATAACCTCTTTACGCTACACGCCATCTCGACTCAACTGTCATTATTCAGAGCTTATTTTTTCGATCGATCCCGGGTTTTAAATCAAGACACTCGTATAATTAGAAATCAAACATCTCAAGGTAAGTTCGTTTGATTCTCAATTATATCTAGAAGAGAACTAACTGATAATACTGGTGTGTAGCGTCGGGCCCGTCGAAGTACGGCAGGCGCCCGCGGCCGCGGCCGCGCGCCCGCCCGCGCGCGCGCCGCGCGTAGCCCTCCGCCGGGTAGTACGCGCCGCGCATCGGGTAGTACATTGACGCTGGAATGTGGTATTATATGTTACTGGCAAGTAGCAACTCACACTCGCTTCGCTCGAGGTCGTCCCTAGCAAAATAGGTTGCATTATGGCAATCTTCGTGAGGTTCTATAATATTTTTTTAAGTAAAATATAGCCCCTGTTACTCGCTGATAATGTAGCTTTTGATAAGTGAAAGAATTGTTAAAATTGATTTATTAGTTTTTTTAGTGTATATATTACCGCTGAATGCTATATGATATTTCTTATTCTGATAATGATGTACTTACTGTTAGACATTATCATAATATCTTTATTTGAAGTTGAGTTACTTTCGCATCGCAATATGATATGATATAAATGAAGATTAAAAATGGCTGTTTTAACATAAAGCTGTGAGTATATTGTGCTGCAATTTATTTCACTAATATTATATAAAAAATATTTTGCTAATAATCTAATGCTATGGATTATTACACAACTATATATATTAAAATTTATAATATATAATAAAATTTAAGTGTCTGTTTGTAATGTCAAAATAAATCTCCGAAACGGCTGCACTGATTTCACTGGCAGATAGCTGATGTCATTAGGAGTAACTTGGGCTACTTTTATCCTTTTTTTGAATTAGGGTTCCGTTCAAACAAATTAAAACTTAACTAGAGAACGCACCCGAGAGAACACATCCGGTAGTCAAAAATATATTAATTTCAGACATTGTTTAGGAACATTTCTGATCATTTTAAAACTAAAATAAATATTATTGAAGATATGTTTTGAATCGAGATGATGACATGAATAGAGTTATCTCAAGCACCATTTGTAATCCTATTCTTTATATGCATGAGTTTAATGTATTTGTGAATGCAGATAAGGAATTTCGTTCCAATATATTATAGTTTGTTTGAAACACACAAACTAAAATATTCATATTTCGTAATATGTGTAAATGAAGCTCTTTTGGCCCTTCATTTAAATTTAAATTGATCGCGCATTAACTTCGACTTCATATGTGAGTATATTATCTATGGTGGCAACACTTTGCACTACGTGCATTCTATATCTAGAGAAATTCTCTTTGACTTTGTATAAGTTGAAGTTAGTTTTTAAAAAGAAATATTTCAGATTACAAAAATTATTATTTGAAGCTATAGCTTTTAATGTTGTTTCTCCTTACAGGTTTAGTAATTTATGCTTAAGCGTATAATTTTATTTTTTATTTATTTAATTATTTATTTCAGGCAATATTTACATAAGGATCTTAAATACGTAAACAGACGCCCATAGCATAATATATACCTTAAAACTAACATATGTATAAGTCGTGTTTGAAAAAAATAATTTGTAATATAAAAATAAAATAAATAAATTTCTCCTTACAGAGCAACAACTTTGGTTTTTTTTGTTTCAATAAAAAAACATACTACATATGAATATTTTAGTTTGTGTGTAAACGATACTCATACTTTGCGGGAAGGGGTATCCGTGCGGCGCGGGGAACGGGTAGCCGAAGCCATACGGGTTGGGGTAGTACATTCCTGGAAAACAAAATTTAAAACCATTATATTTAATACTTTATAGATTTACATGTATCTTTTTACATTTTAAATAATCTTTTCGGATTTTTCGCTTATTTATTTTAATTTTTGGTCTCCGACGTTTCGAATGCTTTACAGCAATCATGGTCACGGGAGAGACTTATTATAATATTATTAATATATTAAACACATTATAAATAATGGTAAATTGTAATGTAGTCAGAATTGGATGTTTTATTTTCTCTTATTTAAAGTCCACAATTTCATTTCAAAGACATTTTCAGCAATATAAATATGCACTCAAATTCTTTATAATAAATAATACAAATAAACATGTATTTAAGTTTTTTTTTTGATAATAAATAACTTTTAATATAAATAAATAACAGTATCTCAAACACTAGATTTTAGATACTAAATCTATTTATATACTAGCGGCTTTATTATATTTTGTGACAATTAGCATAGATTTACCGGGATTCTTATTATAATTGGGTTCTCTGTCAGGAGACATCTTCTCAGATTTGACCCGCTTGTAGTCTTTATCGTCATCAGATATAGAGCCAATGGAAGAGTCTCGTTTGGGTTTCTTAGTTTCAAGCGCTGAACGGATGATAATACGTCCTGAAACAAAGAAAGCATTGAGATATCATCCCAAAACATTTTGTCTTTGGAAACAACACAAAAACTCATTTTAACCAGTTAATTTCGATCATAGAACCTAAATTCGTCAAAAACCGTTCTGCGGGTTTTAACCAGTTAAAGAACGTAACTGAAACCTTAAACCGTAAAGCCTTTTGGTTTAGGGTAAATGACCAAAACCGGTTTAAAAATTAAACAGGTTTCTGAGACCTGCTATCTATTTACAAAATGTAGCATACAAGAACTGAATCAGTGACCTTCAGCACAAGCAGACATGAGAATACTACTTCACCATACATCTTTCATAATTATTAATTATTATGCATATTGGACTTATTTTATCGTTTATTTTATTATTGATTACCATAAAATTGTTCTAACTTACCATCAAGTGCATGTCTAAGTCTCTCTCTCTGTTCCTCCAGATCTTTCTCCTGCTGCCGCTTTAAGTTCTCTACTATCCTCAGGCGTGCTAGCCTGTCATCTGCCTTGTAGTAGCGCTCCGGCTTTGTTCCATTGCGTTGGAGCTCAGGACGAAGCTGAAATATTAACAAAATATCAGACCACCATAAACAAATATGAAATTTTGTATAGAGATACATACATTGTGTATGTGTATGTGCATTTGAAACTTCTTCAAGCTAAAATGGCTGGATGGATTTGGATAAAATTTAGTACACAAATATAAAGGTAACAATATATTAACATATAGGTAGGTCACTGTATGAGGATCACTTATGTGTTAAGAAATGCACATATGTGAAGTGAAAGTAAGTATAATAATAACTATAATACTATTACAGATTACACTGCTTATTTTAATAAATAAATAAATGTTCATGATAAAATTATTTCTTTTAGTAGAAAAGAAAAACTTATATCTTTTCTTTCATCTTCAAATAAGTGCATAGAAGTTTGAGATCCATTATTAAACAAACCTAATTTAACATTCAATAATAATTTTCTTTAGATCTTATAATAATTAGTTCAAAGTTTGTGATTTTTATAAAACTGACTTTACACTAAAATTTATAAAAAAAAATAACAAAATAACAAGAATTAGAAACAGTACTGTTTATATTATTTTATTTTAGCTTTTACACCATAAACTTAACCACTTAAAAATGATAATTACATCTTTATATTATGCTATTAGGCACATAAATGTTGGAAAAATAAAAATCTCCTTGTTGCTTACCTCTATTCGCTTAAACAATTCATCAATCAGCCTTATTGCTTGTAATTTCTTCTGACTTTTCAATAGTTTTCTTTGTTCTTCTGCTACTTTCTTGTTGAGGTCCACATCTTCTCGCTCCATCAACTTAGCCAACTGTTTCTTCTTTCGTCTTTCTTCTCTTTCTCGCATCTTCACCAGTTTCTCTTTTTCATGATGATCTATCTTTTGTCTTAAAGATTGAAAAATAATACGTGAGACTGTTGCTTTTTGTCTGCAATGCAATGAGCCTAATCATATTTAAAGATGTGTTTATAAAATCATAATAACATTTTAAATTCTACACTACCTACTAGCAAACTAATAAAAATCAAATAAGAAATATACCAAACAAGATGCATAAAGATGCATAAGTGTTTTGCACAGCAATATATTTTAACATTGCTAAAAAATATTCAAAAGTTTGCAAATACCTTTCTCTAGCTTCTCTTTTAGCAATTTTTTCCTTCTCTTGCTTTTCCTCTTCCTCCTTGGCTCTCTGCCTGGCTGCCAGCCTTTCTCTAACAATTGCTCGTCTTTTTACTGCTGCGTCTGTCATATGCTTTGTTCTATCAAAGTCTACTTTAATACTACACCACTCAGCCAGTTCATCACTTTTACGCAGTAATTTTCTACCTCGCAAAGAATCCATGCAACGCACAAATCCTGCATATTCACTAAATTGCACATAGCCTTCAAAATATAAACTTCCTTCTTGAATTGGTATTGTAATTCCTCTCATTGGAGCTTTCATTTGCATCCGAAAGGGATCCGCCGATGGTACATCTATTTGTCGCACCGAGCCATATTTTTCGAATACTTTCTTAAATATGGTCTCCGAAGGAAGAGCATCATCATCCATCTCACGAACATGTACAAACCAACGAATTGGCAAGTACTTTATGTGAATTGTATCAGGCCTTTCACCAGGTTTCATTTCATCCATGTCAGTCGCATCACGAAAAAATGAATCCCAGGAATGTCGACTTGGAAAATCAGATTTGGCTTCAGAAACTTTCACTTTTAAAGGATCAGGATAATCATTCAAATTTATAATTCTGTCCTCGAGACGGGCTAATACTCGTTCTAATTTTTGACGGTTCTCTAATTCTGCATCGAATCTTATCACTTCTGAACTGTGCTTTGAAACTTTCAATACGGAGAAACTGTCAGGTTGGATCATTTTTCGCAGTTTCTCCATCAATTCCCAATTGGAAATGGATTTTCCATGTACCTTGTGTGGGGGGAGCTGAACAGAAATATTAAGCTTTGCAAACGATTTCAGATACAAACGTTGCGGCAGATATAAAGCCACAGCGTCTGATGTGTCTCTACATACTTGAATACTCATCTTGACGATTAATTATTCTTATAAAAAAAATACTTTATTTAAAAATTAGCGTTAATCAAATCTTAAAAAACTAATTTTAGGAGTGATATCTAAATAAAGAAGATAAATAAAATGAGTTAATGAAATGACCAAAGCGTAATCCAATATCGGCATCCATCGTTTGCGCCACTTTTACAATAATTTCATGGACAAAATATTGATTGGAAACTTGTTAAATTAGTAAATTAAACTTGTAAATTTTGTTGGTTTTGTAATAGTGCACTTTACAAGATTACAAGTCTCCACAGATAAAAATTAATTACGATTTACGAATGACATTTATAAATTATGATAGATTTTTTTTTCTAAAGCAAATGCAGAACACTGTACAGCCTCACATTCAGTTATTAGCTTTTTTATTGTACAAAATTATATTTTGCTATGTTTTACAGAATTTAGTCCATACATTTTTATAAAACAAAAAAAAGGGCTGACTTTGTCTTTCAGTTTCAGCGAGTTGCTTTTAGTGTCAAAAATTAGAATGAAACAAAAGCTTACTTTTTGCCTTCCAGGCACTAAAAAGTAAAAAATAACTGAACGAAGTTTACATTTTTAAATCTTGCAATCTACGAGCGCGCGGCGCCCTCAGTTGTTGAGTGACCAATCTGTAAACGCGTCCATGTAGGCGTGAGAGTGATCGTGCGTATGGTTTACAAACGAAAATTCATTAATTCAAAGCATACTCGAAACGCGCGGTTTCGCGATAACCAATCACAGCGCGAGGACCTTGGGCCCCCATCAACTGCTGGCATATCTCGATAGTCGATAAGCTTAAAGCTACCTTTCTGGCACCTATGACTACCAGCCCTGGATTTACACTACGGGCACTCGGGGGCCGGGGCTAGTGCCCAGGGTGGCAAATTTTTAGGGGCGGCAAAAAATTTTTTAACTTCATGCTATGAAAATCAATGATTTTGAAAAATTTGGAAGTTATTGGTTCTACATATACTGATTTTTAATAATCGCGTTCTCACTGGATCTACATGATTTGAAATCTAGTATACAGTAAATATTTTTTTTTGAATAACATTTAAGTTACTTATTCAAAAATTTAAAATAATATCCTTTTTCAATTAATAGTTGTTATATAACTTATCCTTTAAATTAAAGAATATTCCCGTACAGCATGGAGGCATAAAGATAGCAGATTGGTTTTACTAAATTCATTTTCTATATTAGGGTCCATAATTTTTAAAACCAAAAAAAATAATAGTAGGATGAAACCCATTGGAAGAGGAAGAGAATATAATAAAAATGAAAGGAAAAATAATTTATGGGTGATCTGAAGTCGGGAAGTGGGAGGGAGAGAGTTTTTAAGACACAATTTTTTAAATTTTTGTCGGTCTGTCTGTCTGTCTTGTTTGTTTTGGCTAATCTCCGAAGCGGCTGGACTGATTTTGACGGGACTTTCACTGGCATATAGCAGATGTTATAAGGAGTAACATACGCTACTTTTATTTTAGTATAAGAATTAGGGTCCCGTTAAAAAAAATGAAAACGTACCTATAGACCCTAGTGTAAGATATAGGTAATGCAGTATATAGGTAATACGGCAGATTTTTCAGTGCCCCAGGGCGGTATTTAAGGTAAATCCGGCCCTGATGACTACGCATAAGACTATTTTGTAGTACTCATTAGTAAACTTCATTTACGTCTGGAAATTATTTAAAACCGGTAAATTTGTCTAGCGATTTGCAAGTATTATTGAAAATTACTCAATAAATATGTGATTAAAATTTCAGACTGCCAAAAGTATATTTTTGGGAATTTTAATAAAATATGTTTGGGAGAGGTCTGGTAATACTTTATAACCGACAAAAACGTCTGGGGTTCTTTTTTTGGATTATATAAAAACTAAAAAGATTAGACAAAAATAAAGTTGCCAAAAATACGTTTTTTTGGATATATTTTTTTGCAAATGTTATATACTGCGCAATAACGAAATAACCCCAAACGCCTATACCAGACTCGATAGACTGGACTCGCCAATTGACGAAATTTTATTTTTTCACAATTTCAACTTGCCAAGAGGACCTTCTCAAAAATCGTTTTTTAATACAATTGTGACACTGAATAGGTGTTGTATATTAAATTTTTCAATTAATATTGGACAACAATTTTGGTAAAAATTGGCGAAATGAAAAATAACTGCTCATGTCTGTCTCCGACTGCATAACACTGTATTCCTTAGTCAACGTGTTCTCATCTTTTTAGTTCGCTTTTTACACAGTCGAGTTTTTTTTATTTTTGTAAATAAATTTTATATTACAAATTTAATATGATATGAAAATCACAATCAAATTTCCTACGTTTTTAAAATTTGTTTAAGTTATGGTGGAATTATGAAAATAAAAACATACAGATAATAAAGAATTCTTTTATTTTAAAATACAGAGTCAAAGACTCTACAAACGACACTGCAATCTGGAGAGCTATTGCGATTTAATGTGATAATATATCAAATACTATATATCGTTACTTAATAAACTAGACCATAAATAATTTAGCATACAATGTACACAGCTCTGCGTTAGCGTTAAGGATTACTCCAAGTTTATATATAAACGTGAAGCACTTACATATAACTTACACCAAAATAAATAAAAATTGTGAAAATACCGATCTAAACCAGACAATGTCTGTATGCAATGGCTACTCAAGACTTCATTAAATGGGAATGTTGTGATTGTAAAATGCCATACAGTAACTTGCTCAAATTAAATGTGCTAAGCTACAGGTGAACATTTTAAATAGTATATTAAAAAAAACTTTACTTATTTACAGAGTAATTAGGTATCGATTAAGTAAATTAAGGTTACAGTAAATAAATTAAGAAATTATATATATAAATCTGTTACTATACACAAAACACATAACCCTCCTTTGGGCTTCTCCGCAGTCGGGTAAATAGATATTCGTTATTAATCTGATAACATGAAGTCTTGACAGTCCACACTAGCTAGCTATAGGAACCAGTTCTAAAATTTTCTAAAGTTGTGAGCTTACATTAAAATAAAGTATAAACTATCCAATTAGTCACTGGTAAAATCAGGAATATCACTGAAAGAAACAGCCACATACTGTATGTTTATAATCAATTAAAATTAAACAAACAATAATATAAGCTTACTATAATGCGAGATGTACAATACATTTTTGATTACATGGATTTTAGCAAGAGACTGTGTTCACCCAAAACATATCATTATACAAAAGAAAAATATTTTGATAGACAAAGTATGCTAAAAATAATTACAGAACAAACAAAATATTATTCAGCGAACAAATCTCATATATCAATGCTTATTTGTAAGATTGCAAATCATCAAACATCTCGCATTAGCAAGAGAATATTATCATTCAAATTTACCCCAAAAATATATATTCCTGACCTTTGTACACAAAAATCTAAGATCCTTCAATACAGATTGCATAAAGTAGTGCAATTACATTTTTTTAGAATATTTTGCATGACCACAAAACTTAGAATTTTTGATTATAGCTACAATTATTTTTACTAATTACAACATATAATCTATAATATATTAGAATTTTTGTGGTCAAACTTGTGTCATTAATTACAAGTTACAAGTATTTTTATAGAACAAATCTTTAGCAAAAGACACACAAACAATGTTGAGAAAAAATAATTTAAAAGAAAATAATTTAACAAATAAGAATATTTAATTTATCTTTTTATTTTGTCTTTCGGGTGCGACCTTATTTATAAAATACAAATAACCTTTCAATTTAATTGAATGTGTGTGATCATAAAGTTGACTGTAAATATTTTGTGATGAAAATGTTAAGCGTACAATACAAATGTTGCATTTAAATTTTTGTACAAAAATGTCTTTTAGTGATAGCAACACTAGTGTATGACATGTTTTATTTTTACATACACTGCAAAAATATACATACATAGAGTTAACAAGCAGCCTACGTCTTTTAATGGGAATATACAAATGAAAAAGCCATATTTGATGAATAAAAATGACAAATGTAAGCAATTTTGTGTCATAAATAGCAATTATATTTATATGTACTTATTTCTTTATTTATACATTACTTTAGCAAATATTGCCATTCATTCAATATATTATATCCTGTGAATAGAATAAAACAGTTATCGCCGCCATGCGGGCAATATTTGCGCACGTAAAGCTTGTCTACTCTACATATATACTTTAATGGTATTCCCAGAGATTGGATACAATAAGATTATATACATAATACAATGTACATAAAATTTTCAATACTCACTCGACTTGACTAAACTAAAAATCTATACTTTGACAACATCAATAGCTTTCGATCTAAGAAATAATTAAAAAATAAAATTCTCAGTCTTCTATTAAATAGTTATTGTAGATCATTTTAAATTAGATCTTGCGATTTACAGTGTATCATACAATTTATACAATATATAGAAATTGACCCGATCCTAACTTTACATACTAAATTGTTTTGTTAACAAAACCCTATTTGTGATGATGATATAAGTAAATTTTAATTGTAAGTATTTTTCGAGCACTCTCGCGTATATTTTGCGCGATGTTTTACTCAAATTGAAGTCGATGGCAGTGTACCACAACACAAATATTAACTAAGAATAATATAATTAATTTATACTCACTAAATAAGAACAGAGTTCGAAAACGACTCACTAATATTATAAGTAGACAACACATAGTCCCCCAATATTTATTTTTTATATTAATTTAATTAAATTGTTCATTGTCGCCTTCTTGTGCATGTTACAATTGAATGATTAAAATATGAAATATTTCAGTTAGTTTTGATTGTCAGTATGCACTTCTCATGTTATAGTCCAGAACAAAGCCAAACGTATTAGACGTCTTGACATGCTTTATATTATATAAATGCAACATATTCAACATATCATTTGTTCATGTCTGCCCTTGAACGTCCAACCACACGCCCTCAAATTAGATGTCATACAAATATCTGAAAAGTCTCTTGTAAATGAAATTAGAAAGCATTTCATGACAGGTTATTCCATTTGAGATATAAACTCTGGTCACTTAAAAGTTCATGACAATTGGTTTTGAAGTTCATCACTAATATTACATATAATAAATACAAAACTATATCTTTTCATGTTATCCTTTTATGCAGCAGCAGTATATTTGTATATAATTTGTTGGCTGAAGAGTGATCAAGGTTAATAATATTCCAGTGCATCGTCAACACAGCCGTTGCTAAAGAGAGCTCACTTCTAGTTTAGAGCGCAGACAAATCAATTCATGTTCCATTGTTCAGAGCACATTATTCCACCACATCACTCAAAACGCTCTGCTAACCATACAAGCTGGGAAGTCCACCAGAAGGCGCGTTGATCAAACCGCCTTTGCCATAATCCCTTGCGAAATACATTTCATAGCTCCATTAGACACTTCCATAGCACATCAAAGACTGTCTGAACACATCACTCAACATAATCCGTTCTCCATATACATAAGAGGTCCGCCGGAGAGCACGTTAGTTATAGCGCACACTTGGCGTGTTCAAATCGTTTTAACACAATCCTATGGGATTTACATATTGTTGCTTCATTAAACACTTTTATAGCAGATCACAGAGTGTCGGGTAACTCTGTTTTCCATATAACATGAGAGATCCGTGCGAGTTAGTTGGCTCGCGCGCGTTTGGCGTGCGAGGAGGGCGGCGCGTGCGCGGGCCGCGGCGGCTGGTGAGGCGCGTCGTCCGCCAGCCCTGACCGCATCATGTACTTGAACTGCGGCATGTGCTGCATCACGTCTCGGATCTGGACCAGAGCCATGCCGTTCTCCCCGGCAGCTGCTGATTTGCATTTGCCAGAGTTCCGGAGCACTTGGAGTTGTGTTCTGGAAGAGGATGGTAAATAGAAATTATTAGATATTAGTTATGATTTCATTATCATTTAAAACAAAATTTAGCTTTACTTACATATTGACAATTAAATTAAAAAATATATTAATAGTGATAACACAAAAATGCCTATAAAAATCTATTTGAATAAACATTTTGATACTCTAACAAAACTTTTTTTTTTAAGTGTCACCTACCGCTTTTCCATTAAGCGTACCCCATACAAAACAGTTCTAACAGGTACTAAAAGGTATCTAAATGACTACTTTGTGTATCATATATTATATACTAACGTGTTAGGCCTGAATAGCGTGAGTCCGAGCGCGTCGAGCATGGCGCGGCACGTAGCGAGCGGCACGCGCGGGAAGAAGTGGCTGGCCAGGTCGGGCAGCGTCATCAGCAGCTCCGTGTACTGGTAGGGCTTGGCGTTGATGCAGGGGACCATCGTGTTCTCCACTACCGCCTTTTGGACCTGGGGGGCAAGTCAATACTCAATACATTGGGAAAATAATATTTATTATTGATAATATAAAAAATATATATATTTCTATTTTTATAATAATTATTATTTACAAAAATGAATATAAATGATTAGTCATAATTTTATAAAATCAATATATTAGATTAATAATACAGATAAATAAAATTGAAGTGTCTGTTTGTAATGTAAAAATAACAGCCTTTTACTAAATGCATATGAAATTCTATACAGTACTTATAAGAAAAATATTTATTTTTTAATTTTTGTCTGTGTCTGTTCCGCATAATCTCTGAAACGACTGGACTGATTTTGACAGGACTTTCACTGGAAGATAGCTGATGTTATAGGGAGTAACATAGGCTACTTTTGTCATGGGTATTTACATTTATAATACGTATGTATTTAAAGTTATATATGTGTAGTGTATCAACTATCTGGTATCTATAACACAAGCCTCGTAGCTTACCATGGAACTAGATGGTGCTGTGTGTTAATACCCCGAAATATTTATTTATTTGTTTATATTTAATAACGCGTATATATTCACCTTATACGGCGTATGGTTGCCAGTAATACTGATGTCTGGTATTGGCGTGAGCCTTTTCCGCGTGTCCACGTTGTGAGAGGTTGAGTGGCCATTCATACTCCCAGTCACTTGCGCCGAACTGTAACAATACATCTCATTAACATATCTGCCACGTTAATATTTACCACATTTTAAACTATAATTTTAACAAAGAATCTGTTACTGCTATTTAGCATTTCAACTAGTAAAATCTAAATTTTATAATTATTTAGATCTGGAAAACTATTAAATCATGAATTTAGAATTAGAAGTTTCTAAAAAATATATATATATATAAAAATAACAAAAAATAAATTCAATACAAAAAAGTAATTATAAAATAAATGGGGCAGTTTCAAGACAATGGCGAATGGAAATTGTATTAATATAGAACATCCTCTATATACATATGCATATCAAACAAACGTAAGAGGAAAACTTCTTACGTAAACATATATTGGCTTTTTACGTAAACACACATATATACAAAATAAATATATGTACATACATACATACATAGAGAGGACAGATATAATATTTATATGTTATGTAATATATAATACAGATACACTTTGTGATTATACGCTTGCAATTAAACACTAAAAAGCATACTTATCTAATCTAAATCTCTATTGATCCTTTTAATCCCACCATTAAAGAACAAACCAAACAATAACTATATAACATAAAATATGGTTTAAACTACTTATACATATTAATTTAATTTATATATAGAAATAATAGAAACCCAATGTGTATACATATTACTGAAAGCGAAGTTTTCCTGTTATTTAACAAATAATATTTACATACTTGTAATCGACCAGAACATACATACATATATAGAGGCTGTCATTTTTTATTCAATTTCGTAAAATTATATTACAAACGCGAAAATAAAATGGCAAGAAGTACCATGTTTCTCTTGTTGGCGAGAAAATGTTATTATCATATGGAATTTATATCAATATATGTAGATGTACAGCGATATCCGCGTGTAAAAGTTAGTAAAATAATAAATGCTCACTTCATGGTTGTTGTGTTGGCCGTACTCCTCACTAGAGGTGGGGGCGGCTGCTGACCCATCGCCATTGTTATTGAACTGTTCGGAAACTGGAATAAACGATAAGAGAAATGTTTCACCACTATATGCTTAGCTATTCGCCATGAACTTTTGTATTTGGGATATGATAAGGATTGCGATTTAAAAAAATGATATACACATACTCACATACATACATACATACATAATATAAAGTGCGTAAGTAAGTTTGTACATCTTATAAGAAGCAAGGGATTAATCTAAGTAAGGTGTTTAATCCATTTTATACCCACGATGCCAAGTGGTCTCCCGTAGGAAACTATAATATAATTTTACTAAATATCAACAATTTTTGATGTATTTATAAACACTAAATATACCTAATTTATGAGAGGTCGCGACTTTAACTCAAACGTTGTAATGATCATACAAATGCCTTATTCTGGCTAAACTAAAAACTCTATCCCAAAAATATTAAAGGCGCAAGATAAACCCACAGAGAACCTATTCTTAGCACGTCGTCAGTAACAAAATTTTATGAGCAATTTTGTTTGTCCTGACCTAGAAATATACACGGTTATTGCTATAAATGGGAATTACATAATAAATATGTAAAGATGTCTAAAATGTTCCGCTGCAGATATTATAATGTTTCTTTACATAACGTGCACATTTTATACACAAATCTGTTTAAAAAAAAACTTCAAATATATAAGTATTCGGTTTTACATAGCGGAGTTCATTAGCTGTTCATTCGTTAGCAACATAATCGCGAACACAATCGCGTATTAGAAAAATTGTTTAGGAGAGAGATTTTATCTTGTTACATCGAACGAAGGTCAAATTATTAGATATAATATCTAATAATATAGATTGTGAATAAAAAAATATATTGGAACTATCGTATAATAATAATATCGTATAACAATAAATAATAGTTTTTTTAAACCATAAGTATCAAACAAACCGCTTTAAATGTTTCACAGAATTGATTTTTTAATCACGTTGTGAAGGGTAAAAAATTAAAAATACTTTCCAAACCCAAGTATTGAAATCGCGATTATTTTATATAAATTAATAATTGGAAACAAATAAAAATATATAAATCAATCTAATTACTTTGAACAAAATAAACAATCAAACCGTTTAATTACAATTTACAACATAAAATAAAACAAAATGTTTAAAATAATATACCTACAACATTCACGTTATAAAAGCTTGGTCTTATATGCAAAATAGAAAATCCCATACAAAATATATGAATAAGGATAATGTTAAATTATAAATGCTAGACAATACTAAGAACTGGTCAATTTTGAATTTTCTAAGAATTATAACTATTTAAAGAACTAAAATATAATTCATTCATATTAGAATTCTCGCTTCTCGGAGTTAGATCAATGCATTTCAAACGGATGATTTACAGCTTACAGTATTAGACGCCTCAAAGGTAATTAGTAATTACTAATTATACATTATAATTCGTTAAAGACAGTGCCTACCCACAAATTTAAAAAATGTTTTAAAAAATGGCACTAAAGTACCTTACAATATTTCTTAATTTTAATTCAAAATATTTAAAAAAAAAAACAAAAAAAAATTAATGAATTTTTAATTGAATAAACATCGAGAACCAAAAAAACCGTAAACAAAATTTTATTTAAAATGTCAAATATTTTTGGTAAATCTAAGAAAGTATTTTGTATTTCCAACGATTAAAAGAGTCAAGATAATTAATCCATCTTAGTAACATTATTATTAATTTAAAAACCAATGTTTCGATTGTTTGGCCTACAAGAGATATGTAGATATCTGACTTAAATACAAGCAAACTCGTCAAATCTCTATCTCGAGTAGGTGAAACGATCGAAATATATGCTATTAGTAAGTCCCCGACATACCTGTACATTACGATTGTGTTGAGACCGATGTTGGGGCATAGACGCGGCCGCGGCCATTGCGTTGCTGTACCGCGCCGCGGCTTGCGCTTGCGCAGCTACTTGAGCCTATGGGGAGATAAACCGAAATTTTATTAGTCTCTTATTATTATATAAACTATTAAGTATTATTTTAAAAGGTAATTAAAAGTGGGAAAAAATATATAAATGATACAAGAAAATTCCATTACATTTTTATAAAAAACAATTGAAACCTAAAAAGAAACAATCTATTAGCAAAGCGATAACTGCTGCTAATATTTGATAAATTGAATTTACTTTAAATATAGGGAGCATCTAACATGATCAACCTGAGATGTTGAACACTAGGTTAAGCGGATAACATCAAAAACGTACTATCGTACAATAATAATATCTTGATCAAAAAGATTATTAGCCAGATTAAAGAGATAAGTATGCTCATACACTTGCTGATAGTCTAAGCACAGATACTAAAATTCATTAGCAAAAACGACTAACCTGAGCAAGCCTTAAAACTTGTTGCGTTTGCGCCTGCGTCAACGTTCCGGGTAGATTCCATCCGTTGGAGAGTGCTTGTACGGCCGCGGCGGATATGCCGGCGTGCGGCATTTGCATTGCTGAGGATGCTGCAGAGTGTCTCTGTGTGGGCCTCCTTCCTCTCGATGGCACGTTGCCCAGAGACACGCCGCTGCCCACGCCCACTCCACCCACTGCACCTGGTGGCGGTGCGGGAGGCGCTCGCGTCCATTGCCCACCGCCGGATACTGATCCTGAAAACAACAATTGTTTTGTTTATAATTTTAATTTATAACGAGTATTCCTATAAATAATATTGAACCGAAGGGTAGCTAAGCTACCTCGTGTGTGTATGTATTTTTTTGTCACGAGACATATTGAGGGCCGAGGGGGGGAGATAGTTTGTTCCGAAATAAAACAGGAAGCACGCCGCGCTCAGTTATTGAATATCGTACACGATAAAGGATGCGTATGCGTCTAATGTCCCTACCCCAAAAATAGAAATAAAGCGTAACTTATTTTAAAAATATCTTGTTCTATAACAGGCGACTAATATAGAGTCTAAGGTTGATGCTTAGTTTGCATCCACCAATTTATCTAAAAGCCACAATACACAGTTGGAGCTGTAACTTTATATCTCTCTCAAGCATTTATGATGTGAATTATGTATAGTACACTCCTCCTACAAAGTTACAAGTCCTGTATAAAATTTATACTATACTTATTTATTTCATATATTCAAACAGACTGACAAACATTTTAAAATTATATATTGTTTTTTTTTTATATCTTTTATACTGTTTAAATCTAAAAATAATTTACCACTATTTAAATTCAACAAGTCAGTTCAAATATATGAACGTTGAAAAAGATTTAGAGTGCACTCAATTACTATAAACTATTTTGCTCTTTATCACTGTGCCAAGATATGCATTATCCGAGTATCATACACTTATACATACATTATGTTAATAGCCTTATTATATATTTATGTATATACAAATATACTATATACTAGTTTGTGGAAGATGATATTTTGTAGTTATACTTCTTTTGGCAAATTAGGAAAAAAATATGAGAGTAAAATTTTTACGATGAAGTTAGCTGCATTCCTTTTACAAACAGAGAGTTGTGACATACGGGATGACATCTTTAGCTATTTTTGTTCTGTTACGCCAAAGAAGTATAACTTCTTTCGTGCATACGTAAGTACACACACGTTTTTTTACATTAAATCATGTCTATGATCATATGACCTGATAGATGAGTCACAAATATGTTTGTGTCTGATCCTAACTTTTCTTTATATTATTATATGAAAAATCCGGACAAGTGCGAGTCACACCATACACCTAATAGGGACTAAAGACCTCAGTATCTGGTATTTTGGACTTGCTAGGTCCACCCGTTCCTCAGAACAGCGGTGGTGACACACAAACAGACGGACAAGAGAGTGATCTTATAAGGGTTCCCTTTTTTACCTTTTGAGGTACGGAACCCTAAAAACTATTCTAACAATAAGTGATCAACATCTTTTTTTCTATATATCATTTAGGTTCTACGAAAGGACCTAGCAGCAGCTTGGTCTCCAATCGTTACATCTCGTCATGTTGCAAACTTAATGATATACTATACATACCTACTTAGATAAAGAACCCCTCCTCATATCAAATATATTATAAAACAAAATATTGTAACCACCTAATAGTAATTTTAAAATTATTTAGTTTTATTCTATTTATAAAACTATTTATCCGCAGCTCCGTTCACGTTCGTCGATAAAAACGGCCCTTTACTCAGGGACAGCGCAGCTTTCTAGTAGTGAAAGAAATTTAACATCGGTTCAGTAGTTCCAGATTATCGTACATAAAAACAAATCTTATCATATTAAATGAGCAACTCTTGTATAGAATATAGAAAACATATAAATTTATTTCGTGTATCTCAGAAACGATTAGAATCAAATTTTGAATTTAGATAAGGTTTTGCTTTTTAAGTTTATCTATGGGCATTCCATCCCAAATGGGACGGATTCAAATTTTTGTTTTTATTTTCTTAATATTTTGGTATTTTTCAGTACCCTTCAAAAGAGGCTTCCTGGTAAATTTTGACATTTTTTGATCGCTGGTCGGATTTCGCGTGGAATGCTCCCTATACATATATAATGGTTATTTTCTGAAAAATAAAAGCATTTTTTTATACCTTCCCCTAAAAATGTAGAGCGAAGCTCGGTCGCTTGGGTACTATATGCATGTATGTAATAGTGCAAGAATTAGAAGTAACAAAATTCTAACTCAGTCGAATCTGAATATCAAATATTTTTTTGGAAAATCATATTGAAATAGTCATCATTATCGATACAGAGGCCGAATCTATAGCTTTTAGAATGTTTGTCTGTCTGTCTGTCTGGGAATGCATAACAAGAAAATCACTGGAAAGATTTTGATGAAGTTTACTATGTAAATCATAGCTGGTTATCCGGATCAACATATATGATACTTTTTACCGCGGGGGGAAAATACCTTATCTCTGAGAAATTTGAACTAAACCTTAAAACGTAACTTGGGACGAACCCGTGCGGAGCGAGGTGAGTCGTTAGTAATTTATATAAATAAGAATTATAATTTATCTATACTAATATTATAAAGAGGTAAAGTTTGTGATCTTGTGAGTTTGTGGGTTTGTGAGTTTGTGACGTTGTAGGGGGTAATCTCTGGATCTACTGAACCGATTTTCAAAATTCTTTTACCAATAGAAAGCCACGTTCTTTCTGAGTGTCATAGGCTATATATATACCCGAAGAATAAAAAGGCTTTTTCGTGGTAGTCGGATTTGCAAAGTAAGTCGGAGAAAAAACGGTCGAACGAAAACGTTTCTTACGCACGCTGCCTTAACCATGAGAGATATATGATTATGTTCTAGAGAAAAGTTGTAGAGCTTAATAATGCCTACAAAAAAGTCAGCGATAGCATATATCTAACTTTTATATTTAAGTCACAAAAAGTAGTTTTTTATATTAAAAAAATCATTTAAATCGGTAGGTCATGTTTATTGGTCATATTATCAACAATTTTGGAAATGTCATAACTTTTTTTATTATAGATATAGAATAAATACTTAATCAAATGTTTTAAAGATCTTCGTTATTTAAAGTAATGTTTTGATTAAGGAGAACTTTCCCGATTTCCATCGAAAGTATGTTTTTAAAATATAGTATCGCTGTCTCTTAGTCTGTCTATCTGAACACGATAAACTCAAAAAATACCAAACGGATTTTTATACGGTTTTCACCAATAGATGGAGTGACTCATGAGGAAGGTTTAGGTGTATAATACATTAAGATTTTGAGTAAATTGGCTGAAATGTGACGACGATTGTTAAAGATGTCGGAAAATATCATGCTGACTGGGAGCTTTATTGGCGTACGCCGCGTAAACTTATGTGAAAACAATGTATTACAGAATTATTCCTCTTAAAAAATCCTATTAGACTCTAGCAACGCTATGTGTAACTATATAAGAAACCAAAGTCATTAAGAAATAATATTAACGCAACTTTTATTTACTGCTTTATCTCTACTTAATATCAAACAACCAACAAGACATTCTTTTGATAAGTGCTCTTTTTCATCGAGAAGTAAAACGATAAATTATTTATTTATCTATTTATGTATTTATCTATTTATCTTACTTACTTACATACTTACTCACTCACTCACTTAATGATTGATTTATCGATCGACTGATCGATCGATTGATCGATCGACTGATCGATCGAATGATCGATAGACTGATCGATCGACTGATCGATCGACTGATCGATCGACTGATCGGTTGACTGATCGGTCGACTGATCGGTCGACTGATCGATCGACTGATCGATCGATTGATTGATTGTTCTATTTATCTATCACTTGCTTGAAGGAAAACACCGTGAGGAAACCTGCATGTCTGAGAGGACCTAGCAAGTTTTCGAAATGCATGTGAAGTCCGCCAATCCTCACTTGGCCAACGTGGTGGACTATGGCCTGATCCTCCTCGTATTAAACGGGAGGCCCGTGCTTAGCACAGTGGGACGTTAAAAAGGGTTGAATACAAACATACATACAAAAATAGCTTTCTAAATAAAAATTAGCCTTCTAAGTTATAGTAACAGAATGTGTCATATAGACCGTCGAACGGACGGAAACGGCAAAATTGTAAATTATTAATTTTGCCATTAAGTAATTGACTCTGAAACCATTATATACTATAATAAAACAGTAGAGGTCGAATGTCTGTACATAGCAAAAAAAGCTAAAAGAAGACAAATAAAACAAATCCAGATTTTTTCAATTTTTTTTGTTTCTCTGTCTGTTTGTACGGGCTAATCTCCGAATCTATAGGGACCAATTTAAATGAAATTTTGCATGGTGGTACCTTATATCTCCGTGCAACATCTTAGATATCTTTTTATCCCGGAAAATTAAATAGTTCCCGTGGGATAGTTAAAAAACTATAATAACTTAAACACCTTAGTACACAACAACTTATGCACCTAATTTAGAAAAATGTAACATTCTGATACCTTATATTGCCGGTTAAATAACAGGTTATTTTTCATCCCGGAAAAATAAACAGTTCCCGTGGGAACTAATAGATCTCTATTAGTGTTTAATCCATAAAATATATACAAAAATGAAACTTCTGCACAGATATAGTCAATGCACATGATTTTTATCATGTCAAGGCTGCCTTGAAGGTCTAACCTCAATACCAAACCACTTTTTAATTCAAACGAAGTATCTAGCGTACATGTTGTTAAAAGACTTTGTATTTAATTTCTTATGTTAATTATACTAGCATTGCTCGCGGCTCCGCCCGCGTTCAGATGACCAAAAACCCAATTCTTAGGTTTACATATTAGTATACTCTTACATTGCAGTTTTTGTACTATTTCCCAGAAATGACACATTTTCCCGCGGTAACAAGTATCCTATATGTTCAACCTGATAACGAGCTATCACCATACCAAATTTCATCAAAATCCCTCCAGTGGTTTTTCTGTGATGCGGTAACAGACAGACAGACAAAATTTTTAAAAACTATAGATTCGGCTTCTGTATCGATAACAATGTTCATTTCAATAAGATTTTCCAAAAAATATATAAAATACAGATTCGGCTAAGTTACAATTTTATTATATGTATAGATATGGTTTTGTCTTGACAAAATCAACCAGCTAACCAGCTGAGGCAGTAAGAAATATTGGTAGTTAAAGCCTCCTATTTAAAACGTTACGTCAATGCATAAAGCCAGTTGTTCAGTAAAAAGTGATCTTGACCTGCAGTTTAAGGAAAATTGGCAACTGCGTAGTTTCTTCATTAATGACAATAATGCAAAATCCACAAAAATATTATATTAGCACTTACGCACAGTTTAAAAGTTGATTGTAAGCATAAAGTATACATAGAGAGTAGAGACAGTAAATTTTAAGATACGCTCATCTATCCGTATAATAAAATTGTAACGAAGTCAAAGCTTTTCATGATGAATTTAAATTTAAAGTATTGTTCAAAATGTAATAAAAACTGTGTCTACAGTTTTACGGTGGTTTTTTATTTAATGTTTATAATTCTTTTCGTTGCAAGTAGCAAATAGGACTTAAAAATAAATCTAATATGTTTTACTTCATACTTTCTTAGATTTAGGCGAATATTAAACATTTTAAATATTTTTTTTATTAAAAATTATAAAAATGTTTAATTCATTTTGTTATTTGTGGGTAGGCTGTCTGTAACAACTATTTAGTACCTTTGAGACAACTAACACCTTAGTCTCTCCCGTGACCATGATTGCTATAAAGCGTTAGAAACGTCGGGAACCAAAAATCAAAATAAATGCGCGAAAAAATGCCAGCCGATGCAAAAATCTAATATATTTCGATAGGTAAAATACATATTTACCTATTACTTATTACATATTCATATATCTTAAAATATTGTATTCAATATATCATATTATATCTTAATATATCTTAAAATATTGTAGGCTGGAACCGACTTCGAAAATATCTGGTTATAAGGTATCTATTCTACATGAAAACCTCTGTTATTTTTTACATTTTAGTACCTTGAAGTCGTTTTTATTTTTTTTAAGTCTTTATTTTTCCATTTTTAGTGTAAACGTAATAAGCAGGTAATTTGTAAGAAGAAAGTTTTTTAATAACATATTCGATTAAACAATTTATTTAAAAAAAATTATTATTGTTGATTTTTTTTTAAACCGCTCGACCACCTGGGAAGTATACCCTTTTAAATAAAAAAAATTCCAAATCGGATCAGGCGTCTTCGACTAATTGGTGAACATACATAAAAAAAAAGATTCCGACGAATTGAGAACCTCCTCCTTTTTGGAAGTCGGTTAAAAAAGCCCGCGCTTTATGAACTTTACAATATTAAAGCGGTGCCGTTTTATAGAGGTCCTGAAAGGTCACGATGTTTAAGTTTTTGGGTCAGATATACGTCTGTCAGACCCAGACTATACATTTTTTTACACAATATTTTATTGCAAATAAGATGTAAAAATATAATATTAAACTTAAAACATGTTTGATTGTTAGTTATATAATTTTGCACTCCTATATTATGAAATTCTTATACGTGCATATAAAATTGGGAGTTTGTATGATGCTCAAAATATTCTGCACATATTTAGTAAGGTTATTTACATGATATCAAGACGCAATTAACGTTAAAACGTTTAGTATACCTATCTGTAATGTACCCAATCAAACAGTTATACCGATTTTGACGTAATTTTTATTGCTGTATGCACTCATGTAGGGTTTTAGTTTATGTTGTGGAAAAAAATAGAATTCCATTAAAAAGAGGTTGAATAAAGCCTATTAAATGGATAATTAAGAAAAGGGTCACAATACTATAATGTATATTTCGGGAAAAGATAAAGGCTTCATAGTGCGAAAGAAACTGAGTTTCGGCCACGAATAATGTAGACCGAAGTGAAATATACAAGAATCTTTTTACGTAATGATAAAAAGGGGTCGGAGAGTGGCACTGTGTATTCACATTCGGTACACAAAGTGGTTCCTGTGAGAACTTTATATCTTTCATAGTTACTAAAGGGCATGCGGCGTTTTAGGGCATGTGCGAAGGTAGCTTTTATTGAAACTTGCGTTGAAAGTTCTATAATGCGATAGAGTATGTTCGCTCTTCTAACAGTGCTTAATTGTATGTATTGTTGTTATTCACTTCAAAATTCAAATGCAATTCATTAATCTTTTAATATTAACATTTCTTGTAGGTATATTTGTTTTGTGTATCTCAGAAACGGCTTTTAACGATATAGAACAAACGTTGTATTCAGATAAGGTTTTGCTTTTAAGTTTTCTAAAATACCTGGGCGACCAAGTTTCTGTCGGCGTAAGCGCTCGTTTAGTAGGTTATCACTTATCATACATTGACGACAATGCAAGTACCACAAAAATTTACGAGATGGCGTTAAATGTCATTGTCAGCATGAGAACAGACAAAAAAAGCTGTAATAAGTAGTAATAGTATGTTATACATGTTTTTTGTTCTTGTGAAAAATTCCGGTTTCTTTTTTCAGAAAAACGATGAAATTGCAAAATCTAGGTAGTTTTTATAACAGGTTAAATTACATACATCTCTTAGGTATAGTAAAACATTTTCCTAAGGTCACAACACTAAAAAAATTATGGGATTAGCATATAATAAAATGATATTACAATACAAATTTATAATATTCTGTATGTTTACTTTTCTCTTTATGATCACATCTCAAATTCAAAATATTTTATTCAGCATTAAATTAAGTATTACAATAATTTTTTTACTGAACGTCATGAGTCTACTACCAGTTCGGAAAGAAGAAGCCTCAGACCTGAGAAGAACTGACTGACAGCGGGACTAATACCTATTAACTCGTTATCTTTTTTTGAAGTAAAATTATAATTTACAATATTTCTATCAAGTTGAAGTAGCCTGGAGGCGATCATTTCTGTCAATTGATTATACTGAATCTAGAAGATGTTTTTAGCTCATTTAGCCTACTGATTCTATTCCAATGAGGACTATCGTTTCTGATTCTTCTTCTCTATCTTGGCAGTTGGCGCCACTGGCGAGTGAGATCTTATCAACATCTTTGAAAAGCATTTTTTAGTGCGCTGTGCGGCAGGCCAAAAATTTATTATAATAATTATAATTGTTAGTGCGACACACGCAAAATAGGCGCATAGTCGTCGAGTTGCGGAAAACAGCCCGAACATACCATACCATACCAATTGTTAGTGCGAAAACAGTTATATCAGGATTTTAAATAATTAATCGTAACCAAATAAATAAAATATTGACGTTTTTAAGAAAAAGTAGCTGGTGCTATGGTGGAACTCGTATTCGTAAATAAAGCGATATTTCAAAATATTGTCCATAATATTATTGTGAACAGGAGGATGTCATAGAAAATCAATGGCGCGAAAACAAATGAATCACTAAATTCGAGACACAAACACACAAGCCTATATTTGAAATAAATTGGAATTTGAAATTCCTAAACTAACGCCAGATATTTGACATCAAAATAGCCAGTTCGACAAAACACCAATTTCTTATAAAATATATTTTTATTATATAGGTCAGGGATTATCATCATTGTCATAACTATATGATGATGATGATAGATATATATTTTTTTAGTGTTAATTGAATTTGAGTCATAGAAATCACTATTCATGCTTAACTGCTGACAATCCAAAAATTGAGTCATAACTATAATGAATAAATACCTATATATAATCAATAAATTTATAGATAGTAGTTAATACCTTATGTTTATAATTATAAAAAAACCTACCTACCTACTACCTAACTACATTATGTTTAAAATTATGATAATTGATTCGTAGCTGAACACAAAAAAATATACTTAGCTGAATTGAGCTTGAGTACCTTCCTATTTTTGCAGTTGGTCAAAATAATTTACCAATTAAATCAATATAATTTTTTGGCATTACCACAGTTATTTAACTTAACTATAATTATATCTAAAAAGTTTATTAATGTTAAGTAAAAGTCCATATGTATACAAGTTGCAATTAAATTATAACTTATTGAAGCTTTTTGGAGCTTAATTTTATGTTTTCTATAGGGTATAAAATAAGTACTTACAATATGATATTTATTATTATTTAAAAAAAATTACATAAATAACAGTTTAAAATAAATATTATATATAATAAGAATTAAGATTTTTTTATTACACACTAAAGAAATATTACGATGTGTTAAATGAGTATTTTTTTAAAGTAAAAAAACTTGTTTGAATAATCTTATAGGAATCAGTCAAAGAGAAATCACCATGTCTTAAGTTTTTATCTATTTATGCTCATTGTAGAGGCAATGTGTTTTAAGATGATTATTTTATTTTTTATAAACAACTTATATTCTGAACCCTTTATTTAGTTACTTAGAATATATATTTTTTTATTTCTGTTTTGTGGCTATTTCATGTCAGTGCGACCATTTCTGGTCTATTGTGATCTAACTTACTTAGAATATTTTACTTATATTCTCATTCAAACCATTGCCAAGTTCATTGCTTGAGCCTTGAGCTACTATGCATCTAATATAGTGAGTGCTATGTTATGTTACAATGAGTATGAAGAAAATTTAATCACCTCTGTAGTATTTAATTAGAATGGTAAGAGAAAACAGACTTAATAATAACAGAAAGTTCAGAGGCTTCTCTTCTCTCAATGTTAATAACTCTATTAATTTTTAATTTTAAATATTTATCTATTAATTTTTGCTAGCCATACATTAAATATTGCCAACTTGCTATATGCAGAAGGTGAATTTTTAAGAAATGTAAACAATCAAATGCTCATGTCTATTATAACATTATATTTACAAATTCCAATACAATTCTTGTTTGACAGTTTAAAAACAAAATTATTCAAATATTTGAATTAAGCATTTGAAAAATAATATTATTATTTTTGGACATATAATGCACAGAAAGTTCTAATAATGTTATAAAATATAATAAAACTATTTTTGATAGGAATGTATTCTGGAATAACTTCTTACCTTTGGCTGATATCAGGAGCTGCGAGTCAACAACTTTGTTAGGCCAATACTCCTCAAACTCGGTTCCAGGTGGAAAATAACTTTTAATGTCCGTCAAACTAATCACTGAACATGTTTCACTGGCAAACAATTCATTCCTTATGCCTTGCACCTTACAACAGAATTTTAAATATGACAAGTCCCAACCCTTCAACTGGTCAGCCTTCAATTTCAAATTATCCGTTTCACCTTCAAAGTAAAATAGAGGGACAAACTTTTGCCCATCCCGCACAGTATATGGAACTACAGATTCCTTATTTATCCTAATGAAACCACACTTGTCTTTGTTATTTGTTGTACCACGTAACAGTTTATTATAACACACATCTAAGAAATTATAGAACTCATAAGCGTCCGATAACCTCACTACTAGGTCCTTCTGAGTGAAGGGTTCCCTACCAAATTGTCCATCACAATGTCTATTGTTGATTTCGTTGAGAAGCCTGGCTTCAATCTCTGTTATATAGTAACTTCGTATACACGTACAGGAGTAGATGTCTGCATGAAGATAGTTCAGGTACTTATTTAGGAGTTTGATCTCCACCATTCGGACTGCCACGTATTTTTCTCCGGATCGGTATATGTATGGAATGTGACATTTTCCAAGCATATCCCATCCAAAGTGACCTTTCCAACTGGCTTCGTCAGGTGCTGGTGTCTTTTTGTCATCTGAAGCCGGTCGCTGTTCAGCTACTGGTGCTTGAGTCCCCGGTTTTCTCGTGAGAAAATTCAGGATACCCATTTGACCACCAACTGCCGGCGTCGGACCACCCAAGAGGGCTCCGGGTTGAGGTCGCGCGGCGGCCACAGAAGCTGCCAACGCTTTCGCCTTGTTCGCCTCCACCATCTTCGCAGCCAGCTCTCTAATTTCGGCTTCATCAGGCCGCTCTGTTTTTACTTTGATGGCAGTGGTTTCTGTCATTTTGATGTGAAAATTTATATAAAATAATACTGAAACACTCACATAAGTTTTACGATATCACTTGAACTCCCGGCTACATCGTGTCTTTGGTGGAACACTTTCAGCTACACATGGTAAACATCCAAACCGATGTACACAACATCAAATTATCACCTATCCGTTTGACAGATTAGCGATGCACAGAGCGCACTACGGGTTATTTTATTGTTATCAGTATTATTTATAATCACATTCACTAATTTTATCACATTGAGTGTCCTGTGTCCGTCCGAGGGTCTCGGTGACTAGGACTGCAATGTAAACTTCCGTCTTGACGTATGTAACTTTTAATTTATTAGTTGAACCGGCATGTGAAAAATCACTGAAAATTAATTTTAACCCGAAATTGCTTAGATATCCGCAGAAAAAAATATTTTTGTTTCCACGCTGCGGTCGAGGGAACATGAAACCCAAATTTTGTGTTCGCGAGGGAAATGCCCAATACCGTTGTATAGTCTCGTGGGGAGTGCGCATTAATTCATGTACATTTTTCACCTTTTGGTGAGTCAGCATCGAACAAAATGGCCGCCGACAAGGCTTTGTTGGCCAATCGGGCCATCGCTAGCGATATACATACCTACAAAAATCCCGTCAGTGACGTAACCGCACTCCCCACGAGACTAGTTCTCAAGGACTTTTCATTTTTAGTTCTCAAACTATCGTTCTATTTTTGGATACCCTTCCAGTTGCGGCGTTGAACACAACTAAATAAATAATATACAAAACAATAATTCAAGAAAAAAACTTATAATTAGCGTTAGAATTAGAATATAACAAAAACTTCATAATAAATCAGATTTATGAATGTACTCTTACAAAGTAGGTAGTCACTATGGATAGTCTCGTGACAGAATTTCTGCGATGCTAAGAAGTTCCCATTGAAACGTCTCTTCTAAATTCGACCTTATGTTGTTACGGATAGGATCTAAGCTCACGATCGAGTAACAATAATATCCTCCTTAACGCTAGGTGGAGCGAGACTAGTCGACGCGCGCATTCCACGAACATTAATCCCCTGCAAGAGTGAGCGAGACGGCGATAAGTAAAAAGTAGATGTCAAATGTTTAGGTATTTTACTATGAACGTAAAGAGAACGTAGGTAGGTATATAATGCAATTACGAGCTTACGTAAGCACCTCTAACCTACTTTGAAACGAAGTAGGTACCACGTAGCGGTTTTTTGGCAAAATTATTTTCGCTCACATTAGCTATAAACTTAACACAAATAAGCATTATAATTTACATTAGATAATACAACTTTCATAAACATACATTAGCATTTTAAACACTTCCGTTTTAGTTTATTGATAGTTTAATCATTGTTTATATATTGTATTTGAACAATTAAAAACTTTATTTCTGAAGGCGTAAAGTATTTAATGATACTATTCAAAAAAATCACATTATACCTAATTCTATGAATAGAAGATAGTAAAGTTCTGTTATAATACCTACTTACTTTTTGATTTTAAACCAATAGATATAACTATAGCCTGATAGGATACATCTATACTAATATTATAAAGAAATAAAGTTTGTGAGTTCGTGAGGTTGTAGAGGTTAATCTCTGGATCTACTGAACCGATTTAGATGAAATTTGGTAAGAAAATAGTTTGGGACATTGGGAAGTCATAGGATTACTTAATACTTAGGACGTTTTATAACTGAAAACATCCCTCAAGAGGGTGAAAATGGGGATGTAAGTTTGTATGGGGAATCAACCTATCGCTAGTTAAACATAACTAAAAAAAAAACTCAAAATTTAACGTCTACTATTATAATAGGTAGCACAATTTTAATCGATTTTCAAATAGGACTCGTCATGAAGTTATTTGTTTTTTATTTCATAAAAACAAAGTTTTATATTACTAATTATAAATATTAAATATACTGAGCAGTTATATAAATGTATGTGCCTAATATCTTATAGGCACAAAAAATATTATTTTGGTCTTCTAAGAATTTTAGTCTTTGTTAGTTAGATATTGCCTATAGGAAAAAAATATTGATATAAACTATAAAGTTCAAAAGAAAACGAATTATTATTAGTAGGATTTAATTCTACGAATAGATTATAACAGGTAAACAAAAATTAATCAAGTGCAAGTCGAAGTCGTATATTATAGGTTCCGTACGTCTAAGCAGCCCGATTCCACCTCTACGGCAATTAGCTTTAATGATAACTAATTCTTTACTTTGTCTTTTAATATACAACCTGCCGTAATACACTTAGTTACTACTAAAACACTTCTTATAAAATGTAATATTTTAATAAGTATATTATGATAGTATAGACAGCTAGACAGGTACACGGAGAGGCCTAAAAAGGAAACCTAAGTTTGGATATCCTTTGCGAATGTTTGTGTATATGTGTATGTTTATTATACTGATACGGTTTTACGGATGTGGATGAAAAGTATAAAGATGACCTGGAATAAGACATAGGCTGTCTGATATTCCAGGTCATGGTCTCTCTTTATGCTAAATTTCATTCACTGTTTGGCACCTGCTAGGTACTCTGGGCAGTGGTAACCCAGTGGTAACGCGCTCGTTTGGAAATCCAGTGAAGCGAGTTCAAATCCCGGGTCTCGCACCTCTGATATTTTCATGTGCGAATCATTTCCAACATGATTACCACTTAACGGTGAAGGAAAACATCATGAGGAAATCTGCATGTCTGAGAGAATCTAGCAAGTTTTCAAAAGACATGTGAAATACGCCAAACCGCACTTGGCCAGCGTGTTGGACTATGGCATAAGTCTCCTCGTACTGAAGGCAGGCACGTGCCCAGCAGTGGGACGTTAAAAAAGGGGCTGAATACAAGGCACTATACCAGAGCGAAGTGAGAGTAAGAAGAAGCAAGAATAAGCTAGTGTATTGTTTGTCCGTCTTTCTCGTCCCATTCGTGATAATTGCCTTGGGATTTTAAACTGTTACAGAATGTTACGGATTACTTATTTTAAATAAAATTAGATATCTACGCAAAAGTTATTTCTTTCCCCGAATTCGCCAAGTTACTTACTATTTTAGAATTACTCCTTAAACGATCGACTACAACAAAAGGAAGGTTTGGGTAATTTAGTTGGGGTGTATGTTTTTATTAATATGCTAGCACTTCAAGTAGGCAAGGCGTTGTCTTGCCTGAAAAGTTGGGAAAATAAAGATTGTTGCTGTCTCATTTTTTATATGTGAAAAATCTATACTAATATTATAAATATGAAAGTGTGTTTGTTTGTTTGTCTTTCTTTGACGTCGAAACGGCTTGGCGGATTGGCGTGATTTTTTGTGTGGATATAGTTGGATGGCTTGAAAATGACGCAGGCTACTTTTTACTACGGGAGATCATCTCTTTCCCATATTAGATCAGAATTACTTGAAACTTGGTATAAATACTCTTCAATACAATTAATTAAATACATGTTTAAGCATTTTTAGAAATTCATCCCATAAGGCAAATCGCTATTTACCTATGAAAGTTTGTATGAAACATAGTTTTAGCGAATAGCACAAAATAAAACTAAATAAAAAATAGGTTGGAAAACTAAAATAAAAAAAAATCTGTAAACAGCGCCATCTAACGGATCCAACTATAGCAAAAAATCATCCAAGTGACTCCAAAAGTACAAAAAAAATTAATTAAAATTCATCAAAATCGGTCAAGCCATTTAGGAGAAAAAGAATTACGAAGGCGGTTATTTTATATATGTATTACAAAGATTACGTATTTTTGTGAAGTCGGTGTAACTGTTCTATTAAAAAGTTATTATTACATTTAATTTTTACCCTTTCCGCAATTAACTCATTTTGTTTCATATGGGCTCAGACCAATAAAACGTTTTTATTGGTCTGAGCATATGGGATTGAATTTTAAAAATATTCTAGTGATTTTTTCAGAAAAACATTATTTGCCATAAAATCTTTTTTACTCCTTTACGGTTTTATTAACCGACTTCCAAAAAGGAGGAGGTTCTCAATTCGTCGTAATCTTTTTTTTACTTTTTAACGGTAACATTAAAAAAATAGCTAAGAATGAATCAGATTCGCGTTTAATCTTTCAGAAAATTATAATTATTGTATGATTTTGGTACGGAACATACAGTACGTGAGTCCGTCTCGACCTAGGCTGATTTTTATAGTACTTATGCATACATACTTCAATGCCTATCTATCTGACTTCTTTATATATATATATATATATATATATATATATATCTATCTTACAACACAATAAATGTTTATACCTACATTGTACAAAAAATTACAGAAATTTTTACTATAAAAATCGTGTGCCCAAGCTATTTCCTGACAAGAAAAATTGAACAGGAAACTAGGCTTTGGCTGACCGAGTTCTGTCCTCATATAACTTGCTAGCCATTGACCGTCATTTCTTACGACTCATGCCATAGGTTGACCTAAACTCGAAATAACTGCAAATAGAATATTTTTTACGAACTTATAGTTAAATATATACTTTTTAAAATATGACTTTGTTGTTAATGATTATATATTAACATTATCAGCAATTATTTTTAAGTCAAAAATCATTAAGCACTGTGACCTCTGAATACATATTTTGTGACATTCCGTGCGAAGGTAAACTTACTTTTAAAATAAAACGCAATAATAGTGATTATTATTTCCTATATATTTATTTTAAAATGATTAAAAAATTATATCGACTTACAAGCACTTTGCCCCCGCATCACCTGGATGTCTTTTGGAACGAAGTTGCTTATCTACGAGTATTATAAGTTACACTTTGCATTTGTAGCTTGTGGTCCCCTAGTCCTCGTGACAATTATTGTCACCAGATATGATGAGTTAAGGGCCCATAATGTGACGTCATCCTTTAAAGTACCAGGCAATCATAAGTGTTAATGTATAGTGTACGAAATAAGTGTGCACTGTGTGCTGCACAGGGCCTTTCTTTGACAAGCTTCAACATGTACATTGTGCGTTGCTTGATAGTTTTGTTTATGAAACTCTAGTTCTCGTGACAATTTTTATGACCTAATTTATGAGCCAAAGGCAGACAGCGAAAGCAACTTCGTTTCTACTGGGTGTCCCACGATGCCGATAGACTTTTTCGGGTTCCGTACCCAAAGGGTAAAACGGGATCCTATTACTAAGACTCCGCTGTCCGGACATACAGACGGACCTCTGTCACCAGGCTGTATCTCATGAACCGTGATAGTAAGACAGTTGAAATTTTCACAGATGGTGTATTTCTTTTGCCGCTATAACAACAAATACTAAAAACAGAACAAAATAAATATTTAAGGGGGGCTCCCATACAACAAATGTGATTTTTTTTGCTCGTTAACGGCAACAGGTAGACGCTTGAAATATTCACAGAATATTTAGTTATTTATTTACTTTAAAAATAAATAATTTAATTAAAATAAAACAAATATTTAAGTGGGGCTCCCATACAACAGTCATGATTTTTTGCCGTTTTTATATATAATGGTACAGGACCCTTCGTACGCGAGTTCGACTCGCACTTGGCCGGTTTTATTTTGTCCACATATCCAAGGGCTTGCTCTCTCGGTCCAATTGGGTGGATTGCTGAAAGCTTGGATTGGTGAACACACATCTTAGGATTACTTGCCTACCTCAAATTCTAAAGTAAATATAATCTTTAGCACTGATGGCTGCTACATAAATAAATATCTTGAATATTTCTAGAAGAATTGAAATACTTAATTTGTAACTATTTTATTATATCTATACATATAATAAAATAGTAACCTAGCGAAATCTGTACATGAAATAACTGGTTCGAGTCATCCTTAGTTTACATGGCTAACGCTGGCTAAACATGTTAAGTTTAAAAACGACATGGTTTAACTTAAAAAGGGCTATAGCAAAGTCCGCAATATCAAGCATGAGTCTATCTCTTAAGGTACACTCAGTACTCACAAAAACTATTTATATTTAAAACGTACCTTAAAGGGTCTAGGGAGTAGGGACGTACCCAAGCGAAGCTCGGGTAAGTTGCTAGTGTATAGATAATAGTTAAGCATTATTAGGGTCCCATACCTCCAAAAAAATAATAATAGGGGTTGATTTCAGGCAGGCGGCCGGTCGTAAAACTTTTGCCAAAACCGATCAGCAGTAAGGAAGACGTACTGTGCTGACTCCAAGTAATTTGGGAAATGGACAGAAGGATGATGACCTCTAATGAAATTATAATATGATCAGCTTATTAAAGTTGATATTAGCAAATGTATTGCCTCTACGCTTCGTAGGATTTAAAATGATTATGAATTACTCGTAAACTTTGTTTTAAAAAGTAAAAGTAAAAGTTTTATATATATATATATATATATATATATATATATATATATATATATATATATATATATATATTAATAAAAACCTCTAGGATAAGTACCTTCTTTCTGTTGATCTAGTGTTATGTTTGTGAAGAAGTAAGGTCTCATCAATCAATCAAGCTTGGAAACTCTTACATCTTGTAAAGGGATGTGGCACTTTATACACTTAGACTTTTTTTTTGAATTCATTTTGTTAATTTGCTATCTGTCAACATATAGGATTTTTACCGGAAAATGTCTCATTTCTGAGAAAAAATACAAAAACTGCAATGTAAGAGTATACTGTTATGTAAAACCTAAGAATTTGGTTTTTGGTCATCGGAACGCGGGCTGAGCCGCGGGTAATGCTAGTTTCGTCATAAAATAAGCCATTTACTCCCGTCCAAATAGGACTCTGCTGACGAAAGACTCCTTGGCCGACTGAAGTTGACTATCTATTTTTCAATACCTAAGTGATTATAAATAAAGAAAAAAAAAATAACTGTAATCTTACAAAAAGCTTTTTATAAAACTCATTTTATTTTTATATCTTCAATGACAAGGACGAATTTAATCTGCTTACATTCACAAATGACGTAATTTCTGATATTTTAAAGTTGACTATAATTAAAATATAAGTTTTTTTTATTAGGTACCAAAATTATAAATAACTAGAATCTCAACCTGGTTTCCTTCACGTATACCTATTACTTAACTAGCAGTAATGAGCATTAACTATCTATGTCCTGAGCAGCCTATATTCATCTACTGGCCCCCTACCTTTTTTTAGATCAATGATCCATCGTGCTAGGCGGACAAACGTCTTCCACTATGTGTGCCTAAACGAGATCTAGAGACCCTCTGGACCATCTGGAGAACCTGGAAACATAACTGGCCCACTTTCACTACAGTTTGCTTATTCATCATACGACGTTGAATAAGCAAACTAAATACGTGACTTTAGCGCTTCGGTAAATGACTTTGACTATAGAACTCTCAAACCAAATAAAAGTTTCTATTTAATTTTTGGAGCAGCACTTGGTCCACGTTTTGGCTCCGTAAATTTAATCGTACTTGTAATAAATTGACCGTTGCGCCTTATGCCGCATCTGTTTAATGAAGAGTTTGTCAATGTATTAGTACCTACACAGCTTCGGTAAAATTACATCTTCCTCTGTCATCCAATATTAATGCAACTTGATTGAAGCATCTTTATAAGTCGATTCCGATGTCTATGAGCTATCGTAATCTCGCCCATCTCGAAGGCGGCAACTGTCTGTAAGCAACACAATAACAACAAAAGCTCAATTTTTATTTATTCCATACCTACAGTACGGATAAGTATTCAGAGGTTACCTCTTTATTAAAACTTACAAGCTTTACCTCTTTGTTATATTATATTAGTGTACCTACTTAATGGTTAGTATGGAATAGATAGACTGTATATCATATACATAGGTATGATGAGTCATTGTTGGCTTGTATAATTTTGTTTTCCCGTGTTAATGAGACAATCTCGCGCGGTAAAAAGTAGTCTATGTCATTCTCCAGCCGTCCAACTATCTTCATACAAAAATCACGCCAATCCGTCACTCTCTTTTGACGAGGAACAAGAACAAACAAACAAACACTAAATATTTATAATATTAGTACGGATATAGAATGTTACTCGGAAAGGTAAGCAATTTAACCGGATATGTCTTATTTATTTATTTCTCATCCTAAAGAGCAGCACAGAAGGAGTATAATAAGAAAGGAATATGTTCTCGTATGTGTGTATGTTCTTTACTTTCACAAGCCTATTAAATCGTCTATTTTTAAAAAAGACATGGAAGCAAATTAAACGAATATTGTTAAAAAATTATTTACTTAAAATATATTTTTATACCTAATAAATATAATTTTGCTAAAAAATTTGCATCCCTGTTAATTGTATTGATGATAAAAATATTAAATTACGTATTTATTTTATTGGAGTATATAATTTATTGAATCATTACAACATTTGATTGAAAATTAAATTTTATCTTTGGGCTTTCTTTTGGGTTGGCTTTGGGCATCTAGTGATATTTATAAAAAATAAATTTTCTTTTTAGGAAAAAAACTACTCCGAAAGACATTTATTTACATTTGTAAGTTTTAATGAAATTATATATAATATAAAAACTTTTTAACAAAAAAAATAAAAACCGACTTCAAACAAAAGCACTAAAAAGTAAAAAATAACTGATTGGTAGTTTTCATTTACTATACATACCTAATTAAATATTTTCAAAGTCGGTGTGCTTTGCTTTGTATGGGCTGGCACCGATTTCGAAAATATTTGATTAGGTATGTATTTAATAGGTAGGCTTTAATTACTTAGCCAAAGCACACCGACTTCGAAAATATTTGATTAACATTTCTCCGAGATTGCGTCCTTCGTCTGATTTATCTGGCCAAAAATTATTTTCATTTTTGGCTCTATTCAACATACTCTTATGATTAAAGACATGCAAATAATATTTGACATAAATCAGATGAAGAACGCAATCTCGGAGAAATACCCAGTTATGATTATAGTAAATGAAAATTACCAATCAGTTATTTAATACTTTTTAGTGCTTTTGTTTGAAGTCGGTTTTTATTTTTTTGTTAAAAAGTTTTTATTTTTCCCTTTTCAGTGTAGACAGTAGTAGCAAAGTAAGAATTTTAACGTGTTAGGTTTGTCAAATCAAACAAAATAACCCCAAACTCAAAGTATCTACTATTAGTAATTGAAGAGTTCTACTTTCTTGCCTTGCCATCAGATCAGCTCAACAATACCGAACCACTGTACTATCAACGAAAATAGAAACACTTGCAAAGTTTCAAGTCAATATGACAATTAGAAGTAGGTTAAATTCATCATTAGCTATTTTTCCACCCTTAGGGGTGGTATTTTTTTTTGAAATTTAAATGGGACCAATCTGGAAGTATACACTTTCAAACAATACAAGAATTGTTTCAATTGTCCAAATCAGTTAATAAATGACGGAGATCTGAGGTAACAAACATAAAAAAAATACAGTCGAATTGAGAACCTCCTCCTTTTTGAAGTCGGTTGAAAATATTACATAATTTTATTTATAATATTTAATACGGTATCAATACTATTATTATTCTAAAAATAATTATATTATTATTTTAAAATTCTGTATTATTTCATCGAAAGGAACGTTTCTAAAAGCTAATGTCAACAATCCACAATGGCATGGCAGCTTGTTGGCGTCTTGTGCATATCTAGACATTCTTAATACTTTTTGTAATCAAATATTTTTTTTACTAAGTTTATCTTTACTTTTCAGTGTTAAAGTAATATTCGTTTAATTTTTAATTTTTTATTTATTAATAAAATACCACGTTAAAGGCGTAGTTTTCGGCATTTCAATGTGTAATTACAGTTTAGAAGTTCTATTATTTTATAGCTCTATCGCCAAATATAACAGTTTACATGCCGCGAATTATGAATTTATTTAAATTTTAATTATATGTAACTAACCAGTGATCAAATTATAAACATGGAAGAAGTAAAAGTGTGCAGAATATGCCTTGCGACAGACGTAAAAATGCATAATTTACTTATTTATCCTCTAGCTGTATGCTATGAAGTTTTAATTGGAAATTATGTAAAATATATTTTATTATTATTAATGTTATTGTTAATTATAATAAAGAATAAAAATTATACAGTAATTGATAATTTTTACTTTTTAGAGCAAATTGGCAGATTTACCAATATTTGCTTGTTATGAATGTGCCGCTCATCTGAAGAAAATCTACGATTTTAGAGAGAAATGTCTTAAAGGGCATAGTGCTTTATGTGATTTAATTCTCTCTTATGGAAAGGTAGATAACATTTTAACTTGACTGCATTTAAGTTTCTGACCCATTGATATCAATTAAAATAAAACATTTCAGTTTTATAAAATACTAATTAAACGTTACTAATTAAAAATCACATATTTGTATCTCAATTCTTTTACTGTATTAGTGTTTCAATAGCTTTTTTTTAGTCTATTTAACTATAATGGACATAAATAGATTATGCTATAAATTTTGATATAACTTTAAGCAGAAGTTATAATTTTTTAAGTCATTTATTTCTCTTTTTTCAATATATTTATTATATACTCGCAGCTCACCCTCTCTTCGCTCAGGTTCATGACAAGGAGCATAAAAACAAATCTTTCCTTTGGGAACCGTGTATTTTTCCAGGATAAAAAGTAGCCTGCCTATGTGTTATTCCAGACTATAATCTATCTCTGTGCCAAATTTCATCCTGATCTGTTCAGCCGTTCTGGTGTGAAAGAGTAACAAACATCCATACTCACAAACTTTCACATTTATAATATTTATACAGGTAAATACTGATTTCCACTGGTAATGTGTAATGCAAAATGTTAAATAATTTCAGATCAATACTAATGTTATTGAGCAAGTCAATAGAAAAGATCTACAACTATGTTCAAAAATTAGTTGTGACATAGTAACATGTATAGATTATACAAGTGAATCCGACAAACAGATAGAAAATGAAATTATTAAAGCCGAGCCATTTGAACCAGTTAACAGTGATGTATTTTTTGATGATGTAGATATAATAAAAGAGGAGTATAGTTTTAATGATGTCTCCATGATTTCAAGTGACGATGAACCTCTCTCATTACATAAGGAAAAAAAGAAAAAGACAGAAGTGAAAAAAAGTAGAAAAAAAAAGATAGCCAAAGACTCCATTGAAAGTATACCAATAGAAGATGATAAAGTAAGTTATTGTAAAAATTGTTTACTTCTATGTTGTTATTATTTATATCTTTATTATAAGGATGCAAATATGCAATAACATGTTAAGCCCCAAAAATTTAAATAAACTCTTTAAACACACTCTTTAGCTTTGATATACATAGTACTACTCTTGAATATAGTAAGATCGATTTCATTAGATATTTTGCTATAAATATTACAGCCAACAAAATCAAACCTGCTTATGGAAGATGTGAAAGATGAAGTGAAACCAAAACGCGGAAGGCCTCGAAAGACTGCTGTAGCTAAAGTAAATGAGGAACCCAAACAGCGTCGCACGAACAACACAGGAGGAGTTGTGGACGACGATCATCATATTGAGGACTATTGCACTATTATAACACTAACGGTAATATTTTTTGGTAATCTATATCTAAAACAGAGGTCGTGAGTTCCATTTCCTTCATACACTTAATATAATTAGGCGTTGGTCTGATTCGAGGTCCTGGGTTCGAGTCGCGTATCGGGCTACGTATAGCTGCTGGGTTTTATTGACACGTGTGTGTTATCATATCTTCTGAACAGTTGGCTAGTCTCAGTGAGATTGGCCGCCGTGGTCCAAATCGATCATGAAGACATTATTGTTATTATCATTCTATCATAACCATATATTCCTTTGATGTTTTTAGGAGGAACAACAAAAAGAAGAGGTAATACAAAGGAAGCAGTCATCGAACTATCTAAACGCAATATACCAATGTAACATATGCTACAAGGGCTTCATAGACAGCAGAGCGTGGGACCATCACGTAGGGAAACATGATCCTGTAAGTGGTTATATAATAAACAAGTTTTTGTCCGAGCTTTCCCACTCGCATAGTAGGTATTTCTATTCTGATTTCAGGTCAAATCGATTGATTTATACATAAAGGAATAATGAAGAAGTAGGTAATTGTCGCGTTTGGTGACAAATGAAAGTCTTAATTCGGTATTTCTTAGAAACACAATTTAATTGTACTTAAGTTGATACAAGGTAATTATACAATTCTTAACGCACGTCTTTGTGTCGATTTTGGTGATTGGAGAAGTGGACTGTAAAGGGATCTCATAATGTCGGAAACGGAAATGATTTTATACAGATTATAACAATGTAAATGAAGTTACGTTCAAAAACTTATGATTTGAAATCTAAATTATTTGTATGTTAATATTTTAAATAAATTATTATTATATGCTACATCATAAATAAAAAAAACCAACACAATAACCTATCTATTGGGGCCATTTTCAATAAGCCCAAACACGATATCTGTGCAGTATTTTAATAAAGAGTTGAGTATCTTGCAGATTCCAGGTGACACTTTCGGCTGCATTATTAGGCCACGATTACTATATCGTCACAATGTCATTGAACGGATTTTTACAATTTATAAATAAGAAAACTCTCGATGAAATTATCTTCCAAACAATAAAAAAGTAAATAAAAATTTGTTCACCGTTTTAAGCGTTACGATGGACAGACAGGCATTAAGATACACACGTTGAACTCACCCCCTCTTTTTGCGGCGGGGGTTAACAAAACACAAACATACACACAAAAATTCTTAGATCTATTTTTTTCATGATTTGATTGTATGTAAACATCATACATATGAACGGCATCTATTGGCATTCTTTTGAACAAATTCTTCTTTGTCCCTGATCAGGTCTCGAAGTAACACAAAGGAAGGTAAACACAAAACCGTTATACTTAAATTTATACGTAAATAAAACTATTTTTTCGGATTTTTTTCGCGGATTTAGTTTGAATTTTGGTAACCAAAAATCAAAATAAACCCGCGAAAAAATCCGAAATGGTAGTTTTATTTAAAATGCCAAATATTCGCGTTAATCTAAGATAGTATACCAAAACCATAACGTATAAAATTATTTGCTCGATTGTTCCAGAAAGCAGGCGACGCGGAGTGCCCCATATGTAAGTTTCGTTTCAGAACTAAGAGGATGTTACAAAAACACATCACGAATCACGAAAAGAAATACGCTTGTAAAGCGTGTCCGTATGTGTCTAAAACTCCGTAAGTATTTTACATCTACATATAAAAAAATGTATAAAGAGGCAGAGTTTGTTTGTTTGAACTCGATAATCTCAGGAACTACTAGTCTCATTTGAAAAAAAAACTATTTGCATTAGATTGTCCGTTTATTGAGGAAGTCTATAGGCATATGTATATTATATAATACTAGCACAACCCGTGGCTTCGCACGCGCTAAATTACAAAAAAATCTCTAAAAAGGTAGTTTCATACAAACACTCATCCCCTATTTTACCCCTTATAAGATGAGCTTTGAAAAATGCTAAGATACGTATTTATTAAATTGTATTGAAAAGTATATATACCAAGCTTCAAGTAATTCTGATAATCAATATTTTTTGGATTGTATTATAACATGTTTTCCCGTGGGAATTGAGTAATTTCCCGCGATAGAAAGTAGCCTATGTCATTCTCCAGCCCTCCAACTATTTCTACACACAAAAATCACGCCAATCTGTTACTCCGTTTCAACGTGAAAGATGGACAGACAAACAAACCCACTTTTACATATATTAGTATGGATATAGTCTAACTTTTCCATACTAACCGTTAAAACCTACCTATAAAAAAATGGGTAAAATTATTTGATATACATAGTACATCAGCGACCTCTGGTAGCAGATTTTTTTTTATTTATTAGGCTTTTGACGAGCCTCATGATTATGAGGTCCTCATTTCGAGTGACAACTTGAGTTAAAACTATAATCAGTAAATCTAGGTCAACACAAACCAACATTTTCGCTTTTATAATATTATTATGTGCATAATACGTTTTTTTCAGTATTTACAGCTTTTTATTATTTATATTTTTCGTATTAATATGTTTAAGTAATATTTTTCGTTTGTTTTTGCAGAACTCAAGCGAAACAGCATCAGCGTTGGCATAAAGGCGTCACGTATAAGTGTCAGCATTGCGACGAAATATTAACGTAAGTAAAAAAACTACTAATTAGTAAAAAAAACTAAGATATTTTTTCACCCGTCTGGTTCGTTGGTATAAGTATTTTTCTTCTTCATTTCATATTTTTAACTGTATACAAAAAAATTGCCATGAATAAAAAATATTTATAAGAGACTCCGAGGAACGGGGGTGACACACTGCTAACTTACCAACTCCGGACTGTTAGTGAGCATTTCTTAACAGAATTCTCAATGACTAAATTCGGCCCGACCCGGGACTCGAACCTAAGACCTCCGCATGTGCGGCCGTACATGCTAGCCGCACTAGACCATCGAGGCAGTTAACACTCTCTAACACTTCATTGTACATTTACAGTGGTATATTAAAAAAAGGTACAATTTTTTTATATGTATATAATTCAAAATATATAAAAATACATTACCATTCGGCTCAGCAAATGGACGTCGTACCTGAGCCACGTGCGCATCAAGCACCCGTCGGAGTTCATCTGCGCCGTGTGCGGCTACTCCTTTGTGAGCGCGCTCGGCCTCGCCATGCACCGCTCCATGATGCACAAGGACCACGCCGTGAGTATGCCGTGTGTCTTATGTGTATGGGGATAAAGGTTATATTTACATTTTATTCAGTTTACTGATCACTTTAACGTGTGCCTTATGGGTATGGGGATAAAGGTTATATTTACTTTTTATTCAATTTACTGATCCTATGTTGTTAATTATCAAATTGGATTATAATAAAATTACATACAAACTTTTTAGACTAAATTGAAACACAAATCATTACAAATAAAGAAATTACATAATTTAACAAGTTGAATATAAGGTTAATGAAAAATTATTATTTTGTGATTTTTATTCATAAAAAATTGTATAAATCTAATAACTTAAATAATATCTAAATCTGTTTTTTTTTTGTTAAAAATATATTTTATTTCTACTATCTTCTTTCTTTTTGAATGAAATCGTTACCTATTTTATTTTTGATGAAACATTTAATTGGAGTCAAAAGACGAGTGAAGCGTGGGCAAGAGTTAGTATTATTTAAATAAAATATTAATTAAAAAATATAATTATGAAAACAAAAAAAAATATGATTCCGGCCAGGATCGAACTGGCGGCCTTCTGCGTGTAAAGCAGATGTGATAACCACTACACCACGGAACCAGTTGAGTGAAGTGATCAAATACACCAATAAGAACTTTTAGTGACACATTACATTAAATAATAAATTATTTCTTACTAGTAGAACCCGCGGATTCGCTCGCGTAAAACTATTAAAGTAGGTTTTGTACAAACATTCATCACCCATTTTACCCTCTTATGGGATAAATTTCGAAAAATGTTAAAACACGTTCGTTTAATTGTATTGAAGAGCATTTATACTAAGTTTCAAATCATTTTGATCATAAATATTTTTTTTGAGTTGTATTATAACTTTATTTTCCGTGTGAATAAGATAATCTCCCACAGTGAAAAGTAGCCTATGTCACTCTCCAATCCTTTAACTATCTCCACACAAAAAATCACGCTAATCTGTCACTCTGTTTCGACGCGAAAGAAGGACAAACAAACAAACACACTTTCACATTTATAATATTAGTATGGATTTTTTTTATTACATACCAAAAAAATACATTTTAAAAAGGATACAAAAATTTCCAAATACATACATGATTTAGTGTAAAGGCGACCTTATCACTTAAAATGATCTCTTCCAGACAACTTATATTAAAAAGAAACTCGTAAGGTATGGATAATGGTGGGTGAAACAAAAAAGTAAAATTAAATACAAGGTCTATAATAAACTTACTTAATTTTTTTTTGTGTTTTCGGGGTGTAAAAAAATTAAATTATTCCTACACTTTTCAAATTTTTTACCTATTGATTACAAATTTTTTTTTATTTTAAATATCATCTTACCAAAAATCTTAGCTGTTTCTTTATTTAGTAGTTAATAATTACTTATATGTAATAATAAAAAACTGGCGAGCGGTTAGATCGATGGTATTTTCCATCGACAATAGAAAGTAGGTATCTTTTTAAAATAATTTTCCATGCAAACTTATCCCTTATCCTTTTAAGGAATATTGTTATATATTGTCTTTACCTATAGGTACAATACGTTACACACATTGTTTATAAAAAATATTAATTTATGTACAGATTTCGCTAAGTTACTATTGTATTATATGTATAGATTACATTGTTTATAAAAAATATTAATTTATGTACAGATTTCGCTAAGTTACTATTGTATTATATGTATAGATTAGTTACATTATACATTTAGGCGAAACTGTACGTCACAACTGTCATCTTAAAATTAACAAAATACTAGCTTTACCTGCAGCTCCGTCCGCTTAGTTTATTTATGTGATATTACTCTAATTCTTTAGGGTTTTGCATGATGCCTGGATAGCGTATAACCTTCCCCAGTAAATAGGCTAAAAAATTCCAATCCATCGTTCCATAGCTTAGCGCGTTCAAACGAACATATAAACTTTTTAGCGTTATATTATAGTAGCTATAGATATCTATTACGATTATAGAACAAAGCGGAAACAGAAGAAAATAAAGAGGAGTCGCCATACTGCGCGCAGTGCGACGTGAAGTTCGTCTCAGTGGAGGCGTACAAACGCCACATGGTCATGTCCGTGAAGCACACGCAGAGCACGAACTTCAAGTATGTCGATAGAGTTTTTTTATTTCATTTTTATATTTTTTTTGTCCTTTGAAGATATTGTTGTTTGAAGAAAAAAGAAAGGATAAAGATTAATCTCAATGTTATGGGTAAACTAGATATAGTAACTGGTATATATTTTATTTCATTTTCATAATTAGTAAAACTTTTCTATAGTTTGGATAATGCCATGTTTCTAATATTCGATAACATATAGTTTTCGGAAGTCCATACAAATTACGTGGCCTAGCACAAGACGGAATAAAATTCTCGATATCTAGATTCAATGTAAATTGGATTGATTTTAATAGTCGAAATGTAGTTTTATTGTTAAATAGGGTATGCATGTGATTTAAATTTGAATTTGAAAAAAGTGATTTTTTTTCTTATTTCTTTTAATCTTTATTGCTTTTGAATCATATTGACTTTTTTTTTAATGTAATTTTTGATATTTTCTTGTGTGAATCATTTTCAACATGATTGTCATTTGTTTTACGATGAAAAAGTTGCGAGGAAGAAGAAATCGAAAGACATGGTCAGTCCGCCCCGCATTGAAGGGAGGCCCGCTCCCAGCAGCGGGACGTTATAAAGGGCTGAATACGAACACAAGCTTAAAGTGTGCATGTATATATGAGTGAGTAGGCATGTATGCAATATAAGTAATATACGTGCGTGTGTGCGTGGTTATAATATGAGTATCATATGTACATATTTGTGTTTAAACTTTAATATGAGTAACATATGAGTTAGGGCTCGGAATCAGTTTTAAAAAGACGGTTTATTTCGGTAATGTATTGGTTAATTCATCGCTAGTTCTTTAACCGGTTAATGAAAACGAAAGGTTTAGTAAACCGAAATAATAATGGTTAACGGTTATTCTTATGAAAACCGGAATCCAACTGTTCTGTAAGAATAATCTTAGAGAACAGTTGGTTTTCGGTTTTGATACCGAAATAAACCGGTTAATTCATTCATAAATAAGGAACGAACATGCATCCTTCTCAGGCATTCACCATTAGCAAAAAAGTCTTTTTAAAAAGTTTTTTTAACTGGTTAATTTTCTTCTTGAAACTAAAATTCATCAAAAACCGTTTTCCCAAATTTAACCGGTTAAAGAACGTAACCGAAACCTTGAACCGAAAAGCCTTTCGGTTTAGGGGTCAATGACCTAGATCGGTTTAAAAATGGAACGGGTTTCCGAGCCCTAATACGAGTGTATGCGTAGCAACGGGTGCCGCGTGTGCGGCGAGCAGTTCGGCGACGCGGAGGCGCTGCGGCTGCACCACCGCCGCGCGCACGCGCGCCGCCGCCCGCGCAACTACGGCAAGAAGCCCGGCGCGCGCTGGCCCGCCACCTGCGAACACGTGCGTGACGTGTCATCATATGCTACCACCGTATACTATAATGTCCTCCTGACCGATTTTGCTCATTGTGAGACTAGCCAGATGCGCGGTAGATATACATATAATATAAATAATAATAAATATGTTGGGATATTAACACAGCATATATACAGTAGTACGCGCAGACACGATTGCAATCTCTATTCTGTTTACTCTCAAAGTTCATTGAGACGATACATCGACACTCGTGGTGGGAGTTAACACATTCAATGCCATCGACACGCCTAGCATGTTTAAGCGAATATTTATTACTATGTTGCGAACACTCTAGGCGTGTTAACTAGACAAGATTTGCCATTACAATAGTCAAAACATAAGCTTCAAGCGATAAATTAAGAAGGTTTGAAATGGCGGCAGGCGCCATCCGTGTTCACTTATAGAAGGTAATCAATTGTCATAAATGGTCAAACTCTTTTTTATCAATCAATTCTTTTATAAAGAAATCAACCCGTCATCATATCATCATGTAAAAATTAATCATAATGTAAAAATGTAGTAAACTGTTAATCTGGTCGCTTGGACCTAAAACCTGTCGAACCTGGAACACCGTCATCGAAATCCGTCCAGCCATTTAACATTTTACCCACTCACACAAACATACACACACTTTAGCATATATGAATGTAAATGAATAAATAGGTAGATTATTGATTGGAATCCCAGTGCACAGAGGAGATCCCGAGCGCGCGCGAGTACTGGAACCACTTCCGGCGCGCGCACCCCGACAAGAGCTACCCGCTGCCCAAGAACCACATCTGCGACGTCTGCGGGAAGGGCTTTAGGGTGAGTCTTATGTGCTTTTTACATTTGTACTGATGAATGTTGTCCTATTATAGATTTCGTTGGTAAAATAATATATTTTCGGATTATGTGTTATTAATGAGAAATATAAAAATAATTTACCCCTGCCTATCCTATCGAGTTTATTTATTATAGTTAAGAATTATCTAGATGTTTCCATAAGTAAGTTTTAATGAATAGGCTACATCATAACGGGTGGACACATGAAGGCGAGGATATCTATATATAAATAGTTAAAGACAAAACAATTTAGTATCTTTTTTTTTTGTAGGTATAGTAGCTATTGACGAGCTTTGTGTTATCTATAAAAAAATTCTAAATAATTTTTTATATAGATCAATTATTCTAATTTTCATTGGGCGAATATTAGCAATATAAAACTTAAATAAGTATGTATATCATATTGATCCCAGACCAACTTAGACTTATTTTAAAAAATATATTGATTTTTTTGTTCACTTTTTTATTTCATAGAGACTTTTATAATTTATAAAGAATTTTCATTTTAGAAGACTAGAATTTATTTATATAATACTAGCGACTCACCCTCGCTTCGCTCGGGTTCGTCCCTACTTACGGTTTAACGTTTAGTATCGATTTCTCAGAGATGAGAAATTTTTCTGCAGTAAAAAGTATCCTATATGTTGACCCGGATAACCAGCTATCATCATACTAAATTTATCAAAATCCCTCCTGTGGTTTTTCCTTAATGCGGTAACAGACAGACAGACAGACAAAAATTCTAAAAACTATAGATTCGGCCTCTGTATCGATAATAATGTCTATTTCAATGAGATTTTCGAAAAAATATTTAATGTACAGATTCGGGATTAGTTACAATTTTATTATATGTATTTTATTATATGGGTTATTGCAATCCAGTAATCCTTAAGAATAATAGTAATAATGTGGTTACATCGGGCTTAAGGCATTTAGGTAAAATGTATGTATGATGTATTGTATTCAGTCTTTTTTTAACGCCCCACTGCTGGGCACGGGTCTCCCTTCCAGTTTTTAAAAACTTGTTAGGTTTTCTCAGATTTGCAGGTTTCATTACGATGTATTCTTACACCGTAAGACAAGTGGTATTTAATCATGTTAGAAATGATTCGCGTATGAATGAATGCGTTCCATATATCAGAGGTGTGAGACCCGAGATTTGAACCCGCTTCACTCTTCACTGAGTTACCGCTACCTTAGGCATGAACAACATCAGTAATATGTCCGGTGTGTGTGTGTGTGTAGGGCAACGCGTTCCTCGTGTACCACAAGCGCACGCACTCCGCGGAGCGCGCGTACGCGTGCGCGCAGTGCCCCAAGGCCTTCCACAACCGCACCAACCTGCACATGCACGAGCGCACGCACTCCGACGTGCGCCCGCACGCCTGCCACCTCTGCGCCAAGGCCTTCAAGTGCAAGGGCGCGCTCAACAGGCACTTCAGGGTACGCCACACACAAATACGGACACACAAAACTTTCGCATTTATAATCAGCGCTTCCAATTGGCCGATAAATTACCCGAAAAGCGGGTAATTTTAGGCGATTTTTGATAGCGGGTAATTTTAACGGGTATTTGCATTGAGCCCCGCTCAAAGCAGATATTTTAGTTTAGCTGATGAATTTTTTTTTAATGTTTAATTAATAATTTAGAGCCGTTGAATTGAAAACTGACTACACTATATAAAACATGAATAAATTACTTTAAAAAAATTATTTCCGAGTATTCTGGTCATGGTTGGCGTTGGCAGAATAAACCGGGTATTTACGAGGTTTATCGGTCGGGTAAATCAACGAGTGTTATCTGGCAGCCCTGTTTATAATAGTAATCCGATTAACCCCAGAGCCACACCGGCGTGAAGCCGTACGCGTGCGAGGTGTGCGGCAAGGCCTTCGCGCAGTCCAACAGCCGCAAGCTGCACGTGCGCACCGTGCACCTCAAGCAGCCCTCGCCCTACATCAGCAAGGCGCGCCTCGAGCGCCGCAACAAGGCGCACAAGGAACTACACCAAACACCGCACTTCATGTATTGATGGCATTCCTATACAAAAACGTAGATATAAATTTCCTAATGCTACATTTACACGCTTGGCGGGTCTCGAGAAGTGTCCACAAACACATGCGTGTGAACGGGGTGTTTGGCTTGGCTTGTGTGAACTTGTCACTAATCCGGGATATTGTCGGTTTTTTAACACAGAACAAAAACTTGCAGCAAGCACTTGTGACGTATTTACAAGTTGGTGCGTGTTTAGTATACCTCACAAGCTCACGCCGAACAGGTGTTGTGAACCATGAGTAGTTGGTCAAACGACGAAATTATAGCCTTTTAACATCCACCATATTCTCTGCCAAACTTTTCGATTCCTTTCTATTTTAAATAAAAATATGTCAAGCCAAACATAATAGTCGACACAACTTCAACGCCCACGTCTACCATATTTGCCTACACAACTTGCCTGTCCGGAACACTAAGGCACTCGCAAGCGTGTAAATAGCATCTAAGCGTTTGTAAAGGCTTAGAGCTTGGAGACGTTTGCCAAGCCTCGGCAAGCGTGTAAAGATAGCATAACAAATCTGATTATCTATCTGTCACGTTAAGTCATGCCAAAACATAAAATTTAAAAAATCGAAACTTCGAGCTTTTACGTACACCTCATAAAGTACTTTTTTAACGAAACAACGTGTTTTAATTTTGTCATCCGAAAAGTAATGAATAAAAAGATTTGGAAAAGGCGCACGATTTCGAATTGTGCACTTTTTTAAAGGGCACATTTGAAACTTTAATTGTGTATCTTTAGTGTTTGTATATCAGTGATTAGTGGATGTAAATAATTATTTGTCTATCATGAGTTCCCTACTTTAGAATTGGTATTAAAAGTTTTGTCATATATTTCCTTTGTTTGATTTTTATTTATAATAATAATTATATATATATATATATATATATATATATATATATATATATATATATATATATATATATATATATTATTTGTATTGTACCCTGTTTGCGATGGTTAATCTCTAGGTCAGCGTCAGATTTTGCTTCACGTATATTTTAATAATAATTTTAATATAAACTGACTTCAAGAGATTGAGACATTATGTTTTGGTAAGTAATATATATATCGATAAACATATCTTTGTTATGAAAAACACACGTACTGATAGCCTATTATATATTTTTTAACTCTATTATTTTTACTATATTTTTTTAATCATGAACGAATTTCGTTCATGTTTTTAATATTAGAGGATCCTTAAATTACTTTATTAGTCATACCTAAGAAATAGCAACTAGAATTTATATCGAAGTCTCATAGCTTCTTTTAAATTCCTAATTAAATGCAGAATTTTATGGCTTTATCTTTATGCTTTTATAACTAAAAATTTTATATTGAAATAAGCGACTCACCCTTGCTTCGCTCGAGTTTGTCCCTAGGTTGCTTCCCCATACAAACTTTCATCCCCATTTTCAACTTCTTAGGGAATAATTTCTGGGTTAAAAACTATCCTATGACCTTCCCAGGGTCTCAAACTATCTTCTCACCAAATTTCATCCAAATCGGTTCAGTAGTTTCGGAGCTTATTCGGTACAAATAAACAAAAAATCTCTCCTCTTTATAATATTAGTACATATAAATTAATTTATTTAAACCACACTTTCCGCTTCAATAGGAATAATTAATGTATTATATTGTTATCACCGACAAATATTTCGCGTTTATTACGTTCATAGACGAATAAATTATTATCGTTATCATTAGTAGTTTGTCAACTTTCAACTGTCATTATCAAGACATAACTGTCTGCTGTGAAGTGTCATCGATATCGGGGTTTTTGATTTGCACTTGCGAGTTGCGGTGAAACTTTAAAATCTAAAGAAAGTGCTATTAAGACAATAAATTACGAGAAATTATGTTGAAAAGAGGTAAAAACAATTAATTATCTCTATATACATTATGAGTGAAAGTGCAATTGATGCGGTGCATCCGCGTTTTGCTAAGAAAAAGTTCAATGTTAAGGGTAATAGTATTTTGTGATTAATTAGAAATTAAAGAAAATTTAACTAAGCTTTATATGTTAATAACATCTTTGAGAGTATCATCTTTAAGAATTATTTAATTAGGTACTTATTTAATTACTCTTCAAATTTGATATCTGATAAGTGAAAAAAGTGATTTAAAAAAATAGTTCAAATATACTATGTTTAATCATTATTTACTACGTCTCATTTTACCTTACACAATAAATAAGGCTAACTGTGTAAAAAGTTATTGTTTTAGCTAGCTGTTTGATATATGTATCAAAACTCTATTGCACATGCAGTTCTAATTGCACTTACAATGACAGAAATGCTGCTAAAATATTTGTTTAATATCATCACTAATGTCATTTTTTGTGATCTTTGCTAACAGGTACATAATTTTACTACAATTATACTATAGCAGCTATTGTAAATATATAAAACAAGATAAGATGAGATTTTTTAATGAATGCTCTTGTAATCTTTCTAAACAGGTTTAAAAATAGCACTAGTTCAGTTATCAGTAGGTCCAGATAAGGCAAAAAATGTGGCTGCAGCAGTAAGTGAGATACATAAAGCTAAGGAAAAAGGAGCTCAACTTGTTGCATTACCTGAATGTTTTAACTCTCCATATGGGACTAGTAAGTTCATTTATTCATATAATAATGTATTGGATTACTGTATATATAATTTTTGACTTTCATTAAATGAAAAATATCAATCTTTAAAGTATAAAAATTCAATATTTTGTGAGATAGTGTGTGTTATTATTTCTTCACATAGTAATGGCTGCACAGATTTGAGTGATATCCTACTAAAATGCTATAACACAAATGGAGCCACTAACTTTTAATATTTATTATGAATCATAAATTATATATTTAACTTTAACTGCATTGGTGGTGTAGTGGCTAGCATATGTGGCTGAAAATTCCGAGGTACAGGGTTTAAGCCCCAAGTCGAGCCAAGTTTAGTTTTTAAGTTATTTTGTTAAGAAAGTCCCAGTAAGAGTATGTATGTCGTTTTTATATCTGTGCAAACAGTATATTTTTTACAATGAAAATTATTTAAAAGAGTAATTGAGCCACTCTATAACTATTATTATTTCAGATACTTTCTTGAATAGTTGGCACTGACTATTATTATTAAGGTCGCTGAAACTAGCAAACAAAACTAGCAGATTAGTCAGAAAAGTATTACAAATTTATTTAGCTGACTGTACCATAGAATGTTTTGGTTGTTTGTTTTGATTTTTCTACTGATTTGATTTCATTTGGATCGAAATGCCAACGACGCCACTTCTAGATATTTTTGAGATTAAAAAATCATTTTCTCCATCATATTCGACTACGTATCTCGTACATATTCTGGCCTAGGTCGACTTAGAAACTTGAAATTTTCTAAAGGCCCAAAGTAGTCGTCCAGAAACTGAGAAAAAAAATTCCAGCGAAGTTTTTGATTGTTATTTTTCAACTTTAAAGATAAATTCATTTTTTTCATATTTGACTTCGAATCTCGTACTCTGGCCCTCGTTGACTTAGGGATTTGAAATTTTCTGGAGACCTCCAGCACTTGTCAAGGGATCGAGAGAAAAATCAAAATGTCAGTGACGGAATATTTAGGTTTTGTAATTTTAAAAATGAAATTTTTTTTCCGTTTCAAACAAACATACATACATAAATATATACATATACCTGTCATTTTTTTTGTATATGCTTGGAAGCCTTAATAGATTATCATATGTTAATATTTTACAGTTCCAATAGTATAACATACATACGTGTCGAATTGATAACCTGTTTTTTTTTGAAGTCGGTGTGAAAGTGAATTTTCAAAGACGACTAGGAATTTCCAGGGAAACAACGACACAACGGCATTTAGGTAATCGTATATTGTCACGAAAACCAAACGTGTGTGCCTTCTTCTTCACACTATACTAAAGGAAGATTTAACGACTAACATCATACCGTAGTCTAAATCTGTCTCATCGTAAAAAAAACACTCATCATTTTTTTCCCAAAAAAAAATAAATATATATTATTAATATATGAAAAATAAGAATCAAAAAATGCCGTCGCTGGAAATTTTTTTCTCTCGATCCCTTGACAAGTTATGGAGCTCCCCAGAAATATCTCCATGTCTCCAGAGATATCGAGTACGAGATTCGGGAGTCGTATATGGAGAAAGTTCATTTTTTTCTCAAAAAAAAAAACTATAAATGCGTCGCTGGAATTTCGAGTTGACAAAACAATCAAAACAAATTACAATCGTTGGTACAGCCAGCTAAATAAATTTGTAATGTAATATGCATAGTTCACCACGCTGACTAAGTGCGGGTTGGCGGACTTCACATATGTATTTCGAAGACTTATTCCTTAAGCCTTTTTTTATTAATACTTTATTATAGGATATTTCAATGAATATGCGGAAGAAGTGCCTGCTGGTTCAACATGTAGGGCACTGTCAAAAGCCGCAGCAGAAGCGGGAGTGTGTGTAGTGGGGGGCACTGTGCCTGAACGCTGTGGGAGTAAATTGTACAATACTTGTACTGTGTGGGATGACAGTGGAAAACTGTTAGCACAGCATAGAAAGGTAGTACTTTTACGTAGTAGTTGTACTTTGCCATACATCTATATATAATAAAAATGTCAATATTTTTGTACAAAACGGCGCTGGTTACATGTCAGTGAACTTAGCAGATCATTGTCCAGCAGATCAAAAAAAAAAGTGAGTTCTATTCGCATGCACGAGAGTTCTATAGTTCCTGATACTTTTTAGAAATAGTTCTGGCGTTTTTACCTTAAAAAAAGTCAATTGACAAAATGATCTGCTAACTTCCCGTAGCAGATCATTTTGCACAAAATCAAAAACAAATGTGAGTTCTTCGCGCAAGGAGCTGAGTTCTATAGTTCCTGATACTTTTCAGGAATAGTTCTGGACTCTCAGCCAAGTTCCAGCAGATCATATCCGAATTTTTGAAAAGTCAGAACATACCATTTTTATTGTTTCAAATTATTGTAAAAGGCTAGAACTCTTTCGCTTATCACCGATCTGTATCAGAACTCTAATATAGAACTCGATTCGAGTCCAGAACTCACGTCCAAGTGCCAGCAGAGCATACCAGAACGTTGGAAAATGTGAAAAAAAAACTATTTTCATTGTTTTAAATTATTTAGAAAGGCTAGAAGTTAGAACTCTTTCGTTTATAACAGATCTGTACCAGAACTCTAATATAGAACTCGATTCGAGTCCAGAACTCACGTCCAAGTGCCAGCAGAGCATACCTAAACGTTGGAAATTATGAAAAAAAAACCTATTTTTATTGTTTTAAATTATTTAGAATGGCTAGAAGCTAGAACTCTTTAGTTTATAATAGATCTGTACCAGAACTCTAATATAGAACTCGATTCGAGTCCAGAACTCACGTCCAAGTGCCAGCAGAGCATACCTAAACGTTGGAAATTATGAAAAAAAAACCTATTTATATTGTTTTAAATTATTTAGAAAGGCTAGAAGCTAGAACTCTTTCGTTAATAACAGATCTGTATCAGAACTCTAATATAGAACTCGGTTCAAGTCCAGAACTCACGTCCAAGTGCCAGCAGAGCATACCAGAACGTTGGAAAATATGAAAAAAAAACCTATTTTTATTGTTTTAAATTATTTAGAAAGGCTAGAAGCTAGAACTCTTTCGTTTATAATAGATCTGTACCAGAACTCTAATATAGAACTCGATTCGAGTCCAGAACTCACGTCCAAGTGCCAGCAGAGCATACCTAAACGTTGGAAATTATGAAAAAAAAACTATTTTTATTGTTTTAAATTATTTAGAAAGGCTAGAAGTTAGAACTCTTTCGTTTATAACAGATCTGTACCAGAACTCTAATATAGAACTCGATTCGAGTCCAGAACTCACGTCCAAGTGCCAGCAGAGCATACCTAAACGTTGGAAATTATGAAAAAAAACCTATTTTTATTGTTTTAAATTATTTAGAATGGCTAGAAGCTAGAACTCTTTAGTTTATAATAGATCTGTACCAGAACTCTAATATAGAACTCGATTCGAGTCCAGAACTCACGTCCAAGTGCCAGCAGAGCATACCTAAACGTTGGAAATTATGAAAAAAAAAACCTATTTATATTGTTTTAAATTATTTAGAAAGGCTAGAAGCTAGAACTCTTTCGTTAATAACAGATTTGTATCAGAACTCTAATATAGAACTCGGTTCAAGTCCAGAACTCACGTCCAAGTGCCAGCAGAGCATACCAGAACGTTGGAAAATATGAAAAAAAAACCTATTTTTATTGTTTTAAATTATTTAGAAAGGCTAGAAGCTAGAACTCTTTCGTTTATAATAGATCTGTACCAGAACTCTAATATAGAACTCGATTCGAGTCCAGAACTCACGTCCAAGTGCCAGGAGAGCATACCTGAAGGTTGGAAAATATGAAAAAACAAACTATTTTCATTGTTTTAAATTATTTAGAAAGGCTAGAAGTTAGAACTCTTTCGTTTATAACAGATCTGAACCAGAACTCTAATATAGAACTCGATTCGAGTCCAGAACTCACGTCCAAGTGCCAGCAGAGCATACCTAAACGTTGGAAATTATGAAAAAAAAACCTATTTTTATTGTATTAAATTATTTAGAAAGGCTAGAAGCTAGAACTCTTTCGTTTATAATAGATCTGTACCAGAACTCTAATATAGAACTCGATTCGAGTCCAGAACTCACGTCCAAGTGCCAGCAGAGCATACCTAAACGTTGGAAATTATGAAAAAAAAAACCTATTTATATTGTTTTAAATTATTTAGAAAGGCTAGAAGCTAGAACTCTTTCGTTAATAACAGATTTGTATCAGAACTCTAATATAGAACTCGGTTCAAGTCCAGAACTCACGTCCAAGTGCCAGCAGAGCATACCAGAACGTTGGAAAATATGAAAAAAAAACCTATTTTTATTGTTTTAAATTATTTAGAAAGGCTAGAAGCTAGAACTCTTTCGTTTATAATAGATCTGTACCAGAACTCTAATATAGAACTCGATTCGAGTCCAGAACTCACGTCCAAGTGCCAGGAGAGCATACCTGAAGGTTGGAAAATATGAAAAAACAAACTATTTTCATTGTTTTAAATTATTTAGAAAGGCTAGAAGTTAGAACTCTTTCGTTTATAACAGATCTGAACCAGAACTCTAATATAGAACTCGATTCGAGTCCAGAACTCACGTCCAAGTGCCAGCAGAGCATACCTAAACGTTGGAAATTATGAAAAAAAAACCTATTTTTATTGTATTAAATTATTTAGAAAGGCTAGAAGCTAGAACTCTTTCGTTTATAATAGATCTGTACCAGAACTCTAATATAGAACTCGATTCGAGTCCAGAACTCACGTCCAAGTGCCAGCAGAGCATACCTAAACGTTGGAAATTATGAAAAAAAAAAACTATTTTTATTGTTTTAAATTATTTAGAAAGGCTAGAAGCTAGAACTCTTTCGTTCATAATAGATCTGTACATGAACTCTAATATAGAACTCGATTCGAGTCCAGAACTCACGTCCAAGTGCCAGCAGAGCATACCTGAAGGTTGGAAAATATGAAAAAACAAACTATTTTCATTGTTTTAAATTATTCAGAAAGGCTAGAAGCTAGAACTCTTTCGTTAATAACAGATCTGTATCAGAACTCTAATATAGAACTCGGTTCTAGTACAGAACTCACGTCCAAGTGCCAGCAGAGCATACCAGAACGTTGGAAAATATGAAAAAACAAACTATTTTCATTGTTTTAAATTATTCAGAAAGGCTAGAAGCTAGAACTCTTTCGTTAATAACAGATCTGTAACAGAACTCTAATATAGAACTCGGTTCGAGTCCAGAACTCACGTCCAAGTGCCAGCAGAGCATACCAGAACGTTGGAAAATATGAAAAAAAAACTATTTTTATTGTTTTAAATTATTTAGAAAGGCTAGAAGCTAGAACTCTTTCGTTTATAATAGATCTGTACCAGAACTCTAATATAGAACTCGATTCGAGTCCAGAACTCACGTCCAAGTGCCAGCAGAGCATACCTAAACGTTGGAAATTATGAAAAAAAAAACCTATTTATATTGTTTTAAATTATTTAGAAAGGCTAGAAGCTAGAACTCTTTCGTTTATAATAGATCTGTACCGGAACTCTAATATAGAACTCGATTCGAGTCCAGAACTCACGTCCAAGTGCCAGCAGAGCATACCTAAACGTTGGAAATTATGAAAAAAAAAACCTATTTTTATTGTTTTAAATTATTTAGAAAGGCTAGAAGCTAGAACTCTTTCGTTTATTATAGATCTGTACCAGAACTCTAATATAGAACTCGATTCGAGTCCAGAACTCACGTCCAAGTGCCAGCAGAGCATACCTAAACGTTGGAAATTATAAAAAAAAAAACCTATTTTTATTGTTTTAAATTATTTAGAAAGGCTAGAAGCTAGAACTCTTTCGTTTATAATAGATCTGTACCAGAACTCTAATATAGAACTCGATTCGAGTCCAGAACTCACGTCCAAGTGCCAGCAGAGCATACCAGAACGTTGGAAAATATGAAAAAAAAAACTATTTTTATTGTTTTAAATTATTTAGAAAGGCTAGAAGCTAGAACTCTTTCGTTTATAATAGATCTGTACCAGAACTCTAATATAGAACTCGATTCCAGTCCAGAACTCACGTCCAAGTGCCAGCAGAGCATACCTAAACGTTGGAAATTATGAAAGAAAAACCTATTTTTATTGTTTTAAATTATTAAGAAAGGCTAGAAGCTAGAACTCTTTCGTTTATAATAGATCTGAACCAGAACTCTAATATAGAACTCGATTCGAGTCCAGAACTCACGTCCAAGTGCCAGCAGAGCATACCTAAACGTTGGAAATTATGAAAAAAAAAACCTATTTTTATTGTTTTAAATTATTTAGAAAGGCTAGAAGCTAGAACTCTTTCGTTTATAATAGATCTGTACCAGAACTCTAATATAGAACTCTATTCGAGTCCAGAACTCACGTCCAAGTGCCAGCAGAGCATACCTAAACGTTGGAAATTATGAAAAAAAAACCTATTTTTATTGTTTTAAATTATTTAGAAAGGCAAGAAGCTAGAACTCTTTCGTTTATAATAGATCTGTACCAGAACTCTAATATAGAACTCGATTCGAGTCCAGAACTCACGTCCAAGTGCCAGCAGAGCATACCAGAACGTTGGAAAATGTGAAAAAAAAACTATTTTCATTGTTTTAAATTATTTAGAAAGGCTAGAAGCTAGAACTCTTTCGTTTATAATAGATCTGTACCAGAACTCTAATATAGAACTCGATTCGAGTCCAGAACTCACGTCCAAGTGCCAGCAGAGCATACCTAAACGTTGGAAATTATGAAAAAAAAACCTATTTTTATTGCTTTAAATTATTTAGAAAGGCTAGAAGCTAGAACGCTTTCGTTTATTATAGATCTGTACCAGAACTCTAATATAGAACTCGATTCGAGTCCAGAACTCACGTCCAAGTGCCAGCAGAGCATACCTAAACGTTGGAAATTATAAAAAAAAAAACCTATTTTTATTGTTTTAAATTATTTAGAAAGGCTAGAAGCTAGAACTCTTTCGTTTATAATAGATCTGTACCAGAACTCTAATATAGAACTCGATTCGAGTCCAGAACTCACGTCCAAGTGCCAGCAGAGCATACCTAAACGTTGGAAATTATGAAAAAAAAACCTATTTTTATTGTTTTAAATTATTTAGAAAGGCTAGAAGCTAGAACTCTTTCGTTTATAATAGATCTGTACCAGAACTCTAATATAGAACTCGATTCGAGTCCAGAACTCACGTCCAAGTGCCAGCAGAGCATACCAGAACGTTGGAAAATATGAAAAAAAAAACTATTTTTATTGTTTTAAATTATTTAGAAAGGCTAGAAGCTAGAACTCTTTCGTTTATAATAGATCTTTACCAGAACTCTTATATAGAACTCGATTCGAGTCCAGAACTCACGTCCAAGTGCCAGCAGAGCAAACCTAAACGTTGGAAATTATGAAAAAAACCTAAGCCTAGCCTTTCTAAATAATTTAAAACAATAAAAATAGGTTTTTTTTTCATAATTTCCAACGTTTAGGTATGCTCTGCTGGCACTTGGACGTGAGTTCTGGACTCGAATCGAGTTCTATATTAGAGTTCTGGTACAGATCTATTATAAACGAAAGAGTTCTAGCTTCTAGCCTTTCTAAATAATTTAAAACAATAAAAATAGGTTTTTTTTTTCATAATTTCCAACGTTTAGGTATGCTCTGCTGGCACTTGGACGTGAGTTCTGGACTCGAATCGAGTTCTATATTAGAGTTCTGGTACAGATCTATTATAAACGAAAGAGTTCTAACTTCTAGCCTTTCTAAATAATTTAAAACAATAAAAATAGGTTTTTTTTTCATAATTTCCAACGTTTAGGTATGCTCTGCTGGCACTTGGACGTGAGTTCTGGACTCGAACCGAGATCTTTATTAGAGTTCTCATACAGATCTGTTATTAACGATAGAGTTCTAGCTTCTAGCCTTTCTGAATAATTTAAAACAATAAAAATAGGTTTTTTTTCATAATTTCCAACGTTTAGGTATGCTCTGCTGGAACATGGACGTGAGTTCTGGACTCGAATCGAGTTCTATATTAGAGTTCTGGTACAGATCTGTTATAAACGAAAGAGTTCTAACTTCAAGCCTTTCTAAATAATTTAAAACAATGAAAATAGTTTGTTTTTTTATATTTTCCAACCTTCAGGTATGCTCTGCTGGCACTTGGACGTGAGTTCTGGACTCGAATCGATTTCTATATTAGAGTTCTGGTACAGATCTATTATAAACGAAAGAGTTCTAGCTTCTAGCCTTTCTAAATAATTTAAAACAATAAAAATAGGTTTTTTTTTTTCATAATTTCCAACGTTTAGGTATGCTCTGCTGGCACTTGGACGTGAGTTCTGGACTGGAATCGAGTTCTATATTAGAGTTCTGGTACAGATCTATTATAAACGAAAGAGTTCTAGCTTCTAGCCTTTCTAAATAATTTAAAACAATGAAAATAGTTTTTTTTTCACATTTTCCAACGTTCTGGTATGCTCTGCTGGCACCTGGACGTGAGTTCTGGACTCGAATCGAGTTCTATATTAGAGTTCTGGTACAGATCTATAATAAACGAAAGAGTTCTAGCTTCTAGCCTTTCTTAATAATTTAAAACAATAAAAATAGGTTTTTCTTTCATAATTTCCAACGTTTAGGTATGCTCTGCTGGCACTTGGACGTGAGTTCTGGACTCGAATCGAGTTCTATATTAGAGTTCTGGTACAGATCTATTATAAACGAAAGAGTTCTAGCTTCTAGCCTTTCTAAATAATTTAAAACAATAAAAATAGGTTTTTTTTTTCATAATTTTCAACGTTTAGGTATGCTCTGCTGGCACTTGGACGTGAGTTCTGGACTGGAATCGAGTTCTATATTAGAGTTCTGGTACAGATCTATTATAAACGAAAGAGTTCTAGCTTCTAGCCTTTCTAAATAATTTAAAACAATGAAAATAGTTTTTTTTTCACATTTTCCAACGTTCTGGTATGCTCTGCTGGCACCTGGACGTGAGTTCTGGACTCGAATCGAGTTCTATATTAGAGTTCTGGTACAGATCTATAATAAACGAAAGAGTTCTAGCTTCTAGCCTTTCTAAATAATTTAAAACAATAAAAATAGTTTTTTTTTCATATTTTCCAACGTTCTGGTATGCTCTGCTGGCACTTGGACGTGAGTTCTGGACTCGAACCGAGTTCTATATTAGAGTTCTGATACAGATCTGTTATTAACGAAAGAGTTCTAGCTTCTAGCCTTTCTGAATAATTTAAAACAATGAAAATAGTTTGTTTTTTCATATTTTCCAACCTTCAGGTATGCTCTGCTGGCACTTGGACGTGAGTTCTGGACTCGAATCGAGTTCTATATTAGAGTTCTGGTACAGATCTATTATAAACGAAAGAGTTCTAGCTTCTAGCCTTTCTAAATAATTTAAAACAATAAAAATAGGTTTTTTTTCATAATTTCCAACGTTTAGGTATGCTCTGCTGGCACTTGGACGTGAGTTCTGGACTCGAATCGAGTTCTATATTAGAGTTCTGGTACAGATCTGTTATAAACGAAAGAGTTCTAACTTCTAGCCTTTCTAAATAATTTAAAACAATAAAAATAGTTTGTTTTTTCATATTTTCCAACCTTCAGGTATGCTCTGCTGGCACTTGGACGTCAGTTCTGGACTCGAATCGAGTTCTATATTAGAGTTCTGGTACAGATCTATTATAAACGAAAGAGTTCTAGCTTCTAGCCTTTCTAAATAATTTAAAACAATAAAAATAGGTTTTTTTTTCATATTTTCCAACGTTCTGGTATGCTCTGCTGGCACTTGGACGTGAGTTCTGGACTTGAACCGAGTTCTATATTAGAGTTCTGATACAGATCTGTTATTAACGAAAGAGTTCTAGCTTCTAGCCTTTCTAAATAATTTAAAACAATATAAATAGGTTTTTTTTTCATAATTTCCAACGTTTAGGTATGCTCTGCTGGCACTTGGACGTGAGTTCTGGACTCGAATCGAGTTCTATATTAGAGTTCTGGTACAGATCTATTATAAACTAAAGAGTTCTAGCTTCTAGCCATTCTAAATAATTTAAAACAATAAAAATAGGTTTTTTTTTCATAATTTCCAACGTTTAGGTATGCTCTGCTGGCACTTGGACGTGAGTTCTGGACTCGAATCGAGTTCTATATTAGAGTTCTGGTTCAGATCTGTTATAAACGAAAGAGTTCTAGCTTCTAGCCTTTCTAAATAATTTAAAACAATAAAAATAGGTTTTTTTTTCATATTTTCCAACGTTCTGGTATGCTCTGCTGGCACTTGGACGTGAGTTCTGGACTTGAACCGAGTTCTATATTAGAGTTCTGATACAGATCTGTTATTAACGAAAGAGTTCTAGCTTCTAGCCTTTCTAAATAATTTAAAACAATATAAATAGGTTTTTTTTTCATAATTTCCAACGTTTAGGTATGCTCTGCTGGCACTTGGACGTGAGTTCTGGACTCGAATCGAGTTCTATATTAGAGTTCTGGTACAGATCTATTATAAACTAAAGAGTTCTAGCTTCTAGCCATTCTAAATAATTTAAAACAATAAAAATAGGTTTTTTTTTTCATAATTTCCAACGTTTAGGTATGCTCTGCTGGCACTTGGACGTGAGTTCTGGACTCGAATCGAGTTCTATATTAGAGTTCTGGTACAGATCTGTTATAAACGAAAGAGTTCTAACTTCTAGCCTTTCTAAATAATTTAAAACAATGAAAATAGTTTTTTTTTTCACATTTTCCAACGTTCTGGTATGCTCTGCTGGCACTTGGACGTGAGTTCTGGACTCGAATCGAGTTCTATATTAGAGTTCTGATACAGATCGGTGATAAGCGAAAGAGTTCTAGCCTTTTACAATAATTTGAAACAATAAAAATGGTATGTTCTGACTTTTCAAAAATTCGGATATGATCTGCTGGAACTTGGCTGAGAGTCCAGAACTATTCCTGAAAAGTATCAGGAACTATAGAACTCAGCTCCTTGCGCGAAGAACTCACATTTGTTTTTGATTTTGTGCAAAATGATCTGCTACGGGAAGTTAGCAGATCATTTTGTCAATTGACTTTTTTTAAGGTAAAAACGCCAGAACTATTTCTAAAAAGTATCAGGAACTATAGAACTCTCGTGCATGCGAATAGAACTCACTTTTTTTTTTGATCTGCTGGACAATGATCTGCTAAGTTCACTGACATGCTGGTTACTTCATTTTTTAATGTTTTTAAGTGTTTTTACATAGAGAAAGTTTTAATGCAAATCATTTTGGTGAAACTCATTCATCATTTATTTTAATAAAATTGTTTATCTATATTGCCATAAAATGTAATACTTGTAATAAAATATTAAACAAGCTGTTTCTTTCTTGTAATATTTTTTGTTTGTTAAACTCTCTTTAAGCATAAAAAGCATGAGAGATATTTTATACATTTTATTTTTAATAATCATAAAATATACAAAGACATATAATATATTACCAAATATTTTAGATGCATCTGTTTGACATCGACATTCCTGACAAGATCACATTCAAAGAGTCTGAAGTGCTCAGTGCGGGCGACCAGATCACTACCTTTGAATACCAAGGATTGAAAATTGGGATTGGCATCTGCTATGACTTGCGTTTTCCAGAAATGGCGTATATTATGTCCAAGCAAGGTAACACTTAGATTTTTTTTAATTAGAATACTAGCAACTCACCATCGCTTGGCTTCAGGTGCGGCCCTGGACAAAAACTAAGAAAACTATCGCTTGGGAACCGTATATTTTTCCGGGATAAAAAATAGCCTATGTGTTATTCCAGATTATAATCTATCTCTGTGCCAAATTTCATCCAGATCAGTTCAGCCGTTCTGGCGTGAAAGAATAACAAACAACTATACATCCATACAAACTTTCACATTTATAATATTAGTATGGATAGTATAGATAAATAAGTGAATCGAACAAACATTTTTCGAATCGATCTGTAGTAATTGTAAAATCCTGACACATTTAATATTTTGACCTTTTTTGTAAATTTTATGAAAAAAATTACTTACACGTGTAATAAAACGTATTATACTTAATGTTCAAATGACTGACTTTAGAAGTAGGTACATTATTAACCTTTAAGATTGGACTTCATAATTTGTTACAAATGAAAGTATGTACTATGCTTTTATCTAAAAAGGTATACTGACTATTGACATCAAAATCACTTAAAAATGAAAATATTTTTTTACTTTGGTGTACTTTTTGGTTAAATCGGGGAATAGCCACAGTCATAAAATATAATCCTTAAAGATAAAATTTCATTGCAAAAAGAATTATGAAAAATTGATTGTCGATGGCTTGTAATATAACACACAAACAAAAAGTATCTAATTTAAAAAAAATAATTAAATCAACTTCAAAAAGAAATTAACTCAAAATTATGAGCCAATATTTTTATATACTCGAGATTAATCAACAAAAACGAAATCAAAAGTAAGTAAGAAACAAATTAGAGGCTTACAATTTTTTTTGAAGTTGGTGCCTCGTATTTGAAGGTCAAAGAGCTTTTTAAAAGCAACCCAACAAAACATTCCTCTCGTTTTTACTCGTTTTCGTTCATGTTCATTTATTACTGAACTAGCGACTCACCGTAGCTTCGCTCGGGTTCGTCCCTTTTTTTTTTTTTAACGTTGGGAAATGCATTTACGCACGACGTGTGGGATTCTCCGGCGTAATACAGCCAGTACTACCCACTAAAACCCAACAAAACCTTCCCCCGTCTTAATGGGGCGTCACAGGATCGCTTACGCATTCAACTACGACGCCCCGACGGCAGGTCTGCCGAAGCAGACCACCACAACCATGGAGTTGCTCCAAGGTCCACTCTGCTATCAGAGAAGTACCAGGAGCAACCCGTAAGGTACACCGCCCACCGAAGTGGGCAACCTCCCTGTGCGTTTCTTAGCTTCGCGCCCGATTGGGTTGCCGGGCACTACTGAGCCCCCCCACCGCGACAAGGTGAGCGCACGTTGCTCGGGTTCGTCCCTAGCTTGATTCCCCATACAAACTTTCATCCCCATTTTCACCCCCTTAAGGGATAATTTCCGGGATAAAAAGTATCCTATGTCATTCCCAGGATATCAAAGTATCTTCTTACCAAATTTCATCTAAATCGGTTCGCTAGATCCAGAGATTACCCCCTACAACGTCACAAACTCACAATCTCACAAACTTTACCTCTATAATATTAGTATAGTTTAGTCATCATCTCCCTGCCTATTTCCCAATCACTTGGGGTCGGCACAGTAATTCTTCCGTACTGCTGATGGATTTAGCGACAGTATTACGGCCGGCCGCCTGCCTGGCACTAACCCTCCTTGGGAATGCTATTGTTCGTTACTGAAATAGTGTACTTCCTTTTTTCCTTTGAAGCAATCAGAAAACTTATGCAAAGCAACACCACGATACGTTCCTAGGGTGTTCCCTGTTAATTTACCCTGGCGCGTTCAACACGACCACGGGCCCCAAGCACTGGGAGCTCCTCGCGCGCGCCCGCGCCGTGGACGAGCAGCTGTGGGTGGCGCTCGTGAGCCCCGCGCGGGACGCGTCCGCCTCGTACGTCGCGTACGGGCACTCGCTGGTGGTGGACCCCTGGGCCAAGGTGGTGGCGCAGCTGGACGAGACACCGGGCACCTTGTTCGTGGATGTAGGTTAGTTGGTTCGTTATCTTGCAGGGTGGTGTTAAGGAAGATTTTTAGTGTTGTTTAAATGCATTAAAATTGACCTAGCCCATATTATAGCTCATTGACAGCTTGATTACGATAAATAAGCTGCCTACCGGATCCAACTATATCTGTGAAGCGTCCTTACTTATACAGTCACCAAAAACCGGTCAACATTCATTAAAAAAATGCAAATAGACGAACGTAGAACCTTTTCCATTTTGGAAGTCGGTAAATAAGTAATATTTAAATTTGGTTAAATCATTAAGGGGAAGAATTACAAATACACGCACACCAAAATTTTATATATAATTTTATATATTTTTGCAGATGCAAGTGTGGTGGAAGAAGTACGGAGTCAAATACCAATCAGAAGCCAAAAGAGATCAGACATTTACGACGTAATTCAGAAAAAACATTGAAAAAACCAAAGACTTAAAAAGCAATACTGTTATTTTGTATTTAGTTTGTTTTCCATTGATACTCTTTTACAAAAAAATATTAAAATCATATTTTTATAAATTATAAGTAATGATATTTTGTAAATTACAAATTTCGCGTTAAATATATGTATATTGTAGTTGAATTAAAAATGGTTTTATTATATTCCAACCTAATAAAGTATTGCTAGTGTTTGATTATTTACGGTCAGTACATTATGTACTCTAGTACATATTTTATATATTTAGAATTTCTATGATTGATGAAGGAAACGTTTGGTATACAATATACAAAAAGGCATGTAGATATTATTGGCATAAGACATACAAAGCTTAGATATTAGAAAAAGTTTTTATTAACATTTTTATATTTATAGTTTAGATTTTTCTATTTTTCCAATGCCATTCATGTGTTTTTCGAAAATTTCAAGCACATTTGATGCACAGCCCCAAAACAAGGTAAAACCGCTGCCACCTAAAACAAAAATGTAGGAAAAACTATTTATGTATCTATAAAGAAAAATTCATGATCTTGCAAAAAATGCCATTACATGACATAAACATAGAATAACACACGAATTACAATAAAAAGTATTAAAACAATATAAGAATCACTTTTTTATAATAGGTTTGCGCGAATGTTTGACTTTTTATAATAAAACTATCTCTTCGTCATAGGTCACGAGGGAGACTCGGTCTCAGACCATGATTGCTCTAAAACTAAATCATTCGAAATCTCGGTAAGCAAAAATCAAAATAAATCCGCCAAAAATCCAAAAAGATAGTTTTATTTTAAAATATATCTTTTTCGATTGTACTGTATATATTTATACATTTATTTACATTATATTTATGTAGTATATATTGGTTTAGTAGTTACCATGTCCATAGTTATGAATGTATAATTTGCCATCTTTTTCTTCGGGTTCAAGTCTGACTTCGTCCCTGCCCGGTCTCAAACCTACCCAATGGGTAATAATTATAGCATTCTATAACAGAAATATTAAGTTTAGGTTACATATTTGAAAAAAAAATGTATTCAATAAATCCGGCTAGAAGGACCAATTATAATAATAGTATGAAATACTTACTTTAATTCCGGGCATTATATCTTTACACCCATTAATGACTATATCTGTGTCTTTATCATCTATTTCCAAGTTATAATCGTTCTCCTGATGCGTACCGCCCAAAACACAATTATGCACACTGCAATTAAAAAATAGGTTTTTCATTATGTTTTTGTTGTTGTTGTTTTTTATTATCATAGTTTTACAAAGTAATTTTTATATATTTTTTTTAACTATAAAGCGAAGCATAAAAATCAAAGTGTTGGAAACGAAAAGTACTAATTAGAGATAAATAATAATACCAGTACTTCCGGTTATGTTTTGTTTTTCTGGTTATTTTAAAATTGAACAATATTTATATAAGTATTGTTTATTTTTTATAATAAAATGCTTATAACTCTGTTGGTACTTTTACGCTCATGGCTGTTTTTTGCATAACTGGATCCAAACTATTGTCAAATCTGGACCCATAGCATTGTTTCATAAGCGGTCCAATATTACCCAGAATGACGTTACTTTGATTGTTTTTTTTTTGCTTCATGGTTTTTAAGTATGCATCGTGGAGGGTAGAGGGAGCCCTACCATGAGTTTTCACTTCGTTATATGTAATTGAATTTTACTTTTGATAAAGAAAATTATTTTTTAATCTCTCTATAGGTGATAAAAATTTAGATGTATAGAATATAGTTTTTGCTGTAACTTACTTGGGTAAGATATAGTTTCCATGATAGTCATCGAAAAGAATTTCATTTATCCATGGCGCAGAAATCTGGAACAATCATGTAAATTCCATTGATAAACAACCAAGTCTCTTAATCACTCAGGATTATTTTAACTTATACAATATTATAAATATTTTGGTGCACGAAAGCGTATCTTCAATTCTATATAAGAACATACTCTTGATATTTGTCCTCTTACTGGAAAGACTTTCTTATCAGGGACGACGTCTCTGGCTCCAAGGCCTAAGCAATTAATGATGATGTCGTAATCATCTAATTTGGTATCGTTTAAAGATCCAATAGTACTACGTATTATTACGCCTCCTGCGTTCTTGAATCGTTTGTGGAGCAACGATAGAATAGTTGGCGAATATGCTATAAATGTTATAAAACCTCGTCCACATCTGAAAATAAAATCACATTTTTAAAGAAAATTCCTCTTGCAATAACAAATATACTTAAATAAATGCGATAGATAAAATTTAAGAATACTAGATAATAGACATCTAACGTTCCAACTTCGAAATACTTAAGGAGTATCTACGCACGTTTTCGCGACTGTAGAGACTTACGTTTATTGATACCGCCGATCGTGCAATAAGTTTTCTTCGTTATAATATGATATAATATGAATATTGAATAGGGTTCGTATCTCGAGATTGCAGGACCAGGATTCATTTATAGTAAATTAAAGTTAAGTACATGTAGGTACTTATGATATTATATACAGACAACACAAAGTGCTCGTACACAGTCTCTCTGCGTACGAGAACTTATGATCCTTTCTAGTCCAGCCATTTTAGAGTGAAGGAGTAACACACACACAATATTTTTTGCATTAATAATAGAAGTTATATGAGATATGGATGAATATATAAAGAAAAACTTACATATATTTTTTTGAATAAATATCGCTAAAATATTCCAGCTGCTTTTCCCCAAAAATTCTGTATCCGAACACAACACTTGCCCAGTCTTCTATGGGGAGGTCTACTTTTCTCCGGTACAACTCGTATAACGGCATAAAAGTTATATCGTGACCACCTTCCAACCATAACTTATGCATGAATTTATACGTTTCTCCTCCCCATTTACTGCGAAATTTTAAAACTAACTTCTTTGATCGCTTGTAATAAGTTTTAATTTTAACATTACAAAAAATAACAAAATATTTATGTTGGCACAAAATACAAAAAAGTTGGGATGCATGGCCAAAACTTTTTAATTATTAATATTGTGAAATGATATTCATACAACTATTATTAACGTGAAAATAACTTTCAAGGCATGTCTGGTATGGGAGGCTTCAGGTATTGACGAATTTTATCGACTTTATGGCACAGGGAACAAAGCTCATGGCTATTAGCTCCACTCATGAGACATTCGTAATTATTGCAAATATTTGGCAATGGACAAAATATTCGTACGTTAATTTTACCTTTTACTAAATCTTAGTATTGCTAATAGCTACTTAAATTAAAAATCCTCTAAAGTCGAGATGACCAGACATTCCAAAGAGCTTCTTTGTGATAACATTGCAAATTTGCTCCTTTACCTATCAACACAACAAATCCTCACAACAACCTATAAACCACCCCCACCAAGAAAATGAAGAACAAAAGGAAAAAGAGTAAGTGTTACACAGCGGCTCCCATCTCCACACAAGTGGACTTCTGCAACATCAGGGGGCTCCATGCAAACCTCAGCGCAGTCCATCACCATCTGGAGACTGCGCAGCCGACCTTACTATTCCTCACGGAGACGCAAATATCTTGCCCGGCCGACACATCATACTTGCACTATCCCGGCTACAAACTAGAACATAAGTTTCTAAGACGTGCCGGTGTATGCATGTTCGTTCGGGAGGATATCTGCTGTCGCCGTCTCCTTCATTTAGAGGACAGGGACCTCTCGATATTGTGGGTGCGCGTGGACTACGGTGGCCACACCCGTATTTATGCGTGCCTATACAGGTCTCATAGCGGTGACAGGGAAACAAAAAGACTCTTCGAGCACCTGCAATTGACGACGGACAAAGTTCTTGAGCAATACCCCTCTACGGAGTTGGTGATTTTAGGAGACTTTAACGCCCACCACACTGAATGGCTCAGTTCTCGGTCCACTGACTACGCGGGGAGATGTGCTCACGAATTTGCTCTGGCCTATGGTTACTCACAACTGGTGCATTCTCCAACAAGAATACCAGATATTGAGGACCATACGAGCTCAATACTGGACCTTCTGCTGACTCAACGTCCGGATGGATATTCCATCTCAGTAGATGCACCACTTGGCTCGTCCGACCACTGCCTTATCCGGACTCTTGCACCATGCGCGCGCCCAGATCCACCTCGGCCAACTAGCTTGCGGCGCATGTGGCAGTATAAGTCAGCAGATTGGGATGGATTGCGAGAGTACTTCGCATCGTACCCGTGGAGGCAATTGTGCTTCACATCAGAAGATCCCGACATCTGCGCAGCTGCTGTCTCCGAGACAATATTGGCGGGTATGGAATGTTTCATTCCAAACTCGCTAGTTGCTGCCGGGAAAAAGAAACGACCGTGGTTTAATCGGCCTTGTAAGAAAGCGAGATTCATTAAGCAAGCCGCGTTCAGGGCTTGGATCACGGCTCGGAGTAATAGCGATCCAAATCTTTCTGATGTGTAACGCAAACTAAATGCCGTCTCGAGGTCCAGTAAAAAAACAATTGTCAGAGCTTTATTCGAGTTCATCGGGAGAATTGGCGAAAAGCTGGCTAGTTACCCTTCCGGGAGTCGAGCCTTTTGGTCGCTCGCCAAAGCTGCCGAGGGGAATTTTTGTCTGTCGTCCTTACCACCACTGCAAAATGCCGACGGCAACCTGGCCCATAGCGCCAAAGAGAAAGCCGATCTACTAGGTACACTCTTTGCCACAAACTCGACTTTGAAGGTCAATGAAAGCGCCGCACCGCCAACCATCCCACGGTGTGGACACTCCATGCCGGAAATAAATTTCTCACAAAGAGAAGTCCGGCGGGAGCTGCTAAGTCTTGATGTTCATAAGTCGAGTGGGCCCGACGGCATACCAGCAGTGGTACTCAAACAGTGTGCTCCTGAGTTGTGCCCTGTACTAACGCGACTTTTCGCACTTTCCTACCGATCTAGGCAAGTACCGTCTTCGTGGAAGACCGCCCATGTGCACCCGGTGCCCAAAAAGGGCGATAGATCAGACCCATCGAATTACAGGCCTATCGCTATTACCTCTCTTCTCTCCAAGGTTATGGAGCGTGTTATTAATACCAAGCTCCTCAGATACCTAGAGGAACACGATTTGATCAGCGACCGGCAATACGGCTTTCGCCACGGTCGCTCGACTTCTAGTGTATCTGACACACCGGTGGGCTTCAGCCATCGAGAGTCAAGGTGAGGCGTTGGCAGTTAGCCTAGATATAGCAAAGGCGTTCGATCGGGTCTGGCACCGGGGTCTTCTCTCGAAGTTGCCATCTTACGGACTACCCGAGGGCTTGTGCAAATGGGTTGCCAGCTTTTTATCTGGTCGATCCATCAGAGTCGTCGTTGATGGCTGCTGCTCGGATAAACTAGATATAAACGCTGGCGTCCCGCAAGGTTCTGTGCTGTCTCCAACGCTTTTCCTTCTGCATATCAATGACTTGCTGTCTATTGATGGCATTCATTGCTATGCGGACGACAGCACTGGAGACGCTTTCTACACAGGCCGTGCAAACATCCCTCGCTCCGCTGTGGTAGAAAGTCGCGAACAACTTGTGTCTCAAATCGAGAGTATTCTTTCCAGAGTCTCCGATTGGGGTCGGGACAATTTAGTCCAATTTAACCCCTCCAAGACACAAGTTTGTGCGTTCACCGCTAAGAAAACCCCATTTACTGTGGCCCCTCAATTCCAGGACACACCCCTAACCATCTCCAACAGTATTGGTATTCTTGGTGTCGACATATCCAGCGACGTCCAGTTCCGAAGTCACCTGGAAGACAAGGTCAAGCTGGCATCCAAAAAGCTAGGTGTGCTTAATAGAGCGAAGCGGTACTTCACGCCGGGACAAAGACTGCTTTTATATAAATCGCAACTCCGTCCCCATATGGAGTACTGCTCGCATCTGTGGGCGGGAGCACCGGCATACCAGCTTGGGCCTTTTGACTCGGTTCAGAGGAGAGTGTGAGAATTGTCGACGAACCAATACTCACAAGCGATATAGAGCCCCTAAGTCTAAGAAGAGATTTTGCGTCCCTATGTGTGCTCTATCGTTTGTACAATGGGTTGTGTTCCGAAGAATTGTTCGAAATGATGCCCACGGCCACTTTCTATCACCGCACCGCTCGCCATCGACAGCGAGTTCATGCTCACACATTGCAGCCCAAATGGTCCCGTACAGTTCGGTTTCAGAGGAACTTTCTCCCAAGGAACATCTCGCTGTGGAATGAACTCCCTGCCGAGGTTTTCCCAGAGAGCTACAGTATGGGGTCCTTCAAAAGGGGAGTAAATAGGTTTTTAAAGGGTCGGCAACGCGCATGTGATGCCCAAGGTGTTGCAGGCGTCCATAGGCTGCGGTAACCGCTTACCATCAGGCGTGCCGCATGCCTGATTGCCACCGACGTGGTATAAAAAAAAAAAAAAACAATTTTGTACATAAGTAATAAAAGGCAAGGAATATAGAAGCTTATGGACTCTTGTAGTGGATGGCTTCATTTTCAGACAAAATTTCAGTACTCTATATCTTAGCGATCCATATATTTCATCCATACATCAACAGAAAGGTAAAAACCCGATCAGGCATGACATTACGAACATTGAGGCCGTCATAGAACTCCACAGACGCTTGAAGTCTTTACGAAGTCTCAAGCACCCTGACTAGAACTCAGAACAGTACCTACATGATTTGTAGTCTCCTTAATCTGTGACATGACTCTTATGTGACCTTCGAAATGGTTTTCGGTTTCGTTAAAAGGTTTTAAGAAGTTTGAAGAAAGCCCCATCAATTATCTTAGTGTACGGTCGCAAAGTTCTACATTATTGAAATCAGCAGAAATAAAAGATGGTATCCTTGAAGCCGTGATATGTATATCATGGCTAGACAAAACATTATATAATTCCGCTGGCACAACTTTAAAAAAAGTAAGCCATTGTTCAAAAACGTAATAAGTAATTTTTTTATAGGAAAAAAAACCAGTAACTTTAATATTTTATATGTTGTTTTTATATTCATCTTCTTATTCAATATATAAAAATATGGAAAAATTTTGGCCATGCAATGCCGCCTCCTACAATAATCTTAACTCTAAAGTGATCTTAAAATTCAAATATAAGAGAAAAAGTTTTATCTGCCTTCTTAATTGTACCTACTACTTAGCAAAGTTATGTATGTACTATAATTTTACATAGCAATGATACGTACCACAAGAGTTCTTGCGGCGTGTCACCACAAATATAAGGATACCACAGCCCCCCACATCCATCACTAATTGTGTTGGGTGTAAAATCATTAGAAATTAGTACTACCTATAAGTTTTAATAAATATTAAATCAATAAATTGATTATTCTGTAAAAAAATGGATTGTAGACTACTGTACTTTGACACTGCTAAATCACAAACTTACATCAATATATGGATATTTTTCTTTTATTTTCACTGCACAACTTAAACCGTTTACACCGGCGCCTAAAACGGCTACTTTAACCATAATTATTTTTCACTAAAAAAAGTAGACGATGTTCACTAATAATGTATAAGTAGCAAATGAGTTTCTTCTTCATATATATCCTATGAAATATAGTTACCTATTTAAATCTGTTATCAGAAAAATATTACAAAGGTCATATAAACAAATTAATATAATTTAAATATAGTAACAACAATTACTTTGTTTACATTCGCTTACAGTCACTGATAATAATTGGCACCAGTAAATTGATCTGATCTAAGTTATGGAGGTACGCTTATATTTGTTCAACGGTGAAAAAATTTATTCGAAAGTCTTTTCCAATAAATTTTTTCACCAGAGGAAGTCCCTAAAAACAACCAGTGAAAATCCAACCTCCACGAGACTCCATCCTTAAAGAATGGTCTGTATCCTGTTCCGTCTTTTCGCCTAATTCTTCTATCAGAAGTGAACGCTATTAGGTTCGTCTTAGCATTTTCAGGGTACTAATCTCCGTCGACTACCAACAGTTTTTTTTGTAACAGTTGTTTGGCTCAATATCAATTTTGAAATCACAGATTCTAATTTGATAAGTTTTTAAATATATGAAGAAATACTTATTATTGTGATGCATCAGTAGTATCCGGCAATCCAGACGTGAAACTAAAAAACGCAATTGGGAGGTACTTATCGGCTGCGGATAAAGAGGGATACTACTGCTGTAAAAATCATTTAAATATGTCCGGTTTTCATCCATTAAATGTTTCAGTCGTTCTTCTCTAATAGCAGAGTGATCGAGAGAATCGTGAAACTAGTGCTACCCTCTGGTTATTATGGATGAGGAGGAAGAAATGTTTGCTCTAAAGTCCAAAGTATTTTGCTTTTTTGCTAAGCCGGATAAATCACTCGGCCTACATCGGTAAGCCTACTGGGCGTCGTGATTAAATGCGGTAGTAAAGTAATAATGCTATTTATCCTCCCCACAAAGGTGCGATGTCAATACGCGCACTTGGGAGGTAGCCAGTTGCTCTTGGTCATCTGGACTTTTCTGATAACAACCCCTGGGTTGTTGTAGTGTGCTCCGGCAGGCCAGTCATCTAGTACGTAAGCCCAGTTTATAACTATACTCTTTGGCGTAAGCAGTCTTGTGATACCGCATCAAGATGGGGAAGGTTTCGTTTTTAGCCGGACAGTCCGACATAAACCTCTGTATTAATATTAATGCAGGTGGTATGCGTAAATGCATTTCCCAACGTTAAAAAAAAAGAATGAATTTTTAGCTGTTACTCGCAGTTTTGCGTGTATTTTAGTTAATTTAAAATATCTTATTTGTAAAAGGAACTTATTTACAAACGAAAGATAATTGTCAAAATGAATGTTAATTTGAAAGGCTTGCAATCCTTATAAAATGTCAATTGTCAGAGCTGCAACTTGCAAAACAAACTTGAATTTGAACTATTTGTCAAGATAGAATTTGTCTATAAACGTTGTATTTTTTAATAATTTATTGATAAAAGATTCTTTTCTGTAATAACTACAATTATAATGAAGTACGAATAGTAATATAAAAATAGTTAAATTGGTTGTAAATGTGTAATGAATCTAATTTTAACTTGTAAAATATTTTTCAGGCTAACTGTAGACGGTCTTCTTGTATATTTCCCATACGATTATATTTATCCTGAACAGTATGCTTACATGCTTGAATTAAAACGAGCTTTAGATGCTAAGGTGCGTATTAGATATATTTTATAAAATACCTGCATTTTTTGAGGTTATAACTCTGTTTGTGTTTGTATTTGTATTGGTGCAAAATAGTATACATATATAGATTTTATTAGAGAGTAAACTGAATCATACAATTCCGTTTGCATTAACTTCTATCTTCATGGTAATAAAAATAAGTACTAATTAAATATAATATTATTATTATTTTAGGGACATGGCTTACTGGAAATGCCGTCAGGAACTGGAAAAACCATATCACTACTATCACTAATTGTTGCTTATATGATACAAAACCCTCATCATGTCAGGTTGGTGATTTTTATTTAAAACTTAATGTTTAAATGATATATTCTTACACAAGATCAAAATATAATATTTATTATTTTTAATCAATTACCACTAAGAATACATATTTAATTAATTATTATAATTGAAAAGTTTATTCATTTTAGAAAATTAATTTACTGTTCCCGCACAGTACCTGAAATAGAAAAAGTATTAGAAGAATTAAAAAATCTAATCAAATATTATGAAAAAAGTCAAGGAGAGAAACCCAGTTTAACTGGAGTCGTATTGAGCTCAAGGAAAAATTTATGCATACATCCGGATGTGAGTCTGTGTATATTTAAATTGTTATTTTATGTATTTGTTTTCATTTGCTATTTATGAAATTAAAGTTTGTTTGAAATGATGTAATTTAAATTATAAATTTCTTATAACATTTATGACATTTTAGGTATCAAGAGAAAGAGAAGGTAAATTAGTTGATGGCAAATGCCATTCCCTGACTGCCAGTTACATCAGAGAGAGGCATGAGCATGATAGTTCTGTGCCCATTTGTAAGTTATGTTTTTATTGATGTTATAATAGAGCTATTATATAACTTTACATGATAGTCATAAAAAATAATAGAACTGATATTAAATCTGTCTCATAATCTGAAGCCATTAAGAAGAAAATTGAATTGAAGTTATAATCATCTTGGGTTAGATACAAAAGTACTCAAATATGCCATAAGGCTGTAGCGGAATAAGCATATAAAAACTGCACAATCACACACATACAGCTTAATACTCTTATAGCTTAGATACTCTTATAGATAAGTTCTTACCCAAAATAGCATGACTCCCTGTTTAATGGGGATAGAAGTTTGGAATTAGGGAGGTTTGAAATTGGGAAGTTGTTTTAGATAAAGAATAATAAATAAAGGGTAATGTAAGATGAAACTAATAAAACTTTGAGATATTCTTTCTATCCTTGCATGTATTCTTATATTCAGTACTTTTGCAACATCAACTTAATTATTTTATAATCATTAAATCATCAATATGTCTGTCTGTGTGGAAGCTTTTACCACAGGTTCGGAAAACAGTTCTGCTGATAAGAGCCAGCGAGAAACTCAACAGTTGCTTTTTTATATAATCTTTGTTCGCACAATTTATATTAACAATTTGCAGTATTACAAACAATTCATAACTAGTCACTACTAGGTGATACCAACATCTCTTTTCCCAAACGCATGGAAAAACAAATGAATAATAAAACACTCGAATAGAAAAATGCAACCTTACAGTTAGAACTCTTCATTAGACACTGTGCAGTTTTCACATGCATATTCCGCTATACCCTAATTAGGGTAAGTGTACTAGAGTAGTATTTTCTCATCTGTGGTTAGTTTCTTAATTCAAAAATACAAAATATTTCATTCAGTATTTAATTATTACAATTTTTTACTGAATGTCATGAGTCTACTACCAGTTCGGAAAAAAGAAGCCTCAGACCTGAAAAGAACTAGTGAAACAAATATATTTGTTTAAATTTGCAGGTCAGTTTTATGAAGGATTTAACCGAGAAGGAAAGGAGTCTATGCTGCCATATGGCGTGTACACAATGGATGACCTCAAACAGTATGGTGCTGATAGAAACTGGTGTCCATACTTCTTGTCTAGATTTGCTGTAAGTATATCTTCATATAAAGTTGTAGAGATGTTGAATGTACATTTATATTATTTTTAATTAGAATCTGGTTTAAAGTGAAATTGAAAATATTAAAGTAGTGATTTTTTTTAAATTACTTTTAGTTATTAAAAAAATACTGGCACAAAGTATAGTTATAAAATATTTAAAATAATTCATTTATTATTATATCTGATTAAATAAAGTTTCTGGTAGGTTATTACTTATTCTAATGTGTTTTTTGTATCCTAGCCTATTTTGAAGTCATTATTATCATTCTTATTTAATTAATACTTTAGATTTTTAATTTACTATACTTTTAATCCCAAATATTTTTTTATGCAAGAAGAGGGGAGTCCTAAGTTTTAACATGTGTATCTGTGTTTCTTTCGACGAACCGATTTTAATTTAGTTTTTTTTTTATTTGAAAGGTGACTTGATTGAAATTGTTTTTAGCTTTAAATCGAGAAAATCCACAGACCTAATCGATTCAAAAGTTGGTATCCCGTTACTTTAATGACATTGTAACGATATGGTAACCCTAATTCAGCAGCGTCACCTGCACCTGAAATCTGCAAGATTCTCAACTATAGGCTTATAGGGAAATGGCCTCAATGAATAGGTTATTATGTTGATTGTTGGGAGCTTATTACATTTTTTAATTTAAGAGTCTATTTATTATTACAGATAATCCATGCAGAGATAGTAGTATATTCCTACCACTATCTCCTAGATCCAAAGATCGCAGAAGTTGTATCAAAGGAGTTGAACAGAGAAGCGGTGGTGGTATTTGATGAGGCCCATAATATAGACAATGTGTGCATCGACTCCCTCAGTGTGAAGATAACTAGACGAACTATTGACAAGAGCTCTCAAGCTTTGCAGTCTTTGGAAAAAGCTGTTGCGCAGTTAGTTGGTATTTTATACGTTTAATATATATAATTGTCATGTCACAGTGTTTGTAAGAACACTCCTCCGAAATAGCTTGACCTAGCTTCTTATGAAATTTTGTATGTATATTCAGTAGGTCTCAGAATAGGATGTAAACTATTTTTCATACCCCTAAGTGATAAGGGTGGTCCACCCTAATTTTTATTTTATTTTTTAGACAACACTTTTTATGATTCAGCATTAAAAATACATACAAACCTAAATTTTTACTAGGGACGAACCCGAGCGCAGCGAGACTGAGTCGCTAGTAAATGTATATATTTTAATGACTACTGTGCCTTATTTTTATTTACTCACAGTGATTGTTGTAGGTTTGAATTGAGTTTTCAAATATACTAGGTAAATAATGTAGCAATTCTTCATATAGTGCTATCTTTAGTTCTTATAATTTCACTAGCATTACCCGCGGCTCCGTGCGTGTTCTGATGCCCAAAAACCAAATTCTTAGGTTTTACATATTAGTATACTCTTACATTGCAGTTTTTGTATTTTTTCTCAGAAATGAGACATTATTTCCGCGGTAAAAAGTATCGTATATGTTGTTAGCTATGACCATATCAAATTTCATCAAAATCCCTTCAGTTGTTTTTCTGTGATGCGGTAACAGACAGACATACAAACAATCTTAAAGGTATAGATTCGGCCTCTGTATCGATAATAATGTTTATTTCAATAACATTTTCCAAAAAATATTTAATTTACAGATTCGGCTTAGTTACAATTTTATTATATGTATAGATTAAAATGCTTAACTTTGTTTCTAAAGAATAAAATCTATTAGAGTTGAATTGTCTTGAAATTTATATGGCATTCATTAAAAAGAATCTTGACAAAATGTTATACATTCGAATTAAGTATGTCCACATTTGAAGGGGATAAGTAAAATGCTAAGACAAAACTCGTGGTACAGATTAAAGGAAGAGGACGCGGAAAGGCTCAGCCTGGAGTACGAGCAGATGGTGGAGGGGCTGCGCGAGGCGGCCGTCGCGCGCGACACCGACCTCATCCTCGCCAACCCCGTGCTGCCCGACGAGGTGCTGAACGGTCTGTGTCTCACACACACGTATACACACACACACATACACATACACAGCGCTGGATGTACACTAGGGGCACTCGGGGCTAGATCCCAGAGCGGCAAAATTAGGAGGGCGGGAAAAATAATATCTTCGCGTTATCGAAAATGCTTTTTTTAATTTTCAAAAAATGAAATATAAAAAAAGATTAACTAGTAGGTACACTTTTCGACAAATTGATATCTCGTATAAATTAATGTTCTGCAATTTTTTTTAAATAATTTTTATTGAAACTTTACCCATTTTATACAAAATTTCGATAATTGGGCGGCATTTTTTATTATGCTCGGGGGCGGCGCTAAGCTTAAATCCGGCACTCACATACACAAACACGCATTTACATGCACGCACGAACATATTCACACGTGAGCTTGCGCACGCACACGCATGCGTATGCCAATACGCAGTACGCATACACGTCCGTGACTTGATCCTCATATAAATAATTTAAAAAGCAAAAAAATAGTGCACTAATGAGGACATATGTACTTACCACGTCTAGCCGCGGGCAAAAACTTATCTATATATGTAATAGTTTTTTAATAGTAAAATATTATGGACAAAACTACGTTCATAATTAAATCAATTCCTAATAACTACTAAAAAAGTTGATTATGCAGGTTATTGACATGAATTGTTCCGTCTAATCAAGATGAAATATTTAGTTCGAATAGTGGATATAATAGATCCGAGGTCCGAGGATCCTGGGTTTGAGTCCCGATTCGAGCCAAATATAATAGTTGGTTTTTCTGTCGAAAAGTTCTTAGTATAGTCCGAAATGTGGGAAAATTGCAGTGAGAGCACTTAAAGTCATCGATCTTTCACCGATCGTGTCCGTATCGGTACGAAGAAAATTGTTATTCTTCTAATTTGGATGGAAAATTAATAAAAATATAAAGTCCTCCACCAATTCCAAAACAATAAGGTGATTTATAATGAAGTAGAAAATGAACGTTAAATATTAAAACAATATTTTTACATCTTTTATTCTACAAATTTATTTTTTTCACAGAGGTGGTCCCGGGTAATATAAGGAATGCGGAACATTTCTTAGGGTTTTTGAAGCGTTTCATAGAATACCTGAAGACCAGGCTGCGGATACAACACGTGGTGCAGGAGTCGCCCGCTGGTATGCCGTTTTATTAAATCTAACATTATTATTGATATTGAAATTGTTATTAAATTCATTATTATCGACTATAATCGATAAAGTTTGAAAGATAATAAAATCAAGTTTGAAAAATATATTGAAAAGCATGATAATACTCTTAAAAATTTACTATAAAGTATTAATAAAATAATTGTTCATACAATCGACCTATTGGGATGAAGGCGATAGATAGAAAAAAAGGGTAATAATTCAACCGTCACGACACTTTATTATTTACTAACAGCACCCCATACAAGTACCAGGTTAGCATAAGTGTTGAGGAGTGTATGTTGTAAGAACTAAGAAATTCGTGTGCACTCTGTGCAGGCCTTTGTTCGATGATGTACGATGTACGTTGCTCGATGTGATGCCCTAATTTATGAGCCAAAGAGCAGAGAGCTAAAAGAACTTCGTTGCTACCGTTCGGGTGTTCCGCGACACCATCGATCAAAAAATTACTAGATACACAATCATTAAAAAAAATTGTCCTCACCGAATGAGCGCTCATTTGAACTTTTTTTTGTGAAAACAACTTTAAGCATTGCGTTTAAGATTCAATTTACATTGTTGTATATTTATGCCAACTACAATAATTACTTAAACACAATTGCTGATAGTTTTAAGAGAACTTTTGCATGGGATTGTGTATCTAGTACTTTTTTGATCGATGCGCGACACCGACAAACTTTTTATTAGCTTATTAATTTGATTTGACCGTTATTCGAAATTTACATATAATATACTTTACGTATAGGCACTTCCGTTTCCGCCGTTTATATATCTATCCTTGTCTATCCGTCTACTATCTCGCTGTCCACCGCACCACCTGGCGGCAGAGTGGGGATCGGTGCGAGCGATTCCCACTCCTGAAATTATTTCTTCATTGAATCGAAATACTCCAGGCAGTTATTTAAAGTTAAGCTTCGAATAAGGTAAGTAAATTAATATGCGTTTTATTGGTAGGTAAAAAGCTGCTATTTTACCATAACCTGTCTTTGTCCAGGTTTCCTCAAGGACGTCTCCTCCAGGGTGTGCATCGAGCGCAAGCCGCTGCGGTTCTGCGCCACGCGGCTGCAGTCGCTCATGCGCACGCTGCAGATCCCGGACCCGTCGGCGCTGGGCGCGCTCACGCTGGTGGCGCACCTCGCCACGCTGGTCTCCACATACACCAAGGGGTTCGTCATCATCATCGAGCCCTTCGACGATAAGACCCCCACGGTGTCCAATCCGATATTGCATTTCTCGTGAGTAAACTTAGTATTAAATGTAAATCCTTTGACAAATTTGAAGGATTATAATTAATTCTTGCTACATTTTCACGCTTCGACAAATCAATATTACTTGTTAGAAAATCACTATGAGTCAAAGTATGATATGCATGAATTTTTCGCGGAAGCAATTATAATTCTTTTGCTTAAAAAATAATATATATCTTTGCTAATATTTAGATATTACAAATATATACCTATAATGTGTTCAGATGCATGGACTCGTCGATAGCGATGCGGCCGGTGTTCTCCAGGTTCCAGACTGTCATCATCACTTCTGGTAAACACTAAGCGACATAAGCACATGTTACATATTTCTATATGATTTTATTTTATTGAAATCATTAGAAATACAATAAAACTTAGATGGTTAAACTTTTCAAGATTTACTCAAAACCTATATTTTTAAATTCTTTGTGATAACTATTTTTTTATGACTTAATAAAACAAAAGACTTTTCGGACTTGCTGATATTATTAGTGAAGGAATACCAAATTTTGCAATTAATAAAGTTCAAGCATCTCGACGGTTGCAGGGACGCTGTCGCCGTTGGACATGTACCCCAAGATCCTGGACTTCAACCCCGTGGTGATGAGCTCCTTCACCATGACCCTGGCGCGCCCTTGCATACTGCCCATGGTGAGGGACACATGAGGATTATACGATTAATTTATTCTGTCTGTATGAGCTATATTCAACTAGCGACTATAACGAGAGTACACTATGAAATATTTTCATAGATTTAAGCGAATATTTGCCATTTTAAATAAAACTATCTATTCGGGTTTTTTTGTGGATTTATTTTCACTTTTGATTTCTGACGTTTCGAATGCAGTTACAGCGTACATGGTCACGGGAGAGACTAAGGCTTAAGATTTCTCAAATGCATTATATACTTGTTACAGATAGTGCCTACCCACAAAAGATTATTCCAGGTTGTAATCTATCGTTGTGCTGAATTTTATACAAATCTATCCAGTACTTTTAGCATGAGAGGGACCACAAACATACACACAACGTGCAGTCTGATTATTTTATATAAACAAATGGCATACTGTATAGGGCATTTTTTTACATTTATAAAGTTTAAAAATTGGTTGTTAATAAGCATAAACATGGCTCATTAAAAAAAATCTTTTTAAAATATATAAACTGAACTGCTAAAATATAAAAAAATGTATGAAATTGCCGACATTTATTTACTATTAAAATGTCTACATACATATGTATGTCCAATTCACTGTTTTGGCTTATATTCAACAACATATTTAGCATTTTTTTTTATTTTACATAATTGGTATATTTGTAGATAGTGTCAAAAGGCAGCGATCAAGTGGCGATATCGTCGAAGTACGAGACGCGCGAGGACGTGGCCGTCATACGTAACTACGGGCAGCTTCTAGTCGAGGTATTTATCGTCCCTAGCTTGATTCCCCATACAAACTTTCATCCCCATTTTCACCCCCTTAAGGAATGATTTCCGTGCTAAAAAGTATCATATGTCCTTCTCAGGGTCTCTTCTATCTTCTTACCAAATTTCATCTAAATCGGCTCAGTAGTCCCAGAGATTACCGCCTACAACGCCACAAACTCACAAACTTTGCCTCTTTATAATATTTTATATTGGTATAGATATATATTAAAGTAGAATGTATGTCCGTGTGTCAGATATCGTCGTGCGTGCCGGACGGCGTGGTGTGCTTCTTCACGTCGTACCTGTACCTGGAGAGCGTGGTCGGCGCGTGGTACGACCAAGGTAGCTATACTGGCTTCGTTTCCTTTATTTATTATATATGTACAGTCTACTAACGACAATAACATCAGCATCTGCTAATGAAAGTGTCGTCAAAATCAGCCGGAACAAACAGACAGATAAACATAAAAAAATTGTATTTTTTAAAGTACCGCATATAATATCATATGCATTTAGTAAAAACTTTTTAACAAAAAAATAAAAACCGACTTCAAACAAAAGCATTAAAAAGTAAAAAATAACTGTTTGGTAGTTTTCATTTACTATACATACCTAATCAAATATTTTCGAATTTTCGAAGTCGGTGTGCTTTGCTTTGTATGGGCTGGCACCGATTTCGAAAATATTTGATTAGGTATGTATTTAATAGGTAGGCTTTAATTACTTAGCCAAAGCACACCGACTTCGAAAATATTTGATTAGGTATGTATAGTAAATGAAAACTACCAATCAGTTATTTTTTACTTTTTAGTGCTTTTGTTTGAAGTCGGTTTTTATTTTTTTGTTAAAAAGTTTTTATTTTTCCCTTTTTAGTGTAGACAGTAGTAGCAAAGTAAGGATTCTAACGTGGTTAGGCTTGTCAAATCAAACAAAATAAGCCCAAACTCAAAGTATCTACTATTAGCCGTTGAAGAGTTCCACCTGTCCACCTTCTGGCCTTGCCATCAGATCAGGTCAACAACACCGAACCACTGTACTATCATCGGAAATAGAAATACCTGCAAAGTTTCAAGTCAATATGACAATTAGAAGTAGGTTAAATTCATCATTAGTTGTTTTTCCACCCTTAGGGGTGGTATTTTTTTTTGAAATTTAAATGGGACCAATCTGGAAGTATACCCTTTTTCAAACAAAACAAAAATTGTCCAAATCGGTTAATAAATGACGGAGTTCTGCGGTAACAAACATAAAAAAAAAACATACAGTCGAATTGAGAACCTCCTCCTTTTTTAAGTCGGTTGAAAAGCGGTTCTTTTGAAATTACAAACAGACACTTCAATTTTATTTATCTGTATATGATTGTATATTTGTGAGTTATATGCAGTTAGTGTACATACATATTTTACTTAAGCGATACAATGTTCAATATGTTATATACATTTCATTAAATGACAATTTTGTTATTTTATTTTGATATTTATATTATTTTATATAATTATTCAATGTACGATTTAAACAGTTATATAAACTGTACAAAGTTAACTAAAGTGGCTAATAAAAAAATTCTATTATATGTTACATAAATAAAGGTACTTAATACTCTACTAAAAAAGAAAATATAGTATTTTATCTGTGAATTAAAGTGATGTTTTGTGTATATACCTACATGAGATATTTTTCTTATTTTTTAAGCATTTTTTTATAATTTCTACATTTATTGGTTCTTCCACAGGCGTAGTGGCGAGTCTTCAGCGACACAAATTACTGTTCATAGAGACGCAGGACTCGGCCGAGACTAGCTTTGCTCTCATTAATTATATCAAGGTGATTAATAACTAATATTTGATATTGTAAATAAAACTGTTTTTAAGGTTCTGTACTCAAACGATAAAACCGGGACCCTATTACTAAGATTCCGCTCTCCGTCCGTCTGTCACTAGGCCGTATCTCATGGACCGTGAAAGTTAGATAGTTGAAATTTTCACAGATGATGTATTTCTGTTTCCTCTATAACAACAAATACAAAAAAAAACAGAATAAAATAATATTTAAGGGTCTGTAGATTAATCGGTAGACTGGTCGGTCGATTGACTGAGTCGGTAGACCGACCGGTCTATCGATAAATCGTCAGACTGGTCGACTGACTGAATGACCGACTGGTCGACCAGTGGGTTATGAAAGAATGAGTCATAGTGTCAGTGTGTGTGTGTTTTTAATTTTTAATTACTGACACTGTAATAGCTTGACGGATTTAAGTGAGAAGAGAAATAAAGTGAGTGTGCGTGTGCGCAGGCGTGCGAGAGCGGGCGCGGCGCCGTGCTGCTGTCGGTGGCGCGCGGGAAGGTGTCGGAGGGCGTGGACTTCGCGCAGCACCTCGGCCGCGCCGTGCTCATGTTCGGCATCCCCTACGTCTTCACGCAGAGCCGCATCCTCAAGGCGCGCCTCGACTACCTGCGCGAACACTTCCAGGTGCTCCCTAGTACGACATATTTTCCCGCAGTAAAAAGTATCCTATATGTTGACCCGGATAACCAGCTATCATCGTATCAAATTTCATCAAAATCTATCCTGTGATTTTTTCGTGATACGTACCCAGATAGATAGACAAACATAAATTCTAAAAACTATAGATTCGACCTCTGCACCGATAATAATAGCTATTTCAATAAGATTTCTCCAAAAATAATGTACAGATTCGACTGAGAATTTTGTTATATGTATGGGTTACACTCAATATTACTAACAGCTATTCTGTTAATTTATCCAAACTCTTGGTACTGATTAGTTACATAAAATAGACATTTTTTTCAAATTTTTACTTTCAATGATTACTATTTGCTCTTACAATGAAAAAAAAGCATCATGCGAAACCCTATGAATCTAAATTAATTTACCTAGTTTTTAAAAAGATAATATATAAAGTACACCAACGCACACAATAAAGACAGCATGCTAATACTTTGTGCTACAAGAGCAACTGTTGAGTTTCTCACAGGCTCTTTTCAGCAGAACTGCTTTCCAAGCCGGTGGTAGCTTCCTCGCGGACTGGCTACACTGATGCTCTTTAAATTATATTGACGATTCAAGTGTTCATAAGTCTAATTTAATAAAGTTTATTAACCGACTTCCAAAAAGGACGAGGTTCTCGATTCGTCGGAATCTTTTTTTTATGTATGTTCACCGATTACTCGAACACGCCTGAATCGATTTGGATTTTTATGTTTCGAAGGGTATACTTCCCAGGTGGCCCCATTTAAATTTTATCTAAATCGGTCGAGCGGTTTTTTAAAAAACATCAAATAAATTATTTATTTTTTGTCTACACGAAAAAATGAAAAAATTAAAAACTTAAAAACAACTGACTTCCAGGCACTAAAATGTAAAAATAATTAAACGGGGGTTTTCATTTAGAATAGACTTCGAAAATATCTGATTAGGTATCTATTCTAAATGAAAACCCCCGTTTAGTTATTACTTATTTTTTACATTTTAGTGCCTGGAAGTCGGTTTTTTTTAAGTATTTTTATTTCTTTTCAATATTACTCGTCATAGAAACAAAATCGCAAATATTTCAAGTGTATAATTAATATAAATGATTTTTTTTTTGTATAGATCCGTGAGAACGATTTCCTGACATTCGACGCGATGCGGCACGCGGCGCAGTGCGTCGGCCGCGTGCTGCGGTCAGTATTGCGGCCTGTTGCTTTGCAGAGTGCAACATTTTCATCAAAAACACTCGATATTCGTCAACATATTAAATATTTTTGAATATTATTATTTCCTTTTAGACGTCCAAAATTTATTAATGTAAAAGAAATTTTTTAAAATACATACTACATAATATAATTACACATATATATGAAACTTAAATAAATAATCTTCTTTATTGAAAACTTGATACAACTGCGCATTATTATTTCATCGCGTCGATAGAACACTACTACATAACGGCAGTGTGTGGGTGGCAACTCAAAACTAGTTTGTTCCGACTTAAACTGTTAACAACCTCAGGTCTACAAAGGCTCAACTGGCACTCCTAAGATCCACAAAACGAAAATTAGTAATAATAACAATCTTAGACCGAGCAAAATACCTATTATGACCCAGTTATAAAAAGCTTTGTTTCTTAAGGGATATTTATTCATGTGTTTGTTTATATTACGTTAAGTAATAATATAATATAATGTACGCAGAGGTAAGACGGACTACGGCATCATGATCTTCGCGGACAAGCGCTTCAGCCGCGCCGACAAGCGCAGCAAGCTGCCGCGCTGGATACAGGCGCACCTGCGCGACTCGCTCTGCAACCTCAGCACCGAGGAGGCCGTGCAGGTATCCCCTCCCCCCTCCCCCTCCACACGCTCCGAGTCTGGTTACGCCATTGTAGTATACAATACCTTATAGCTCAACACACCCCCATATATTGCCACTCCCCACCTACTTCCACACCCACATACCCCAACGGAGCTCGACATTCCTATGCCATATTACACCGCTTTATAACCCTAGCTCCCCACATACTCCCATACCCCCACATCTTTACTCAGGTATTCCCACATCCCCACATCGCCACACGCCTCCTTCCCCCACTCCTAAATGCACTCCCCCGAGATTAATGACACGCACTTCTCGTCTCTTTTCTTATCTCCTACAGTTAATACCTTAGTAATGATATTATTTTACAGCCATTAACAGAATTTAATCGTATATTTACTAGTTATTGATATAACTCACAATAAAGTACAAAGAAGTACTGCTACCATTTTGTCTTATAAGACATTTCACTTTTTCTACGTGACATTGGCGAGTTAATCTGCACTCAACTGGCACGTTTTGAATCGATTAACAAGAGAATTGAATCGAACCATTTCACTTCTCCGATGACTCAATCCGCGCCGTGGGCTTCAGATCTGCAAGCGCTGGCTGCGGCAGATGGCGCAGCCCTTCACGCGCGAGGACCAGCTCGGCGTGTCGCTGCTCACGCTGCACCAGCTGCAGTCGCAGGAGCAGCAGGACAAGATCGAGAAGCAGGTCATACAGAAGTAAAACACACACACACACACATACACAGACACACGCGTGATAAATACAATCTGGAAGTTATGTAAAGCTGTCGTCATTTCTTTTTGCGACTCTAATACAAAGAACCTTTTGTGAAGAATTATAATCACCAAAAACTTTTGTATTTATAATTTGATATGATATAATTGCTAGAAAGTGGGCAGAATATACTTAAAGCCTCGGAAAAGAAAAGTAAATTGCTTAAAATTAGAGAACGATAACTATATGAGCATTAATTAATAATTTCATTGTAGGTATTGTTTGTAAATGTCTACGATCTGACCGTCTGAGTAAATTAAGTCTGGTTGAAGTCAATTCATATTAAAACAGCAGGTTACTTTACGTGAACTAGTTATAAGAAATAATTAAAACAATAATTGTTAAGTACCTTATTAACAACAATAAACTTATATAAATGGTAATGGTTTTTATTTTTTACTTTAAATCTTTAAGCACATTTTTATTAAATAGTATAAATGTATTGTAAAAAAAAGATTTTTAGGTACACAGTTATTAGGACTCCAAAATAACATTTTGTGTGATGTGAATGTGTTTAGTGCAGCATAAAAATCGATTCAAAATTGCCGAATTTATCGAGTAACTATAGGACTCACCTTCGGTTCGCTTAGGGTTCGTCCCTAGACAAAAACAAATCTATCCCACGGGAACCGTACATTTTACCGGGATAAAAAGTAACCTATGTGCTATTCCAGACTATAATCTATCTCTGTGCTAAACTTCATTCAGATCCGTTCAGCCGTTATGGGGTGAAAGAGTAACAAACATCCATCCATCCTTACAAACTTTGACATTTTTTATATTTTATCGAGTAATATAATACAATAAACACACCCCCAATTAAGTACCAACTCTTTTTTAATCCCTTATGAGAAATGATATTGATTCCCCAAACACATTTCCATCCCTTTTTCACCCCCTTAAGGGATGATTTCCGGGATAAAAACTATCCTATGTCCTTCCCAGGGTCTTCGTCATACCAAATTTTCGGTTCGGTTCAGCAGATTAAACTGAAAAAATAACAGGCGGTCAGACATACTTTCGCATTTATAATATTTGTATGGATAAAAATGAAATTACAATAAATATAATAAATTCGTTTATTATTCCTTCGACACAAATCAAAACAGTTATTAAAATGTGCGTTCTAAAGCTTAGTCTGAAGAAGTTAACGAACACAATCTATGGAAAAAAGCACACACTTTATTGTTTATTATAAAGGTTGTTTTACATTAAGTAAAACAACCTTTATAATAAAAAATAATAATAAAAAACCTTTATAATAATTTCTATCAGTTATCTTAGCTGGGGCAAGTATTTAGTAAAGCTAAGTTTACATTACGAAATACAATTAATGTACTGGAGAGAAATCTAAAATACTTTCAAGTTTCACTGGCTGACCAACGACCATGCACGACCTACACCACTGGCTGTATAAATATTAAATCTTATATAAGATTTCTAGACGGGTACCACCCCTTATCTATTTCTCCCGCCGTGCAACAATGATTACATTGTTGTGTTCCGGTTTGAAGGATAAGGCAGCCAGCGCAATTACAAGTCAGAGGCATATCATCTTAGTCCTCACAGTGACAGCGCACCTGCGGTTCTGCATTTTTGTAACAAAAAACCTAAGTGCATGAGCCGTAGGTGTCATGGGCGACTGGTACCGCTTTCCATCAGGTGGGTTGTCTGCTCGTTTGTCACTGAATACCATAAAAAACAACAAGAGTTCAGTAAGTGAAATCTTAAAAAGCTAAGATTTCCTTGGAAGTTTTTTAAAATGAGCAATATTGGTGTTTCTGCTTAAATCGTGGTTGGGAAATCCCATCGCAGTTATACAACTTGTATTCAATTAAAAATGTTTATATTACACATAAAGGTTTAAATATCATAACAATATACTCGTATCTCTATACTTGTGTGTGGGAAATAATCTTGAACTACTGAGATGTTTTTAAAAATATTTTACGAATAGAAAACTACCCTAGATATTAGGTTGTTTTTGTCAATCAAGCACACGAGCAAAGCCGCGGGTGAAAACTAGCAATCATAAAAAAACTATTATTATAGGAAAGTGAAAAAAAATTGTACAAAATAAGAAATCTGTGAGTATATCTGAAGGATATCTTTAAGTATAAACTTGCCTTATAGTGTAAACTTAGCTTATAAAAATATCAGAACTTACATTAACTTTATTTTTTTAAATTACAGGAAATGAAAAATGAAATATGGACATTAAAATAGTTCTTAAACTAAAACATTAAAAACAATCGAGTTTCAACAAAATCGATACATAAAAAGCACATTTCTTAGAACCATATCGATATAAAATCGCGTCTTACACTTAGATGACTATATATTGTAGGTAAAATGGTGAGTCAGTACTAATTAGCCATTGCTAACCGACTGCAGCGAAAAGCAAAACTTTTGTGGTTTTGAAATTTTGTACTAGATTTAATAATTCAGCTAAATTAAATATTAAAAGCTTAATTTAATTGTATTATTTAAAACTTAGTATTAGTATTTTATTTCATTTTTTAATATTAAAGGAATAATTTTCACTAAAAAATCTTCATACCTACGATATATAAAATTATTGTTTCATTGAGAGCGGACAAAATCTCAACTATTAAACCATCATGGACCTTAACATTATATTTTTATGTACTTGATAAAGCTTTTGTATTAGCGGTAAGTAGACTATTAATCCTGTTGGCAAGTTATAGTAAACGGCTGTCGTTAGTTCCAAAAATAGCCACTAGGGAAATTTAACCACTGCCAATACACAGTTCTTAAGTGTCGAGCAATATTTCTGTAAACCAGAATCCATACATAACAAAAATCGATATCAAATATAAGAATCAATCATAGAAAATCGATTTCCTTTATAATTAATTACTTATAACTATATATTCCAGTAGCTCTATAGACATAGAGAGTGGACTGAGTATTTCTTTGCAAGCCGTAAGCTAAAAATGGTGGAAAGGCGTGACAGATACAAAACGAATGTGAGGCCAGAAATTTTCTATATAAATTAAAATACGATTAATGAAGATAATCAATTTTTTCTATTCCATTGTGTTATATTTTTTTAACATTCTATTTATAAATTCAAATTGAAAAAAAAGACAGGACCTATTGGCCGCATGATCGCTTTCTCTCTTTCTAGAGATTGGTCAATTTTGTGGGAGTATTGCTCAGTCCATTCTCTACGTCTAAGAGTAGCTCCGTGCAACAGAGATCAAATTTTAACATATAAAATCGTCTATTTGTATACAAATATTTGCAATCTTAAAACTTAACAGTCAACGAAAGCGAGCTATGATCCATGAGTTGTGGACCGATAAATTTAATTTAAATATTAATAATACTATTATTTATTCAACGGTTTAAATAAACAAGATGGACCAATCACCGTCACGTAGAGCTTATTTAAGTATATATCTAACAGCATTAGTATTGCCAGACTTAGTTTCAACGCCACACACTGTTCTGGCAACACAGCAAAAATTAATTCTAAGTGTTTTTTTTTAATTAAAAAATTTCAGCTACGCATTTTATTTAATATAATAATAAATATTAATATCAATATCGCAACCATAAATAAGGGAAATAATTTCTAGATATCCAACGTGTAAATAAATTTATATCTTTTAACTAGTGACTGACTCTCGCTTCGCTCGGGTGCGTCCCTGCGTATGCGGATTTTTGTTCGCAATTTCATGGATTTTAATTTTTTTGCACAGAACCCTTATCCTTTTTCTAAATTCCAGCCGTTTTGGAGATTAGCCGGAACAGAGAGACCAAAATGTTTAAAATTGTTTATTTATTACAAGCACCGTGTATAATTTCAAATGCATTTAGTAAAAAACTGTTATTTTGACATTACAAACAGACACTTCAATTTCATTTGTCTGTTGTAATCTCACAAGTGATAGAAAATGAAGGGAAGAAAAAGGATTCTACATAATATTAAATAATGTATAAAGTTATTGTTATTTTTTTAATAACAACCCCATGAATCAAATGTTAACTATTTTACTATTTTATTGCTTTTCATTGTACTTTAAAAAAAAAAAGAAAACCACGTAATTTTTTGTAATAATAGTTTTCTTTTGATTTAAAAACCTTTGCTATAAATTAATGGAGGAGTTGTACTTTAATGCAATTTTTTATTGTCTTCAGTTTAAGTGAAAAATTGAAAATAAAAATATTACGTTATATATATAAACGAAGGGTTACATACCATCGTATATGTACTTTTTATTAATATAACTTTTATTCTATGTATATAATATATTAACTTCATGGTCGATACGAACGTTAAAAAATGTTTCTTGTATTTTTTTTTATTATTTGTTCTTATAGCGACAATAGCAATACATACATATATCTATGAAAATTTCAACTCTCTACATATTACGGTTCATGAGATACAGCCGTCTGACAGACAAACAGACAGACAGGGGAGGCTTAGTAATAGGATTCCGTAGGCACCCTTCAGAATTATACCCTACAGAATTTATTCATAATTGGTGCCAGCCCAAAACATTAACCATTTAGAATATTCATTTGATAACTTTAAAATTTTATTGACGATCATTTTTTTAAATTTTGTAATTAAAATTAAGTAAACGAATAAAGAACTTGTCCTTGTTACTACATCAGATAGCTGAATTCACTAAAAGTTCACTTTTGCATATGACTAATGTTAATAGTAACAAAACTATTTACTTCTAGCTGGAATCAAAAAAACTTTTATATTATATTACTAGCGACTCACCCATCACTCCGCCCGGGTGCGTCCGTAGTGAAAATTTAGGTTTGTATGTATTTTTAATGTCGAATCATAAAAAAAAATTGTCCAAAAAATATGTTTTTTTTTTGGGTGGACCACCCTTATCACTTATGAAAAATAGTTTACGTCCTATTCTCAGATCTACTGAATATACACACAAAATTTTCATAAGAATCGGTCAAGGCGTTTCGGAGGAGTTTTGTTACAAACACAGTGACACTTTTATATATTAGATTATACTATTATTTGTATGAATACCTTCTCTTTCCACTGAGACCATTTGTCGCCGTAGCTAATACAATAATTAGACTTCACATTGCTCTAAAGTATTAAAATATATTTTTTACCGCCAATTAATTGTAGTGTGCTTCAATTAGCTCAAAATTTCAACAAATCATTGTAATGTTATTTATTCTAGCACTTATTAAAATAAACAAACTCAGCTCTTGAATCATTAAAATGATTCAGTTTGAAGAATCCTGCAACTGTTTGGAAGATATATCTTACGAAATCATGACATCAAAAAATATTTGTTTTTTTTTTTTAATTTTTATTATAAAAATTTAATGACACAGAATCTTATGAGAACCTTCAACTTTTTCAAACTCATTCATTTCATTGATTCTTAGTGTACACTAACATTTTAACACCTCCAGGTAAATTTCAAAGAAATTAATTCAAATTCTAAGAAAGCTATTGTTAACTGACACGCCGGCGTGTCCGCGGTCGTGGAGGGATTAATAAGAGAATACGTCACAGACATATATCCACTATAGATAGCATTGTAAGTGCAGCGGTGTGTACTTAAGGCATACTAAGGATGAGTGTTTCAGTCATGACGTGACGTCATACTATATGATAACGTCTAATACTGTGATACACGTCATCGTGTGACATTACGTCATAATATTTGTCCTTTCTGTCACACTATGACCACAGTCTATTAATCCATACAGTCGTCTAATGAACGTTAAAGCGTCAAGTTTAAGTGTCGACAGGACACTGGAGTGGTGAACGGGGAAGATGCGGGACGTGCACCCGATTGTCGTACGTACTTTTATATGACAATCGGTACGAAGAAGAAGGCATTAGGGTTGACAAATATAATTGTAATTTGCCACGATAAGGCACTATATCGCTACAATATCAAAAATCAAAAAAAATATTTTCATCATAACAAATCATTTAAAATACTGTATGAATTTTTATACTGTGATATGACGTCACACTACATGACCTGGCGCGGATACGGCGCGGACGACTACGAGTCAGGCGCGTGTTTCTGTATGGCGCGCGGGTGCGGCGGGTGCGCACTGTGCGAAGGGTGCGGGTGCGACGGGTGCGACGGGTGCGGCGGGTGCGACGGGTGCGGCGGGTGCGGGTGCCGGCGGCGCGGCGCGAGGGCGGCGAGCAGGGCGCGGCCGGCCGACGCGCACAGCTCCGTGCCGTCGCGCGCGCCCGCCACGCGGCTGTTGCCGGCGAGACCGTTCGTTATGTGTCTGTGGAAGTATTATTTAATATAGACATTATTTATTTATGTACTTTATGTTGAAGAAGAAAATAAATTAACTGTTTTTGTAGTAAATTATATTTTTTTTTGACTTGAAGAATGACTTTTTATAAATAAAATCATTATTTTTATTAATAAACGTCCAGACTATTCAACATTTTAAGTTATACCTCATAATAGCATGATAAAATATGATACTACTAGCGGCTCACCCTCGCTTCGCTCAGGTTCGCCTGTAGAAAAACAAAAACAAATCGGGAACCGTACAATTTTCCGGGATAAAAAGTCTATGTGTTATTCTGATGTATGAGCTATATTATTGTAAAGTTTCATCAAAATCGATTCAGTAGTTTTTGCGTGAAAGATTAACAAACATACACCCATACTCACAAACATTTACATTTATAATATTAGTATAGATGCAACCGGAAGAGATACAGATGCTCCCCGCTCAGAAAATCTGGAAGTTCCTGGAGTCAACAGGACTAAGCGGAGGACTTCAAATTGATTCTAAAGGGAGCTACAATGGACCATAACTGGTCGACGTAGCTAGGGCCGACCTTGGCACCACACCCAATACAATAAATAATAAATAATTAGTATAGATGGCTAATCTATATTATACCTTTAGTATTTATATCTATATACATTATATTCTATCTATACATGGCACACACACACACACACACACACCCACCTGAGCACGTGGTAGGGCGCGTGGTGCACGGAGAGCCACTCCAGCGTGTCGCCGAGCGCGGCCGCGCCCGCGAACTTGGCGGCGCTCGCGCACGAGAAGAACACCACAACACGGCTGCCCTCCTGTCTACATTTCTGCAATTTCTTCAGAGTATTCGCGGTGAATGGGAAATTGCAAGTAGTCTGCGCCGCCTCAACGATATGCAAATCATCCGCCTTCACTACGAAGTATCTCACATTAGGTTCACCTCCCTCCGCGTATTTCTCTATGTTCGCGAGCAAAGTTTTACCATTCGGGGACATCGGGCTTTTAGGACCATTGTATTGGGGGGGAAAACCCAGCGGTACACCATCGTTCCTCCAGCCGGGCCTCTGACCATTTCTGTAGTTATAGTTATTTTGATAAAAGTTATTCCCGTATTCATTTTGGCCATATTGGGGGTGGAATTTGTTTTCATGGCGATATTGTTCTTCGTCTACCCTCATACGCCAATTCGGCGAATCTAATGTTAGCGGTTTCGGCCTCTGCCCTATGCCACTGGGTTGGTTGAGACCTACATTCTTCTCTTCTGCCCCTAGAACGTGTATCACAGTGTTTAGTATTTGCTCGTCGAGGGGCGTCATAGGTTTAGCGGGATTCGACATTCGTCGGATAACTAAAGCGCATAGCTTTTGTCGTAAGTAATAAACGCTAATGGCGTCCGACGCGTCTGCAGTGAACGCCATCCAATCGTCTAAAGTCAGTACAGCTGTGTCTGGTGAGGAGTTGTTTTCATCGGCCTCGCTGTCCGAGTCACTCGACAATCCCGGGGGATTGGCTCTCTGTGTCAAAGCTCCCCCGGGAAGACGTAACGGACCCCCAAACAAGGCGACTGTTAACGGCGTTACTAAAGTATTGCAACGAATGAAACAAAATCGTCCAACGCGAGATATTTCTTCAAAAACCACCCAATCTGTTGGTAGGCTTTGAACTGATTTTTGCGATCCCGTCACACCGCCTCCGCGATGTAACGTCGAACTCGGATGGAAAGCTACTTTGACCTCTTTAGAAGTTCGTAGCGTCGAAGAATCTCTGTCCACTCTCGCTATAGATGGGTACAGTCCACTAACTAACACCGCTTTAACAACATGCCATTTTTCAGAGTTCAAATTTACATCTTTTATGTCACCCGAACCTCTGGCTTTAACTAGACATAAAGCCCGAAGTTGCGCTAACAGCTGCGATCGATAACCCACTATCATTTCCATTGTGGCTCCACAGATTAAATTTTTAGCACAAAACGCCTTCTCCGTGCCATTGGCTCTGGCAGTCTGCCACGCTTGGAAAGCTCGTAACAAGGCCATGTGGTCTGAAAAACTATCGGCAGCAAACTCTTTCCTGGCTAAGCCACCTTTTTTCCTATTTTCTGGATTCATTGATATCTGGAAAGGTTCTTTATTTGCTAAACTGCATACAATCGTCAGAATCGGGTCGAGGCACTTCATGACACACGCGTATAACAACATTTTCCCTAACTTCGGTTCCACTGTTAAATCCAGCAGATGCTGACCTATCTCTGTCAGATCCTCCATTGGAGTAAGAGCTCCGATCGTTTTCAACAACGAAACCGCATTTCTAGCGGCCAAAAAGGACGGTGGTTCTAAAGCTTTCGATAGAAAGTCTGCTATTGGGGTATTGCCCGGTGTTAGCAGTTTCGTGTGAAGGCACAATTCTTGTAGGGGGACCCTGAGGATTTCTGGCACTGAATTGAGAGGTAGGGTTTTGAACCTTCGTTTAGAACACATGTGGAAGCAGTGCCCTGGCTTTGTTCTACCAGCCCTTCCAGCCCTCTGCTGGCAACAGGCCCTTGACGTCCAAACGCACTGCAACGAACAAACACCGCCATTCGACTCATAATACTTTTCCTTCACTTTGCAAGAGTCCACCACGTACACAACGTCATCAATCGTTATTGACGTTTCCGCAATATTGGTGGAAATTATAATTTTCCTCGCATTCGGTAATGGATTGAAAACTTTCTTCTGGTCCAAGGTTTGCATGTTGCTGTGCAGAGTGAATATCTGGTACTTCATGGCATTCATTTCTGTGCATCCCTGGATTAAGTCTCTCAGAGTGACTATATCATCGTATCCTGGTAAGAATATAAGGATGCTTCCTTTCGCCATGTTCAAGTGTATGTGTTTCACGAGCGCAAGCATGAGGTCATGGTCTATCAATTCTTCTGAGAAAGTATGGTTGTAGACATCTAGAAGAAAGTTGTCCTGCTCGCTATCTTCTTCTTGATTATCCTTAGATTCTTCTGTGTAGTTGTATGTGGCCAGTAATTGAGCACATTCTGTATGTCCGTTTTCTATCGCATAGTCATATGCTGTTTTACCACTTTTGTCCTTGTGAGATGGATCTGCGCCTGTAACAATAATAATAATTAAGTGGTTGACACTGAAATGAAAACAACTTGTATTTTAAAAAACAAAAGAATAATATTTTGAAGCAGTAGGAGTTTATATAATAATAATAATATCATTTATTTCAACCATCAAGGACCATATTTTGTTAGTAAAGATCCACTTTAACCTAATCTTAGTACACATTTAACCTACTTAATCCTAAACCTTATCTAAGACAGACTCGATTTGTCAGCATGTGCACCATTTGGCAATGGTTCAAATACTGACAATCGAACCTGTCAGCAAACGCCCTCAGGATGCTATTGGAACTGGCCCGAACCCTGCGCGCCAGGGATGTGCACCGTTTGCGCATGATAGCGTAGAAGCAATCTACGTGCGCCTCGGCGAACATACCCGACGCGCTGCACCAACGAGGCAGTTCCATCAGCATCCTGAATGCATTATTATACTGAAGACGCAGGGCATTGTACTGTTTCTGCGTGTAAACGACCCACAGGCTGTTAGTATAAAAAGAATACAGTAAGCTCTAAAGAGGGTCACTTTAACAGGTATGGAACAACGAACGAACCTGTGTGCGATCATATTCGCCCTCACAGACAATGCCCTGCGTTCTCTCTCTATATCAGCATCGTCTTTCAGGTCAAAGGATATCACATGACCCAGGTATTTATACTGAAACACCCTCTTTAACGGGGTACCGTATAACTTAATGGGTGGTAGAGTTGAGGGCTGAGATTTTCCTTTGGCACGAAAGACCATGTATTCACTTTTTTTTACATTATAAATCAAGCCGTGACTAAAAGCATAATTTTCACATATACTCAACAATTTCGTTAATCCACAAGCAGACGCACTCAGCAACACCATGTCGTCTGCATAGCTAATGTTATTCAGACACACTCCGTCAATATGACAACCAATATGATTAGTACTGAGCGCCTCCACCAGTGCATTGATATAGAGATTTAAGAGCTTAGGAGCAGTTAAGCCCCCTTGTCGCACCCCGCACTCCAATCTGTATGGCTGCGAATAAGTTTTCGACCATCGCACGACATTGACCTGATTATGATACCAATATTTGAAGATCCCGGTAACTTCTTCAGGCAATCCAGTATTTTTTAGTTTCTGCCATAGAATATCGTAATTGACCAGGTCAAATGGCTTACTAAGGTCAAGGAAACAGGCGTACACAGGCGTTTGCATAACCGAGTAGTACTTCAGTTTGCTTTAGACACAATATTGCTGATTCCGTTGACAAACCTGGCCTGAAGCCAAACTGATTGTCATGTAAGTGAATGTGTTTATCAAGCTGGATGTTAAGCATACTGTCAAGCACTTTTGCAACAACTGTGGCAAGTGAAATGGGCCTGTAGTTGGATTTAGCAGATATGTCCCCAGTTTTGTTTATCACAATTGGAACCTTCACAGTTTTCATCAGAGCTGCAGGCAAGTACGAGTGAGTTATACATCTATACTTATTATAAAAATAAGTCCCCCGGCCGCGTCTTTCTGTCCTCCTGTCTGTCTGTACGCGATAAACTCGAAAACTACTGAACGGATTTTTATACGGTTTTCAACAATAGAAAGAGTAATTCTTGAGGAAGGTTTAGGTATATAATTTATTATGCTTTTATGTAAATTAGCTGAAATACGGCGACAAATGTTGAAGAGGTCGCAAAAAATCTCGCCAAATGGGAACTTTCCACGCGAACGCCGCGTAAACTAGCAAAGATACAGTTAAGTAATGTACTAGAGAATTCAAAATCTATAAAAATGCTACAAAAAAGTCCGCGATAGCATATCTCTATCTCTTACGGTTGACTTACAATAACCACTTTTATGTTAACATTTTTAATTAAAAACATTACGTTATTTTCAAAGTTATTTTCTTTAGTTCGGTATTAATCCTTATCCAAATGAATATTTTAGTTAGCTTAGTCACTTAATGCAGATTAAAATTGCTCTTTACACTAAATCAATCAGATGAATAGTTTTTGAGATATCGTTGTTAGAAGTAATTAGTAGCGAAACATTTTTAATGCTTGGCGAGCATTGAGATGCCTACGGCGAGTCCATCCCCTCTGCCCCGCATCGCTCGACCGCCTGCTCAAGCTATATAAACCGGGCGATGTAGCGCGCGATCCTAGGATACTTTTTACCGCGGGAAAATATCTTATTTCTGAGGAAAAATACAAAAACTGCAATGTAAGAGTATACTAATATGTAACACCTAAGAATTTAGTTTTTGGTCATCTGAACGCGGGCGGAGCCGCGGGCAATGCTAGTAAATTATAAAACATGGCAAGTACTCCGGGCAAATGAGGACCCGCATGCTTTAGATGTTCAATACTAAGTCCGTCATGGCCAGGAAACCTGCCTCGCGACATAGACGTTATGGCAACATTAACATTCTTCGCTGTAAAACGGATTCCAACCTGCTGGCCACGCCTATACTTATCTCTTGCGGGCTGTGATGGCCCCAACGGTGATGTCACTGTGAAATGTTTCTCAAACATTTCTGCTATACGACTATGATCATTAATACCTTCTACGCTCTTTGGTAGACCTATTATTTAAGATCTATTATTTAATTTATTTGTTGATTTCCAAAAATTACGAAAATCATTTTTCGAATGCTGCGTAGCCAAAATGAGCTAGGTTTTATCTTTATGGCTGGAGCTTGGAGCAGGTAATGCTTTAAATCCAGTTCGATCTAGGTTCGGCCAATTTTGGGATATCATGTATAAAATACTTTTTAAAAGCATTATGATATGAGGAATACGGTAAGAAATGGAAAATACTTGTAGTAATACTTTGAATAATTATTAATTTACTTTAAAACTGCATTTTTCACTAACACTAATAAATGTAATTCAATTAAATTTCCTTGTTAATGGCTTTAAAGCGTGCCAGTTGAGCACAGATTCCTTCGCTAATGTCACGTAGAATGGAGAAGATACGAAAGAAATTGATCGAGGAAATTATTGACTCTACAATTTAATTAAAATGCTTAAGATAAAAGCGTGACATATCCGTGACGGACCGATGCGCAGCAGATGGCGCGCGACGTCGGGCAGGCCGTGCGCGGCGGCGGCGTGCAGCGCGGCGCGGCCGCAGCGCGCGTGCGCCGCGCCCGCCGGCACGCCCTCCGACACGAACATGTACAGCACCTGGCTGAACGAGTCCTGCACACACACACACACATAACATATAAAGTATATATTACTAGCGACTCACCCTCGCTTCGCTTGGGTTCGTCCCTAGGTACAATTTAATTTTTTTGGGCGGAACCCTAATTCTTTTACTGAAATAAAAGTAGCCTAAGTTACTCCTTATAACATCAACTACCTGCCAGTGTTATTTTGACATTACAAACAAACACTTTAATTTTATTTATCTGTATAGATTTCTAATCATAAGGACCATCACAAACCAGAAATAACCAATTTTCTAAACGTCAGTATAGGTCATAATTAGTAAGAAGTATGTAATAAACAAAATTTTAAACTCCTTACCAAAGTGCCTTCATTGAAACATTCATCGAGAAACTCATCCATATCTGCCTGAAGAGTGGGGTCCAAATGGATTTCTTTATCCTCTTTATTGTTCTCTTCTTGAGTGATTTGTTTCTGTCCTGATAGTAGTTAAAGAAGAATAAATGACATTTTTATATATCTATATATTTTCATAATAGCTTGGCCGACAGACATTGTGTTTAGTTTTCAATTTTGTTTAAGAATTGTGATCTTCGAAACCATACAATAATCACATAAAAAAACCTCGATTTTTCTAATATTACCAAATAATATCTTTCCAAATCGGTTCAGAAATTATCCAGTGATGCACTTACCGATAGCATTTTATTTTTATTTATATAGATGAATTTTATATTAAAGCGAAAGGACACACTCATTATCATTGGTTTGAAGTTTAAGTAACAATGTTACAGAGCTATAATAATTCTGACGTGACGGGATAAATCGGACCTTGGATTCTGATTTCTATAGTATATCCTAACACAGTAAACGTAGTTAGATCCCTGTACCAAAAAAGTTTTGTTTTTTTAAGGCTGTGTTATTAATAGGTAAGAGATATCAGCTAAAAATTTTCAATTCAATTTTATTAATGGCTTCAAATCATACGGTAAAGTAATATTAAAACTATTTTGTTTTTAAATGTTGGGACATTAACACACTATATATAATTATGCCACTTTATAAATAAATGGAATTCAGTAACTTCAAACTAACCGCTATATAATTATTTGCATGACTCAAAATAACCACTACAATGTTTGTATGTATATTTTTGTATCCTGATCTCTGAAATGGTTTTAATTTATTTTTTTCTTACCTTCTAAATGCGACCAGTAACTTTGTCCAGATTTCAATTTGTTTTTCAGCTCTCGTTCCACTTGAGCCATTTTCTTTGTACTGTATTTTGTTATTTTTAGAATATCTTCGAGATAATATCTCTGCACTTCGTGCAAGCGTCCGGGGATAGTTATTACTGGGCAATTGCTAAAATACCTGCAAAAAAAATAGTTAAAAATTATAGCATTTTAGATTAATTGTAGGAATTTCGTATTCATTTAATAGTTCAATTGTACTAAATATTAACAATAAGTATGAAGTCATAATGGATTTATTTTCTTAATTTAATTTTAAATTGGATCCAGAGGTACTCGGGTCAATTCTCCGGTGAGGCAAAGTGTAGTTATTGGGATTTTTTGTTATGAAATTCTTTCTAGCAGCCTGGAGTCTTTGTTTTGTGTGCAAAGCAAAACACATTATCCATCGGTCTTAAGAGTATAAAGAAAGTACTGCAGGTCTTGGTGGTAGTTCCATGGTTGTGGTGATATGCGTGTTGCACCTGGTACTTTTATGACAGCAGAGTGGACCTTGGGAGCAACCCTGGTTATTGTAGTCCGCCTCGGTAATTTGCTTTCGTGGCGTCGTGATTGAAAGCGCAAGTGGACTGAGGAGGTGCCGTTGCGTTTCAATGAATAGTACTGGCTTCTCTAACCAGTGTGTCCTACAAAAACTGTATGTACAGGTGTTAAGCGTAGAAGCACTTCCTAATGAAAAAATAAAAGTGGCTGTCGTGATAATAATGATCGTGACAGTGAGCAGGCTATCAGATGGTCACCTGGAGAATATCTGCGTGTCCATGGTGGCGGACATGAGCACCAGGCGCAGGTCCTTGAGGCGCGCGAGCGCGTCGCGCAGCGCCACCAGCAGGAAGTCGCTGAACTTGTCCCGCTCGTGCACCTCGTCCACCAGCACGTGCGTCACGCCTACGCACACATAGACATACAGACACAAACAATAAGGCCGAGCGCACTTTGGACACGAATTTGTATCGTACTTAAACATATAATCAAAAATTTTGTTCGAAATAAAAATCCGTGTTTTTCGTATTTCCGTTAAAATTACTGGGCTAATTGCCTAATATATGGATTTTTATACTGTTCTTATACTGTACATGATTTTTTCCATGAATTTCACTTAAATTCCATTTTTCAACTCCTGGCTCCAATATTAGATCAGCTCAATGGTATCAAATTCACAACTAACTTCAACTTTCAAATCAATATTAATAAATTAATTTAAAATTGGACTTCCACAATTTGATTACATAATTACAAATGAAGATAAAAAACATATTAATAATAAACAAATAATTTACCCGTCAAAGCAGCATCACCACCCATGAGAGTCCTCAGCAGCACTCCGTTAGTGCAGTAGGTGAGCACTGTGCGGGGACTCACTCGAGATTCAAGGCGAATTTGATATCCTATGGACTGGCCTATCTTTTCCATTCGTTCATATGCCACCTTGAAAGATTTAGATGAAATAAATTATAGTTTAAAAAACTAAAAACACGCTTCAATGATGAACAATACTATTTTTAGTGTTAAAAAAAATATTTTTGTCTTTTGTCAAAAATATTTTTTTGTATAAGTATAAAGTGATTAACGAAAAAATTAATGTTATTGTGAAAAAAGCGTGGGGTGCTTTGTTTAATATTTTTATACTAACTCTACTTTTAGATATCATACACATGCAATATTAGAAAAATTATGAGAGTAAAATTTTTACGATGCGCGCGCACACCGTCAGCAAAAAAGCGACACGATCTAGTTAGCTGAAAGCAACATGATGAAGTTAGCTGCATTCCTTTTACAAACAGAGAGTTGTGACATACAGGATGAAATCTTTAGCTATTTTTGTTCTGTTACACCAAAGAAGTATAACTTCTCACATGCATACACATGTTTTTTTAAGAGTGACAAAAACTGTTTGTTCTAGTACATAAATAAATAACTAAATAATATACCCTCTCTGCAACAGAAACAGCTGAAATTCTCCTCGGTTGGGTGCAGTATATTCTAGCGGGTTGCTTGTTTTCTTGGCAATAATCTAAAATCAATTGAGGTAGCTGCGTAGTCTTGCCACATCCAGTAGCACCTGCCACTATTATTACCTGTAATGTTAAATTTTTAGGGTTAATATTTTGAACTGTTTTCCATTCAAAGAAAAATATGACTAGAAAAAATATGATAGTTGCATTCCTTTTACAAACAGAGAGTTGTGACATACGGGATGAAATCTGTAGCTATTTTGATTCTGTTATGCCAAAGAAGTATAACTTCTTATGTGTGTAAATTAGCACACACACATTTTTTTCTCTTTAATGATTGATGTAAATAAGACAACTACCTTAAAATAAAACATACAAAAAATATCCATAAATATTACAAACAACTCACCTGGTTATGTGTTACAGCATTAATGAGATCTTGTCTTTGCTCATACACTGGAAGCTTCTCCCTAAACTTTACCAAATCTGGATTGTATGTTGTATTAGGGACCTAAAAAATAAATAAAATTATATAATAAATAAGACTCACCTTACATTCTTTCTATCAATATATATTAAAATTGAATATATATTATTCAAAGTATAATAGGGCATTTTAAATTTTCATTTTATCATTTATTTTATTAGTCAATTATATTATGTTCAGTAAAATTACCTGTGCCACACCATTATTTAACTGTCCAAGAGACTTATGACTCAACTGTGGAGATCTCTCCTTTTCTGGGCAACAGCTTAAGTCATCTTTCTCCTTGCTTGTGATAGGAAAAGCGTTGAACAACTCCCCAATAGTACATCGCATATAAGAATCCAATATGAGTTTGGCATCATTTTGAATAATGGTAGATCCTATTCGTTTATATATTGTAATATAACGATTCACACCTATAATTGCAAAAAAACCTTATAAATACCATCATTCAGTACTTTTTAATGTCATACTATTTAGCACAGGCTTTAATAACAGAAGAATGAGAGGTATGTCAAGCCATTACCACTGGCAAGTGTGAGTTGGTAGTCTTTACATGTTTTAAAAAAACTAGTGACATTCTCTCAGACATACAGGTTTCCAAATGATCTTTTCTTTCACCATAATAGTGGTAATCACATAAGCATGATAAATTCTTATATTATTTGTCATTTGGGTGGACTCTTAAAGTCCATCCAACTCCATAGTTTTGTTCAGCTTTCCTTCTTTTTTGTTCACAAAATCTTTTTGATTCTAAAATTATACATGCACAAATCCGTCTCTTTTTTTTATGGGACTAAGGGGGCAAACGGGCAGGAGGCTCACCTGATGGAAAGTGATCACCGCCGCCCATGGAAATAAAATAAAAATAACAACAAAATATAAAAATGCGCAAAAAAAGGCATGGATGTATGTCTGTGGGTTTTAGACTTACTCAAATAACAAAATTCTTATTCTATGACAATGTGTAATAATTTTATATTGTAATATTTTAAGTTTTGATACACTTAATATGTGTTACCTTTTTATAGTTATTTCACCTCCTTGTGTACATACAAAACAATAGAACAACATTAAATAATGTTCCACTGTAGTAACATTCTAGTCTGTTTTACTGTTTTTTTTCCAAAATAACACAAATGTACTAACGTAAATATAACAATCTAAAAGCTCAACATTTTTTATATATAAGGGTAGATTAAAATGTACGTTACAACAGTATTTAAAAATAAATCTAAATTATTTGTGAAATCTTATTATACCTTTCCCGCGCGATTTAGACTTTAAGCCTAATTTTGCCACTGTTTCATGGATGAATCCTCGTTCTTGAGCCGAAAGAAATGTTGGAAACTTCAATTCAGTTTCATTTTCATCAGTTAAGAACTTATCTAACTGGATTTTTAGGGCTATACTCACAGATTCCGCTATGGGAAAATGTTTATTACCTAAATTACGCTTGCCTTTTCTTGAACTCATTTTATATTATGCTAATAATTTTGATAATACTTTGAAAAATCAATCATTAGTTAGTATATAAAGATATTCTATTTTGTTTACAACAAATTAATGGAGATGAAATTATGAAGTGACATAAATTCATAAATTGGTTATTCCTTGATATTTGGCATAGATAATATAGAAAATATTATTGCCATATAGGGGAAGAATTTTGCTTTTTGCTCCCGCCAGATGTCGTGATTACTATAGCTTTCAGTATATTGTAAAGCTATAGCTTAAATTATACTGAAGGCTATAGTGATCGCGACACGCTAGATAGCGTAGATGGACTTTTATTTTCATTTTATTTAAAATTTAATTAAAATGACAAATTGTGTAGTATCAGAATAAAGAGAGAAAATGAATATCATTTGTCCTCAAAAAGTAAAAACTGACAAAATTGTGGGCTAAGGCAATAACGTCTGACTCTTGTCAGACATCAATAATCAATGTCAATTGTCATTTGTCATTAAAAATTATTCTTTGCACGTGGAGTAAGATATTTCTTTGCGAATTTAACTAAATATTTTGCTAAGTATTTAAGTCGGAAGACAACGAATTAATGTTGAACTTTGAATAATTTTTGTTTTAAAACATTAAGATATTGCATAAAAATGTCCAAGAAAATCAAACATTTAGTTGTGGACACAACAGCGTTTATTAGGGCAGCAAATTTACAAGATATTGGAGAATGCGTATATACAGTACAGGAGGTTATTGATGAAATAACTAACGATCGGCAGCGTAGAAAGTTAGTTGTATTACCATATGATTTGAAAGTCAAAGATATATTTACAGAAAATGTCAAATTTATCACAGATTTTTCTAAGAAAACTGGTGACTACATTAGCCTTTCAGCAACTGATATAAAGGTTATGGCGCTAACATATCAGTTGGAAAAAGAACTTGTTGGATCTGATCATCTAAAAACTGAACCCAGTATGAGAAAAACAGTCAATGTTACTGGGCTTCCTGGATATAAAGCAAATGAAAATAATAAAAAAGATAAAATAGTTAATTCTACAAGTGATGTAAAAAATAATGAAATTGAAAGAACTGAAATTGAAAACGATAAATTAAAGAACTCAAATGACCAAAACAGAAGTCTAAATAATCTAGAAGAAAATAGTAATGAAATAAAAAGTGTTCAAATAGATGTAAAAAATGATGAAGAAAGTGATGAAGATGTTCAATTAGCAGAAGATATAGCAGAGCAAATTAAAAATATGGATTTACGAGAGGGTACTGAAGTAGATGAATGTATTGTAAAAGTATCAGACCATGAAGATATAGATAGTGAAGATGAAAGCGAAAGTGAAGATGATTCTGATAGTGATGGCGGTGACTGGATTACACCAGGAAATGTCTCAGAAAAGAAAAAAGAAATGGAAGATGGAGAATTTGAAGATAAAAATGTAGAAGTAGCTTGTATAACATCTGACTTTGCTATGCAGAATGTATTAAAACAAATTGGCTTAAATGTAACATCAATTGATGGGAGAGTTATTAGACAGCTCCGTACATTTATTTTTAGATGCACAACTTGCTTTAAAACAACTAGTGTTATGACTAAATTGTTTTGTCCTAAATGTGGACATGCTACATTGAAAAAAGTTTCTGTAAGTATAGATGATGATGGTAATCAGCATATCCATATAAATGGAAGAAAACCTTTAACAGCCAGAGGCAAAAAGTTTAGTTTACCTACACCGAGAGGTGGTCAACACTTCCAATACCCCATTCTTACTGAAGATCAACACATTCATAAAAGGTTTGCCACAAAATTGGCAAGAGGTAAAACTAATGCCATGGATCCTGACTATATTGCTGGATATTCACCATTTGTAATGAAAGACGTCAATTCCAAATCTGCAGTGTTAGGAGTAAGAGCTGATAAACAAGATGTTAAGTACTGGATGAAACATTATTCGAAGGGAAAGAAAAAATGAAACAAAATGTTATTTATTGTCAAATATATGTTTATTTAATAAAGCATTGCAGTTTGCTTTAATATGAAGAATGTGTTACTTACACATGTAACCTTACTAACAAACCAAATTCTAGTAAGCTAACAATTTTTTTATTGTGCAATTCTTAAAAATACAAATGAAATGAATTGTGTAAAAAACGTTGTTTGGTACATTTCAAATAATCTCATTTTTAATAAAACCTTAAATAGTCAATATTATTAATTTGTAATAAAATAAATTGGCCATACAAAAGACATTTAAACAAAGAAAAATATTTCAGTTTTGATTTTATAATATAATAATTATTTCTTAATCCATGTTAATATGACACATTTAAATAACACTTCTGGTCTGGTAGGATAAGAAATTTTTGCACTTCATTATTTCTTCTTCTCTATTCTTTCAACTTCTCTTCGAAGAACTTAAAGACTGATTCTATACATTTACATGAAGTCATCTCGTGCTTAGGATGACCTGAAATTAAAAGATAACAATATTTTGTAAGATATTGATGTAAACAAAAGGAATTTTAAATTATGCTAATGAAAATATATTTGTACCTGCTGATACTCTATTAATATCAAACTCTGGAGTTTTCATTGGAGTATCTAATGGTGAGGTACTTGAAATCCAATTTCTTGACACCTTAGGATATGAGAAAAATTATTAATAAGGAAGTTTCCTTTTTAAATAAGAAAACATATTCTTCTGTAGAAACAAGGAATAAATAGAAATGAACAAGAGTAGGTACTCACATTCTTCAAATAATTCGATATTTTAACACCAGAAAACCCATGAACTGAATCAGTTAAAGCCACTGCTTTAACTTTCTTTTCAAATACTTTCTTTTCTTTATCAGCCAATGTCACTGTAAGCACACCTCCATAGCTGTGAGCAAGAATTAAAATGCTACTTGCTTTTACATTTGCAATATATTCTTTCCAAACATATTTTGCGTGATCTTCGGAACTTCCACTATGAGGTATTTTTTTATCTCCTCTATAGTTGTCATTTGAATTTAAAACTATTATACCATAACCCTTTGCTTGAGCTTGCTTTATGTAAGGTATTTGTGAGCCATTATCAAGACAATCATTTATTATTAAGCTGTAATAAAAATAATTGTCAATGTACAATTTTAGCAAATTTATGATTATAATTACAACTTCAAAAATATATTCACTTTAACCGAAATTGAATGTAGAATTGAAATTTTTTTTCCACTTACGATCTAGCCCACTGCCCAGCTCTGACAGCTCCAGATCCATGTATCAAAACTAATACTACATCTTTTGTGTCATAGTCTTCTGATACAAATATGAAAGTACCATTTTCCTCTTTACTGCCTTTAGGAACTGGCAATCGTTTTAAATTCACTTCAGTTTCGAGAAGATAATAAATGTGCTCTGTTATTGCTTCACCAAGTACTTCATAGTGCGCCTGACATTCTTGATGATCATTACTTATATTAAACTGAAATGGTTCATCTCCTGGCTGTCCATTTTCATTTATTTTTCTTAATTGTCCTTCTACAATAATAACTTTAATATAGATATTTTTCTTTAAGTACGTATATTTGTTACATATAATAACGTTATATTAACCAGTGTTAAAGGCATATCCCAAATCTTTGATTGTTTTGACTGCAGTCATAGTTACAACCGTTGGTAAGAAATTATTATTTGCTCTACGGAGTGGTATATTTCTGCTAAGTTTAAGCGTTTTAAATAACAAACGTAATCTATTCATGTGTTATATATTGAAATATTATAAAGAGTAAAATAAAAATAATAAGCTTTAAAAAACTTTTTAATAGTTGACTGTTGACAATATCAAATATGAAATATCAATTAATAAATAACATTGACAGTTCAGTAACAATTAGACATTCGTTCTGAAATTTATATAATATAAAATAATACAATTTATATTGTATAATTTTAAAATATAATGTATATTATTGACCAATATTCCCGCGGTAAAAAGTATCCTATATGTTGTCCCAGAGAACCAGCTATCACCATACCAAATTTCATCAAAATCCCTCCCGTGGTTTTTCCGTGATGCGGTAACAGATAGACAAAAATTCTAAAAACTACAGATTCAGCCTTTGTATCGATAATGTCTGTTGTAATAAGATTTTCCAAAAAATATTTAATGTACAGATTCGGCTTAGTTACAATTTTATTATATGTATAGATCACAGCGCTCTTATATAAAAAAATAATTAAATAAGGCATGTTACATTATTGTATATATTGATAGAATATCATATAAGGAAAGAATATAATCAGCTAACTTCCTCATGTCGCTTTTCGGCTGTCGGTGTGCACGCGCATTGTAGATATTTTACTCTCATAATTTTTTAATTTAGTATGAAATAATAACAAATTCTAATTACATAAAGAAAAGGGCATTTTAGTAGGAATGTACTTTATTTAGAAAGATCCTTGATCTACTAACAATATTTATATTGAGTTACAAAGTAGGTGTCATTAATTATGTTTATAAATAGTTGCATTATCATATGCAAATAATTAATTATTTTATTCATTATACCAATCTAGAAATAGCAAAGTAAATGACATCACTAGCAAAAAGAATAAAATATACACTCTAAGCCCAGCATTCCTCTGGATAGCTTGTTTTATCTGTTCATTTGCATCTTTCATTGTTTCAGTTGTGCCAACAACTGTATTTGCTATTCTGTCTATGTCCTGCTCTTGTTGTAACACCTAAAAGAAAATAATAAAGTTTAAAAATACTGGAATTAGCTAAGCAAATAAATAAAAATATTATAACAAATATTATGTACATGTATACTTTAATAAAAGAGAGAAAAATTGTATATTAATACAGCCACCTTTTCAGTGAATATTTCCTGTAATTCAGCAATATGTAACACTTTACTCTCTATTTGCCTCACTTCTTCTGTCATGCTATTCAGTTCATTAAGCAGTTGTACATTCTCTGACTCAAACAATTGTAATTCTTCTGCACTGAGTTCACCTTCATCAGACATGACTGCTATTTCATTCTCTGATAAATCCATCTTCGTTCTAGATGTGTCTACTTCTTCTACTTCTACTTCAGTTTCTTTGTCCTCTTTTTCTATTTCTTTTTCTTGTATAAATGGATTTGGTATGTTTGACTTAGTATGTGGTAATTCAAGTCGTGATAATTTGCGCATATCTAGTGCTTGCTTAACTCGTAAAGCTTTTAGTTCACTGTGTATTTTACAAACAGCTTTTAGGTAAGAATCTATGAGATCTATTACACCATCCATATATTCCCTAGTTTGATGAGAAACAGAAAGTTTCCGATTATCATGTCTAAATTCTTTTAATAGGTGAGAGCAAGTATTGATTATTCTTTGAGCTCCAGTATCTATCTGGTCCCTTTCCATTTCAGACATTTCATCACCAGTTACTGTGTTAAAGAAACTTAAATACCTCTCCCTGTGCTCTAAAAGGAAGTCACGAAGCTTAGTTATTTGTGAGGTAATATCTTTAGCTGCTGCCATAAAACCTGTCTTTGGTTTACTTCGGAGGATTCTTTGTTTGTCATCGCTTCCAGGACTTTGTATACCAAAAGCTTTATTTCTAGTTTTTACTGTTTTTATGCAAGCTTTAAATAATGGTGTTATATCCATTTTAAATTCATATATCTTAAATAATCAGAAGTAGAAAATCAAATTGTTACTAAAAATGACGTTGGTTGACATTCATAATTTGACGTGTTGGTTAGTGTTGGTTGTTTTTGGTCTGTCAGATTGACAATGACGGCATCCGGAATGGGAAAGAATTTGCCTTTTTGTCCGCCAGACGTCGCAATCATTATAAACCTCAGTATATTGTAACGCCTGGATGGATTTTTTTCATTTCATTTAAAATTTAATTTAAATTATAAATTGTGCATCGCTAGGATGCAAAGAAAATGAATATTATTTGATCTCAAAAGACAAAAACTAAAGAAATTATGGTCTAGGGTAGTTCTCATCGAAATTTTATTTTTTGCAAAAAAATTACCAATTTTTTAAACCTTCGTGCAGATCTAATATTTTAAGCGTAGTTAATTGTTTTGTTGATACTAAGCAGTTTTATCAAGGAGGCATCCGAAACTAAGGACTAGTTTTCGAAAAAAATGACATTTAATAAATTTTGCTGTTACCGAGAATGACAATTTGTGAGAATAATGAAATTAGTTCGGAGGAAAATGATGCTATGTTACTAATAATGACAATTTCATTATGAATAATACAAATTTGAGGTATAAAATCAATAAATGGCATGATAATTTGTAATATTTTTTATTTTTTATGAAAAATTATTATACGTAACATATAAAACTTGACACAATAAACATACGAACCTTTGTTATTTTAGAATATTAAACAACAAAATATCAAAAATTCTTCGAATTCATAGAAATTGTTATTAGGGACATTTTGAAACAAATTCAGAGTTGATGGGTAAAAAACCCCAATTGATGTTTGAAATTACCACCTTCGATATGAAAATCTTTTTTAAGACCTATTGTAACTTCTATGAATTCAGCGATTAGTCTTACGTATATTATATGATACTAAAATATTCTTAGAAAAAAAATACATATTTAGTAGAAATACATATCTTTGGACATTAAAGACTTATATTATTAGGAACTTGTAAGAATCTACCTACTTACTTTAAATCACATGTTTGGTTATTAGTCTAAATTACAACTCTAAAACTCGAATTAAGGGAACTTATAAAATTCTTACAATAATGTACAAAGCGAAAATTCAAATATTGTGACAGACGTTCTAAATTTCCGTAAGACTGTTATGATTTCTATAAGGCACAATAAAAATTCACAATCAAAATGAAGACACAAGTATTGCTCAAAACAAATATAAGTACATATAATTAAGAGTAAATAGAAATAGAAATCATTTAGTGCGAATTTTGTGATATTCTAAGAAAACAGTCTTGAAAACATAAACTAAAATATAATAAAACGAGCCAAAAAATCATCAACCGAACAGAAAGGCACTATTTTGATGGGATTGTTGATCTTGTCGGATTTTGTTTTTGCAAGAATGGTTACATCAAGATGCTTAGAGATGCGTCCTGGATTTTTTTAGATATATTGATGTCATTTATCGTGATATCAGAGAGAATTGTTACTGTTCAGCTGCGGGATATTATTCTTTAACTTAGTTATCAGACAGACAAGAATCTGAATGTCCTGGGCACATCCAACAGAGTTACCCTCAGATGGGTCCCGGGTCACTCAGGCATAGATGGGAATGAAAAGGCTGATGCATTGGCAAGAAGGGGCGCTGAAACACCAGAATGTGGCCCAGAACCATTTTGTGGTATTGCAAAACAACATGCCTATTCAATTCTCCAAATTCACTGCAATCGCCAAGCACTTTAAGAGTGGCAATCCACTTCTGGACAAACACACTCTAAAGTGCTAATTAAGGGATATCGCAAAACGTTTACAAAAGAGTTGCTTCAACTCAACAAGTATAAAACCAGTGCAGTAACCAGAATACTTACTGGTCACTGCAAACTTAATAAACATATGTTTACCCTCGGCCTCAGTCAGGCCGCAATGTGCAGACTATGCCATGAGACAGAGTAAACTGCTATGCACATCCTCTGCTCGTGCGGTCCACTCATGCACTGCAGAAGTATCTATCTAGGGTAGCATATTATGCAACCGGAAGAAATACAGATGCTCCCCGCTCAGAAAATCTGGAAGTTCCTGGAGTCAACAGGACTAAGCGGAGAACTTTGAACTCATTATAAAGGGAGCTACAATGGACCAGAACTGGTCGACGTAGCTAGGGCCGACCTCGGCACCACACCCAACAAAATAATAATAAATAATAGTTATCAGACAAAATATATACCTACTTATTCCTATACTAGGAGGATGGTGAATCCGATAAAAAATGTATGGTATCAATAAACGGGTTTAATTTAATCACTTCCTCTATTAAAGGTATTAAATGACCCCACACAGCTGGAGCATTATGGCGTAAACAATCACTTATTGTGCACGTGGAAGTTGGTCAAACTTGTCCAGTAGAAAAATGATGTGTGTAGATAACTGCAGTATGCAAGGAAACCTGCTGCCTATTTCCACCAAAGTGGATCGACTTAACTTCTGCTCCATATTTCAAGGCATAATTTTCAGAAAAGTCGACATGTACTAATGCTTCCTGAATATTTAGATTTTCATTAAGATTCTTAATAGCTTTGTATTGGTTCATAATTTTATAGTTGCGTTCCAAAAAAATTTGCCAAATCTCTCTTGAATTTATTTAATGCTTTTATCGTTGTAACTTTCATTTTTCTCTTTTCTATAATTGTTTGTTTCTTCTTGTTTCCATTCGTAAATAAGTATTTCTTTTGAAACTTTCTTCCACTCGTAATTACTGCAGTACATATTTCCTTGAAGATCTTTATATTCTATGTCATTTGATTTACAGGTCTCAGATTCTTTGCAAACAATCAGTGTTTTTGTTATCACAGCATTTTTCTGTTATTATAGACCTTCAATTAATAACTCCATAATGAGATGAATGAGCACAAACAAGTACCTCTGTCAACTTTTTTTCGAAAAACTACCCAGAAAGGCCGCAGCATTTAAAAAAAAGAATGGCTAATTCTAGTATTTGTTTCCATTCTGAACTTCCTGCAGAAGTCCGAAGTCCTTCAGTGGTAGATACAAGAACCTTTCTTGCGTACGGACTTCATTTTTTCGAATAAATTCCTATTTTACAGCACATGAGATGCTATTTGGCATCATCTAAATAGATTTTTTTTACACGTTCGCTTATAAAAGACCTTACACTGGGACAGTTTTCTGATTATAGGCTAATTTCGGAACAGTAATTTTCTAGAACTGGTATGTCATTTTCTGCCTCCATTTGTGTCTTCTCTTGTTCGTTGAGTTGCTTTATTTGTTTTTGAATTTGTTTACAACGAGCTTTATCCCTTTTATTGTATGCCGCGATGGTATTGACCAATTTTTTTCTTTTTTTTTAATTCTACGTAGCGAACTTTTCTTATAGCTGCAGCATCATTCTTAAGCGAAGGATCTCCTTCAAGATCATGCGTAGAAATGCTTTCACCTTGATTACCAGTAACGGCAACTGAGTCTTTCTACTTTAGTTTTCCTTTTCTGACGCATTTTGGAATATTTACTACAAACAAAAGTACTAGCACAGTTGTGTGTAGTTTGATTTCTATAACTAATATAATCTCTGATAAGTACCTGCAACAATATAAAACAGAGTGATAAGACACCCAACATATAAATAAAAACGTTATCGTTGAAACAAAAAGGAGCAACTTTATATTCTAAGTATCGGACATAATTTGGACAAAAGAGTGTAGGAAATAAAATTGAGGATGAAGTTGATCTCTTCCTCTCCATGATTATTATACGACGAAAGCTAGTAAACAAATATGAAGAATTATGTTCAGGTTTTAAAAGGAAAAAAGAAACATATCGTAATAGTTAACATACGTACCTGTAAAATTATGTAATTTTGTCTAAGTGTAGCTGGAACTAAAACCTAAAATGACACTTTCATCCAGCTAATCCTATCTGCACATCAATCTAAACGATCAAAATCATTGTTCTCATCAGTAATCATTGTCATCTAATTACATCGTCATTGTTCACAACATGCGTCATTGTCTTCTTCTCAATTTTTACAGACAATGACGTTGCAAATAATGATGTTTTCACAAAAATCATGTAAAAACATATTAAAAAACGTATATACAGAAAACATTATTATGATCATTGAACAGTTACTCAAAAGGTAACTTAGATATCTAATTATGCTGATAGAATCAATCCTGAATTAAAAGTTAAGATTAAAAAAACAAATGACGATTGAAATGACAAAATTAGGAGAATCAAATTCAAGACTCACCAGTTCGAAATCCAACACGCGTATCCCGTGTAATGGCTGCCAGTCGAATGAGGGACGGGGTAGTTGGTTTAAATCACGCAAAACACAGCGTACGAATCCTTCCGTTTCACGGCACTTTATTAAACAATATATGGAGCGACTAATGACGTAAATTTTATAAACTTTTTTTGATAACATTTTTGAGTAATTTCCAGTCATATTTTTTAAACATTTTATTATTATAAAGTTGAATTATATCAATGTCAAACACGAGCTAGTAAAATAATTTAATATGAATTGAATAATAATTTTTTTTGTGAGAAAATTCCCGAGAACCACGTAAAGCGACATGCAAAATAATGGAATTTTTGATAGTTTTTTCTGAATATCTTTTTTTTTGTTACTTCTACGTAAATGTGACTAAGATTGCTTTTTAAGTATTTATTTAAGTATACAAAACAAAAGTAGTTTTTGAAAAATATTAAGTCATTGAGGAGTATTATCGAGAGACACAAATTTTTAGCCTCTAGAATATTCACCCTCTAACCAAAATAGGCCAATTCGCAATCTTTATATTTAAGGCTATGTGAACATCATTTTATAGAAAGTGATTTTAATATTCTTAAAGCGTCTACAGATACATATATTTTTTATTTTTTGTACATTTTTACATAATTATTAATTTTATCCTTTTATCCTCTATTTTACCCTTTTATAGCATTGGATCCAAAAAATGCTAAAACATGTACATATTGATTTAATTGCATTGAAGAGCATTAATACCAAGTTTCAAGTAATTCTGATCATAAATAATTCTTTGCCCATATAAACTTTATTATCTCCTTTAACCCCCATAAGGGTGAATTTCGTTTCACATTTCTACTACCACCACAGGATGGACCTCTCTTTCCCAATTCTTCCTTCAGCTGGTCAAATTTTCAGGTACAATATATTATACAGGTAAGATGCGAATACAAGAGAAGTAAAAACCAGGTACGAAATAGATATTATAATAAGTTGCTTAACCTCAGACTGAGTGTAAATGGATCATACGTGTAGCGCCCTCTATTCAAGAAATCTTCCCTAACCAATAAAATTCTTGAAGACCGTTTTGTATAAAATTAAATTGGCAGAGTTTGATAGAGATAATTTGAGGTAATCATTTTCAAAATGTTTATTTTAATGGATGAAAATAAGACATTGTATTAAAATCGGAGTTGGTCTGGGTGTACCATAAAATGTTTGATAAATTTTGACTATCAATAATCTGTGATCATTACTTAATACTTATCAGTACTCTCAACTCTGTGGTTTTGACTTTTGACATTATTTCTGTATTGTTTTATTTGTCATCCATGGTATTGACAAACAATATTTAATGCGTAAATCGTATTTTTATAAAGAAAAACATTATTCTTTATTTTGGATCTGAAATTTTTAGATATTTTACCATCTAAAATTATTATTTTCATATACAAAAGACAAATTGGTAGCAATTTGTATTAAAAATACCAAAATATGGCTACGGCAGATAACAGTATTCGTCCTAACAAACATTCAATTCCTATTGATATATTGGATGATTTATGCAGGTAAAATTACACATTTTAACTCTTGATAATTATATATACATAAGATGCTATTGGGATTCCATGTAAAAACATGAATAGAACATTCAAATAAGAACATTGCACTTAAGGTTATCATTGGTGACCATGACTAAATAAAAATAACATTAGATGAAAATATGCATCTATATATTATTATGTAATTTCTAAAATGTTTATAGTTACTTATTGCACAATAAAACAAAATATTTCTAATAAATGTTACAAATTGCAGCCGTTTTATAATCAACTTACCACCTGAGGATAGAGGTAATCTCGTTAGAATTTGCTTTCAAATTGAACTTGCACACTGGTTTTATCTGGACTACTATTGTACTGATGAGAGTGCAAGGCTCAATCCTTGTGGTATAAGGGAGTTTGCAGCACATATATTTCAGGTATATATATAGATAAGCTAAATTATTTATATTTTCTTGTTCAAAATTTTAATTTACAGGCACAAAATCTTGTTAATCCCAACTCAATTATATACATTCTGCAGATTTGTTTTAAATTTTTTTTGTTCACTCTAGAGTGTTAGCATTAACAGGTCACATGACCATATCGACGATGACTTACATGTATTTACTCCCCATCCAAACCTACCAATAAAAGTTTTCACTTCAAAAATAACAAATTGGTTAGATAGAAATGACAGAGTTGTAATAGATTTTTTTAATATATATAGATTCTAATTAATATGTCATAAAAAATTTCAGCATGTCCCTCAACTACGAGAGCATATTAGAAATTTAGATGAAGTGTTGGATAACTGGCGCGAATACAAACAAACTGTACCAACATATGGAGCTATCCTGTTAGATACTGACTTAACACATGTGTTGCTTGTACAGTCTTATTGGACTAAAGCTTCTTGGGGCTTCCCTAAGGGAAAAGTGAATGAGGATGAAGAACCTTGGAAGTGTGCTGCTAGAGAGGTTGGTTTTTGTTTATGTCCACACTAAATAATGGTTATTAATAATAAGCTGCAAAATATATATATATATGCTGTAAAGATATTTTTTAATTATCTGACATTTGATGTTAATACTTATTAGTACAGTAAAATTTTTAGGGTAAGAAAATAGCTAAACTTCGAATGAAAGGTATAAACTTATATACATAATTTTAATTGCCATGAAAGCTTCATATTAATTATTAAGTTATGTTTCCATCACAATAAAATTCAGTTTTTTTTTAATACATCTTGTTTCAAGATTATGTATTTCAATTTTGAATTGAAAATGACTTGAGATTAGGGTGCAAAAACTTTAAAGGTTTTAAGCTTTTCAAATAATTAAATTTGCTTTGTTAATGATAGTGTAATTTGAACTTTATTTCTAGGTGCTAGAAGAGACTGGTTTTGATATAAGCCATCTCATTAATAAACAAGATTACATTGAAGCAATGATACACGATCAGATCGTTCGTCTGTACATAATCGGGTATATATCACGAGATACTAAGTTCCAGCCGAGAACTAGAAATGAAATAAAAGCCTGTGAATGGTTTCCGATAGCTGACTTGCCAGCTAACAGAAAAGATATGACCCCAAAAGTCAAAATGGGTGTCAGTCCTAATGCCTTTTTCATGGTGTTGCCATTCGTAAAGCGTATGAGACGATGGGTAGCAGAACGCAATCAAAAAGTGTTCAGACGTACAAGGCACAAATCCTTGGGGGACATTGAATCATGTAAATCTAAGAAAACTATTTCTCAAGGTTTGCAGAACGAGATACAGGAATATCAACAGACCTCCCAAAATCACAAATACAACAATAAAAGTGCTAATGGCAACCATTCAAATACGAAGACGAATGGAAATGGGAACGGAAATAAAAGAGGGAGGATGACAAAACGTCAATTATTCACGCCACAAAACACTCATACAAATAACTTCTCACCGGTTCAGAAAGATGCCAGTCCTGTTAACGACGTTGAAGATAATTTCCTTAATTTTGTGGCGCCATCTTGGGCAAACTTTAAATTCGATAGACGCGCCATTTTGGAATGTCTGACTTGAAATAAGGCATTTTTTTAAGGCTGATCTCACTTTCTAAAGCATTGATATCTATGGTATATACATGTCTTTAGATGTTCATTGTTCACTTTTGAAAATTAAATTTTCTTGACGTATCTCGTTGTTTTATTTATCATTCCTTAATGTTTTTGGTCATATACATAAAAAAGTATGGGGCCGTGATCGGTAGTCGGGTGTAATAATAATAAATAGGGTAAATAGTCTGTTTCAAAATATATCGCATATTGAACGCCTTTGGTGAAATGGTCGATGTCTGATAATAATTAACTTTAAACAAAAAAAATTAAAAGTTTTCCCCTCAAATATACGAAACTCTTTTGTTTTGTAACAAGCCTTAGCAGAAGTTTCACCGAAAGTTAAAGATTCGGTAAGCACTTCCGCATTAATTCTAGATTATTTTTATTTATTTGTCATCCATGATTTTTATAGTCTTACTAGCGGCTCACCCTAGCTTCGCTCAGGTTTGCCTCTAGAAAATCACAAACAGATCTATCCCACCGGAACCGTTCATTTTTCCGGGATAAAAAGTATCTTAAATGTTGACCGGGGATATAAGGTAATGCAAAATTTCATTTAAATTGGTCTAACAGTTTCGGAGATTAACCCGTACAAACAGACCAACCGACAGATTTTTTTTTCAAAAAAGCTGGATTTATTCTATTTATCACCATACATCCTTCTGACTCGGTTTTTAGTATTTTTTTCTATTTACAGACATTCGACCTCCTACAGTTTTATTATGTCCTATAGATAGCAAACGAACACAGGATAGCTTGTCTCTAACATATGTATTAGTTTTTACTCTTCATTTAGATGTATTAACACGTTCAATGCCACTACGATTTTCATGATGTCTTCGCGGATGCCGCATACATTTCACGTTGGACTCGCCAAGCGAGTCGCCGGCACTAGAATATAATTTGAATGGACTCGCCACGCGAGTTCACTGGCATTATGTAAGGGTAAAATTTATCTTTTGTTATTATTGTGACTGTCTTAGTCTCCGTAACGTTTGTATCGGAAGTATAAAGTGTTTGACGACTATTCAGTGTGTTTTAACTTACAAACATGGCAAAAAACTCAAAGGATAAAATAAAAGGTAAGTTTGTTTCGTAATTTAGGCAGTGGTTGTCAACTTTTTGTACAGTGGTTATTTTTAATGTTATTTTTTGTACTAATAATATTTCTGAACAGCAATTTCGCTCTGAATATTTAACGCTGTCTCCTAGTACTACGAATATGGTATCAACTTCTATAAATATATACCATTCGTTTTTAATGCAACGCTAATAATAAAAGGAAATAAATTCAATAATTTTTGTATTTAAAATAATTTAAAATGAAATTAATCAACATTGTACCTATTTATTATTATGTAATATTATTTACAATAATAGATAATATTTTTAAATAATATAATTGAAATTTGACAAAAAGGGTCGTACAAATCACTGTTATGACATTAGAAAAAAGTTTACCGTGGTTTACAAGAGTAGTCAATGACGTCACGAATAAGGGTCCAATAGAATCGGCGAAATGTTTTGCGTCCTTGGAGTGGGACTTAGGATTACCCAATGAGAGATTCGTGAAAAACAATGTTATCAGTGCTTTTGTTTAGTAGGAGCGCGCGCCGGCGCAATGTTATTTGTCTTAAAATTGTAATTGCAATATAAATATGACAATAATAAAGTCTACTTTTCTGAGAACGGGCCACCCTATATTATGTTGTAAATTTGTGATGTCTGCGATCATTTATATAAAAGATTCCGAAAAGGGTAAATGGGACATTGTAACTATATATTTATAGTTAACTCTAGTACCTGTTTTGTTTCCTTATTTATCATCTAAAGTATGAACCTAACAAAATTTGCGAAAGGCTGGGACTGCGAGTGTTTCTGAATAAAAATAATATCTCTTTATTAGGTATACTTTTTGTTTATTGTGAGTATCTTACCCATTGGAATCTCAACTATAATATTATAAAGAGAAAAAAAATATTTTTATTCATAACTAGCGACTTACCCTAGCTTCGCTCGGGTGTCGTGCCTAGCTTGCTTCCCCATACAAACTTTCATCCCCATTGTCACCCCCTTAAGGGATGACTTCCGGGATAAAAACTATTTATTTCACTCACTTTCATATCACGAGATGAAAAAAAAAATTTTTTTTGTAAAAAATCTTTTAATTTTCTTCTATACGAAACTTGTCCTAACAATAAAAAATACAAAAAAAAAAAGAAATATCCAATTTGGTGCAGTTGATCGGAAGTTATGCGTGTAAATATATTTCTATGATTCATTTTTATTTATATAGATTTACATTTTACAGTGAACGCCACATCAACCTACTAAAAATCGAACTTATTGTGTTGACGACGTTAAAATTTGAGAATCTGCGGCATTGAACTCACCTAGCGAGTTCACGGCATTGCAGAATATTTTTTTTCTTTTAAATGTAAAAAATTTCTTTACATCCAGGCCACCATGTAAACGTGAACATGACATCATATTAAGTCTACACCGTAATTTTGAACAGAATATACAGAAGCGTTTTGAAAATATTACCGAAACATACTGAACTCGCCGCGCGAGTCCCCGGCACTGGAATAAAATTAACGTAAACTCGCAGGGCGAGTCGGTGGCACTGAACGTGTTAATACAATTTATTGGTGATATAAAATTAAATATAGAATTATTACGTAAGAAAATAATCAATATTATATTATTATAACTTGATGTTTTCAATAAAAGATAGGATAATGAGTGCAAACTTCATAGGTTAAATATAATTTGCAGATGTGCATTTACAACTACGTATTGCATAAGCTTATTACTTCGGTCAAATTAATATATATGTGTGTGTGTATAGCTAAAATGTACGTTTTTTTTTATTTTTTATTATGAAAATAAATATTAGGTATATCTATAAAATTAATAAAAGGGAAAAACTGAAAACATAGATTCCATTAAAGTAGTTGTAGTCATCGAAATCAGACTACTATCAAAAATGCGTAAGTTTGTATATTATGTGTGTATGTTAGTTACACTTTTACTCTGAAACGGCTGGACTGATTTTGATAAAACTTAGTACACAGACTATTTTTTTATTTATTTACATCCGATTAGAACGGCGGTGCCACTTACACTAACTACTTATACATCTATAATAATATTATAAAGAGGTAAAGTTTGCGACGTTGTAATGGGTTATCTCTGGATCTACTGAACAGATTTAGATGAAATTTGGTAAGCAGGTAGTTTGAGACCCTGGGAAGGACTTTTTATCCCGGAAATCATCCCTTAACGGGGTGAAAATAGGGATGAAAATTTGTATTGGGAAGCAAAGGGACGAACGCGAGCGAAGCGAGGGTGAGTCGCTAGTACATTATAAATTATTATAAACATAAAAGGAAAGAGAAAAAAAACATTAGAAACAAAAGTAAACACTACTTGGTTTCTGAGAATATTAATAACATAGTTATTCAATATTCTCAGCATACCTTAGTAACTCAAGAACCAAAGTTGACCATTTGTCATTGAATGGGTCCCATTGAGCATTATTGTCCAAGACCGCGTGGAACCAATGAAATACGGTATAGGTGCCATGGTTCAGGCAACTGAACTGGAGTAACACAGGCGTACTATTAGGGAAGCAAGCAAAGCAAGGGTAAGTTGCTAGCAAATTACAATTTTTATTCAACAACCGTATCGGAAATAAAACCACTCTTTCTTCACAGTACAATAGTTTATTACAACTATATTATACATTTTTACAGAATCAAATAAAATATCACATCCAATTACAATGCTAGCGAGTAACACGACTATTGTCTTAATAAATAAAATATACAAAAACATTATATTATTACTATCAAATAAATGTACAATCTGAATTATCGGTTAATTTTAGTCATATTCAATTCCTTTAAAGTTTTACTTTTTTATAATAGCATGGATTTACTAATCAAAATAGATTCTTTTCCAAGTTATTTTGCAATCATATAAAAATGTTCATTTCGAATGTTTTTCAAATTATTACTCATGAAGGAACATGGCATTAAATAAAAATGTTGAATGCGTCAGTATTTTATAAGATCTAAAATCCTTATCCGATAAACATTACATTACTTCTATAAAGTTGTTATTTTCAAACAATAAATTTATATTTTTTATAGTCTATTAAATTCATCAGTCAAAAAAGTACTAGATGCACAATTCCTATTCAAAAGTTCTCATAAAACTATCACCAATTGTGTTTAAGTAATTATTCTAGTTGAAATAAATATATAACATTGTAAATTGAATCTCAAATACAATGCACAGTTGTTATCACAAAAAATAATAATTAAAAGTGCGCTCTAATGTTCAAATGAGCGCTCATTTGGTGTGGATTTTTTTGTCGCTGGTTGTGCATCTAGTACTTTTTTGATCAATGATTAAATTTCATATATTATTTTACATTAAATGAATAATATTTCATAGAATACTGTTTTCAAATAACTGATTATCACAATTTCCTTACAGGTTGTATAGATTATAATTAATTTTACATGTTTTATACATTGGATTTTTTCTTGGCTTTTGTTATTGATGATTATATCTAAAAAATATAGTTATAAAAAAGTTGTTAGTGAAAAGTAAAGGAAACAAAGAACATAGGAATGTTAGAAAAATAAAGATTAAACTTAAATAATAAATTAAAGATTATTCATTGATAATGTCGAGCTTTCAGGATTTTTACTCAACATATATTTAGTTATTTGTATATCAATATTTATGAAGAATTTTCATCTCATTCATTCTATCACATAATAATAATATAGCTTTATTAATACCATGGACTTAAGTATTTACAGGTTTTTGATATTTATGTTAGTTTAGTTTTTTAATATTTTACTCCGCGGACCCCTTCTGGGTAAAAGCCTCCTCTAATCCCTTAGATTTCTCTTTACTTTTAGGTATATTCATCCAGTGATTTCTTACCACTTCAGCAATGTCATCCGCCCAGCGTTTCTATGGTCTGGCTTTTTTATCTCTTTGATCTTTCCTATTGGTTCTTTCAATTCTATCATATACATATATGTATTTTATAATCTATAAATAATCTTCAAATTTATTAAAAAAAAAACAATAAATACAAAATAACGTCAACATGCAGTAACTAAAAATCATATCTGTGTAAAAATCTAACTGTACTAGCACACATATAGCTTTCTCTTTCCCACCTAAGGGTTAGAAGAGAGATAACAATAACCTTATACATATGTACTATTCTTTTCTTTTACATCAAACATTTTAATTAAAGTAAAAATCGAAGAAAAATATATAGTTAATTATATAATTTTTAAAGGCAATAGATAAAAAATATTTTATAGTTTTTTTTTATATATGATAAATAAAGCAAGATTTTAAATAAATACCATTTTAAAATTGCAACTAAATACAACATTGTAAATTGCATCTGCGCTTGATAAGAGGAAAATTCATAGAAAATATTTTGTAACAATAAATATTTAAATAGGCCTCTACTTTAATTATATATTTTTTACTAATTTTATTATTTATTAATCATTAATCATAATTCATTACCACTATAGGTTTTCAACGTAGTATAAAAATATTTCAAATGAGAGGTGTCACTGCAAATTAAAATATATATAAAATTACATTTCCATACATTTTTTGGTTTTCTATTAGTTCATTTTTAAAAACAAATATTGCTATTATCTTGAAATCGTCATTTTAGATTTATCTTACTCGTGAAATCCCCCATTGATTTTATTTACTTTGCCATGTTAATTTTATTTCATAACGCGAATAAATTAATGTGGACTTTCACATACGGTATTGGGATAAAAATAATTTCTTTATATTTTATTATAAAAAAAAATATAACAAATCTGTAGAGAAACATTAGCTAAGTTTGCATTAGAAAAAAATATGTACTTAAAAATATAAAAAAAAAACAATTGTCTATACAATTCTTAACTGTCAATATTACAAAAAAACTACCAAATCGAATAATTCATAACGTAATTTCAAAAAGTTTTACAAAACCAATAAAAAAGTCATAAAAGCAAAAAAAAACAGAAAAATAAAAGAAAAATTAGGAACTTATGGGGTCAAAAAATTGTATGTCTGTTTGTTTGAACAGTTCTTTAGTTATCTATTCCTCATTAGTGAACCTAGTTCTGTTGTGACGGTGTCTGTACCGTCTGAGCACCACAAACACTATACCGGAGAGTGCCAGAAGTACGGGGACACCTAAACCTATACATATTATCATAATCACGAAAAACGAGAAGTTTTCTATTGGTGGTGTACCGTAGCCGATTGTGAACGACCTGCAATTGTAATGGTCAAGATTTTAAATTAGTATAATATGTATTGTATATGTATTCAGCCCTTTTTAACGTCCCACTGCTGGGCACGGGCCTCCCTTCAATACGAGGGATATCAGGGCATAGTCTACCACGCTGGACAAGTACGGGTTGGCGGACTTCACATGTCTTTCGAAAACTTGCTAGGTTCTCTCAGACATGCAGGTTTCCTCACGATGTTTTCCTTCACCGTAAGGCAAGCGGTAATCATGTTAGAAATGATTCGCACATGAAAATATCAGAGGGATATGCGAGACCCGGGATTTGAACCCGCTTCACTCGGATACCTTAATCTGATTATTAATGTACACATGTTGATCCTCCTGTCCTCATTTCGATTTCATTTATCATCTTTGACGTCAGACAAAATTTGTATAGAAAAATTACTTTCAGTTTCACCGAATTTTCCGGGCAACAATTGAATTTTTTTTCCTTGTTCGGTCTATTAAGAATATTTAAAAGAAACATCGGTCGAACGATTCTCAAGTGCCACTTAATTTTTATTATATAGATTTTATAAAATTATTATTGTTCTAGAATCGGGTCAATTATAAAATTAAGTAAGGAAATAAAAAAAAAATATAATTAATAATATCCTCCCAATACATTTCGAGGTTTTCTTGACAAAAAAACTCAACACCGACACGGGTCTTGGAACCCAAGACCTCCTGATCTGAGACTGTACATGCTAGCCACTAGACCAATGCAGCAGTTACATCCAATTGTAAGTAAACATGTGACTTACCACGCAGTATAATTATGTTGTTTATAAAACCCGTCCCCGGGCTCACCGAAGGACACGAACAGGTCTTGCACGAGGAGGTCGGGCCCCTCGAGTGTGTCGTAGAACAGCTTTAGTGTGCTGTGACGGGGGAGAGTCGTTCTGGAAAATTAGAATATATATAACACTTATTTATAACAAAACACTTATATACATCTGTCAAGTTTTTTATGCTTTACTGGGAGTTCGCTCTACTTTTTTTTGATCGATGTTTGTATTTAATTTTTAAGTGCAATATAGAATAGTATATAAGGGGTACAATTTTTAGTTATAAACGACTCTATAAGAAAAACAAAACATTTTAATACATTATACCTATAAATTTGTTTGTTAGTGTATTGGACAAGTCATGATCGTAATGATAAAGGAATTCATAAACTAAAATGTTTTATATTCAAAATGTAAAGGCCTAATACTCCAATAATTAGCATACTTAACCAAAGAAATAAATGCAACTTCAAAAGAGTGAAAAGTGACAAACTTTGTATGGGAAACTAATAATAATTAATTAATATTTTTCGGGATATTAAGTTTTATTTATTACCTTTTTTATATTCCTATTAACTTAGATAAAACTGCTGTAAATTATAATCTGTAATTTAAATTTTTAATCACTTAATATTTCATACAAACATTTTTTTATAATCTTATAATACAAAAGGAATTATTTGCATTAACTAGTTAATTTTATCTCTCTTTCCCTCTCTATGTTTATTTTTTCTATCTCTCTCTCTCTCTTCCTCCCCCTATAACTTACCTAGTAAAGTCGGAGACGTGCGCGACGGTAGAGCTGGCAACACTGCGCTCGGGCTGCCTGTAGCCGACCGGCCGGAACTGCAGGTACCCGCCCTCGTCTTCGTTGTACAGCGCAGGCGTTTTGATCTCTATTATCTGTGGGATAGGGTTTAGTTTGGATTGATGATGATTTCATTTTATTATTAAAATTTTCAATTCTTTTTATGACATGTATTTTTCTTTTTCATTAAATACTAGAAATCTAGAAGAAATGCTAATGTGGTAAAATAGTGGGAATGATGAGATCAGACAATTGTTTTATATATGTAAATTATCCTACCCAATTTATTTTGATGGTTTTTTGACTAGGTATTTTTTTCGGACTACCGTTAAATTTTCATATACAATAAGAGTATTTCTTAAATCAATTATATTCAATAAAAAAATTTAGACTTTAAAATTAAATTTAAGACAGAAAATTTTATTTTGATTCAATTTGACTTATTAGACATTTTCTAATTACTTATTCTCGGAACATTTGCAATGAGGCGAAACGGTATGAAGTATATTATTTGTAACATATGTATGTATATATTTTATTACATAGTTACAAGTGGAGCTAATAAAATCGTGTTGATAAGTAGCCATTTTCACAATTACTGTAATATCTACTATCATCAATAACACAAAATCTCTTTTTGGTGGAGATTTGTATGGGAAATCAATTATTTCTCAAGTAACGGATATAAAACTCATCATACCTATTGTATGTATTTTTTGTTTGTTAGTTGTTATAATATTTGTTATTTGAGCAGAAAACGTTTTAATATTATCGCAGCTAAATCCATATTAGATAAAGAGATTCCGCTGTCCATTTTCCTTGCTATTAAAACCATTTCACAACAATAAAGTGCTTTTAATGTTATCAAGTTTTTCCTATTTAGTCTCACGTGAAATATAACAAGTTTATGTTTATAATAAATTTTGACTGCTTTTACGAATACGAATGTTTTATTTATTCGACTACGTCGTCTTAGGTCAAGATTGCTCACATATAAAATTTCTCATTCATCCATAACTGGTTATTTATGGCTGTGACTTCGTATTAATTATACAAGTAAAACCTTTTCCTTATTGCTATAAAATACCTCTTATATCTACTACTCTTAGCATGCGACAATCGCGTAATAGGTACCTACTTCGACGAAAAAAAAACAACGTGTTAATTCAGCTAATATCAATTTTTTTAGATACATATCACCGTAAAAAACGTATATTGTGGAAAAGTAAAAACACATATTAACTCAATTTAAATTTTCAATTACAAGTTACGTATGTACCTAACTTGTATGGGATATTAGCACACACGCAGACGCACGCATGCACGTACGCACACATACAGACACACACACAATATAAATAAGCAAGACAGTCTACCTCAAAAACACCAGGTGTGTGTTCATCGTCCAGGCTCTTTCTCATAGTGTAGTGCATCGTCTCAGTGACCGAGTCAGTGCTCACCATCAGCAAATGTATCGCGTATCGAGACGCATTAAACTCTTTGGTCGTGGTCAGATTGACTAGACTTATGTCAAACAGAGTGGAATTCGCTGTGTGGATGAGATGTGGGAGATCCACTGCGTAGTCTTTAAACGGTATTAGGTCAAGCTGTAACAATGTATTGATATAAGATTTATTTCTAAGTACAGTATGTAATACTAATATTATTTACTAGTATTACAGACTTCAAAGCGTGCCAATTGAATGTTTCAAATGGCACGCTTTGAAGTCGAAGAAGAAGATTTAATAGTTAATGTGAATGAACGGCTGAACGGATCTGGATGAAATTTGGCACAGATATAGATTATAGTTTGGAATAACATAGGCTACTTTTATCTCGGAAAAATGTACGGTTCCCGTGGGATAGGTTTGTTCTTGATTTCCTAGTCTATTTATATAAAAGTCGATGTGTGTATGTATGTTCCCTATGGACTCCAACAGCTGGAACGATTTTGATGACATTTTCGAACACTCTTAAGGTTGCTGTGAAATATGGTAGGATTCGGATGTTTCGCAGGGGTGTTGCAGTGAGTGCGAAAGCGATCCTGCACGCCCCATTGCACTGCGGCGAAGGGTTCCGCTGTGGGTTTTAGTGAGTAGGAGTCTCACAGTACCCTGCCCATGACGGCGGCAGGGTCCCCATGATGGGTTTCCCCAGCGAAAACAAAAAAAAAAGGATTCGGATGTTTGAACGCGGGCGAAGGCGCGGGTACTGCTAGTTTATTTATAAAGCTGCATTACTCTTTTAAGTGCAACTGGCCGATTCAACGCTCTAGACATTCTCTAATAGTCAACCGACATAGAAAGTTGAAATAGATTTTTATAGCGATCTGGAGTAGAAAGGAAATTAGCAAACAGATTTTCTAGAACCGGCCATGCCTAAACAAGTCTGTACTTGGCTTTGAAAATTACCGGGAAATATATCTATTATTATGTATATTATCAGCTAGCGCGGTCTTCCTTACGATTTTTTCCGATTTAATTCAAAAAAATCATAAAATCGGTAGTATATATTCGCAAAAAGTTCAAAAATTATAGGCTAACTTCCAAGTTAATCCTCTTTCTATTGGTGAAAACCGTCAAAAATCTTACAGTAGTTTCTAATCTGTACGATTTTTGTTTTATATATTTTATATATTTCTGGCGGTAATCTATACTTCTATACTTAATGTTATAAAGAAGAAAGATTTTTTTGTTTGTTTGTACCGAATAAACTTTGAAACTACTGAACCGATTTAGATAAAATTTGGCACGAATATAGTTTGAGATCCTGGGGAGGACATAGGATAGTTTATATCCCGGAAAACATCCTTTAAGAGGGTGAAAAAAGGGATGAAAATTTCTATGGGGAAGCAACCTAGGGACTAACCCGAGCGAAGCATGGGTGAGTTGCTAGTATTATAATATGCAGTAAAAACCAAAAATGACTCTACAGCTGGGAACATCATAAATAATGCTTTATATGCAGTTCAATGTAATTACAGTGAAGATAAGACGATCCAATTAGTATTTAGCCAACGTTATCGATGTAATTTTATTACAATATGCAAATGGACGTCATATAACTAATTAATTATATAATATTCATGTAATAATATTTAATTGTAAGGATAATTATTATATATTATATAAAAATATACATTCATTTTTGTGTTAGATATTTTAGAGTGTCGCTTGACGAGTTTAATTATAATTTTTTGAATAAGATAGGTGATTTGATTAGGTCCCTACTGTAAATGAAATTGATGTTTTATATGGAAAAAGCAACACGAAAAAAAATATGAAATTATATAATTAATCAAAGTATGTACCATGAATGTATTTTCGCAATCAGTTTAATGATTCCTTAGCTACAAAAATGTGTGAACGAGAATCAATAAAATCTCTGAAGGCGGTTTTGACTGTCTCATCGGAATTGAATTTTTTTCATTGCAAGAAATTATCTAAATTCCGGAAAAAATGGTAATCTATTGGAGCAAGATCCGGGGAGTATGGTGGGTGTCGGAGATAATATTATTCTTCTAGGATAAAATAACGTTGGCGTACCAGTTCCAAAATCACTTCAAAAAAAATTGGGAATTTTTAAATAAAGAGTGATTATTATTTAAAAAAAATATATGATATACATATATAGTAATAATAATATACATATAGTAAATACATAAAATTTAAATATAATAAAAAAAATATGTACGCTAACTAATTAATTAAACAAAAGTTCACTGTTTTAAGTGATGCTTCAGCATTGAAAGTTACGTTATTACTACCTGTCGCAAAAGGCCACCTTGACACAAAAAGCAAAAATTATGCAAAATGCATATTAAAGACTACAGAGATGTAGCTGTATTAAGACTTAATAAATTTCATACTATATTTATTCCTAGTCAAATAGATTCGTCATATTTAGTAAAGTGTGAAAATTATAAATATGTATCAAAAATAATGGCCATTTACCTATGATTTTCATTAGTTTTAACGATGACTCAAAACTATAATACTAACATTTAATTTTTTTAATATAACCTAATATTGACTTCTTATGTTGAATTTTTGCTTGGGACCAAAACTTAAATATATGCACGAATTTAAACATTTAAAAAGTATTTCCAAAATTATAAATGCTACTCGGTGCAGAAACTTATATCGGATGTCATGTGATAATCGTTTTAATTTTTATTTACATGAGGTTTTTAATTGTTATAAAACCTTTTTTCTGTGTGTGCCTTTAGCTCCTATAAACTATGCAGTAAATATCGATTTGTTACATTTTTATGGATTAGCTACATATCTATACTTATTATAAAAATAAGTCCCCCGGCCGCGTCTTTCTGTCCTCCTGTCTGTCCTCCTGTCTGTCTGTACGCGATAAACTCGAAAACTACTGAACGGATTTTTATACGGTTTTCAACAATAGAAAGAGTAATTCTTGAGGAAGGTTTAGGTATATAATTTATTATGCTTTTATGTAAATTAGCTGAAATACGGCGACAAATGTTGAAGAGGTCGCAAAAAATCTCGCCAAATGGGAACTTTCCACGCGAACGCCGCGTAAACTAGCAAAGATACAGTTAAGTAATGTACTAGAGAATTCAAAATCTATAAAAATGCTACAAAAAAGTCCGCGATAGCATATCTCTATCTCTTACGGTTGACTTACAATAACCACTTTTATGTTAACATTTTTAATTAAAAACATTACGTTATTTTCAAAGTTATTTTCTTTAGTTCGGTATTAATCCTTATCCAAATGAATATTTTAGTTAGCTTAGTCATTTAATGCAGATTAAAATTGCTCTTTACACTAAATCAATCAGATGAATAGTTTTTGAGATATCGTTGTTAGAAGTAATTAGTAGCGAAACATTTTTAATGCTTGGCGAGCATTGAGATGCCTACGGCGAGTCCATCCCCTCTGCCCCGCATCGCTCGACCGCCTGCTCAAGCTATATAAACCGGGCGATGTAGCGCGCGATCCTAGGATACTTTTTACCGCGGGAAAATATCTTATTTCTGAGGAAAAATACAAAAACTGCAATGTAAGAGTATACTAATATGTAACACCTAAGAATTTAGTTTTTGGTCATCTGAACGCGGGCGGAGCCGCGGGCAATGCTAGTATAATATAAACAAATCTATATTAATATTATAAAGAGATAAAGTTTGTGAGTTTGTAAGTTCGTGACGTTCACGTGACACGTGACGTTCGTGTCAGTTCGTTGGGGTAATCTCTGGATCAACTGAACCGATTTAGATGAAATTTGGCAAGAAGATAGTTTGAGACCCTGGGAAGATCATAGGATATTTATCCCTGAATCTTACCTTAAAGGGTGAAAATGAGGATGAAAGTTTATATGAGGAATCAAGCTAGGGACGAACTCAAGAGAAGAGAGCGATACTAAAGACGAGGCAGATGCTTTTAGGGCTAAAGTAAAAGCAAGAAGTTCGTTATTAAGACGTTTTTATATAACATTTTTATGTAAATTATTATTATTATTTAAAAATCGACGACATCAAACGGGGGCTTATATAAAAGCACTTTCGCTGTTGCGACATACTGTCCTAAATGCGCTTTCTCTGTCTTGTTTGTTTAAAGATCGTTATGTCATAGAGTACTGTAGTGATGTAACATGAGAGTAGTGATGATCTATTGACCCTATTTCAAAATCGTAGTAAGTATTTTCGCAAAAATTCAATTATAATTTTATAATTTATATTACTATGAATATCCAATATTTAATTTTAGCATTTCAAATTGATTCAAATTTGTAAGTCTGTAAGGTTGCATGAAAATAATGAAAAAATATTTATGGACGGATGGTACGTATGGTTACTCTTACACGCAAAAACTACTGAACGGGTTTTGATGAAACTATACAGTAATGTAGCTTATACAGAGTAACCTATAGGCTACTTTTTTAAAGACGTGATTATATATAACGGAACTAAACGTGCGGAACCGCGGGTAAAAGCTAGTAAGAAATAAAAGTATTTAAAAATCAGTGAGTCGGAAACCGGATTGTCGCTTGACTACATATTATGGTAGCAGCTACGTCGTAAAAAATGACATATGTGTTTAATTTAGGATATAAATTATTTCCATTCCGAATTTCTCTTCCGTCCGAAATCCGTCGAACTGTAGCATTGTGAGGAGTTAACAAACACACTCACAAACTTCGCATTTGTTTCTTTTTTTATCAATAAAATGTTAGCTTCAAACCTATAGCGCGAGTCAGTTTTTTTTTTAGGATTTTTACGACAATTACATACATACACAAAAAACAAAATAAACTCAGTATGGAACCCTTAAATTTTAAAATAAAATACATATGTATATATGTTTTCATTACTTGTGGAAAAATCTATTGTTTTGAAAAAAGTTCTAAAAATATATCTTGGAAACTTACCTTTATATTGACAATACCACGTTTCCCATGTCTATTATCATCCATTATCCCATAGACATGTACCATGGCTTCCTTGTCAGTCATCTTGCTCTCGTTGAGATGCCACACCATGCTGTTCAAACTGACTTCCTTATGGGGAAACTTTGGGTCTATATGACCATTATCATCCAAATCGTCATATTCAAAAAGCTGTAAAATAGTTTTATTTTAACAAAAAAAACATAATACTTTCTTAGGTTTACGTAAATATTTAACATTTAAATATCTATGTTGCTGTAAAGCATTCGAAACGTCGGGAACCAAAAACAAAAAAAAAAAAAAAGATATAAGAGAAATAAAAAGAGAATCCTTATGCGATCACTAGGATATCAGATAGCAAGGCTTCTTCAAATTTCAATACTATGACACAACAAAGTGAAAGTTCTCTATGTTTTTTATATGTATTCAGCCCTTTTTAACATCTCACTGCTGGGCACGGGCTACCCTTCAGTATGAGGGGAATCAGGCCATAGTCCACCACGCTGGCTATAAACGGAGTTGGCGGACTTCACATGTCTTTTGAAAACTTGCTAGGTTCTCTCAGACATGCAGGTTGTTGCATGATGTTTTCCTTCACCATTAAGACAACACGTGGTAATCATATTGGAAATGATTCGCACATGAAAATGTCAGAGTTGCGAGAGCCGGGATTAGAACTCGCTTCACTCGGTTTTCCAAGCGAGCGCGTTATCACTGGGCTTCCACTGCCATGTTTTTTATATGTACCCTAATAAATAAACTAGGACAAGCATTTATAAATATACTGTATAGTGTATTTCATATTTTTCTACAATATATACCTTACATTATTATTCTATTGAAAAGTAGGTTAAACATAAAATCTAATTAAAGAAATTGAATTAAAATAAGGTACAATCTTGTTATTATCATTTAAAAAATATAGTTAACACATAACCTCATTTGCAATTCAAATAGGTATATTAATTTACATCTAAGCCAAATTTAATGGAAACATTTAATATTTAAGTATACTATAGCGTATACTATAGCGTATACTCGTAACAATGTGCATAATATATATGAAGATTTTATACAGATGTTTTAGTCGTGTTGATTAAACTTGCTCATTGCTATAGTATTATACATGTTGTTATATAATTGAGAATCTGTTTCATGTGGGATGAATAAGTAGGCCAGTTAGAAATGAATCATAATTTTCTGTTAAATGCATATAGTATAAACTACTTCCTCATTCTTATTGTATCAAACAAAGGATATTTGAACTGTAAAATTTCAGACTCATTACTTTGACTGTATAAAATGCATAAGATATGGCAACTTCTTACTATGGATCTTAATATTTTCTATTAAAAATTATTGTAGTTCATGCCCCTTATCCCATTTTTAAGAAAATGGGTATATTAGAACACAATATTATTCTAAACAAATATTTATATAGTTTAAATAAATGCTTATTGTTTACAAATATAAAACTTTCTCCCTCTGATGTAACAAGCAGTACAAGTTCAATATATCACAATACACTGTATTTGTAATTATAAGTTTACATCATTTTAAAATACTTACTTTGTCAATAGCTGTGGCAAAACTATACAGAGGTTTTTCTGAAACGGATATAGTCTTTGGTAACATCCTATCCCAAGTTATGTTCATAGTTGAGTTTAAGCTTCCTATTGCGAATATCACAGTGGGTGTATGTCTTGTAAAGTCCCATATTTGATGGATAGTATCCGAGATTCCTTCACATTTCACATAAACTAGAGTTGTCTCTGTTGTACAGCTTTGACACCCGGGATTTAGTTTAGAAGTTATCTAAAATATATTGCATTTATATCACTTGAAACACTCATATTTAAAAAACTTTAAATATTACAAACTAGTGGCTCATTAATTGAGGTACACAATATTTATTGATATTTTTTCTTATATTAAGACTAACATCTCACCCTCACTTGCTCAAGTTTGCTTATATAAAAACAAAAACAAACCTATCCCATGGGAACAGTAGCTACCTAGCTAACTGTAGTCTATGTATTATTCGGATGTATGAGCTATATTACTGTAAAGCTTCATTAAAATCCATTCAGTAGTTTTTGCGTGAAAGAGTAACATACATCCTCACAAATTTATAATATTAAGTAGGATAGTAGGAAGGACACGAATTTACTCTTAATACTACAACTAATAGTGTTTATTTGTAACATGTATATTAAAAAGAGAAACAAAGAGTTAAAAATTGGGGGTGGTTTCAGAACAAAAATAGGTAGGTACGAACAAAAAGATTACTCACTTTTCTATCTTGTCCATATGCGAGGGAAAGAGTAACAACAACAACAATTAATAAAGTCTGGATGCGCATTTTTATCGAGAAATGATACTAATTAGGAAAAAACATTCACAATTCGATTACAAAGGGTCGAGTTCACGAGACAATAAACATGTTACCGATACGATAAACACCTCAGCACGTGCGAAAGCTTGAGTGAATATAAACGAACACGATAACGCCTCCAGTGAATTAGATATAAAGTTATATTTATTTTGCCCTTTGCATGTTGTAAAACTTATCCAAAAGCAGCACAATAATGACATTAGACATATGATGGTATGACAATTGCTATTTGCGTCATGTCGATATAATACGACCTTTTTAAAAAGCACCTAAGGTTCCTAGGAAGTACTAATGTTTAAAGTAAAATTTGTCATTTTCGTGGCTTTATGAATTAGCGGTACTGTAATATTATGCGTTCTGAAATTTATTTTATGATTTTCTTTATCGATTAAATAAAATTATTTAAGTTTACTCTCAATTTGTGTCTACATTGTATATTTTTTGGAAAAAGTTTTAAGGAATCTTTAAGTTGTAAAACATTGCACACTTGAAAATTTAGTTTTTTATAACACTCACTATGCGCAATATATACAGTGTAATACATATTAACATAGATATATAACATTTTTTATACACCGTACATACTTGTTTTAACTTTACCTTTTTTGGTACATACATTTAAAAAGTTTGAACATGGAAAATATTGGAATATTCATCATTAATTCGTTAAGTTTATGTTGAATTTAGTTTAGGTTTTTATCGTATGCCAATATGATTGTATTATTTTATTATATTATAGGAAAAAAAGCAATTTTTTTTAGATCAATGAGAATTAATTAAATTAATTGAAATAAATCGAACGAAAAATTTAAAAACAATTTATTTAAATACATGTAGACTCAGATTCAGCATTTAGTTTTTTCCGCGACTCTTCGTCACTAGTGGGCGAGTGTCCGCGCTTGTCCATGCGCTTCTGCTTATTTGTGTTCTTGTTCTGATTACGTATAGCTTTAGACATGTTTTCTTCACCAACACTAAAACATATGAAAATTTTAATTAGATCTCACATTCCTAATAATCTACAAAAATCTGGAATTTGGACCAGGTTCAAGTCTTACATTAAAGATTCTATTGATAATAATTTATCTTCTAACAGTTATAGAAGCTAAATAAATTTATTTTAAAAGTATTTTTATCTATTTAACTAGAGACAGGAAAGATTGAAAAGATTTTTTGTTTAAGTTTCATGTATTAAATCATATTCCAGCAAAATCAGTTAAATATAACAAATGTCATATGTAGCTTCTGAATTAACAATACAATCAACACTATAATTTTCAATATATTATTTACTTGATGGTAGCAGATACTGTATACACCACTTATCTTCAAGTCCTAACTTCCCTATTGCATTTAGTGAGAGTTCTTACATGTTCAACCTGAGTGACAAAAATTTCCAGTAGATGGATAGAAGCAGATGAAACGCCACTACATATTTTGGGGGAGTGCGGACCTCTTACGAACAAGTGCTATTCATCTTGGGATACAGTTTCTGGACACTTATTTAATTCGCACAGGAAACCACGTTATAATACAATCCAAAAAAATATTTATGATAAGAATTACTTGAAACTTGGTATTAATGCTTTTCAATGAAATTAAATAAATACGTATTTAAGCATTTTTCGAAATTTACCCTTTAAGGGGGTAAAATATTGGATCGGCTTAATCCTTTATATTTATGTGTTTGTCTCTATTTCTTTTCGCATTTTCGTTTCATCGAGTTTCAAATCACAACAATTATAAAGAAGTTTCACTTCAAAAATATGCCAGTTTTACACTGAATTCACAAACTTACTTCACAACAGCCCGGGACCCAGGCCCCCAGTGCGGAGTGGGATTGAACTGAAAACGCAATTGTCCGTCTCTTCTACTTCTTGGATTTGCATCGGGACGTTCACTCAAATCCACTGTATTCTTGATTGGCCGAGTCAAAATTGCTTTGGCGACTAAATCAGATTTCATCCTGAAAGTTATTTGTAAAATTTATATTTAACTATTAGTCACATTCATAACCTACTTCAAAAACGAGGAAGTACCGGATCCAGGATGAAATTTTTATTTTATGATTCTGAATAGATTTTCGTGATATTATTTTAAATAATAGATATATTATGAGATCCTATATAAATAATAATGAAAAATATAAATAATTACTCTCATAATTTAGATCAATTTTAAGCACTAAGTTAACTACGAGAGTAATAATTTATATTTTTTCATCTTTTTAGTTAGCTTTTATGCAGTCGGTTTTTTTTTATTTTCATAATATATATATTTATTTACAGCTTTTTAAGTCTTTTTAAGTAGGAAAATTAGCGAGAATGGTTAACCAACTTTAAATCATTATACTATATCCTAAACTGACATAGTTCGTCGATTTTAATTTTTTTCTTTTTCACATTATGACACCCAAAATCGCCCATTTTGATTTTTCTAAATTTTTATTCTATCTATAGCATTCGCGCTGTCATGACGAATCAAGCGACGTGTCATTTATCAAAATCGGCCCACGCGTTTGATCTCAATAGTGCCACGTACCACATACATACATACATACTACATACATATGTACATACATAGGCTATAAATACATTACCCGCCTTTGCGTCGCGCATTCTGGTTAAAGATCATATTACAATTTACTTTCGTTGAAAATTTACTAAACTGAAAAATAAACCTACAGTAAACGAAAAATAACATTATGTTCTTACTTAGCAGGTTTTACTGGATGTGTCTTCTCCCATGTACGTATAATGTCCCATATGAGTTGCGCAGGCGCGGATGTTTTGACGGAGAGCTTCGCAGCGTGAGAAAACGATACTTTATAGCCTGCGTTCAAGATTGCTGATCTGAAAATGACAAATAAATTTATTTTTGCCCATCATTGTTTAGAATTTCAATATATTAATCCTGAGAAAATCCAATACAAATCTACTAATTTTGTATATTTATTTATAAATTTTATATTCTTAAATTGGTACAACTACATCTGTAGGATTAGCTAGTTTGATATTGTTTGCATATAATATAATAAAAAAAATATATACAAATTGAAATTGAATATTTTAATATTAAAATGACCATTATTTGAATCTCACCTCATAACCAACATGGGCATTGTTTCCAAATGAACTCTCCCAAATAACTTATCCAATGTAAAGTACAGCGGAACATCCTGTAGCTCCTCTCTGACCATAGACAACACACCCTGCATACGTTTTGCTGTACCAAATAGATGAGGATTGCGTTGCACATATGACAGGACTTTGGTGACGAACAATTCATCATGCATTGGTGCTGACCAGATAGGCCCTCCCAACTAGCAAACAAAAAAAATTGCTCTACAAAACAGTCACACACAGAAAATTGATTGTAGACACTGAAAAAAGTACAAAAGATTACAAAAAAAAGACACAAAATATGCATATGACCTAAGCTACTAAGTTTATGTATGCTTGCTATTTCTGGGGATAGACGGGGTAAGGTACAGGAGATGAAATTTGTGGGTGGTATTTGGATGGCAGGTGTTAGGAAGAAGGGACGTGTGAGCTTAAATATATCTTAAGAAGCTTTTTGACCAGATTAATACACAATTCTTGTTTCTAATACTCCTGAACTTGGCATGCTGATGTGAATGTGTGAATATAACATATATTTTGAAATTATATGACTTACATGATGTCTTTGGTCACAATGCTCACAAAATTCTCCAACAGGTGGTGCCATGGGCAGAAAAGATTTCATTTGATGTGGGTTTGCCTCAGTGGGGTTAGGTTTAAAACCACCTAGTGGTTGCAGGGTAGTATTTCCACAGCCTACACAATGGTACACCATAGACAGTTTACTGTAAACAAAAATTAAAGTAAATTTTTACTCTAGATATTACAGGAATATTGTTACCTGTTGCTTAACTTGTAATTTGATAATAAGTAGCTCCTGTGTTAATTTAAGATATGAGCTATCTCTATTTCAATAGTGCCTTTACAGTGAGAAGCACAAACATTAAATTAATTATAAATAAAAATATTAGTATTATAATATTATTTATGGAAATCATAAATTAATTGTAACATATAGAAAATATTCTTCTAAATCTTTTCATCAATATTTACCTAGTAGTTTTTTTGCAGTGTATAGCTCCGGAGTAAACTTTTACAAAAACTCTAATATAAAAATCAGCTGATATACTCATTAATGGTACTGTGTACCTGCTGTATCTATTTGCATGTTTCTCTATGCTTTGTAATAATATTCTTAATGCCTAGAAAGAAAACAGATTACTTAGTAATTTTGTTTTTTATAATAAAAATCTGTTTTTGGTGGGTAAGAAAGAAATATATATATAATGTAATTAATTAACCGACAACAATTAAGTAAATTAATTTCATTAATCACATTTCATTTCAGTTTGTGAGATTGTTAGTTTGTGACGTTGTAGGGGGTAATCTCTGGATCTACCAAACCGATTTAATTGAATTTTGGTAGAAGATAGTTTTGAGACCCTGGGAAGGATATAGGACTTTTTATCCCAGAAATTATTCCTTAAGGCAGTAAAAATGGAGTTGAAAGTTTATATTGGGAAACAAGCTAGGGACTAACCCGAGCAAAGTGAGGGTGGGTCGCTAGTTGCTTATATTTAGATAAAATTATTGAGGTATAAAGATGTTAATTTACCATTTCATGAACACATCTTGTTCTCAAACTAACTGCTCCATATTTGCAATAGCAAGTTTCTGGGGAATTTCCTGCTAGGACTGCCATGTCTGTTGCTGTTACAAGTAATAGGCCTCCTTCCTGGACACTTTGTACAGCTGAGTCAAGGAATATGGAAGGACAGCCATAAGGATCAAGATCAATAGCTGCAAACCTCTTTGCTGAGCTTTTATGCTTATACATAAGCATGCTAAATTTTAAAATAAAATAAAGTATCAATATTCCATTCTTCAAATTTTCTTCAGATAAACATAAATTTGCATGGACATAAAATTCTTATATTCTATCCTTACCAAGCATCATCATGGCTTGTCTCAATTAAGTCTTCAACTCCATTATGCACAATATTTGACTTTATGGTCTCTACGGCTTCTTCAGATATATCATTAGCTATTATTTTAGTTATACTTGGAACTTCTTTTGCATATCGAATGCTTCGAAGTCCTGTTGCTGATAAAGCTTCTAGGATTGTTACTGGGACCTAAAGCATAGATGTAATAAAAGATAGAAAATCAAAGTCTATGTGTGTTAATCTATATCTATTTATTATAAGATAATCACTTTATAAAATTATAATTAATAAAACAGATATAACAGACCTCAGAATTACCTCCACTGCCTTCAACATCTTTAACAATATTATTCGTGAGATTGTTTGGTTTCTTCTGAGTTTTTGCGAGTTTTTCTGCTTTATAATCCTCTGCAAATACACTCAATACTGCTATACTTAAATCCCTGTTGAACTCTTGCACAGGGTTGTAAAAAACTTTTTCGGACGTCAGGCGTATTTCTGCTTGTCCTTCTTTGATACATTGTTTACTAACTTCTACATTAGATAATTCCATCTTCATAATATTCTAAAAAAAAAAATATTTTTAAAGAACAAAAAGTTTTCATAAATTAAAGAATTAAATAATATGTGTAAAAAATTTAATAACTAAAGGAAATCTTCTTATTAATAAACTTGAACACTTCATAAATTCCAATAAACGGTAATATTACAAAAGGTTATTTTATTTTAATAAATACACATTGCTGATTGCAATTTGCAACAGTCTAATTCTATACATGTCTGTCAAAACTCAAATGTCAAAATTGAAAAAATATATTTTTGAATTATGACGTCTTACGTGTAGCGGAATAAATTTCAGTACCAAATAAACCGTAAAGTATAATAAAACCATTTATAAATTGTATATTTATTTAATTATTATATTAATATAAAAAATGTATTTAGTACTTGATGAAATATCTACCTATAATAATATTTTGACCAATTAAGTACTAAAACCCAAACTTATGAACTTAAATTTTTTATCAATTCCTTATTCTTTTTTATTCTGTGTTAATATGTCATAATGACATAGAGCCTCTTATCAATATGTCACAATGAATTTGACAGACGAATCGAACTTTGAAGAATCTGGAAAAATAACCTTTTAAAACTATAATCAATTATTTATTTATGAAAAGTGCTTTATAATACATTGATAATAAGCTGTAAAGTGGAAAATGCACACAGCAAGTGCTCTAGTACGAAATACTGTGCTTTTTAATCCTGCTTTAAGACCATCGTCACAAATAAATAAAAATGTAACAAAAATTGCATCATATTTACATCGTAGACCGGTGGAACGGAGATTGTTAAGCAGCTTTAATGTTTTCGGGTATAACAATGAAAGAATTTGTAGTTATAACAATGGATTTCCATTCATGAAGCAGGTTAGATAAGAGAGTTCAAAGATTATAATATTACAAAGTGGAATGCATTTTTAAAACATATTTATTATACAGAGATAAATAGGGACGAATAATAAAAGACTTCAATTTTAGGTTTACAATAGCTGTCAATATTCAACTGGTAATAAAAATGACACTGAAGATGAAGAGCCAGCAGTAGAAGTCAAAGATGAAACTCCGCTATTCTCAAGTCAATTACCAGCCACAGTAGCTGTGCCAGAAGTATGGCCTCAAGTACCAGTGATTGCAATCAATAGAAACCCAGTATTTCCAAGATTTATTAAATTAATTGAGGTAGACAATATTTATTATTTTTTTTGTACTCAAAATTTCTTGAGACTTTGTGTAAGATGGAATATTCTATCCTCTTTCTTATGAAGATATCTTATAAATATTTATTTATCTTATAATTTTATTTTATTTAAGTTTTCATAATATTTTAAATCATAAAAAATGTATATCTCTTATAAAGCAGTTACAAATTATGTTAATTATTTTCATCTATAATAGATCTCGAATCCAGCACTAATAGATTTAATTAGAAGAAAAGTCAAATTGAATCAGCCCTATGTGGGTATATTTCTTCGAAAAAAAGAAGATGAAAAGTCTGATGTTGTATCAAGTTTGGATGACTTGCATCAAGTCGGAGTGTTTGCCCAAATACATGAAATGCAAGATATGGACTATAGGTTAAGACTTGTTGTAATGGCACATAGAAGAATAAAAATAACTGGGCAGTTTGTTGAAGATGAGATTGAGACTGGACCAGCAGGTAAGACTTAGTAGTTTTTCATCATATTATGTTAATAATTGCTTATTTGAAACAAAATAATTTCAATCTAAATATATGAATTTATAAAAATATTTCCTATAATACATATTTTATTAAATAAAAAAGTGAATATAAAAAAGTAAATTAATGTAACTTTCAGGTTAAGCTTTTAAATTAATTATTATTGATGCTTTCACTCAGTTACAGCATATTCATTAAAAATAAGTAATTAAACTTGTTTATAATTTTCAAAATAACACATAACATAGTTGTAATTTTGAAATCGGTTAAGAAATTCAAAGGTAATATAATAAAAATCCTTAATACAATTTCATTTCAATTCTCTTGTTAATGGCTTCAAAGCATGCTAGTTGAGCACAGATGACTTCACCAATGACACATAAAAATTTATAGAATTTATTGAGCACCAGCAAAGCACAATAACTGAGCAATAAATATTATATATACTAATATAGTAGCATATGAAATTAAATAAACTTGCAGCTTCAATTCTGAAATGAATAATTTCAGAAATGAAGCTCAAGTTTCCGGTATTTAACGTGGAATTTAACGTTACGCGTGAAGAATCGGATGCTGAGCGACGGAGGCGGAAACATCGCAATTCGAGACGGCAACGTAACGAATCCGACACGGAGAAGGATGTAGACAAGGAGGGTAAGAAACCACCTCCAGACCAGGTCATGATGGTGAAGGTGGAGAACATGATGCACGAGAAGTTCCAGCAAAATGAAGAAGTGAAAGCATTAACTCAAGAAGTGATTAAGACTATCCGGGATATTATAAACATGAATCCTTTGTATAGGTAATATTTTATGCAAACAATTTTTATTCTAATTAATAATTATTTATATCTTGTTTACCTAAAGAGGTCTATGCTACTGTAACATCGATACTAATATTATAAATGCGAAAGTAACTCTGTCTATCTGTCTGTTTCGTTTTCAACTTAAACCGCTGAACCAATTTGATAAATTTTTTAGAGATATAATATTGTATAGATTAATTTTAGAGAAAGAGACTACACTTTTTGTCACAAAAATGAAACTTGAAAGGGGTGATATAGTTGTTGAAAGTTTGTATGGTAAAATAGGGGATGATTTTAAGTTGTTTTAAACTCCTTACTTTTCTATATACCTAAGTATATTACTTATTATGTATAGTACCTGGGCGACCACGCTCCGCTTAGAGTTTTTGGCCAAAAGTATAATTAATATTTAAAATATGTATGTATTAAAGTTATACATGTATAATGTATTAACTATCTGGTATCCATAACTCAAGCCCCGTAGCTTACCATGGAACTGGATGGTTCTGTGTGTTAATGTCTTAACATATTTATTTATTTATTTTCTTTTTTTTAACACTAAAAACTGAATAAATATAAAAAAAAGTAATAACTTTGTTCATAACCGGGATTCAAACCCGGATACCTGTGATTGTCAATCTGGCGCCTTCACCTTGTGACCACGATTATGCCCGAGCATGCGAAATTAGCGACCATATTTTGCGTAGAATAATGCGAAAGAAAACCGCATGAAAACTCTAAAACACGCGTTTTCCTTGACATAAGACTAATCTAGATCGATTTTTATCCCCCGAAAACCCTACCTTACCACAGCGAAATCGTTAGAGCCGTTTCCGAGACGGCCGGTATGATTTATAAATAAACTAGCGGACCCGACAGACGTTGTCCTGTCTACCGTCTTTAATTTGAAAATTTAAAACTTTTTTTAATAATTTTTTTGATGAAAATTATTATTCAAATTGTGAATCTAAACCATTCCCAGATCCCCTTGAACACACACAAAAAATTTCATCAAAATCGGTCCAGTCGTTTGAGAGAAGTTCAGTGACATACACACTCACAGAAGAATTATATATATAAAGATATACAAGAATTGCTTGTTTAAATATATTAGATTGTATATACATGTATATACCTAGTTTATTCTATAAGATCGGACGTGTGTCCCTAGATACAGTTTAACGATACAGTACATTACAGTACAGTATATGGAGTAAGTTATTAGTAGGGTTAGCAAGTAAATAAATAAATATGAACATCATCAGGGAGTCTCTCCATCACATGCTAGCGCAAGGCCAGCGCGTGGTGGACAACCCGGTGTATCTGAGCGACCTGGGCGCAGCACTTACCGGCGCTGAGCCTACAGAGCTGCAGGCCGTGTTGGAGGAAATGGATGTATGTATAATGTAAATTATCTGTTTTATTATATTTGCATCTTTAAGATACGAAAATCAAGATACACAATTAACGTCTCAAAAGTGTGCTTAAAAAGATGCACATATTTCGAATTTATGCGCTTTTTTTTCCAAATCTCTTTTGTTCATTGCTTTTTGAATAATAAAATTGAAACACGCGTTGTTTCGTTTAAAATAGTGCATTATTTGTAAATTGTGTGCGTAAGTTCGAATTTGTGTTTAAAAAATTAAAACTTTCGATTTTAGTTTTTTTTCTTTGGTTTGATTTAATGTCAAATGTCGTCGGCGACTCTTTATAAAGAGGTATTTGTTACGGAATATCTATGTTTTTATATATCAATGATTTGCATTTCCATTTTTTTTTCTACGACACAAGTGTCTACACAATAAAATATGTAAAATGTCATAACTGACTGACGAGTTTATCAACTTCATTATAATATACAAAACAAATTTACACTTAATTATTACAGTACAAGTCATGTCATGATAGATTTTGGAATCATAAATCTAGTGTAGAACAATTTACAAAAATATTTTAGTTATCCTAGTCTTGGGATCCGCCGTCTTGAGGGAAGCCTGTTGCCAAGCAGGTCCAAGTTGCGCACCCGTTCCGATGAAACATTATGATGCAAATCTATGTTTAATACACACAAGTAATAAAACTGGAGAGGGTATCCTAGTCTTCCTTCTATATTACAGTTAATCAAACCATGATTCTATTTTAAAACAGTTAAATAAAGACAAGAAGGTAAGGCTGTCTCTACCGTAACCGTGATTGCAGTAAAGCATTCGAAGAGTCGGGAACCAAAAATCAAAATAAATCCGCGAAAAAATCTGACAAAAAATTGTTTTATTTAAAATGTCAAATATTCGCATACATCTAAGAAAGTTTTATTTTAAACAGTTATTAAATATTTTCAATATCACCAGATACCCAAACGTCTGATGATGTCGCTGTCTCTACTGAAGAAGGAATATGAATTGTCCAAACTCCAGCAGAAGATTGGTAAAGAAGTAGAAGAAAAAGTTAAACAACAACATCGAAAGTATATCCTTCACGAACAATTAAAGGTAACAAAATATGTCCGCGAAAAATCCAGAGAGATAGTTTTATTTAAAATATTAGTATTAATTTAAATTTTTTTCATGGATTAACAAATTTCGTTGTAACTTTACTACCTTTATATGAATTTATTATCATGTGTTATTGACATATGAAATTTGTGCACAGGTAATAAAAAAAGAGCTAGGTCTAGAGAAGGATGATAAGGACGCTATTGGAGAGAAGTTTCGAGAACGTCTCGCGGACAAGCAAGTGCCTCAAGCGGTGCAAACTGTGATAGACGAAGAACTGAATAAGCTCAACTTTCTGGAAAGCCATAGCTCTGAGTTCAAGTAAGTGAGCTGAAATTTTGTCTTGTTATTGTTTAAATAAACAAAATGATCTTTTGTTAGCAATTGATTTGAATTTATTGTTGAATTTGTTATTTTTTGAATTTTTATTAATTCTTTTTCTGTCTATTAAAATTCTTATATAATATTTTTCAATGTTGCCCTAAGCAAATTTATTATAACTTTTAACTAAGGGATACCCTAGGAATGAATAGTTTATCCATAGAAAACAAACGTAGAAAAGAAATCTTTTTTAATCATAATTTGATGAATTGTTTAGGAACTTATAGAAGGACAAACATATAAAGAACTTTTATTTTTATTCTATTATTTATAAAGTATTATTTGTTTTTCCCAACAGTGTTACCCGTTGTTACCTTGACTGGCTTACCTCATTGCCGTGGGGAGTGACGTCAGAAGAGAACCTGAAGCTAGAAGAAGCTCAAGTGATCCTAGACGAAGACCACTACGGCATGGAGGATATAAAGAAGAGGATATTGGAGTTCATAGCAGTGTCTCAGCTGAAGGGCAGCACCCAGGGAAAGATATTGTGCTTCCATGGACCACCCGGTGTGGGGAAAACTAGTATAGGTAAGTTAAGATGTTAATAAAATAAACAAAAAATAACCTTGATATTTAAAAGAGTGATTGTTGAGTTTCTCTTGGGCTCTTCTCAGCAGAACTGCTTTCCGAGTAGGTGGTAGCGTCCTCATGGACTGATCACACTGACAAAAGACGAAAGTGCTTATAATGAGGCCAATTGAATAAAGTTTATTTAATTTAAATTCATTTTGAAATTGTGGCAGTCTAGTATTTAAAAGGTTGTGAGTTCGAGTCCTTAGTAAACTTACTAAAAATGAATCACTTAAACATTCACCATTAAAATTGGAATGCTTCAATCTATCTTTATAATCTTTATTAAACATATGGGGCATTCTAAGCCAAGTCGGACGGTTTCTATATATATATCGTTACTGTACTATATTACTACTATTTATAAAAGTAAAAATGTATTACATGTTTTGGATAAAAAATAAAAAGAAATGATTGTATTGTGATATTTATTATAGAAATAAAGAGGCTTTATTATTGTTAGTGTGCTTTTATAAATAAATAAACAAACCGTTTCCAGCCCGTTCAATAGCCCGCGCGCTCAACAGACAGTACTTCAGGTTCTCGGTGGGCGGCATGACGGACGTGGCGGAGATCAAGGGCCACCGCCGCACGTACGTGGGCGCCATGCCCGGCAAGCTCGTGCAGTGCCTCAAGAAGACCGGCACGGAGAACCCGCTCGTGCTCATCGACGAGGTCGACAAGATTGGCAAGTGAGTTCGGTTTACCAATTACGTCACATTATTTAGTTAACGGCTGGACGGATTCGGTCTACATGTAATTTTATAAAATACTAGCGACTCACCCTAGCTTCGCTCGCGTTCGTCCTTAGATATGTTTTAGTTTTTTTGAACGGAACCCTAATTCTTTTTCTATAATGAAAGTAGCCTATGTTACTTCCTATAACATCAGATATCTTCCAGTGAAAGTCCCGTCAAAATCAGTCCAGCCGTTACAGATTATCCCTTTGCATCCAATCGTTATATTGTAATTTTCTCAAATGAGTATTTTTTCGAGTTGTTAAAAATAAAATTGTATAGGTTATCTGACAGAAAAAAATTGTATATTATTAACATTAATCCGATATCTCTCGCTGTACGCTGTTAAAGCGCTATGGCCGTCTCTTCCACAAAGTCTTAAATCTATATCTTGTTGTATTTACTATTTTTCTTTCTTTGTAGATGTACAATAAAGAGTATTTATTTATATTTTGTTGCACACACAATAAAAAAAAGTAAATAAAGATTTAGTAAAAAAAATGTATGCAAAAGCGTTCTTATTATTTAAAGCAATGTCTACCAAACAACCTTTGGTGAAAGTATTTATTATTATCTATCACCAACAGGGGCGTGCACGGCGACCCCTCATCAGCTCTGCTAGAACTCCTGGACCCGGAGCAGAACGCCAACTTCCTGGATCACTACCTGGACGTGGCGGTGGACCTCTCCCGCGTGCTGTTCATCTGCACCGCTAACGTCGTGGACATGATACCGGAGCCGCTTCGAGATAGGATGGAGCTTATTGATATGTCTGGTGCGTGTAACTTTTTGGTCTAGTAGCTAGCATGTACGGATGTAGATCTGGAAGTTCGGGGTTTGAGTCCCGCAAATATAGGTGGGAAATTCAAAGTAGTTATTATTTTTTGTATGGAGATAGTTGGAGGGCTGAGGGAGATTACTTAATTCCCACGGGAAAACGTGTTATAATACAATCCAAAAAAATATTTGTGATCAGAATTATTTGAAACTTGGTATTAATGTAATGCTCTTCAATAAAATTAAATAAATACGTGTTTTAGCATTTTTCGAAATTGATCTTATAAGGGGATGAAAGTTTGTATGAAACTACCTTTTTAGAGATTTTTTTGTAGTTTTAGCGCGAGCGAAGCCGCGGGTTCTGCTGGTTACAAATAAATAATAACATTTAATCAACCAGGTTACGTAGCGGAAGAGAAGTTGGCGATAGCTCAGCAGTACTTAGTGCCGACAGCACGCAAGAACTGCGGCCTCTCGGAGCAGCAGCTGGAGCTGACGCCGGCGTCGCTGCACGCGCTCATCAAGTCCTACTGCCGGGAGAGCGGGGTCAGGAATCTGCAGAAGCATATTGAAAAGGTGGGGTTGGGTTTTGGTTTAGATTGCTGTGTTGTTTTCTTATATTGGACTGTTTTTGTGGACTATTAATTTTTGATATTTTTTAGTACAATTTAGTGACTCGCCCTCGCCTTCGTTCCCTAAATACGTACACGTAGCGTTGCTGCAGTTTAATAGATCTTTTTAAAATAAAATAATTACCTAATATCCGGCAGTATGATTTTAAAGACAACTTCAACAATCGTCATTTCCAAGCTAATTTACATTTGGTGTATAAGGTGTAGGGAATATTATTGTATACTTTTTGTTTATAGTATAATCATGTATCTTTTTACTTAATTTTTTAATGTTAAAATTTAAAGTACCTAATCTACATACGATATCTTCATTTTGAATCAAAGATCAATAGATATTTTTTTTTATTATAGACACTTCCAGGTAAATTTCTAAGAAATCTAATGTTAACTGTAACGCCGGCGTGTCCACGGTCGTGGAGGGATTAAATAAATTATATATTATATAAGTCATCGCTATACTAATGGAGCGAGCAGAACCACAGGTAACAACTAGTGGATTAATAATGAAAACCTTTCCAGATCGCACGTAAAGTGGCCTACAAAATAGTAAAGCAAGAAGCAGAGAAGATGTCGGTTACAGATGAGAATCTGGCGGAGCTGGTCGGCAAGCCCACGTTCAAGCACGATCGGATGTACGACATCACCCCGCCGGGGGTGGTTATGGGCCTGGCCTGGACTGCTATGGGTGAGTGGGAGTGGGAGTAGGGGGGTTGGGATACGGGCAATTACGAGTTTTGTCATAGCGAGGGGGGGAAGGGGTGGAGGTCATTAGGCCATATACATATAATTACACTTTGAGGATCACCGCCATCTATCTTATATAAAAGAAAATAAAATTGCCAAAATTGAGGATAATTTGGAGATGGAGTATCTGTACTAGAATAGTATTATATATTCTGTGCCAGAACTAACAATAAAAAAATTGTTTTTTTAAAAAGTACCATAAATTATTTAAAATGATTTTGATAGACGAGTCAGTATACTATTTTAATTAAAACAAATATTACACACTAATCTTATATTTTCTCTATTCTACGTGACATTGGCGAAGTAATCTGTGCTCAACTGGCACGCTTTGAAGCCATTAACAAGACAATGGAATTAAATTAAATAATAATTATTGCAGGTGGCAGCACTTTGTATATAGAAACAGCTCTCCGCAATACAATGAAGGAAGAAAAGGTGTCCCAAGGCTCGCTGGAGCTGACCGGACACCTTGGGGATGTGATGAAGGAGTCTGCCCGCATTGCTCTCACCGTGGCCAGAAACTTCCTGGCTGAGCACTATCCTGATAACCAGTTCTTAAATACTAGGTGAGGATGCTGATATGGTAAAGTGTGAGTCGGATTTGAGTGATGGGCTTCAGTTAATTAAATTCAGTTAATAATAGTAGTATAGATTAAGATACTTATAACAGATCTGAAATTTTTCCTTGTTTTATCGATTTTAACTTTAAAAAAATGAAACTGTTTAAAGTAAGTATGACTTGATACCATTGAGCTGATATGATGGTGGTGCCAGCAAGTAGATAGTTGTTTCGTTATATTAATTATATTTAACTAAAAAATATATATTTATAATTATTTAATTGTATATTTATATAAAACAATTGGTTCGAATGAAGCATCGATATATAAAAACACAATTCCTAACAAGTATATTTTTAAAAAGTGACATCGACATGTGACGTTAAATCAAACCAAACAATTAAAATCAAAAGTCCTAATTGTCTAAACACAAATTCGTACTTACGCACACCACATATAGTACTTTTTTAAATGAAACAACCAATTTTAATTTTGTCATCCGAAAAGCAATGAACAAAAGAGATTTGAAAAAAGCGCATCAAAAAAACATCGGATATTTTTTGTCGTTGATTGTGTATCTAGCTTTTTTTTTAACTTTTTTGATTGATGTATATACATATTATACACTGTAGTATTTTTAAGTAATACATACATACATAATAATAAAATATTAATCTAATTTCATCTCCAGTCATCTACACTTACACGTGCCAGAAGGCGCGACCCCTAAGGACGGTCCGTCGGCCGGCGTCACTGTCACCACGGCGCTACTGTCGCTAGCCCTACAAAGACCCATCCGCCCTCAACTTGCTATGACCGGGGAGGTCTCGCTCACTGGTCGTGTGTTGCCCGTGGGCGGGATCAAGGAGAAGATTATTGCTGTAAGTACTCTTTAGTGGTTCTCAAATAGTGGTCCGCGGAACCCTAGGGTTCCGTGGAAGGGTCAGGGGTTCAGAGTTCCGTCCAAGAGTTAAATAAAACGTTGTCAGACACAAAGCCTAGCTTTAGTGCTTTTATTTAAAATAGCACTTGGGATTTGAACCTGCTTCAATTAAAAATTAATATAATCTTAATAAATTTAAAAATATATATTTTTTAAATCATTTATATTTTATTCCAAGGCTAAACGAGTGGGAGTGACGTGTGTGATCCTCCCGGAGGAAAATCGCCGCGACTTCGACGATTTGCCTTCATTTATAAGGGAGGGCATTGAAGTGTACTTTGTTAATGAATATTCGGATGTGTTCAAAATCGCCTTCGACCAACAACAGGTGTAGTTTTTTTATAAGTAATATTAGTTAGTTATTTGTGTAACTTTGTTTGTAAAGAATTGTTTGTAAGTAATTTGTTTTATGCAGTTTTGATGTATGTGTAGTTAGTCTTTTTAATTGGATTTTTTTTTTAGTATATATATAGTAAAGTATAAAATATAAGAGGCATTTTTGATACTATCGCTGAAACAAATGTTATTTTTTTTAATATTTTTATTAATTGATATTATAAAAAAAAATATTCGTTTAGTAAAGTTGAGATTTTAACTGGAAAAATATTACTAAGTATAATAATAACCGTTTTCCAAAAGTAAAGTTTTAAGACTATAGACTACTTTTTTTTGGGAATGAGAATATACATAATATGTAGATACTACATTATTTTAATCAGCTTGATAACTGTCAAAAGTGATCTTTTAGAACCTATAATGTTATTCAGAGTTGATAATAAAAGGATGTAGTTAAAGAGTTTAACAACATATATGAAATTCCTTATATTTGGCTAAAATTTATTGGCTTAATTCATGTGGTAATTTTAAACCTGTATTATTTATATATTTTGTCGACACGTTTGGCTCAGTTTGTAGTGATAGAGTTGTACTTGCTGTGCCAGCGGTCGCGCGTTCGAGTCCCGCTGGGGGCATTCATTATAATATGTATGCATTTAAAGTTATATATGTGTAGTGTATCAATCTATCTTGTATCCATAACACAAACCTCTTAGCTTACCATGGCGCCGGCCGTGTGCTAATGTCTCAACATATTATATTAATTATTATTATTTTTAGTCTTATGACCTATTCCTCAAACAAAAATATTTAAGTAGGTGCCACTGACTTAAAAGGCACGTTAATTAATAATCTTAAACTCCCATCTATGTTTTCAAAAAGTTTATTTGGAAACTTTTAATTTTTTGAATTGTTTTTCCTTATGGTTTCCAATTTGTAGTATTTAATTTCCATTTTCCTTTCATTTATCATATATATAGACTGCTAAATGTACATTGTTATTATATATAACTAGCAACTGACTCTTACTTCGCTCATTTGTTGTTGTTCGTTTAGAGATGCATAGAGGACAAACATACAAACATTCGTTTTCATTTATATAGATAGATTATGAAAAAGAATGTATGTAAATAATAAATTTTGCTCGAATGTGGTTAAATATGGTAACATGTTTGTTTTATTCCATACATATTTTTCATTAGTCATTAATATATATCACTGCCACTGCCTTAAACAAAAAAAAAACTATATATTTGAAGTAAATATTTTCTCTTGTACTAAATCATTTAATCAAAAATTGAAACCTACAAAACACATTGCAAATGAAAGATTATTAGAATATCCTTAATTTGCAATAAAATATGTAAATGTCCATATAAAAGACTTCTAGATTATTGTATGGAGGTTATTGTTTGTTTTATAATTTAATGTAATTTATCCATAAACAATAAGCACGGTGAATGTTATTAAAAATTAGTTAATTTTATGTTGGTTTTTCCTATATTATCCTTTTTTCATTAGATATTCCTTTAGAAATTTAGATAATTCATTTTTATGTAGCTGTTTGTAGCTTATTATTTTAGATTTATTTTATTAAATTTTTATTATAAAGTTTGAATATTTTGCTAAAAGCTTTCCAAATAGTTGTGTTCTGAGAAAATTGAATTCTTGAATTGAAAATGACTATCGTGCTTGCGTACTTCGGGTTCGATTCCCGCACAAGTTAAACAATATGGACACTTAAGCTGGTGTGAAGATAACTAAATGTTTTTTGTCTATGCCATAAAAAGTGGCAGAATTAGAAAAAATCTCATAACTGACTGGCTGGATGAACTTTTATTACAGTTCAGTTTTATTAGTCTGTTTCAAAACACAGACTGTTTTGATATGTATTAAATGTCTATATAATACTAGATATATTATAAAGATATGTTTTAGTTGTTTACATAGAATGTTTTTAAAATGAGCAGCTACTTAATGTTTATTTTATTTACAACTAGCTAGCTGCGCTCGGATATATCCCTAGGTATGTTTTAATTTTTTTCAGCGGAACCCTAATACTTTTTCTGAAATAAAAGTCGTCTAAGTTACTGCTTCTACCATCAGCTATCTGCCAGTGAAAGTCTCCTCAAAATCAGTCCAGCCGTTTCGGAGGTTAACTATTAAAAACAGACACAAAAAATTTAAAAATTGTATTTTTAATAAAATTACCATGTATGTATACTTTTATATGCATTTAGTAAAAAGCTGTTATTTTTACGTTACAAACAGACAACTTTATTTATCTGTACAGATTTTAGTATAAATAATAATGTTTGCTGTTGTAGAGGAGAGTCGGGAAAGTGCAATAAGTTTCACACAATCTGACATCTGAACCAAGATTATCTATGAATGGGAATTAATAGAAGATAACTGCAGTTATGTTTAATTCAAATTTTATTTTAATAAATAATTACATCATTAAAACATTTTGTTTTATTATTGTTTAGATAACTTTCGAACTAACTAATTTCAAGTATATATGTATACAATATTTGCCATTATCTTTAAAATATACATACATGTTGTTTATAACTATTAAAAACTATTTTCACTACTTCTTTAAAGCCTCTCTCGCATCATCAAGTAACTGTAATAAAACAGGGTATACTTCATCATATGTAGTAATTTGATTTTGTCTGATGTGATTTTGATATCTCTGTAAAGCTCCAGCCACAAATTCTATTCTGTCCCTTTCGTTTTTATGTGAATCTAACCACTGGACCAGTTTCTGCATGTTCCAACCTGCACAGGTGTGTGGTGCGAGTAATTGTGGGCCTCCATGTGAAAACAAGAACATCATCACTAATGAATAAGGCAAAGCACCACCTTCATTTTGGCTCTTAGCTATCTCCTGAGGAGTTTTTTCTAAAAGTAAACTCAAAGCCTTTAATTGACGGTAATGATCACCAAGTTCCGCTATCTCATTCACTAATGGAGATAAACAAGTCTCCAAATGCCTGCAATCAACCTGTAATTTTGCACGTCCATATTTACTTATGGGTCGAACATTGCATACATGTAGAATGAATCTTTCAATGCAAGACTTTGAAATATTCATGCAGCATTCGTTTAGTGCTGATTTTTCATCGAACATAGATAGATAGATATCTTTGCACCTTGACACAAAATGTTGCAGTTCTTTCATGTATGGTGAACATGATATATTTTTATTACTTGGATCATCAGCTCGTATTAAATCCCCTTCATCATGCAGGGTCATCAAAATGATGTACAGAGAATTTTTAATCGATTCAGAAAAAAGATTAAGAATGGGCGAACTCGAAATGCCCTTGAGACTGTTTTGGACTATTTGTACACTCTCTTGTGGAAGCATCGAGTTCATGTTTACGAGGACTCTTTTAATTTGTGATGAGAAATAATATAATCTATTACATAGATCAGCATTCTTTTGTTGTGAACTGGTTGGGGCTTCAATAATTTGGGCAACATCACTATCCATTGACAGCCTTTGTTCAGCCTCGACAGTCATCTGCTTAATACTTTTAGCAACACTATTTGCTAAACTTATACTCAAGTTCTTATCACCCAGAGATATGCTTAATGCTTCTGCTATGACTCTTATTGCATTATCAATTTGATCCGTAGTTGGCACCTGGTTTAAATGCCACATACTTCTGACTGGTTCTAAAAGTTTGCCTAAGGATTTTGATAAAAATGAGTTTTCCCATTTAGTCAAATAGGCCCTGTTTACTTCTAAATCTTTACATTTTAATCTAGAAAGCAAGTCATTGAAACACTTTAACAATTTTGGAAAATCAATTTCAACAGATTGACTTACTGTTGATGGGCTTTTTTCTAATTCTTTACTAAAAATTTTTGATAATTCATTCCAAAAGTTACTCGCAATTTGTCTAAAATTTCCAATTGCATGTAGTTCGTTGACTACATTTTGCAACATAATCACCTTCATGCAGCTGTTGTAAATGTCCACTTTAAATAGCTTTTCAATGTTATCCCAGAGCTTAATATTAAAATCTTGAGCATTCATTATATTGGCTTTGCCTGGAGCAATGCGACCTGAGCTTGATTTTTTAACTTCAATAGATACCATTTGCACATTTAGGGCATTTGTGATCTCTTTTTTCAAGTCCTTAAGTATACAGTCTACAGTTTTTTTAATTTGTTCTTCAGTGCATTGTAGGTTATGAAATACTTTAAAACACTGTAATAGTTTAGTTTTATCTCCACTTAATAAACTAGACTGCAACAACTCTGTGGAATTACTTATTAAATCTTTTCTCTTAATATCTACTTCTTTTAATATATCTTCAAGCAAAATAATTCCTTCAAAATCATAGTCACTAATCAATTCGTCCAGTTCAAATAAGACTATAGCTTCTTTGGCTGGATTATCTTTTATTGCATTAAGTTTATCCCACAAAACAAGTATTTTGGATGTATGACGGAGAAGATTACAAGTTATTTGAACTCGTTCAAGCATTGTAGTTTGTTCTTCTAATACGCAGAAAGGTTTATGAATCCGTTCTTTCAGTTTTTGTGATGTTTGCAACAATCCTTGTATTTGGGAACGGACGGTCGCTAACATAGCCTCAAGTTCAGATATATTGCTTGCTTGAGTCAACAGATCATTATGTTTTGCGAGAACTTGTATTTCTAAGCTTTTTGATAATTTATCGATGGCCTCGTTAAGTTTATTGACTTGTTCTGTTACCGATATGTTTCCTTCAACAATCGTTTTTACTGAATCTGTCAAAAACTTACTGTAAAATTCGTCATTTTCTATTTCTATACATATGTCTTTTGCTTCCATTTTTTATAGTTTTTAGTATTAATCCCTCCACGAACACGGGCACGCCGGTCACACGTGCCAGTTATCAATATATTTCTTAAAAATTTACCTGGAGGTGAGACTATTTATTTCCATAATATTTTTTTAATTCACTTTTATCCTCCTAAGTGTGTAGTCTAGAATCTAGATTAGACATGCGTTTCTAGATATACCGTGACGTGACTGTCAAAATGACGTCTTATGTTATATGACTGTCATCCATTGATTACGTTTACGACCGTTTTTTGACAACGTCATCACGACAGAGGCAGGGTGACCGTCTCAAAAATGGCAAATCTGCCCGACTCTGGCATTTTTTTCCAGAAAATGGATAACATATGCCATCCTATTATTGCATCCATGGAGACGGGTATGAATAAATATATACTACGTATTCAAAGGAATAGGGAATATGCATGCGATTTAAATAAAGGTGAAATATTTTTTTATAATCTTTATTGCTTTTGAATTAAGCCTATCTCAATAGTTTTAATGTAATTTCTTTTTGATTAAGAAAATAAATATTAAAAAGTACAAATATATGTGGGAAAATTAAAGTAGTTGAAACGCACGCCATTGGTCAGACCGAATATGACGTCAAAGCGCGCGAAATGGCGGGCGTTGAAACTTTACTCAACTAGACTTATTACAAGTACTTTTGAATCGTCAATTTAATGAAAGCGTCAGTGTAGTCAGTCCGTGAGGAAGCTACCACCGACTCGGAAAGCAGTTCTGCTGAGAAAAACCAGCAAGAAACTCCACAGTTGCTCTTAAATATAGAGGTTACAATGATTTTATTAACATAAATTTATAGATAGTCTGCATATGAGTCAATATCACTCAATTCCACACATTTTCATCAACAAGAAACCCTTAAACAGTATAATACGCTTTGCTCAAAAAAATTATTATAGTTTATTTTTATTTATAGTTTATTTTATTATATAGTTTATTTTTTTATGCTAAACTTTAGTTTTTTTGAGCTGGATATTTTTTACAATTACGTATATAACAATGTTAGCTATTGTATAAAATAAAAAAAAAACACGTATATTCCCTATACCTTTATTCAACCTGAAATATTTCATAAACATTAATTTAAAAGTGGTTCAGTTATATTAATAAGAATATAATAAATAAACCGTATTATTGATTTATTACCGTTCATAATCATATAGCGTACCTACAAAAATAAAATAAACGGGAAATCCCCGCACTATCTGGCATGGGACAAAGTTGCCAGCTCAGTAAAAAAATTCCTACCAAATAAATGCGTAATAAAAAATAAAATAAATAATAAGATACAGAAAATGATAAGTATTCTATTTGAATTTTAAAAATAATAAAGATTTCCTTGAAATCTGCCAAATTCTGCCACTTTTATGAATCGTCAACTTAGTGTGTCAGTTAAAATTTAGGTGCCAAATCTACTCAAATGGCAGAAATCTGCCACAAATGGTCATATTGGACAGAAGGTTTAAACCATAGACTCAAGAAAGAATAAAATAGCCTTTAGGTAGATTTATTTAAAGACACTAACAGACATTAATGAATAGTGATGCTATAAAGAAAAAAAATTAGTGATGTTCTCACTAGTTTGTCATCATCAACGTCGTATTGAATTAATTAGTGATGGGTTAAGTAATTTTATTATTTTCAGGAAACTATTTGATGTATTGGAAAGAAAAATTACATAATGCAATATATAACTGTATAGCTCAGACCAATAAATAAACTGTAAAAAAACATGTCATTTCAGTAGATGTTACGTGGTTACATCATAATGCTTATATTATTAGCAAAGACGAGATTTGTTATAGTAGTAGTGGAGACACCCCATCCTATACAAAATGAACGACCCTAATTCAGGCCGGTTTTGTTAGTTTCGGAAGTCAGAAGGCGTTGATCCGTAAACTGTAGTATTACAAATATGTATATACAAAAATGTGTAAAATATAGCAAAATTCATTCTGCATTTAATAAAACAAATTTCATGTACTATCTATTGACATTTATTTGAACTAATTTTTCTGTGCACCCTTTGAGATCCAACGCTATTATTAAAGATATTAGATTCAAATAATATATACATCCTAAAGTCAAGAGATATAAGAGTTCCTTATAATAAACTTCTAAATTATAAAGTTCCACAACCCAAATTATTGATGTGACTCGGAAAGCTGCCAGGCTGAAATAGTACCGTGCTGGTCACGTTATCCGGATACCAGATGATCTTTGGGCTAAACAAACAACTTGAATCCCCCAACACAGCAGACGAGAACGTTGTAGGCTCAGACGGAGATGGCAGGATAAATTGGACTCCTTTGAGAGAGACTGGTTTATTATGGCGAAAGATAGAGAACAGTGGAAGGAGAGCAGGGAGGCCTTTGCCCTGCAGTGGGATACTACAGGCTTATAATAATAATACCTAAGTATTGCAAATTTAATAAGTAAAATACGGTATTTTGTATCGATCTACATTAGAATTAATATTTAAAGAAAACACGGTAATCATATCTTGCGTAAACTAAAAATGACGAAGGCATTAGATATATTTTACTATGAAAAATAAATAAAAAACCAAATTTGTTTTGCCAATTTTATTTATGTCAATTAGCACAAGTTGTGCTGCTTTACAGATATCCATTTAAAATTATCTACTATTTCCAACGATTGTGCAGTACCAACGAACTCGGTTTCATTTCAGAAAAGTTAATATACACAGAAATAGATTACAAATAGGTAGTTGTACAGATAATATAAAATATATCGTAACAAAATTATAAAAATAATCACATAAAGTCGTTTACACTTTCCCATGGCAAAAATTCTCAGGCTGACATAACATTGGCAGCTTGGTTTTAAATTATACGATTTAATATTACACATTTATTCTAAACTAATGTACACAGTATTTTATGTAACTTAAATCTAATCAAAACTGTCAAAATCATAAAATAAAATGTTTCATAAAAATTCGTTTGTTTTCATTGTACCTATTTTCTATGTGACTATAAGTATTTGTAAAGGTGTCAGCGTCACTCAAGAGACACTATTCTAAATAAAACAAACGCTCAAATAAATTCATCAATATCTAGCACGTGAAATATATTTAAAACATATTTAAAAAAATATTTGCATTGATCAGTAGAAGCCAAAAAAAAACATTTAAAAGAATAAGTAATGACACAAAATGGATGTGCGCTTGATAAAAAATTAAACGTGTTGTTAGTTTTAGGTTTTTTTATTACGTATTAAAAAAAATAGGAAATAGAGCTTCATATGGTTTTATGTAGAAATTATGAAATTGTATAAGTATAAAGATATTTTTTCTAATGAGAAGCATTGGCTTAAATGTAAAATTTCTAAGCTTACAACAGTAGAAAACTTCAACAACTTACCATTACTTCATTTGCAAATGTTTTTTAGATTTTAAAATAATTTGCATAATAGATAGTAAATATTACATTTTTATAATATATATTGAATATCAAATTGTTTTTATAATACAATATGTAACGTATTGAAGAAAAATACGTTAATACAAGCATTTATTATGTGAAGCTGCTCATTGTTAAAATTAAAACAACATAAAGGAAGTTCAATTTTTTTCATAAAATTATTATCTTTTATGTGTACTGAAAAATCTATGTTTGACATTAAAAACACAAAAATGGCAACACAGTTTTTTATACAATTACAAAATATTTGTATGCCATAAAGTTTAATGTAAATAGATTTCATCATATTTCATTAATAATAACATGCAACAAGCACATTAAGTTTAACTCAACTATTGATAAGTTTAACTTTAATGAATCACTCCACTATCTATGTCGATTTATTCAAATGAGATGAGCTGTGACCAATTACTAAAAGTATAATAAATCTGGAGTAGTATTTTAAAATTATATGAAGAATTAAATATTTAAATATTAAATGGAGAAGAACGCACACAACCATTGCTTTAGCACCCTCCACTTATGCATAAATATTTACTGTCAGCAAATAAAACCTATATTAATTTGAATAGTAATAGAAGAGTCTTAAATATAGATATTTAATTTAAAAGTTTTACAATATTATGTATCTCTGGTAAAAGTAGCTAATATTTTATAATGTATCAGTTTACATTTTTTATTCTTCTAACACGGTACTGTTGCCTTTAGTCTATTATGATCTTATCAATGTTGCCATTAATAATTTAAAAAAAAAACAACAAAAGTTGTAGTTTTAATAAAAAAATACTCAAATATGAGGCATATGTAGCTTAAAAATAAATCCGAAAGTTAAAAAGTCAATTCATTTAACCTCCACTCAACAAACAACAGCTGCATCCGTCAGCACTTAACATTTCTAAATTGATATATCTATCTAGTAAAAGATAAGTGAATAGCGTAAGCTTATACTCATTAATTTGAAAAACTTCTCCCTTATACCAACATTCAATTAGTATAAAAATATGTGAAAAGATCTGTCAACTTTTTACACAAAATGCCAGTGTTACCATGTTTAGAAATGTTATAAAAAAAATTCCTATTAATTTTATGTGTTAAATTGAATTAATAAGAGTAATTATTTCATTATATTATTTTTTTATTTATTCATGAAATTTTTTATTGGAATTATTTAGATCTGCATTAGTTGTCATTGTCATCTTTATATGTATTTAAGCCTAGAGTAAAATATGAAAATTCATTTCAAATTCATACAATGATTTGATATAGCGTTCCTCAATAACATTTACAAAGTACCAAGAAATCCGATACTTAGTGTTAAATTATGAAGTCATTAATAGAGTAGTAAAAGATTTATCAAAGATTTCTTTATGGCACTATTACAAAATTGATAAAGAAATGCAGAACTAAACAAAACCACTACATGTACGTTATTGGATAAGGGAGCTGAAGTAAAGCCCCAGGGTCTTATTAGAAAATGATATTCAAAAAATGTATTTTTTTTTTAAATAAGCGTACATTTAAAATTACGTCGGGCGCCGAGTTTGTTCCCCCTCCTGTACTTTTTGCCGCGGCTTTCCTTGTCTTTGCGAATTTCACGGACTAGCGTGTAGAAGGCATCATCTACGCCCATCCGAGTTTTAGCTGACGTCTCTACGAATGGTACACCATAACTCCGTGCAACCTGAAATTTTAAAATATATAATTGAAAAAAAGGCAGACATACAGGTATCTAAAAATAATAGTCCCGTCATGTAAGAGGGCGCTGTGAAGTATATATACGTCAAATAATACTATTTAACTATTATTAGTAATTATGAAAGGCATAAAGAGAGTGAGAGAGAGGACAGTTACTAGTGGATATTTTATTCCATTAATATTATAAATGCGAAAGTTTGGATGGATAGATGTTTGTTTCTCAATTACGCCAGAACGGCAGAACGGATCGCGATGTTTGGCACAGAGATAGATTATTGTCTGTAATAGGTTAATTTTTATCCCGAAAAAATGTACGGTTCCCGTAGAATAAATTTGTTTTTGTTGTTAACAAACTAATTTGACAAACATATTTGCATATTTATATATGAAAACTTAAATTAATAGCATTGATGTAGGTATATTCTAACATTACTATACTTTTACTATATATATTTTTACATATTACGATATTTGTTACAATACAAATGGGAATGACTCACATACATTTGTGTAATTCAATTGGTGTAATATCATCCCATGCTTACAGTTTATTGAGATAGGATTTATTAATTTATTATCTACTGTTTCATATTTAATGAGCAACATTGCAGTTGAGTCATTATCATAATATTTCATATATGAACAACAACATTTGTTTTTGAATGAGACATGGTCTAGTTTCTCTTTTTCAACCGACTTCAAAAAGGAGGAGGTTCTCAATTCGACTGTATGTTTTTTTTTTTTTTTTTTTTTTTTTTATGTTTGTTACCTCAGAACTCCGCCATTTATTAACCGATTTGGACAATTTTTGTTTTGTTTGAAAGGGTAGACTTCCAGATTGGTCCCATTTAGATTTCAAAAAAAAATACCACCCCCAAGGGTGGAAAAACAACTAATAATGAATTTAACCTACTTCTAATTGTCATATTGACTTGAAACTTTGCAAGTATTTCTATTTTCGTTGATAGTACAGTGGTTCGGTGTTGTTGACCTGATCTGATGGCAAGGCCAGAAGGTGGATAGGTGGAACTCTTCAACGGCTAATAGTAGATACTTTGAGTTTGGGCTTATTTTGTTTGATTTGACAAGCCTAACACGTTAGAATCCTTACTTTGCTACTACTGTCTACACTAAAAAGGGAAAAATAAAAACTTTTTAACAAAAAAATAAAAACCGACTTCAAACAAAAGCACTAAAAAGTGAAAAATAACTGATTGGTATTTTTCATTTACTATACATACCTAATCAAATATTTTCGAAGTCGGTGTGCTTTGGCTAAGTAATTAAAGCCTACCTATTAAATACATACCTAATCAAATATTTTCGAAATCGGTGCCAGCCCATACAAAGCAAAGCACACAGACTTCGAAAATATTTGATTAGGTATGTATAGTAAATGAAAAATACCAATCAGTTATTTTTCACTTTTTAGTGCTTTTGTTTGAAGTCGGTTTTTATTTTTTTGTTAAAAAGTTTTTATTTTTCTTTTTCTTTTGATTTCTGTTACATGGCAATATGTTTATAAGCACTAAGCCAATCCTGTGTTAGAATTGCTATGGCTAATTAAAGCAAAGAAGCATCCATTTATGTGTCCCTCGCAGTGTGGCTTGAAGCGGTCAACTAGGCTCGATACACTATGTCTTTTCAGAAAAAAGAATTGTGCTTCTTCGGCGCCCTTGAGTTCCGACTCTAATTCATTGATGTGGGCTGCCAGATGATTCTGATACTTTTTACTGAAAGTATTTCTTTGTTTGACCGTGCTCAATTTTAGATCTACGTTTATATATTTGTTTTTTCTACAAAATATGGTATATCGAGTATGGTTCGCAGCGTCATGGTTTGAAATCTTTCTAGGATTTTAACCTTGTTGTTACTAGCAGTTCCCCATATTGGATGCCGTATGTCCTAATTGTTTTTATAATTGTTTTATAGATTAGTATTTTGTTGGTTGGAGATAGCGGTGAGAGTCTTCCAGTTAGCCAACAATAATTTTCTGTAGAGTTGTTTCCGTTTGGTCTAATTATGTTTACGCAAGGTGAGTCGTTTGTCAAGGTATATTCCGAGGTATTTAGCACCTTCTGACTGCGGGACTTCAGTATTATATATGCTTAATCCTCCACGACCGCGGACACGCCGGCGTAACAGTTAATAATAGATTTTTTAGAAATTTAATTAATTTCTTAGAAATTTACCTGGAGATGTTAAATGAAGTACAAAGTTGTTTTTAAGTGTGAATGTTACATGTGTCGATTTGTTTTGGTATATTTTCGTACACCATTTATTAAACCACTCTTCGACTCTACTCAAATGTGCCTGTAGGTTTGGTAATGCTGAGTTAATACCATGATGCTTAGTGGTCCATGGTCTAATAAAAATATTTTCCTAAATAAATTATACAACTTTCATACAATATTAAGTGATGTGAGTTTGAGTAGTACAAGTGTCTTTGAAGTAAAACTTCTTTTAAAGCCGCGTTCACACGATCAGTACTTGACAAAGTAGTTTTGAGGACTACTTTGACGCTACTTCGGATGTGGACTTGAAACGTGGACGTTAATCAAAGTGGATTTGGACGGTGTTCTACTTTTTTCAAAGTCTGCTTTGACAAAATAGTTTTGATAACTACTTTGATCGTGTAAACGAGCAATCAAAGCGCACTTTGATGTCGGCGTTCAATCAAAGTGGACTTTATCAAAGAGCACTTCGTTTCAAAGCTTTTTGTCAATGCTACTTTGTCAAAGTAGACTTTGATCGTGTAAACGCGGCTTTATCAATTTATTTTAAAGTCATACATTTATGTATATGTGACACATTGTTGAAACAATGTAACTAATGTCAGGATATAAGTAAGCAAAGCCTTTGTAATATTTTAATCTAAATTCAATTACAGTCGTTATGATTCAGAGCAAGTTTAATAGTAATATTAAGATAACAATTTAGATGATTAAATTATTATACATGATTCACGATTATAATGCTAAAAACAATAAAATAAATGGAAAAAGATCAAATATAAATATATATATATATATATATATATATATATATATATATATATATATATATATATATATATGTGGGGGTTATTGATAGATGTAAATTGATAGAGTCTACTGAGAATGTTTTAAATGCTTGATTTATTAGAAATAAACTGCTATATTAAAATGATTAAAATGATATGATGTGAGCGCGCCCGGGCTTCTTGCTTGCCGAATGCGAACTAGCCTAACTTTTAGAATAATAATTAATATATAATGGAATAAATGACGCGTCATGAGAAAAAATGAATAATTACAATATGTACGGTTGCACCGTACAATATATGACTCTAGAAATCTATATTATCCTAAAAAAATATTTCGAAAAATAAAAAAGATCCGACTGAGTAAAAAGCGAATTAAAGAGATGAAAACAAATCGACGAAGGAACATAGTATTATGCAGTGGGAGACATACATATACTTAGAATAACTATGTATGTACCTAGGTACGTTTTAATTTTTTTGAGCAGAACCCTAATTCTATTTCTAATATAAAAGTACCTCAGTTGATCCTTATATAACATCAGCTATCTGCTAGTGAATGTTCCGTTAAAATCAGTCCAGCCGTTTCGGAGACTAGATGGAACAAACAGACAGACATTTTTTTTATAATATATATAATTTCATATGCATTTAGTAAAAAGCTGTTATTTTGACATTACAAACAGACACTTCAATTTTATTTAACTGTATAGATATAATATGTTGAACATAATATTTTTTGTATATAATATTTTGTATATAATAATAGATATAATATGTTTAACATAATATATTTAATTAAAAAAATGATTTTACACATAGACACACTAAAAATAGTAAAAATATCCTACATATATTGTATAAAACTACTACTATCACTCAACATTCACTTATATTAGTCATTTTAATTTGACTTATTGAGTTATTAGTATTAAGTGTCTTGTGTTTGAGTGTTTATACACATATGTATTGTTTGATATATGTAAATTTTACTTTCTTAATATTAGAGTATGTTTAGTTATTTTTACAAGATAATAATGATAATATAACAATTTAGTCCTATTAAACACAACACTAGGTAATAGTCGACCATGACCACTTTATTACCAGCTTTTTACCAGTCATGGTCTCTCAAACATACTTGACACTTCTTCATGTTAGAAGTATGTAAGTGATACTCATATTGAAAACATCAGATATGCAACATCTATGTTTAAAGTTGTTTCACTTGATTTTCCAAGTGAATATATATTCGGTGTCACTGCTTAGAAAATAGATATATACTATTGGAGGCTTTTTGGAGACATATTGGATAAAGCAGCTTTTATTAAGCGACACTTTCCTGTTCTTGTTGATTGCTTATTTATCTTACGCTGACTTAACTATTATTTATATGCTTGTAGATGAAATGTAAAAATATAAATTAAATTCACGTAAATATGTACAAAATTTTGTTTGTGTGATATTATTACAAAATATTAAAATTCCAAGTTCTCTTTATTCTCTAAAAATATATTTTAATCAATTCTTTGTATACTTCTCATATATATGTTGTATTTATTCTTATATCATCATCATTTCAGCAATAGAACATTCATACAAGGCACATTCATACATAGGCTTCCTACAAAGATATCCACAACAGCCAGTCTTGTGCCATTACTATAAAATGTATGCACTTTTAAAAAGTTAAGAGAAACCAATAGCGATTTAATTTTTAACTAAAAGATCATATTAAGGGAGAGATTGTAGTTATATTATCATATTACATAGCAATTTAAATTTAAAAACAGATAAACATAACTGTTGTGACTAGCCCAGGTATAAATAAAATATATATAATGGTTAGATCATCCGTATTCTATTTGAGTGTTTCCATATAGGTAGGTATAAAATCTGGAAATATTGCAATATGTAAATATACTGAACTAGAATGGTAATATTACTCATTCACCTATAAATAAACATATATAATTGTAAGAGTTTATTAATAGATTTAAAAATAGAAATTATTTTTTTATCTTTATACATTTTAGTAAGTGAATTTGCATCGATCACAATAGATGATAAATGGTCGAAGTGATACCTATAGCTGACAGAAATTAAAAAAAAAGTAAATTTGCATATTGTTAGTGGAAATTGTTTTTAAAGCTTTTATTATGTAGACTATAGGTCTTGTATTAATTATTAGTCCATTAAGCGTACTTTAGATATAATACAAAAGTTAATAAAATAATATATGTATAGGATTTGTATTTTAAAGCTACATATTATAACAATTAAACTAAAACAAAAACTATGTTAAGAATTCAAGGGCATACATGATTTTTTACATATATGTATTTGTTAGAATAAAGAATAAAAACTTAATTTTTTTATAAATTGATATTAACACTAGTGGAATAATTCAAATAAACAATTGATATTATTTTTAGTCAATATGCAAGTCATTCTTTCTTAAGAGTATACAAAAATAATTTATATAAATGTACAAAAATAATTTATATAAATGATGTATAAATTAAAATTACAAGTAATATGTACATATGGTGTTTTAAGTAATTTTATTAGAAAGTAAAAGTCAAATTATGAAATAATGTAAATTAAATTTATCTTTAGATGCGGTATAGTAAACAAATAAACATACCTCCCGCGCCTGCGTCATATCGACAGCCCATGCTTGTAAATCGCACTTGTTACCCACTAATACCATGGGAACTTCCTCCGCATCCTTAACTCGTTTAATCTGCTCCCGGTACGACCCAATGTCCTCGAAACTCTTAGCACTGTTCACAGCGAAAACAAGTAAGAATCCTTCCCCTGTTCGCATGTACTGATCTCTCATCGCCGAGTACTCCTCTTGACCTGCCGTGTCCAAAATATCTAAAAGACACGTCTCCCCATCTATCACAACTTGCTTCCTATATGAGTCCTCTATTGTTGGATCGTATTCATCAACGAAATGGTTTTGTATCAGCTGTATAGTCAATGCGGATTTACCAACGCCGCCAGCCCCTACCACGACTAGCTTGTACTCGGTCATCTTGCGACGAGATAGGAGGAATATTTTTCGTAACACTGAACGTCACTGCACTAAGAAACAACGCCCAGACCGACACGCCACACCTTCGATATTACTCACATCGGCATGGCTGTCACGACCTGTTATGTATGTTTATTGCACTCACTGTACTAGTAAAACGGCTAATTAATGTATTATTAGAGTCAAATGCAATAAATAACAATGAGGCAGTTCACTCACCCTTCTACCACAGACTAAATAATTTTTGTTTACACGTGACATTACAGATTCCAGATTTTTAATGTATTTTAAAATAACTTAAAACATCATACATTATCAAATATATACCAACGATTTTCTCTTTTTATGTTATTAAAATAATTTTATCCTATTGCGATTTGTAAAATAATTGTTTGATGATCCAACAAATTCATTACTTACGTAGTTCATTAATTAGCATATAGAGGGCATTGTTAAGGATCCAGTAAGATAAGATAGAGTTGCATATTTTATTTTAAACAGGAATTTTACACATATTTTTAGTCCGAAAAAGATTAAACATTGTTTATAAAACAATGAAATTACATTACATCTATACATGTAATAAAATTCTAACTAAGCCGAATCTGTACATTAAATATTTTTTGGAAAATTTTATAGAAATAGACATTATTATCGATACAGAGGCCGAATCTATAGTTAATACTTTCTTAGATTTACGCGAATATTTGACATTTTAAATAAAACTATCTTTTCGGATTTTGTCGCGGATTTATTTGGATTTTTGTTTCCCGACGTTTCGAATGCTTTACAGCATCCATGGTCACGGGAGAGACTGAGGTGTTACATGTCTTGAATGTATAGTTGTTACAGACAGCCTACCCACAATTAACAAAATGAAAATTGCACCAATTACATTACAATATTTTTAACTTTAAACATTTTTATAATTTTAATTATAATTGAATATGGAAAATTATTTATTTAATTTTGCTATTATTTTATAATTATTACAATTTTTAAAATATTAATTAGTAATCTATATTTAGTGTTGCCATTATTATATTTATAACCATAAAGAAAAATATAAAATGTAGTATTAATTATTAAAGCCATATAATTGTTCTATGTGTAATTTAAAAAGTTAAAATTAATTAAGGACAATAATTTTAATTTAGTTTGCTATTATTTAAAAACAACTTACTAAGCAACACTATTAATATATACTTTTACAAATGAAAAATGAAAAATATTAGTCTGATAAGCTGTCATTTTGATCCACACAGTATGAACTTACTACATCTGCCTGTCTGTTATGTTTATATTTATTATTTGATTTTATTATATTAATAACAGGATCCCATGACGATGGTAGTACCCAGCCATCTTCCCTATTGAAATTAGGATGTTTTTTAATTTCTATGGCTTCTCGAATCATTCTAGGGCGATATCGGTTTTCTTTCGCCAGGATTTGAGGTCTATCGAAGCGAATATAATGGCTTGGGCGGTCCTGACTATGTTTGCAGACAGCAGATGTTGTATTGCGACGGTGCTTCACATCAGCTATGTGTTCTTTGACCCGGGTTCTAATGGATCTCTTTGTTTGTCCGATGTAAGAGAGCCCACAATCACAATCAAGCTTGTAAACTCCTGCATCTTGTAGAGGGATGTGGCACTTGACAGGTGGTAGAAACTGGCTAATTTTCTTTGGCGGCTTGAAGTAAGTTTTAATTGAAGCTCGCTTTAGAATGTAGCCAATCTTGTCAGTGACGCCTCTCATGTAAGGTAGGACTGCAGGGACGCGCTCGACTGTGGCTGGTTTCACTCGGTCCCTGTGACGTAGGCGCGGCACTTGCAGCTTGTTGTCTCGCAGAACTTGCTTGACATGTTGCAGCTCTCCGGCCAGGTGTTGCTCGTCACAGATCCCGCGTGCCCTCTGAAACAAAGATTTTCCCACGGTAGCTAACTGTGAAGGGTGGTGGTGAGATTCACCATTCAAGTACCTATCAGTATGGGTCTTCTTTCGATACACAGTATGACTTAAGGTGTTATCTGGGTTACGTATAACTAATACATCTAAGAAAGCTAAAGAATTATTAGACTCCAATTCCATTGTAAATTGTATTTTAGGGTTTATGGAGTTAAGATGTTCTAAGAATACAGATATTTTATCAGATGGTAATATTGTGAAAGTGTCATCTACATACCGCTTGTAGAAACGAGGGGTCACAGGTGATGTGTTTAGGGCGGTCTCCTCGAAGGCCTCCATGAAGATGTCAGCTACAACGGGAGAGACCGGCGAACCCATGGCCACTCCATCCACTTGCTTGTAGAATTCATCATTCCACAATAGATAGCCAGATGTAAGGCAGTGTTTCAAAAGTTCAGTGTATTCTTCTTGCATACTATTATCCAGTAGCTTTCTTGATACTATTTGAAATAGTATCAAGAAAGATGGAATGGATCAATCGCGAAGCGATGGAAAGGATCAATGGAATTGGAGTCTAATAATTCTTTAGCTTTCTTAGATGTATTAGTTATACGTAACCCAGATAACACCTTAAGTCATACTGTGTATCGAAAGAAGACCCATACTGATAGGTACTTGAATGGTGAATCTCACCACCACCCTTCACAGTTAGCTACCGTGGGAAAATCTTTGTTTCAGAGGGCACGCGGGATCTGTGACGAGCAACACCTGGCCGGAGAGCTGCAACATGTCAAGCAAGTTCTGCGAGACAACAAGCTGCAAGTGCCGCGCCTACGTCACAGGGACCGAGTGAAACCAGCCACAGTCGAGCGCGTCCCTGCAGTCCTACCTTACATGAGAGGCGTCACTGACAAGATTGGCTACATTCTAAAGCGAGCTTCAATTAAAACTTACTTCAAGCCGCCAAAGAAAATTAGTCAGTTTCTACCACCTGTCAAGTGCCACATCCCTCTACAAGATGCAGGAGTTTACAAGCTTGATTGTGATTGTGGGCTCTCTTACATCGGACAAACAAAGAGATCCATTAGAACCCGGGTCAAAGAACACATAGCTGATGTGAAGCACCGTCGCAATACAACATCTGCTGTCTGCAAACATAGTCAGGACCGCCCAAGCCATTATATTCGCTTCGATAGACCTCAAATCCTGGCGAAAGAAAACCGATATCGCCCTAGAATGATTCGAGAAGCCATAGAAATTAAAAAACATCCTAATTTCAATAGGGAAGATGGCTGGGTACTACCATCGTCATGGGATCCTGTTATTAATATAATAAAATCAAATAATAAATATAAACATAACAGACAGGCAGATGTAGTAAGTTCATACTGTGTGGATCAAAATGACAGCTTATCAGACTAATATTTTTCATTTTTCATTTGTAAAAGTATATATTAATAGTGTTGCTTAGTAAGTTGTTTTTAAATAATAGCAAACTAAATTAAAATTATTATCCTTAATTAATTTTAACTTTTTAAATTACACATAGAACAATTATATGGCTTTAATAATTAATACTACATTTTATATTTTTCTTTATGGTTATAAATATAATAATGGCAACACTAAATATAGATTACTAATTAATATTTTAAAATTGTAATAATTATAAAAATAATAGCAAAATTAAATAAATAATTTTCCATATTCAATTATAATTAAAATTATAAAAATGTTTAAAGTTAAAAAATATTGTAATGTAATTGGTGCAATTTTCATTTTGTTAATTGTGGGTAGGCTGTCTGTAACAACTATACATTCAAGACATGTAACACCTCAGTCTCTCCCGTGACCATGGATGCTGTAAAGCATTCGAAACGTCGGGAAACAAAAATCCAAATAAATCCGCGACAAAATCCGAAAAGATAGTTTTATTTAAAAAGAATCTATAGTTTTTAAAAATTTTGTCTGTCTGTCTGTCTATTACCACATCACGGAAAAACCACTGGAGGAATTTTTATGAAATTTGGTATGTTGATAGCTGGTTATCCGGGTCAACATATAGGATACATACAATATCTCATTTTTGAGAAAAAATACAAAAACTGCAATGTAAGAGTTTACTAATATGTAAAACCTAAGAATTGGGTTTTCGATCATCTGAACGCGGGCAGAGCCGCGGGCAATGCTAGTTATGAAAATATAATAACTATTTAAATCGTGTTATATTGCTATAAAATATATTACGTGTGTAAATCATACTGGCTGAAAATAATAAAAATTAAATTATTTACTTATCTTTCAAACGAAGAAACGTTTTTTTATTAAACATTCCAAAAAAAGCTTGATTTGTGAATAAACTTAAAACATTTTTATTTTATCTTATATTAAATATATTTTATATAATCTGCTAAAATATAAAATTGTTAATTTAAGATGTCTTTAGAAAAGAAAGATGAAGGAAATCCGGAAGCATTAGAGGAAGCTGGAATACTCGAGGCCGATGTTGGAGCTAATTTGTAAATATTTTTAACATTTGAACAAAATTTAAAAAAAATGTGTTTTTCTTACCGTACATTATATTACTTCATTTGCATTTTATTAGTAAAATATATATATTTTATTAGTAAAAATTTGTTATTTTGACATTACAAACAGACACTTCAGTTTTATCACAGATCGCATAATACTATACTGTTTTATTTATGTGTATACAATATACATATAGATTTATAAAGGTTACTATAATAACAGAAATAAGGTACCTACATAAAATATTTGTTTACGCGATGTGATGATGTGATGGCCTGTGAATTTATCGATCGGGCTTGGATATATAAAAGTTTCATTTAAGTATTTCAAATCTGAATTTTAAGTAAATAGCATCCCACTAAAAACATCTTTATGTAAAATGTTGCCAAAACGAGACCATATGGCTCGGACTGTCAAAAAGTTATCAAATCTCATGTAGAGCCAAGCTCCTAATTCTACACGTCCTTACTCTACAAGCCCTAACTTCACAAACTCTACACCTTAGTCAAAATATGTGGTTTGGCCGTATCGTTACTACAAGAACTATTGTATAACAGAAAAGTAATAAGCAGTGAATAAATTTTTCACCTTACACGCCCATGTGACGGCTTTGCGCTTCGCTTAGCTCGTCTTGGCCTAGCTTGACTGCTTTTGCTTGACTCTTTGGCTTGGGCGGTCTTGGTCTTGGTAGTACTACCGTGCCCCCAGATTGAGCTAGCGCTTATTAATTCAATTTACCTTTTAAAAATATAATGGAAACGCATCAAACACATTTATATGAATTGTTTTTGATAGATTTAAATTCGATTTTGAATTTTTATATATTTTTGAAGTGAAAACTTCAATTGGCAGGTTTGGATGGGGAGTAAATTCATGTAAGTCGTCATCGACATGGTCACGTGACGTGTTAGCGCTAACGCTTTAAGATGTCTAAACCAGATAAATGTAAAGAGTTTTAATTTACAAATTTTAATTTGAGATCAAACAATTTGGATATACAAAAACGACAACTGTTTGTTTATAGTTTTAAGTTGTTACATCCGTCGGCAGTCCTCATGACTGCTTTTTTTTATTATTAGAAGAAAGAAATGTCCAAACGTTTTGATTTAATAGTTGAAAATGTAAAATCAGTACTTTTTTTACAATTTTGTTTATGGACGAGTATATTAGATGTCTCATGGTCATGGATTGTTTATAATCGACTTTAATAAATAGGACTTTTAGAACCCATAATTATGGGTACGAAAATGGATGGGTACGAAAATGGATCGAAAGACGAGATAAACTAGGAGCTACTAATTGTCCACAAGCATTCGTGTTCAACATATTTCGAAACAAATTTAAAAGTCATTTCTTCGCTCCAGCGAAACGACATTATGGCGGCAACTAATGAACTCGACTAATTCGTAAGGTTCGTACTTGTTTAGCGGGTGAACCAGTGAGCTCGGACGCGTGGTGGGGGCTGCTACTCGCCCAAAAAAATAGAATAAAATGGATTGACTCGACTAAATTACTTACTAAACTAATCGTCTAAATTTAGCGTTTACGGTTTGACAAGAGTAGGTATGAAAAATTTATTTTCTAAAGTACCTAAAACTTTGTCATAAAGTGAAAGTGCCATCTACGAACCTCGCCCTAAGTGATTATTGCCCGATTTCACCAACGTCACCTAAGTTTAAGGGATCCCCTAAGCATGGTTAGGGGGCTGTTAGGGGACAGTTTCTGTTTCACCGACAGTTAGGGGTCACCTAAATATTAAAAGGCCCCCTAAATTTAGGTGTTCGAAATATGGGCTTAAAGACGATCGTAAAACGAAATTTAATTTAGGGGCTAGTTTAGGGGAACTTTTAAGCTTAGGATCCACTACGTAGGTGGTAGCTTATGGGTTGTTTGTGAAATCGGGCATAAGTCCTTCCCATGTGTCTAAAATCCAATGATAAAAACTTAATTTATCACAATTCCATGATTTATCAATATGCAAAGTTTTATCCAAATATGTTCGGTTTACACTTTATTCTTACTTGTGTCATAAGCATTACATCCACATATCTTCAAAAACTAGTAGAAAGATAGGTAGTAAATTAAAATAAATTAGTATATAAAGTACCTCTATAAAATATTTCTGTTATCACAATTTATCAGCGATAATGATACTTGTAAGTAATCAAAATATTTATTTTCAATTTTGATTTAATCTACCTGTTATGGCAGATATTCGTTTTTATTTGTCATGGATCTGAAACATGATTACGGTCAATCCAATTATCTACGCGACACAATAGATCCGGTGAAAGGCACAATAACAATTTATCTTTTATGTAAAAATTTTTATTAATATGCACGTGTTAAAGATAATATTGTAAACTATTTGTTGGTCACTCAAAGTGTAATAATGTTTTGTTTCTGGATTTCAATATAAGATTGAATATTTAAATTGTTTATTGTATTATATTATTTTGTCTTTAGAGTGCGTTCTTAGGTTACTGGAATCGTAAGTAGGTTAGCCAGATTCCTTCCCAACGTGCGTTCACCTTGTCGTGGTGGGGGGTTAATAAGCGACTGGCAATACAGCCGGGAGCGAAGCCAAGAAACGCACTTCGGTGAGTGGTGTGCTATGCGGGTTGCTCCTGGTACTTCTCTGACAGCAGAGTGGACTGTTGAAACAACCCCATGGTAGTTGTAGTCGACGGGGGAGGTTCCGTTGGATTTTAGTGGGTAGTAATGGCTTTGCCGGTGAGTCCCCCCTCCTTGCCTCCCTCTCCATCTCCTCCTCTTCGTTTTTCCTTCTTTAAAATGTGAATTTCCAAAAACGTTTCTTACCGAAACTTACAGACCAGACGACCAGACGACCAGACGATTCTTAATCCTAGCTTTGGTAGTTTTTAAAATTGTATGATTTCAATAAAGAGATTATTATTTTTTTATTATTTCTAGTGACCAACAGCTAGCTGGGATAGATCCAAAACTTAAAATCAACATGGACCCGCAAGCGCACAGACACCTGCGCCCTGAAATGATGTTCATACGAGAAGAGCTGCGCCAAGCTAAGCAACAGACATTGGCTGTAATGAATTTTACTGGCTACTTAAATAATCTTTTGCTTTCTTATTTTCATCATATTCACCTACTTAACATCAGATTTTAGAAGTTTAAATTTTTGCAGCTACAGCACTTGCAAAATTTTTAAAAATTAATAGATAAAAAATTAATTATAAAAAATTAATATATAAATCCGCGAAATAATCCGAAAAGATAGTTTTATTTAAAAAATATTATTCAATTTTCTTATTAATGGCTTCAAACTTCAAAGCGTGCCAGTTGACCATAGGTTACTTCACCCACGTCATGTAGAATGGAGAAGACATTGCTATGTTTCTACATACATATATCAGATAAAAGTTATTTATAGTGCAAAATGCAATGTCCAATATTTTTATTCCGATACCAATTTATGCCTTATATATTTAAGTTCAGAATAAAATCGTCCTATTCTCTTTGGATATAAAACAAATAATATTTTTTTCTTATATTTGTACTGTATTTCTTATATATTTTATCCATAAAATATTCATATATAAGTACCTATATTTTATATATTTTATAACAAACTAGCATTGCCTGCGGCTCCGCCCGCGTTCAGATGACCACAAACTAAATTCTTAGGTTTTACATATTAGTATATTCCCACATTGCAGTTTTTGTATTTTTTCTCAGAAATGGGATATTTTTCCGCGGTATAAAGTATCCTATATGTTGATCCGGATAACCAGCTATCACCATACCAAATTTTATCAAAATCCGTCCAGTGCTTTTCTCATGATGCGGTCACAGACAAACAAACGGACAGATAAACATTGTAAAAACTATAGATTCGGCCTCTGTATCGATAATAATGACTATTTAAATAAGATTTTCCAAAAAATATTTAATGTACAGATTGGACTCACAATTTTATTATATGTATAGATATAATAATACAATATATATGTTAGTTATGACTCTTATTCGTTTGTTAATTGTACCTACCTACTTATCTACACCACATTTTATAGATGAGACCTTTTTTCTATAATCGAGGGATTGTGTTAAGAGATGTCTCGTAAGAGATAAGTCGTCTTATAACTATACACAACTTACTATATCGTATATGGTACAGAAATAAATGAGTAAATTAAAAAAAACAGTTCATCAACAAAAGGCTTCATTTTCTTCACTTACATATTTTAGTTATGATTATTGATTTGATGGATAGCTTCATACTTTCTTAGATTTATCTACGCGAATATTTGACATTTTAAATAAAAATATCTTTTCGGATTTTTTGTGACCAGTGCCCAGTCTCTTCCGTGATTATGATTGCTATAAAACATTCGAAACGTACGAAACGAAAAATTAAAATAAATCCGCGAAAAAGTCCGAAAAGTAAGTTTTATTTAAATTGATGGATAGCTTTTATAATTTATATGATGATTGAAATGTTAGTTATAAGTATTGGTTTATTGAATTTCTTAATTGTGTGTTTTTACTAGATATCGCATTTTTTTTTTTATTGATGGGACATACCTACATTTACGAACACTGTGGTATGTGGAACTCACCGGCTAGAAAAGCCAGTGCTACCCACTAAAGCCTAACGAAACCTCCTCCGTCCTAATGGGCCGTCACAGGATCGCTTAGGGTCCCACAAATATCAGCTCAAGCAGTCCACAACATCCAAGGGATTGCTCAAGTACGGTCCACTCTGCTATTAGAGAAAAAACAGAGCAATTTACATGGTACATCGCCCACCGAAGCATGCCACTTCTCAGTGTTCCTTTTTGCTTGACGCTCGGATGGATTGCCGGACGCTAATGGGGCCCACACATGGTGAACACACGTCATGGGGCTGGGCCACCTTAATATAGCAAGCAACCCGTGCACTAAAAATTTACTTACGAACGCTATGGGATTAAAGAGACTATGAAACTATCTTTTTCTTATATCCGAAACATAATATTTACAACTAGAGATACCTACCCTTGCTTTGCACAGCTTCGTCCCTAGTTACGTTTTAACGTTTAGTATAGATTTCTCAGAGATGAGACATTTTCCCGTAGTAAAAAGTATCCTATATGTTGATCCGGATAACCACTTATCATCATATCAAATTTTATCAAAATCTGTCCAGTGCTTTTCTCATGATGCGGTCACAGACAAACAAACGGACAGATAAACATTGTAAAAACTATAGATTCGGCCTCTGTATCGATAATAATAATAATAAGCGTTTATTTCGGACAAGAAGTCCATAAAAATCATCAGTATCTTACATTAAGCATAGAATACAGAAAACAGAAATTAAATGCTACAAAATTATAACAGAAATAAACAAAGAAAAATAATGACTATTTCAATAAGATTTTACAAAAAACATTTTATGTACAGATTCGACTCTTTTCAATTTTATTATATATTATATAGATTAAAACGAATATATTAGACCAGTGTCAATGGTCAAAGAAATTAGTTCCTTATAGGACAAATGTAACGAGAACAATTCCCATATTTCTCTAACACAAGTCCGACTCTCACTTGACTTATTATAACAACAGCGTTTGTTGTAGGTGCGTCGTACAGCTCTAAAGAAGCTTCTCATGAAAGATTTTCTTCAAGAAGATTGCGAGTTAAGGAACATTGGCTTATGCTATGCCCCTCCTGATCCTTGAATCCTTAAATATTTATCTTGTTACTTTGGGTGAATAAAATTTTCATAGTTTTTAGACATTTTTAGTTTTATTTAACCATTTATCCTAAATAATTTTTAACTAATTTTAGTTGTCTGGATTTTTGTAATTTTTTTTTCTTAAAAACCTGTATTTTGATACCCCATTTGATTGATTCAAGCGATTTTTTTATCTGGATACTAATTGGCACCTAAGATCCACTATTTTCAATTTTAGTGATATTTACATACCGTTACTAACTGGCGTCAAATCAAGTCAAAGCTAAAGACGCATGAATCATCAAAATCGGTTAACCAGTTCAGTAATTACGAGGGAACATAGAATCGGACATACATACATGTGTACAATGTAAATACAACCATACATACACACAGTCAAACACATAACCCTCCTTTGGGCTTCGTCGCAATCGGTTAAAAATAAATAAATAATAAATATGTGGGGACATTAACACACGGCACCATCTAATTCCATGGTAAGCTACGAGGCTTGTGTTATGGATACCAGATAGTTGATACACTACACATATCTAACTTTAAAATACATACATATTATAAATATAAACACCCATGACTGGAGTGAACACATTCGTGCTCGTCACACAAATGAATGCCCCCAGCGGGACTCGAACCCGCGACCGCTGGCACAGCAAGTAGGATCACTACAAACTGAGCCAAACGTGTAATATCAAAATAAGATATCATTACAGCTATTTTCAAGTCAATCGGATTTTCGGGGAATTGGCCACCTACACATGCGATTTAATGCTTGCTATTGGATATTTTATTTCAGATTTCTTGACATTCAAACTAAATCAGAACAAGCCCATGACTACCCACGCCGTATAAAAGTTAAATTAAGCGTTATATCAAGAAAATTCAGCCATATTTGTACTCGTAGAAAACTGTCGTGAAATTTTTTGACACATGATTGTGCTAAAGCTTACCTAAGCCTCGAAATACGTTTATCTCGCAATTCCATACATACTATAGGGTATATATGGAATGGAATTAATGAAAAAAATCGATTTGAACAAGATGTACTTTATTTTGGATTCTATATTGTACATTAAAGTATAAAATTAAAAAATTACATATAATAATTAAAAAATCTGTATATTACCTACAGTTAACTAAGTTTTAAAATAAATATTTTGAAGAATAAGTATTCACTTATTTTAACAGATATAAAGAGTTGTATGAAAATACTGTGAGTATTGAAAACTAGCTTGTTATTAGCTATTATTAATGTTCATAACTTTTTCCATTTGTCGTCGCGCAAACTGGATAATCTAATTAGACTTAACTGGTTAGATGGAAGAGAGAAATACTGCGTAGCAGAGACATTTTATCCATTTTCTAGCGTTTCCAGGGCGTGGGGCAAGTATACCTTTTTTATTTCAAGCTGTAATCTATATATATACATATATATATATATATATATATATATTATATATATATATATATATATATATATATACATATAATAAAATAAAATTGTAATAAGCCGAATCTGTACATTAGATATTTTTTGAAAAATCTTATTGAAATAAACATTATTATCGATACAGAGAACCGATACATACCGTATCTATAATTTTTAGAATTTTTGTGGTCTGTCTGTTACCGCATCACAGAAAAACCACTGGAGAGATTTTAACGTGGTATGGTGATTTTAACGAGCTGGTTATCCGAGTCAACATATAGGATACTTTTTACCGCGGGAAAATATATCATTTCTGAAAAAAATCCAAAAACTGCATTGTAAGAGTATACTAATATGTAAAACCTAAGAATTTGGTTTTTGGTCATCTGAACGCGGGCGGAGCCGCGGGCAAGCCTAGTAATGTTATAAATGTGAAAGTGTGTTTGTTCGTTTGTCCTTCTTTCACGTTAAAACAGAGTGACGGATTAGTGTGTTGATAATTGGGTGTTGGAGAGTGACATGGGCTATTTTTCACTGCGGGAGATTATCTCATTCCCACGGGAAAACACGTTATAATACAATCCAAAAAAATATTTCATCAGAATTACTTGAAACTCGCTATTAATGCTCTTCAATACAATTAAATTAATAGGTTTTTTAGGATTTTCCGAAATTCATCCCATAATAGGTAAAACAGGACATGGCAGTTTGTAAGAAACCTATCTTTTTAGAGTTTTTTTTTGTAATTTTAGCGCGAGCGAAGCCGCGCGTTCTGCTATTAAAATATACATTGGATTGATAAGCATTCGGAAATAATTGAGCCAATAATAAACTTAATACCGGCAAATAAGTAATCTATTTAGTTAAAATCCAGCCAATCTTGGAATGGACTATATAAAGCTCTAAACTTTTAAATATATCTTTAAACATACCTACTTGTACGTATTTTCTCTTTTAGTTGGTGGAACTATATTCCACTCTATGGGCTCAATTTAAAGATGTCAATATATGTATTTATATTGCTGAAGACTTTTGTTGAGTATGTATCAATGCAGCTCTACAACTGTTGTAAGAACTTGAATTGCTTTCTGAGCAAAGAAAATAAGATACTTATGAAAAACCAATTTTCTTGACCTTTGATCTCTAATGTCTAGTGATGCGCCACTAGATTATAAGAACCTTTTTTAAGATATATAATTATTAATATAAAGATGTATCTATATAAAAGTTTACAGCCTATTATTTTCCATTCCAAGATTGGCTGGACCATAACTAAATAGATTACTTATTTGCCGGTATTAATTTTCTAAGAATTTAAAAATGGTAAAAACTTTAAATTTTTCTTAAGACGAACAAATTAACATTTGAGCTCAACCAATAAATACTTTTTTATTGGTCTGAGCATTTGAGGTTATATTTTTGCTTGGCTTTAAAATAAAGGTATATAAAAAGGAGGTACCTACCACATAGACTAGACACTACACATTACACAATTATGCCTTTTTTTTGTGCATGTTACACGACATTTTCGCTAATTGTAAAAAAACTGAGTAATTTTTTGGAGCGAGTTATTGTAAAAGATAAACGATTAAATTTAGAACACTTAAAATTAGTATACACAAATATTAGTTTATACTGTTGTTATAATAATTAATATTAGTTTATACGGCCTTGGCCTTTCAAATCCAAATTACAATCACAACGTTAAAAAAACCACGCCAACTACTACCTCAAAGGTGGCGTGGAAACATACATAATATGAAGAATATAATCTTTTGAACTTTTTGAATTGCTATATCTCAGAAATGGTAATTGTTAGATAAAACAGAGTAAGAAAATTTTTCACAGATAATTACATGATCTACAATTTTTGTGTGATCTATTTTTATGATAAAACTTTTCGTTTGGCTGAAAAAGGCAAAAAACTCATTTTTACGAAGTTTGACCTTGAATAAATATTTTTGCAAATATGGGATCGATCAGGACTTTTCACATTTCATTTATAATGACCAAATAATCGTGTGAATTTTTAACTTATGCGTATTATTGTAACCTTATCCCTAGTTTTTGAGTTAACTTGACCGGTCTAGTGAGCCGTGAACTTACTTTATGAATTTTATATTAAAATAAAATTCTACATAATAATAATAATCTTTAAATGATTTCGAAATACGAGTTAAAGTCAAAGTTAATAATAATTATCGTTATATTTTAATAATTGTAATTAAATGTAAATATATGTTCATATATTCACATTAAGGCGCATAAAGAAGATAGTAGCGTTTTTAATTACACCAATGACAGATTGAAAAGATTCATTTGAATCTCTTTAGTAATAACATTTGTTATTTTATATTTTATAATAATAATAATAAATATTAGAAAGTCATTACATCCAGATTAAATCTACATAGCTAGATGCTTTTATAATGCCAAGAACATCCAGGCACACCCTTCCCAAACTAACAATTCCCAACCCCCTTTTTTTAATGGAGTTAATATGGACAAAAGAGTGTACAATTTACGGCCGCTACCCGGGGGTCGCCGGGGCGCATCTGGAGCCGATGCTGGATGCTACAGCATGCGATCCATCGGTGGTACGGAGTTGAACAGGCAGGCTCCTACCAATGAAGAGGCTACAGCCGGAATCATCAATCACCATACACAATCAACTTCACCATCTTCGCCAAAATCAATCTCATCATTAAATAGCGTTTTTCCATCATCTCTTTCATCACCTTATTCAGCCTCATCAGAATCATCATATTCATCAAAATCATCTTCATATTTGGCAATAGATGTTGTTCAGGAAGCAAGAGCTAATAATCTTGAACCCGCTATTGTTCAATCTGGTGCGAGAAAAAAATGGACAGTTGAAATGAATATGTTCATATGGCGCACCTACCTTTTCATAACGAAACTTGAAACAAGTACCCGTGGTCACTTAGATACATTACACCAATATTTCACTGAAAAATACCCACATATGAATGCGACAAAACAGAGAATCAGCGATCAACGCAGAGCTATAGTTAATAATAAATTACTTTCTTCAGACGTTCTAACAGACATTAGAAATGATGTTTGTAAAATTTTACAAAATGAAACACCACCTGAAATTCCAAAACAGGCTACAGGAAGAATGAGTTGGACAAACCATATTAATGAAGCTATTATTAGGATTTATTTTCAAGTAACTGAATTAGAAAAAAATCAAACAGCATATCGTAAAAAATTACATAGTAATTTTATTGCAACGTTTCCCCATCTTTCACATATATCTGAACAAAGACTGTCAGATCAGCGAAGAGTAATTTTAAGAAACAAAATGATAACAGAAAATAGGATACAACAAATAAGGCAAGAAGTTGAAGCTCAAATACACAATCACAGTCATTCTCATCAGTCAAATACAAATACCAATATAAATTCCTCTATTCAAAACACACACACACAAATAAACATAATATTACAGATATTACACAGGAAAATAGAGATATAATACATTGCACACCACCAAGTAGGGATCAATATATTGAAAGCACAGCTTTTAA